TTAACTAAATTTATACAAAATAAACAACTTATCAATCCTTCTTTTTTTCTTTTCTGCTCTTCTCTTATTTTGATGTTGTTTCTCGTGAATTTGGCTATATTTATTTTTGCGATTATATCAATTGCAATTTAATCCACCAAAGGAAGGATACCACACCAACAATAAGCCAAGGAAGCCATACATATATTGGAGTATCTTCATTTTATAGATTACCACAATCAGGTAAGAATTTAATCGATATTAAAGTTTCTATAGCAATAGTGAAATAGGTAAGGTATCTTAATTGATATGGTTGGTTTTTATCTGTAATTGAATTATGAAGTTCTCTGAATGCTGAATGGCCTAACATAAACCAAATCAGAAGTCTATAGACAACCATCCAACATTTTGGAGGAACCCATAATTCATTCATCAAGAAGAAATTATTTAGAAAGTTGCCTATGATTACAATGATAACAATAAGAACAGCTTCAAATTTCTTTGGATTTGTAAAGGTGTCTTTAGCAAACCAACTGTATTATTCAAATTTGAATTTCTTAATGATGATCATTCCAATAATAATAGCAACAGTGTTACTTAATAATACATCCAATAATACATGATCCCACCAGCATTCTCTAAAATGGGGGAGTTTGTGTTGCCAAGATAATTCAATAATTTCATCTAAGACAGACCAAAAGTTGAGAAACCAAAAGTCCCTGACAAGAAATGTAGCCAATAGCCAATTGATTACGTGACTCCAATAATAGTGATCTAGATTGTCAACAATATTGATCCATTCGAATTCGCAATTATCATCATAAGTATGCATATCCTTTGTGACAGGCTTACCTAATCTATCATCTCCCAAACTCATAAGCTAAAGTTATTTGAGTGATGTACATATCTACCATCTTTCTCATTTTGAAATGATAAAAAGACCAAGATGGCTATAAATGTGGCAGATAACCAGAATTATATTCTAAAAATGGCTCCATATTTATCACCAAAAGGATCACTTGGTTTCAATGAACCAATCATTGCAATGAATAGCATGGCTGCCAGCACACCTCTTTTTGAGTTCGCTTCGAATCCTACATCATTGTTATAGGCTAAGTAGAGAAGAACAGTTGTAAATGTCCAAAACGCAAGTTTATGAAAACTCATTATTAAATTAAATATTCAATTTTAATGTCATTTGATCATCTTAACGATACCAACATCACTAATCAATCAGAAAAGGAACATGTTAATGAATTTTATGATTACTAAATCCGTAATATGTATGATAAAGAAAAATACATCAATCCACATGACATTGCTGGTTAACCAGGCTTGGTGACAAGTCAAGCGGTTGAATTAGAAAAGAAGAAAGTCTAATTCAGAATGGCAAATGAAATTTATTTGAGAAAACATCCAGAATTATCTGTTATGCTAAGCATTTTCCTATTCAGAGTATTGGAGGAGAAACCAGATGATGTTTTGATGTATGCAGGCAAATTCTTTGATTAGTAATACATTTATATTTATAATAGAGAACATTTAGAATAAGTAATATTGATTTAGAAAAAACATTATTTAGAAAATGGAAATGCAACTGCTTGAATCTATTAAACATTAACAATTTATATTTTAATCATTGTAATTTATATATGAAAGTTTAACTTTTGTAATTTCTACAATCTTTCTATACTTATCATCTTAACTTATTTTTGTTAACTTATATAATATAATTTATATAGATAAGAGTATTTTTTCAAATATTGTATTTATTTATTTAATTCTAAATATTCATTAATGATGATTATTTTAGCTAAAGAATAATTGAGTATGATTAAGATGATCAAAACCAACTTTAAATGCTTGAATGGACTTTCTTTCTTTAAATATAGAATTATCTAATCTTTAGTCGTTATTGTAAATCTTAATAATCATCAATCAAATCTATTATAAATATACATTTACGGCATAAATATAATTCTTATTTACATCAACATTGTTATTAATTTCTTTTATAGAGAATTCAATACAAAGAACTTATCTTGGGGTAATCTTCAATTTTAATTATTAAAAGTAATGATATGATTTATTTCAACAGAAGAATCAAGTATCAGTTGTTGATAGTTATTTATTTGGATAGCCAAAAAACTAAATAAATTTTGGGATGAATCTTAAGATTGAGAATTACGTTCAATTTATTTTAATATTACATATATAATATAAATAATTTTATAATTGAACTTATTTGATAATGATTTTACAATTAATTAATTATCCAGTCGAAGGAACTGTCGAATAGGACCATTCAAAGTCTCCAAAAAAAAGAGCAATTATAATAAAACATTTTCGTTATCCTATGAAGACTTAAACCAATAATTTGATATTTCCGCTACGATCTCCGCAAATCATCTCAAGTAAAAGTAGTACCAGACAAAATGAAATAAATTGGTTTAGTGATAGTAATCTAATAAAGGAGCATAATTAAACATTTTGTTAATCAAATAACTTCAAATCCGTTTTTAAATTAGGCAGTGAATAAAAAAATAGATTTGCCATTATAAAAAAGGTTTTCAAAAAGGAAGATGAAAAGGATTGCCTATTTATAGAGAGAAAGTTGAGTTTATTAAAATTTAATTTTAAGGAGAAGGAAAAGGAAAAGGAAGAGAGCCAAAAAATTTCTATAGATTATTCACCAGTCAAGATTCCTTAAACAGCACAATCAACACGAAAGAAACAAAGTTTGAATGATAAAAATAAATATTAATTATTTTAGAATAAGATCAACAGAAGATTTAATAGCGACACCGATTTATCAGATTAAAAACCAAATCGAAAGAAAATAATTTCGTACTCAATAAGGCCTAACACTCATAATTATGATCGTGATCATTAAGAGTTTGCTCAAAGCATCTTAAATCAATATTTGAAAAAAAGTTTGTAAGATTAATGATAGTGTAAAATTCTTTAACTAAATATTTTTCAATCAGCTTTAGTCTCATATTTGGTTGCATTTGGATCAAAATAATATTTAATGTGAGCATGTGGCGAAGTCCCATTTGCATTTTCAAGAAATATATGTAAATTGCCTTCAGTATCAAGAAGCACCTCACTTTCAACGATTCCACCTAAACATTTTACATACATCTAATACCTTTTTCTAAGGGTTCGCATTCTATGATTTCTTTCTTTTCCCAATCTACTTTCAACACTTTTTAACTTTCCTTCGCATACATAGTCAAACCTCCTATCAATAAAGCTAAATTCTTTTTAACTCTGACTGCCATAAACCTTCTCAATGGCAATGGTAGCTTCAAAGTACATTTTTCCCATCTATTCTCGTTAATATAGTATCTTTCTATAGTATCTAAAGTGCCTTCTTCCTTGTTATAACCACCAAATAAAACTATTTCATTATCTTTATTCTACAAGCAGCAGCTTGACTTTTTGGTTATTTTAATCCACTAGTTGAACCCATTTCTCTGAAATAAGATCGTAATATAAAACTGATGATAATTACACCTTATGTTGTTCGTCATATCCTCCAACGCAATAGATTTTATGATTATAATAGAGACAAGAACAGAAGAACCTATTCATAGGAATTTGATGTTTCATTAACTCCAATCTATCATTTTGATAGACTCGAAAGTTAGTTTCTTGAAATCCTCCAATTAGATAAAATGCTTTTTTGTCAGGAACAAAAAGAGTTGTAAATTATCTGTCTAATTCCACATCCAATTTTGCAATCTAACGCCATTTTTGTTTGGATGTTGAAAATTTACTGATAGTCTTACCTCCAAATTCAAACCATAAGCAGGAATCATTCAATATTAAAGTGGAATCCCTATAAAATGCAGATTAAGATACGACAGGCTACTTAATAACCTGAACTTATTATGATTGTTATTATTAAGTAATCTGTTGTTATTTCTAAGAGGATGGCTATTCTCTTAATGGTTACTTTGACTTTTGAGATTGCTCAATTACCTATGATGATCCTGCATTTTTCATATGTTGAGCAATCACATTTTTAAATTGAACTTCAGCCTCTTGTGATGTCCTGTAAGGAGGTCCTCGTTTTAACATAGTATTATAGTGTTAATTGTACAACAAAATGTATTCATTTATAGCCACATTCTCAGATATCTTTCCTGAATGATATTTCTCCTCGTGCTCTATGAATAATTGTTCAATTTCAACATATGATGGCCTTTAAGCCTCTTCAAAAATCAACATCAATTTTATTATCGACACATAAGCAGGACTATACTTTTACTCTAGCGAAGCTAAACTCTATAAAATCAATTGCTCCCCCTCATTTTATTAGGTATTATTGAATCCAGTTACTTCTTGCATGGCACTCATCTAATACATAACTAAGCCAGTTGAAAAAACATCTGATTTATAAATGTTGTGTTCTACATATCTACTATTTCCATCAATTACATGAGCCTTCCATAAAATAGGTGATAAATATTGAGGTGTGCCTCTAATTGTCGCCATAGTGTAAGTATTTTTGGCTTCATTGTCTAAATCAAAGAAATAATCCTTGCTTTCACCAAAATCAATTAATTTCAATTCCCCATTCGTTATCATAAATAAGTTAGCTGGTTTTATATCTCTGTGGCAAATCCCTTTTTATTGCAAATATGAGCACGTTGATATTATGCTAAACAACATAGTTACTAACTCATTCTCTTTCCAGAACTAATTAGGTTTCTTTCTTTTTCTATACAGATTTTCCAAATTAGTGTTATGATCCATGTACCTATATAAATAAATCTCATAAGTACTCTGTAATTATTCCTAAACGAAACGTATTGTACAGAGTTTCAGCAAAGTAGTATCCATAAAATCGAATCACGTTGCCACAATTTTAAACTTTGCTAAGTTGAACTGCTTCTTCTTTGTATTCATTTAATTTCTCTAAATTAGTTGCTTCAATCTCTTTTAAAGCATATACTTTATTTGTTTGTATATGTTGCACTCTATATATCTTTGTATGCTTCTTGCCCGAACCTAACAATTCCAATTTTTTGAAATCCTGCTTCCTAAACATTATCTGTTTATTTAATTTATAATTATAATAAAGAATTTCTATAACTAAATTGCTCAACTTCAGTATTCTGAAACAAATTATATAAACAAATCAATGTTATCTTCACCCTGATCAAACTTATAAATATCTTACATCATGCATTTCCATTAATATTCATATATTATATATAGAACAATATTAATATCTTATATCAAGCTACAATTTATCGAATAAACTTGAAAAGCTAGTGTTTAGATTAAAATCGAAGGTGTAAATAAGAATATTCTAAACCTTCTTATTTTTTTAATTCAAATCTTGTACCATATAATATATATTTGTACTTAATCTACTATATTCAAGTCTAATAAGAAATCTTCGAATACAATTTGATTATGTGAATTAAAAATTTTTAATAATAAATGAAATCCAATGGAGGAGGTGACCATAATAAAAATATTTAGACATCTGGAACTCTTAGGAGAATAAAAAGAATGAGGTTGAGATCAAAGAATTAGTAGGGTTAAAATGATGTGGCAAGGTATTAGATATTAAGTATTGAATAGTAAAAAAATGGCTGGTAATAATTCAACTTTATCATTACATATTATTAAAACTAAATCACTTTTTAAACACAAAAAACTAATTAAATAAAGCACTCAAAGTAGAGAGAGTCTATTTCAAGACCCCCTCTAGAAAGATCAAAAAAATGTCAAATTAGCACAAGAGCCAAATGTTAAATAATAATCAACAAAAAATAAATAGACTATATCATAAAGAAAATTAAGAAGAAATGAAAAGCTTAAAGAATTGATAGATGCTTAAATAAAAGCATAAATTAATCAAAAGATCAAATTTCATGATACAAAATTTAAAGCCCTAACAGAAATTGGAATTCCAACAATAAATTTAAATTAGGATAAAATAATATAATTTATTGAGTAATTTCAAAACGAGATAAAATAGAATGATGAGAGCATAATATAGAAGTTAGTGGGTGCAATTGGAGAGGGATATGCTGAAAGAGGAGATGAGGTTATTTCAAATGTAGATGCAAAAGAAATGATGATTCAAAAATAGGTTGAGTTCTATTTAGAAAATTGTGGAATCAAACTTGAATGGACATTGGAGAGGTGGAGGAAATTGATAAGAAGAACGTTATTTGTGGTACCTTTTTGCCATATGCCTAACGTGAAGATAAAGGAGTATTTAAATGGAAGAGAAAGATACTAAATCATGTTCGAAACTTTAAATCTCTTTACTTTAATCAATAGATGGAGCAACACTTAAATGTTTCATCAATTTAGTTAGAATTTCCCATTTTAAGTAAAAGATGACATCGAAATCAAGGAGTTGGTTAATGAAAATGAATTGCACAATATTCGATAAATAAGAGAATATTTAAGTAGAATTATGACTGCATTGAATGACATATATTAATTGAAATTTCAAAAGGAATTTTAAGTTGATCTTTATTAGACAAATAATCAATTATAAGATTTATAGGTTGAATATTATTTGAGAAAGATGAAAGTACTTTAACTAAAGCCAGTAAATTTACCATAGGCCATGAAAGAATAAATAGAATAACTTTCATCAAAAGTGCAAATTTAAAAAGATCCGATTATTGATGAGCCATCAAAAAAATAAATGGATTAAGAAAAATAAATAAAACCATAAAATTAGGTGTAATAAAAGAAAAAGATACAAATCAATCTAATCAAATCGAAGACTTTACTAGAATATTTTAAACCTGTAAAGAATTAGAATAGTATAAATGCTGATGTAAATTCTCAGGGCTTGAGTTAAAATAAGGACAAGAATGGGAAATAGACACCCGAAAGTAAATCTTAATTCTCCTATTTTGAGATCTTGGATGAACTTTTTAGTAATAAATTTGGTAAAACAATATAAAAGGAAGGATAAAAAAAATGATATATAATTATAGTTTAAAAATATATGATTTTTATTATTGGAGAGATATATCAGGGCAATTATTATTAATAAATAATGTACATTTAAGATGATGATGAATTTAAAGGAAATTGGATGAAGGTTTATGAATAAATTTTTATTATTAAATTAGGTTTACGTAAAATTAACAAATTATTTGATAATAATAGGTTAAAAAGATTAAATATAGAACTAAAAATTATTTTACACAAATTTGGTTTATAGATTCTTGTAATTTCAAGACTGAATCGATAGAAAATCTATGTGAGATACAAGCTAAGTATGAGATCTTTGTCAGAAGGAAGAACTGATATCAGGTTACTTGTAACAGTGACTCTTATTGATGTGATGTTAGAATTATTAATATAATTTATAAACATAATAATGTCTGAATAAGAGTATTTGTTCGATTCATATAATCAACATAATTGGAATTCTTATGATTTTGATTTGGAATGCTAAGACTCTGAGAGATAACAAATAGATAGAATAAAAGAAAAGTGTAATATGAATTTATTAAAACGACAACTTGTTTGTTTGTTTGGTTTTCCTTCCATATAGATAGAGAGTGGATAAATAATCGCTTATCTTAATGGAATCATGGATTAAAATGAGAATGAATAGAAAAGAATGATTAGAGTGTTGATAAGCTTCATTGGTGAAGTTACTAGCATTGAAAATCCTGAAACTAGATTAGAGACCATAAGGACAAGAGTTGAATAATTCCTGACCATAAAAGGAATTAAAATAGAATGGAGTAATAAGGTATGGGAGTACGAAATAGAATCACTTTTTGAATCCAGATATTGCAATCCCTATTATAGTAAAATTCCGTATTCTTAGTTTGAATATGCTAACTTCTTTGCTTTATTAGAAAGTCCCATGCCCATGTTTCTGAGAAATCTGAAGCATCCATGTTGTTGTCAGGTATATGATGCAAAATCTACAGAAGATTTTAAATAATTATGTAACATCACTGATTTGAAAAATGTGAGGAGGATAAGAAAATACATCCAATCAATAATAGATAAATTAGAGGAATTTAGAATTTTGCTTATAGATATAGAAACAAAGAATTATAATTGTGGACCTGATATAATTAATAGTTTTAATCATCTATCTGGTGAGCTTGATAAAATAATAAACATAGATTTGTAATTAATAGATAGAAGTAGCTTAAAGTAAGAGGAGAAGTTGAAATTTAATAATGATGTTGATAATTAAACTGAAAAGAATTCAATTGCTTTATTAGAAACTAAAACATCTGCTAACACTTTTACCACTATTAATCAAGGTAGCCTGGATTGTCGAACTAAGAAATAGAAGAAGAAACAAAAGCAATAGGAAAAATATTATTTCTCATCAGCTTTCCTAAATTATATTGATTCAGAAACTAATCTTAGTTAAGAAAACAGTCGAAATTCTGAGCCCAAACTTGAAGATCAACAAATTAAATTTACAATAGATACAGAAATTCATAATTAATTACATATTGCATGTACTTCAGTATAAGATATACTTAAGAAAATTGACATTTACGAAAAGCAACTCCAAAGTTTGTAATTACTTGGATTTCCATGTCCAAAATTAGATAAATCTCATTTAAAATATATTCTATCTAATTTTCGTGAATGCTATACAAATAAATAAATTTTAATTGAATGGATTGTTTCAAACATTTGGGAATCATAGACGGTTAGAGAAGATGAAACTAAATGTATTGATGATGTGAGATAACAAGCCTTAGAATATTTCTAATCCATTAAAGTAGATAAGGATGATTTCGAATAAATCTTAAATAACTGCTATGAAAAATAAGCCTCTTTGCCATTTAATAAGTACTTTGAAATAGGAACTTTTTCTCTTCAAAAGTTGTCTCAAATAGTAAATCGTAAATTTCCAGAATCTTTCGAACTTAGCAATTGTCTGGCAAGTAGAGTAGTGTTTAAATCTAAAATATTTTAACCTTTGGAGAAACCAAGTAAAATAAAAGAAATCAAAAACATCAGAACAATTAGGAACTATATTAAAGATGTATATTAAAGTTTAGAGAAGTTGATTGAATTCAAAAATAAGATAAATAAAAATATCAATTGTAGACCACAACATCAATAATTAATTAGAGAATTCAAAATATTGTATTCCCATCATCATTGCAAGATCGTGAATAAATAACTAAAATAAAAAGGCTGTTCCACTCTGCAGCAAGTTGACAAGGTATAGGAGGGCAAAAATTGCATCATAATTGAAGACAAAGACTAGCTTGATGGGTATTTTAATTGCTAGGAGAAAAAGAGCTCCGATGTTATCGAAATAGAAGAGTATTCTATAGGACAAAAAGCTGAGTTACCAAAGTTAGAGGAAGATGTAATTTAAGAGGACTTAAGTTGTGTAAAGAAGAAGAGTGAGATAAATTTAAAATTAGAAGCAGTGATTGAGGTTGAATAACCAAAATTAGAATATGAAAAGGAATTAGAGTATGAAAAAGAATAGTATATTTTATGTAACGAAATCATTTCTCCTGTTTAAAGAAATCTTTTTCAAGACAATCAATCGCCCAATATATTTCATTCTCCTCGTTTTGATTATTGCTCCCCTTTGGCAAAATAATTTTTTGGTTAATTAGAATTTGATTAATACGAGATTGAATCCCCTGATAGATAGTGTTTATAATTTCAACCTCCTCAAAACTTCAATTGATTTTAGTATTTTATATAATTAGTAATCGCTTCATATACATTACAATTAATTGATATCAATAAATGTACACAAAATTAATATTCATATTTTAAAAATCTGAGAAAAGTTTCGTATGCTCTTTCGATATTCATTTATTTAATTACAACTAGCCATGTTAACTTGATTAGCTAAATTCTAGTATTTTTCTTGAGTACTAACAAACCAGGACTTTTTGGCCTCATGGAATAGTCTCTGTTTTTCATTTTTCGCCTTTATACATTAATTATCCAAATCAACCAAATACTCTCTATCAATCTCTGCTTCGTAATTCTTTTTGAACATCTCATCCTTGCTCAGGTATTCATCTCTAGCAAAGAACTTCTGGCCCAAAATCTTATTAATTAAAATTATAAGTACTTCTGTTTCTAACACATTTCTATATGTGCTATCTTTTGTTAACTAGTGATATGGTGTTTCAGAGAAAACGTAGTTCAGGAATTGAACTATTGAACTTCCAAAGAAAATGTAGATAAAAATCAAATAGCATGAAATTTGTATCCAATTGGGTCCTCTTTAAATCTGTCTTCTTTAATTCTAAAATTCTTAATCAACAAATTCTTGTTGTCTTTGATTTTATTGATGATGACCACGATTCCTTCGAGGACCTGATGAGTAATAAAACATTCCAGGACTTGATTGAACAAATTAAAATCCTCCAAAACCATTTCCGAATCCAGCACCAAATCCATTCTCAAATAAATCATCAAACCCTCCATTTTATGAAAAGAATGTTCGGAATATTTATTCGGCTGGACTCTCTCCCCATTGTTGCCTGTAATGTTGGTAATGTTATTCAGGTTCTTCAGTCCCATATTGATCGTAAGTTCTTCTCTTATCTTGATTGGATAGACAATCGTAAGCCTAGGTAATGCTATCTATTTACTTGAGCAACTTTCTTAAAGGCCTCATTGGCACTAGGATTTTTATTTTTATCTGGGTGATAGAGCAAGGCCAATTTTCTATAAGCTTTTTTTAATTCCTCATCTGTAGCAGTCTTAGAAACACCTAAAATCTCGTAGAAGTCCTTTTTTTTAAGAAATTCCTTTATATCTGCTTCTGTCGACATATATTAAATATATTTATTAGTAATTCAATGTTATTGAAATGGAATTTTTGATTTTTTTGCGGAATCACTCCGTTTCAGTAGGAAGTATTTCTAAGTATAGAATGAAAATATTACATTAGATTGCCGATTCAAACTAACAACCTAAGTAGAAATCTATTAAGCAATTTATTTTGAAGACTCATCTCCTGGGAGAGTGTTGATCTGAGTTCTATATCTCAAATAAGCAGTCTTAGCACTATTGTTATTCTGGCTTTTTAAATGGGTTTAACTTGCTTTACGAGAGTTCGACAAGGATCTACTGACAGGAATAGCAGTTTTGAGTTATTATGAATTTGCGAGATTCAGCAATTTAGGTTCATCGTAAACCTTATTGCTAATATGATACTTCTATTTGAGAGTAGTAATAGGTGTGTGTTTCTATTTCAACTTTTCTTAAGTGAGTTTAGCTTGTTAACTTAGAATTTGATTCATCAATATGTCTACTCTTTATTTGATATCAAATTGTGGTTAGAGAATTTTATTTTTCTTTATAAATAGCTGTTATTGTTGTTTAGGTGAAATTTCAGGTTCCTCCTATTATGTTTCGACCTTCTTTTCAGCTTCATATTGAGTAACAGAATGCTTCTATGGAAATAGAATATGTTTTTTCGCTGTTAGAGATTGTTGGAGTTTCGTGACGGTTGAATTGGGTTGATTGAGTTTTTTTAGCGGTTCTTTTGTTTATTTATTTAAGATAGGGACTTTGACAATAATTACAACTTTATTCGAGAGTGTAGCTTTATTATTAAAGGCATGAGGTTTTAGCAATTTGGTATGGTACTCTACTTCTTCATCTTCAGGCTAATTTATTGATAAAACTAATTACGATTGATTGCTTATCCACTCCATACAATTTTTGATAAACCTAATAGATCTGAGAGAAGATTAAACTTGAATGAGGAATAAATGTGTAAAACATTTCCAACGCTTTTCCTAACCAGATTTCAATGTTCATTTTATTTAGTTGATTATTCAGGAATCGTAATTCAGTTGAAATACTGTAGAAACCTAAGCCAGTGAGCATCATCTAAAATGTAGAATAGAATGAAGTACCAACTCTAAGATTACTTCTTCGGCTAAAACCATGTCGTGACTATTGATGGGAAACAATTCCTCTAAATCTACATATGTCAACTGCATTAATCCTAATATTTGCATTTACAACATAGGATGATTGTCTTCAATAATTGTGAATAGTTTATTTTATTAATTGTTGTTTTGAGTCTGAAAGATCTATTCTGTAGTAAATAAAGATTGACTTCTATTTTAATAATTGCGTACTAAAAGATTATTTTAACTACCATTCTCATTCTACTTTTCATCATCATAAGGCATAACACTCCTGATTGAATTTAATATTTCCTTAAAAACTATTTCCACTATCTGTGGATAACTCAATGCCTATGGTTATTACTATGGTTAGCAAACAGACTGTGATAGTGAATTTTTTTAATTTGGAGAATTGATCTCTGAATTGGCTCTTTATTTTTTATTAATATTGTTAAATAGAGTTATTTGTTAACATAATTTAATTGTTAATTAAATAATGTTCCTTAATACTTTTAAGGCATCTTTTGCTAATTCTAAGGCCTATTTATTTCTTATGTAAAAATTGGAATGAATACCTTTTGGTTTCTGAAAATAGCAAGGTGATTTAAAACAGTATTCTCAATCTAAGTAACTTATTTTATATCATCCTAGCTATTTGGAGAACGTCAAAGGTGCCTTTTTTTAAGGTTTTTCCTTTAATTTTGAGAATCTGTTCACAATCTAACAGTAAATTTAAGGATTCATCGTAGGCTGCATATCTCTTGAGTATAATAGCGTAATTGATTTTCGAGAATAGGACAGATGTGTATTAAACTTATATTCTATGTGATGAGAAGTAATTACTAATTTAAAGTATAAAATTCTAATAATTTTGTCGCTCGGTTGTGGAACTCTAAAGCTTGGAAATCTGAGATGTCCTCTTGTATAGCAATTTTAGTGAAGTCATTGATAATGAAATCTGGATTGTCAGGCTTGATTAGGATGATTTCTGAGGAATCTTCAGTCTGTTGGATTAGATTGTTTTATATACTTGAATGAAGAAGTTGGAATCATTATTGATCTGTTCTCTCCTGAAAGTAATTCTCTTTTGCCTTACTTTAAAAATAGGAGATTTCTCTTGGATCAACACAGGCTGAGATACATTTTTGTTGTGAAATGTATGTGCTTCCAATTTAATCATTTTATAATTTAATATATATATATTTTGTGTTATCTGAAAGGTTATCAGAATGCCCTCTTAACCATGATGTTGTAGAAGTCCTCTCTTGTAATTTCTCTGCCATTCGAAGCTGCACGTTCCAACATTTCGGCCAATTCTTCAGCAGTCATAGTCTCACCCAATTCTTTGGATACCTAACTAATCAATTCTCATAATACTCTTTTCAAATTATTCAAGTTGATGCTATTGCTGCCATCATCATCAAATAAATCAAATATTTTATTGATGCCATCTTTGCTCTCTCTATTGCCCAACTTCGATGTTATTGCATCTAAAAATTAATCAAAATCAATATCAGTTCTATTTTCTATCTTATACTAAATACCCTTCATTTTCTAATTCTGCAATCATGTTGAAAATTGTTGGATTCTTTTAATCAAATCCCAAACTCTACATAGCTGCCTTCAATTCTCGTGGATCTACTCTTCCAGTCCCTTCGGTATCAAAAAGATTGAATGCTTCTCTGATTTCATCAATTTCATCATCAGTTAATCCTGGTCTAGTAACACTAAATCATCATCAATACCTTTCCTGAGGTTTGCGCACATTGCCTTGCTTTTAAGGTTACTGTTTCTGAGCAACTTATTGTTAGGGTTTGGCTCTCATATCTTTTATTTAAAATATATATATAAATAAATAGTATATCAAGCAAATAACTTTCACAACATTCCCATCATAATTGAGACGAATGTTTCTCCTCCTCATCCCCAAAAGGACTATCATTCCCAGATTAATCATACCCTATCTGATCTAAATAAAGTATAATAAACATATATATATTACCATCCGAAGGCTTATCAAAGTCTATGTTTCTTCGATCCTCATCCAGATTGCTAGAACTGTTAAATCTCTGATATTGTCTGTCCTCTCCAAACTGTATTTTCACATAAGTGGAAGCCTTCTTTGTTTTCCTTGTGTCTACCTCGATACTCTCCTCATCTTCATCATCTTGTCCTTCCCAAATAGTCTCTGGAATCAAACTTTGAATTGATTTGGCTTTAGAGAATTATTACTGTGCGGCAATCTTCTTTGGTTTCTACTGTTGTTATTGAGGCAACGGTATTTTGGCCTTGTATTGTAGGGTTTTTCCTGTGGCATTCAAAAAATCCAACAACAATTCATTATTGCCAAATGAATTCACTAATCCTTTCAAAAAGGAGTCTAATTGTATTCTCCGATTATCAATATCCTATTAAGTTAAGTATTTTGTCATCTTTGGGAAGACGGGTAGATCGAGTTATGGGTATGTTAAAGTGAAATCCCTGTGAAAAGTTAGAAAATCACTAAAGGATCGAAATACTATTTTATGTTTCCCTTAATACTTGAAAGTAATTTCATAAATAATGTATTTTCGCTATGTACTCATGTCTTTGTTGTCCTAATAAGAATTGACTTCAACATCTGTAATGTGTTGTTGTTGCAATTAATCACCTGATTGACAAAATGTGAAATTGGATTCGTTGGCTATTAGTTATTACCTTATCTAGACCTCCTCTTCATTGCCAAGCATCTGTAGTTTGTATTGGTATTCTGATACTACTGTCTAGAGAAGCTTTTTGTCTTATGGTATGAAGAACACAAAGACTGATAGTAGCAAGAGCGCTATTCCTCTGAGAATGAACATGAGCCAACAACTGATGTCTTCGTGTCTTATTACAAATTTATCTTTGTTATTTATCTGCCAAGCAAATAGGACAATAGCGAATCCACAAAAACAGAAAAATTACAACTAAATAGGATATTGCACAAAATACTATGAGGTTGAGTTGAGTAGCAAATGTTGTTTATCCATACTTGTTTGCATCCTCAAATATTTGCAATCCTGCCAACAAATAATTTATTATCTAACAAAACTCTATAATTGTTATCAAAACGTAACTAATCTATTAGCAAAGTATACTCTGAATGGAATTAAACATTGATGATTATTTGCAATATTGACAAAAGTGTGAACATACTCAAGATTGCTACTTTTGTATAAATGGAACATAAATTCAGAATGAATAGTTTTCTTTTCTCCTTGAACTATTACCTGGCAGCATTGTAACCTACTCATAGATTCGTGACTCTTACCCTTATTTTACTTCTTCCACATAAGACTTGCCAAATTCTAAAGCAGAGGCAAAATTCCCAATCCTATTACAACTATATTTTCCCAAATATTATCAAAAACCTTTGCCATAATATATAATTAAATCAATAAAAAAAGTGATATATCATGTTAATATTTTTGTTATCTTTCCAAAGCCCTTCAGCATTAGCGATTGAGCATTTGTTCTCAATAATGATAATAATGAGTTTATTCAATCAAACTATTTTGCCATAAATTTTAAATTGCACTATAACTCTAAACATTAAATAAATATTTCAAATTCAAAATATAAAAATGCAACATCTCAGCTACCCTCCAGATAAAAAAATTTAGAATTATCAATTCAGCTTTAGATCAAAATTAGGAAAGGGTGCTTATGGTACAGTTTATGCTGGTAGAAACACCTTAGATAGTAAATATTCATTTCTATATATTAGATAAAATTGTTGCTCTCAAAGTGATTGACAAAAAATTGCTTCTGACAGATTATGCCAATCAATTAATTGCATCAGAAATAGAAATAATGAAGAAGATTAATGATTCTCATGTTGTTAAATTGTTGGACGTATTATAAAGCGCTAATAATACATATATCATAACTGAGTTTTGTAATTAAGGAGACCTCAGGGAATTTATCAAAAATAGAAAGTACTATATACATATATTTAGAGTTATTCCAGAAGATGAAGCACTCAAGATCTTGAATGATTTATTATTAGGAATCAAGGCTCTACTTAAAATCGGAATAATCCATCGAGATATCAAACCAGCCAACATATTAATGCACGATAACCAATTCAAAATAACTGATTTTGGTTTCGCAAAGCAAATCGATGCCAATTTGGATACCATCATGAATTCTTTGGTTGGCACTCCTTTATACATGAGTCCTCAGATCTTGAAACGAACTAAATATTCATCCAAATGCGATGTTTGGTCACTTGGTTTGATCTTGTATGAGATGCTCTATGGAGTAACTCCTTGGCATTCACAAAACCTTGTTGAATTAATGAATAAATTGGATTCTAAAGTAAAAAATTAATTTAATAAATTAGCCATTGTCATTTCCAGTACATCCATAAGTCTCAGAAAACACAAAAAAGTTAATCAAAGGTTGTCTTTAGATTAGTGAGGAAAGAAGGTGGAGTTGGGAAGACCTATTCAACTCTGTTAATATCAACCTGAATACAAGTGATAATAAATAGGAATCTCCCACTTCAACAGTGAAGGAGGATACTTAAATAGGAACTTAAAGGGAGAATCAAAATTACAATTAGTCAAAGTACTCGATACAAATGCTTCGAATAAAATAAAGAACTGAATCATTGTGTCAATAAATTAACAAACACAACAGAAGCTTCAGCAACACAGCCTTTCTTACAAACGATGTGGTTAAGAAATATGAGAATAAAACCCCGATTAATGAGAAATAAAAATAGGCAACTAGTTATTTAGATTTGAAGGATAAACTAAGATAAAATTAGGAGAAAACTGAAAGGGAAAGAAGTAGCTCATAAAATTCGAAATTTCACACATAAAGATCAGAACTAAACAACTATTTGGAGAAGATCCACAATGTTCAATAAAAGCTAAATAGTAATAATGACTCATGCAGAACCCCGAGTGCCTTATAATCTCATTCAACTAATACGTCAAATAAATAAAATTGCGACTTAGATCTAGTCAAGGTGTCTGAATTTTAATTTGAGGACAATAAGGGATCTGACAATTTTATCTTGTTTAGAAATCCAAAGACCGAAAGAGTGAAAAGAACTAATAGTCTAAGTGGGAATTTTGGTTATTAACAACACTCTCCATTTTAGGGGAAGTCCTCAATACAGTAATTGATTAAAACGATGAGTAATTAATTGGAACTCATCCCTAATCATGTAAACTGCAAAGTGGAGATCTTCACTATGGTTATTTTGCATAAGGATTTAATCAATCACACGTAAAATAAACAAATCTACACAAATTAAGATCTGAGAGATCTAAAGTTACTTATAAATAATCTAATTACTTATTTGAATTCGAATTCAGGGGAATACTCCAGTAAATAATCACAAGTGTTGTTGTTGTTATTGTTAACATACCACAAGGTGCTGATTTTCAATATTAAAAACAAATCTTTGAACATAGATGCAAATCTGATAGAATCAATAAAAAAGAATATCTAAATACAATAGAATCAGATGAATATTGAGTCTAAAGTGGTTAGAGAACAAATACATTAATTAATGTGATTTCATAATTTTTATTTTATTTTTTTTTGGTTTATAGATCAAATGATGTCATATAAATCTCTATTTAACTAAATAGTGTTTTCCGATAATAATTAATATAAATTAGACAATGAAAGCATCCTGCTTAGTTGCATTGGTTATATTAGCCTCAATATCTACAACATTGGCCACCAAAGGTATCGATTTGAGTGCCTCATTCAACAATTTCTCTTGTGTGAAAAATGCTGGCTATTCTTTTGCTATCGTCAGAGGGTACAAGAGTTTTGGTGAAGTAGACACAGTAGGTCATTAAAATCTTAAGAACGCCAAGGCTGCAGGTTTGATTGGTGATGCCTACTTTTTCCCATGCAAAGGAAGTAATACCTTAATTTATCATTAATAGAAAAGACTGCTTCCGCTTAAGTAACTGAGTTCGATAATGTATTTGGTTCAGAATACGGAACAGTTTGGATTGATGTTGAATCCAACCCAAGTACTGGATGCGGATGGAGTAGTTCTGATCACACAGGAAATTGCCAATTTTTATAGGATCTTGTGAATGCCTTTACTGCCAAGAAGAGATTAGTAGGAATCTATGCTTCTTAATATTAATGGTCAACCATTATGGGATCAGCTTCAGCTTGTGCTAAATTTACTTCTCATCCTCTTTGGTACGCTCATTACGACAACAGTGCATCCTTCAGTGATTATGCCAAATACGCTTTGGGTGGATGGACTACACCATCAATCAAATAATATGTTGGTGACACAACCTTATGTTCAGTTGGAGTCGATTTGAATTTCTATTGAATAACATATTTAATAAGATATATCTTAATATAAAATTATCCTGTTCTTCCAGAATATTTTTACTACTTTTTGCAAGAATATCCGCCACTGTTTCCACTTGTCATAAAACCAAATAGAACGTTGTAAATATGTTTTGAGCTAATAAAAATAAGTAATTATAAACTAGATAAAATAATTGTCATAATTGTGAATCTAAATTTGTTTATGCTAAGTATTTTAATGACAAATTAAATGAACACGCAGCCAATATGAAGTTTATAGGCAAGTAAATAATTGTACTATAATATGAGATATAATTTAAAATTGAACTTCCAAATAACTACTAGGCCATCATAAGATTTCTTGTCCACCAATCTTCCTAAAATCGGATATTTATGAATTTACATAATTGATTATCAACCAAATAGTATCAAAAATACATTGAATTAATATTATCAATGATATTTAGGCTAAAATCTTTGTTGTCTTTATGTAGTTGACTCTGTATGCCCAGACCAACATACCTATAGACATAGTTGATGTTAGTTATTAAAAGCAAGGTCTAGACAAAGATACAAAAATCAAAGAGAATATAGTTGTGATTGAACTTAAAATCATCACCACTCTTTACCATTCCTCTATTGTGTCTTGATGTTCTCCTTTGTTGTATATAGAAGTTAAATACTTTTGAATTATTTTGCCATTGTATACATAGTGTCCTAGTAATTAATTTTCCAATCTTATTCTTCACTTTGTTACACTGCAGGCTATTAGAACTGTTATTGAACATTGGTTATTTGAGGCATTCTCTAGATTCTGGATCTATTAAAGGTGAATGTCAGAGCATCCAATAGGTAATTAGCCTTATTAACAATCACTTATTGTTCCTCAATTTCTTTCCTGAATTGATTCACACTTGTTATATGATCCTCCAACAAGGCCACTTTGCTATGAACCCATAAAATTGTTAAATTCAATTTTAGTTTTGAATTTATTAATACACCATATTCATTCTCCAAGATGTAATCCTACGTATGCTGTTATTAATCTTTGTACTGATACAGGGGTAATTACAACTGTCCAATCAAATGTTACTCTGTGTCGAACAATCCAACAAAGATCTAACCATGAGGCGATGGAACATGACTATTCTACTTAGTTGAATAATAATTACATTTAGAATTCCTCATTCCAAATTGGATGTATGGTCATGTCGGATATTTTAGTTTGTTGCTAAACAGTGAATAGTGTTATCAAAATCTAGTACTTCGCCATTTTCAAGCATTCACCATGTGAAACTGTAATAAATAAAGTGCTATCATTATCTATCTCATATTCATTCTGTCTTTCATCTTTCCTTGCTTATTATAATTCATCCTATAATTTTTTGTACTCGCTCCTATACACTAGAATTTAATTGTTAGACTCCTGTTTAATTTAAAGCTAATTCTAATACTCCTTAAAGGTCATCTCGACAAGATCGTTAACTGTAAAATAATACCCTTAAGCATGAGTTGGATGATTTGATCTAATTTTTTCTATTAACTCATTTGGAAACTCTCTTCCAATCTTAAAACCTAATCTCACTAAATACCAATTGGTTAATGTATTGAAACACATCCGGAAGGGAGTACTCTTGATCGCCTTCAAACTTTCCTTATTTGAAAATTTGATAAATAACATCTGTTTATAATTAATTCATAATATATATATTGCAATTATTATCTAATGAATTAACAAAAAACTTTCTCATTTACATCTATTTCAGATTTCAAGACTCTCGTGACTAACCAAAATTCACCACTCAAAATTTCTGTCCTTTGAATGATATGCAACATTCATAAGAATTCTACAGTCTATATGTAAGGCATTATCCTTTATTTGCAGAATCTATTAATAATTAGGATTTGCTCTTGCTATAAAATTCTAAAATTAAGTTATTCTCACTGATCTTAATTATAATTCCTGAATAAAAATTGACAATTTTATTTTTTTCTAAATATTAACCTAAATTGAGAAGTAATAGTGGAAATTTCTAACTCATGATAGTCTGTTCTCTATCACCCATTTATCCACTCCAACTATTACATTTGAAATGAAGTGTTATATCTTAACTCAAAATCTTTAACTCTAATAATTCTAATATAGTCTCATTCCATAAAAGGATCTTACTAATAAATAACAATAAATACCAGGATTATAAATACAGATTTTATAATAATCATTCTAATTCAATAAAATACATATAACTATTTATGAAGATAATCTAAATATTAAACAACAAAAGGTAGTAGTTCTCTTTGGATTGCGAAGTTATCAAAACCAAATGATTTGGTTAGTAGAAAAGCTTTTCATAAATTTCCAGTTGATATCAAAGGGAATTTACAATTTCGATTTTTGGAGGATACCAAATAATATTATCTACTTTACTAATACTCATATGATTAAGGGAAAGAGGAACTGAATGGTTTGGCGAAGGTTGTATGCCCTAGTTTATGATCATTTAATTTCATATATGAAGTATATATAGTAAAGGATGAAATTATATAACATATTATATTATAAATTACTTCCAAATCTTTTTATATCATAAAATCAAAGAAATTAATTTAAACTTATTTTGAATCTAGATTTAAATGCAGGATGAGGTTAAGTTAGAAATTCACATACAATGAGAAGGACAATTTTGAATTGATTAAAATTATCAAAAATTAAATAATCTAATTTTAAATTAAAAAATACCACCCCGAAGACTTGAACTCGGAACTTCAACTTAAAAGGTTGACGCTTTACCTCTAAGCTAGATGATATATCTATAAAATTGGTAATAGCATTGCTTATCTGATTTTTAAATAACATAATTATATTTAAGACCTTTATTAAAGTTAAATGGATATATATGGCATGCATTCTTTTATTTTACTTCAGTTTGAATCAAAAGAAGGAATAATCACTTTATAATTGTTAGTTTTTAAATTTTATATATCGAATTTCATTTTATTTTCAGTCAATATATAATCGATGGTTGAAACATTAACTTGATATAGTAGAATATATCACAGAGGAATAAAAATTCTTAATAGTTTACTTGGTCAAACAGTTATAAATTAAGATCAAATCATTTAAAAATACAAAAGAATTTATATAAAAAATCAAAAAAATGATAACAATAGAAGAAAAAAGTATTTATTTATACACTTGAATTTTTCGAAGAATATCTTTTATCTTATTTGCTAATATATAAATCTATAACACTAATTCAAAATTTTATTAATTTTATAAAACAGGTTTCAATAAACTCAGATTAAAAGATGTATAAAATAACTAATAGAAACTTATAATTTGAATTTTCATACTTTTATGATAAAATTGTTGATTTACGCAATATTTAATAATTATAAATCATTTAATATTCCTAATATAATTTAGAAATACCTTATCCCTTTTACTTACCTATCTAAACTTCTTCTCTTCAGTTACACTACTTTAACTACTTAAAAAGGAATCCCTTAATGAATTGGAACTAGATAAGGAAAATACCATTCCCTTATTTGCTTGCAATTCCTCAGGAATAGAGACATTTAGATTAGCTTCTTATCCAACTGATTGTATTCTTTTTGATTTTTTAAATTTGATGGTTCTCTTTTTACTGGAAGTGCTTGAAAAGCTCACATTGCTCAAATTAACTAGACTATTTCTTAAGGAATTAACATCTGGTTCTTTATCTAATTCATCAACCATCAAGATTCTTTTGTTATCACTAGTTAATATTTTAGTATCTTCTTTGTTGGTCTTGAGAATTTTGAATTCCTCACTCTAAACTTAGTCCAACTGTTTAAGTCTTAATGAAGACTCCATGGACTTCTTCCTTGTCAACGATAAATTATCAGTCTACTTGTTGTTTCCCATGTTGGCTTGTCCAAATGTGACAGATTTGGACATATTGGAGTATTTTTTAATGACATCCTATACTTTTGTATTAGGACTAGCCAACTTATCATTCTGTTGTGATTCTTTCTTACTGTCACTTGAGAATTTCACTCTATCGATAGGTCTAACAAAATCTTGTAAACTAATGGACATCATTTCTGTCTTTTTCTCGTTTTGGTTTTTTTCAGGAGTGGTGTCATTGTAATCAGAGGGATTGGTTTATTCTTATGAAACCTGTTATTCTGAGTGTTAGACTTTAGTTGGCGAAGTAGGTTGCAAATAAACGCCTTCAACAAATTTGTAATCAGTTCCTTTGGCCTGTTCTTGATTGTATGGGACGATGATCGAAGGTGGGTTTGCAGGTACTTCAGCAAATTCATCTTGTTTAGCTTCAGGAGAATTCTTGATATTGAATTTTTCTGGTGATTTTTTAGTTTCATATTGATATTCATCTGATTAAGTATTCTATGCTTTTTCTTCATGTTTTTCAGGACTTTCAAATTCAGGTGGTTCATCCCCAGAGATGCTTGCTATATTTGATTGGTTATTTTTCACTTTATTAAACAGACATTGAGCATTGGTATTATTTAATTGTTAGTCATTGGCATTGTGTATAACTGGTTCTGATGACACAGGGATGTTGGTAGCACTGCCTGGTTGAGATGCTCCTAGTTGAACGGAATTTTTTTGAAATGTGATATTGAATATGGGACTGGCTCTTCTCCATTAGTCATTTAGTAGTATATCTTCTTCGATCTTTTTTAATTGCTAAAAGTATTTGGCAAGGGAGCCATCAATAAGTAATTTCTCATTCAATTCCTTTTAAAACCATGTGAGATGATTGGCTAGCAAATAGATATAGCCAGGTATAGTGTTTTTGGATGTTATGTTTTCTGAAACCAGTGAGTAAATGTTGATATCTTCTATAAGTATGGTGCACCAATAGGGATGAAAATCACTAATGGCTCTATTGAGAATGTATAGCAGTAGTTTCTCAAAGATTGAGTGAAAGATATCAGAATTTTTATATTTAAAGTAGATTTAGACAATTTGATTGAATAACTTTAATTAATTCATTTGTTTCCACAGTTTAATATTTGAAATTCTTGTTAAATTATCAAAGATTTCTAGTAATTTAAGTCGTAGAGTTCTGAGTCGTTTATTATCATTTTCTAAGATTTGATTGAATGATTCTACAAGTAGGTTCATTTCTTGAATAAAGGTGTTCATAAAGTCTGTTTATTCGAATTCAAGAGTTAATTGATGATGATAAGCAATTTCAGGATTCTCGTCTATAATTTTTTTGGTGGGAGTTTCCTCATAGATGTTAATGTTCTGCATGGTGTAGGAGTAGTAATTAGAAATGAGGGATAGGATATGAGCTGAACTTTTAGCAAGGAATAGTTTGTCATGATTTGCTCGCAGACATTTAAACATTTGCAGAATGATTTATTTGCTGACAATGAATTGAACGAGTTTGTGACAGAAATCACTTGAAAAGTATCTGGTCATGATCTCATGGATCAAGTAGGTGAAGTTAAGGACACTCATCTCTTCCATTACATCAAAGCCACGAAAACCCAATTCAAGGACTTCCAATTTGGCATCCTCGTAATCACCATTCTCAGGGTTGAATAACTGAATGAGTATACTGTTGACTGTGGCTGATTCAAGGTGATTCAGAAACAATTTGAGTGAATCAGATTTAAATATGTTTTGGCATACCTATTTAGGTTCTTTGGATAGCATAAGAGCGAACAATCTTTAGATGTTTGACCATTGTGGTTCGTGGATTTGATCTGGAGTTTTCTTTAATCCTGCAAAGAGAGTTTGAATGGCAGTCTAAGAAGTATAAGAATTAATACTATACTTCCTAGAGAATCATTTAAGTTAAGGGTGGAAGATCAAGTTCAAAAAACTCAATTGATAGAATTGGGAATATGACAACGTGGTCATGATTTGTTTCTGTAACTTGGTCAATTTATTGCACTATTAAATGCTAGGAGCTATTCTGCTAATGCTTTTCTGATGCAATCTAATGAAGTCTATCACTTTTGTATTCAGGTTTTTTGCTTGTATAAAGAATTCATCCTCAGCCAAAAGTGGTATGATATTTGTTGGATTCGCATGGTATTCATCCATCATGGTTTCCATGGGATGCTTAATAGATGGATTTGTCATTCCATTCAACCACAATAACATTTGATAAAATAAATATTAATCATAATTATTCCACTTTGCAAGTGTCAACTATCCTGAATCTAAATAAGAAGATCAAAAACTCTCTCCCAATTTATCCAAATCTATTATGAACACCGAAAAATATTGCAGCCATGCCAATTTCATTATTGCTAGTAAACTCACCCATCTCTAAATCAATTGCATTTTAATGTTGTCCAATTTTATACTAACTCTCAATTGCTTCTCAGAATTCCCTCCAATCTTTCTACTGATAAACCGAGGTCGAATTGAGTATGTTCTAGTATAAATCTATGAAAGCATTTCACTCATCCATTGATTACTAAGATTGTCATCAACTATGATTTCTGAATAATATTCAATATCAAAATTGCTATTATAGTAATTTCAATTGAATACCTTGATGGCAACGGTTCTTATTGATAAATATTGAACTTCACCCGCTATTTACAATTATGATAATCCTTATCAATTTAGGTCGTCCCCATTGTCTACGAGTACAAATAGCAATCAAATTTGAACATGTAAACTTGCAAAGTAACATCTGAGAGGCAATAAGATTGTAACCTATTTGATTTTATCTGCATCTGTGAATAATTAGAAATCAAAATTAAGCTATTCAGGAACATTGTCCGCATTTGTGTCATCCATCAAAGCCTATTCAATTATTATTCATAATTTACTGATATTTTTGATCCTTGCAAAGTCAAGTATTAATATGATAACAATTATTCTGAACTGTCGATCTTCTGATATTTTTGATTTGTGAAATGGTACACTAAATCATCTGATGTGATGACGTTTACAAAATGAAATCCCTCATATTCAATGTCTAATTATTCCTCGAATGTGGATACCATGATCCAGAAGTCTTATTAGTCAGTTGAATACTTTCAGAAGCAAAAACTAGTACAAATGGGATCACAATGATACCAAAGTATACTAAAATGCAAGTGCATGTGGGAATCGATATCAATTTGCTGGTGTATGTAATTTCAAATTTTTCTCTTGATAAAGTAAACATATATTAATCATTATTATTCATATATAAACTAATCCAATTAGATGAAATCGTTCTCTATCAAGTCTTCAATGTCTTCATTGACAGTGTAAATCCTAATGCTATTCAACTGCACCAAATAGTTACACAATTACAAAGAGATGTCCTCCAATTATTGTTGTCCATCCACTTTGATTTACTTAATTATTATTTCTCTCTTCTAAGGATCAGTCACATTGGTCTACTCCACCTTACTGTAATCAACTGAATATTGCTAAAATAAGAAGTTCGAACAATAAGGTTAATACAAAAACGGAGTGATTGGCACTCCTATCCCCTGATTCTCCTGGATCTTAATTCCAAAGTAATCGTAAATGAAAATCCATTAATGCAGGAAGAACTCATCCTATTGCATGAAAGAGATCATTTCCACCAATTTAAGGGCTGCCAATACCAAATTTTGGTTTGATTGCTTATTTTTGAAAATACTAATCAATAAGGTTAGAAGTGTTGGCCACATATTCCTAAATAGTTCATTCAACTAAATTGGTGACAATCTCAAAATCAGAATTCTAACACAAAATAGAATGAGCATAACGAGTCCAGGATTGGCTGAATCCGATTTTATGACTTCAGAAATCTTTTCAATCAACAAATCTAATTTCTTAGTGTATCGATCTCTCTCTCCACTGAAGATCAGAAAACAGATCCTTTCGAAAGTCTTAATCCTCCTTTTGTTCTCCTCACTTTCTCTGCTGAAGAAAAACGAAGATTGTTGAGCCACCTACTCCAAATACTAAGTGAATAAGTCACTTCTGCCATACTACACAACCCAATTGATAATCTTGGTCCAATACTTTAATGTATGTTTGGATTAAATGAAGAAGTCCTCCTTGTTGAAAATGCTTAGTATCGATTCCTTGTACACCTTCAATAGCACTTGTCTTGCTTTATCTAACTAGAAATACAGCATTTCTGAAATGATCTAAACATAAATCTAATTGTATTGACTTCTGTTCTCTAAAAGAGGATACAAGATGTCCATCATTTCTTTGCATCTCAAAACAACTCGTTCCGTCTTTTCTACAGCATAAGAGTTCTAAAGCAATTCCAAAGCCACGTTTTTAAGTGTCTTTATGCACATCAACCTGTATTTTGTCTAAATGAAATCCTCAACTACGCTGTTAAGTTGACTAAATATCAGCTTATCGATGTCAGTCACTTCATATTGCAGTTCTTTGTTCAGAGACTTTATGACATTCAAGTATATGTCATACAGAGTTGGAGTCAAAGGAATCACTACTTTAAATTTGATAGAGTATTATTGATACAAATCATCTCCTTCAGGTTTCACTCCTGGATCATTCCAAAAGATATTTAATTTTCCTCCAAATTAAGCGACATATTTCAATTTATCATTTATGAATTCGTGATGTTGATTTCTAAATCTTTGATCTCCAATAATTTCCTTTGGCGAATATTTGCGAGTCAATAACAATTGCAATTCCAATAGCCACATATTTGTACTTGGAGATTTTGATAAAGCCAATATCTAGAGAATTTTCATTATCTGCATCCAAAAAGGAAGCAGATTTTCCTTCTTTAATTACTGCGAGTCTATTTAAGCAAAAGTGAAATAACAATATAAAAAGTATAGGATGTTTGTTTCTTATTATGCAATCTAAAAATTCAACATAGTTGTTGTTAATTTCTTCCTTCTATAGATATCATAATATTTTTGCAACTCTTACAATTGTTAAGATTCCAATAAGCTATCTAAAAGTAGTTCAATTGGACATTGCATCATTATCATTATTTCAATAGTCTTCAATAGGAATGTGTTCTAATGCAGAGAAAATGGATCTATCAAGATTTGTTCATTTTCAAAGAATAATCTCTGTAATAGATTGATTTAATTACTCCAAACGGATAGCAATGCTGTCATGAAATATTTGGAATAACTCATGAATAAGGGTTTCATCATTTATAAGATCTATGGTTTGACAATGTTAGTATCCTTTGTGTGTTATTCTTATAGAATTTTATTGAATGAGTTGAACTTTTCAAATGAATAAGATTCTATTCCCATAGCAGTCAGAGTGTCAGAATACTTTATGAAATCTTATCCTAATGACCAGCAATTGATATACAATTCCAAAATGGAGGGTAATGTTGACATAATCACTTCACAAGTGTTTTGGAACTTCTAGAATACCAACTTGGTTGTTTTATTTTGATCTTAAACATTAAGTAGTCCAAAGGTAATCACAGATTTTACTGTATTGAATACAGTGCTATCATCTTTCAGCTTCTCATAAATCATGTCATCTCTTTCTTGCAATCCAAGAATGTGTTTTAAAATGGTCTTGACTCCAATTAAGGATGGATTATATTTCATGTTGAGATGATCCTTAAGGAAAATCAAATTAATTCATTTTCTGATCTGATTTCTATTATTCATACTATCTATTTGCAATATCTTTAATCATTTTAAAATAAGCAGTCAAGATTTATTAGACACAATCAGTCAGTGTTTATTATCTCAAATGTTCAGCCAACAAGGGGATACAAGTACTAATGAAATGAATGTATTAGGCTCTGACATAAAGTACATGAGTGTGCATACCTCTCAGAAGAGTAGGAATGAAAATGCTATTACTGACAGATCTACTCATTGTGTCTTCGATTAATTCCCTTTGTTCTGGTTGGAATTTAGTTCTAAAGGAGGAATTGAAGAAAATGACTTTGAACAAATTCAGAATTTGCACTTGCATCACCAGATCTTCATTTTCGATTGCATGATACAATACAATCTACAGTGGTTGCATGATGTACTCAGCGAATTTCAAGGAGACAATAGGATTTTCAACATTGACAATCAATAATTCGATGTATTCACATGCAGATGCATTTACAGCAGCATTTTCCTTGTAGAATTTTAGAGACATACTCTCAATGGCTTATCCTTACACATATTTCAGACAAATGATAACCAATAAATCTAAGTACATCATGGTGTCCTTTTACATGATCACACTACTTTCATTAGTGAAATGCATACGGATATCCTTGATGTATGTTGAGATCTCTGTCTCTTAGACATATTCCATGAATCTAGCACTGAATGAGATGAGAATTGATTTTAGTTTTTTGATGGTTTCATTGATTCTTTTGGTTTCATAAACTTTGGCAAAGAATATCTATTGGTTGTCAGTCAAATACCAAGATGAACTACTTTAAATTAGAACTTCGAATAGAGGATCCAAGATTCTTTCTAACATTCCTGTTGATTCTAATAACCAATTTTTGGCATTATGTCTGATGATCGGATTTTCATGATCCAAAAAGTCAAGCATTAAGAAGAGTCCCACTTTATTTAAATCCTATAATTCTTTATAATGAGTGGCACTCAATTTCCAAAATAGAGCAAATCTCCTGATGGCTGCCTCTTGCATATTTTTGAATTGATGAATTACAACTTCAGTGAAAAATGTTGGGAATACTTTAGATAGATTGACAATCATTTCTATGATTCTTTCATGGAAAAAAGGATAATCAAGGAGATTCCATAGCTTCTCTAAAGTCAACTTTGTATAGTCTTATCCTTCTATTATCTAATTCTTCTACATTTTAGTCCTGCTTTCTTCTATGATTAACTTTTTCAGATTCTCATAAATGATATCCACCTTCTCTGATATGAGAATCTCAATCATGCTCTGAATAGCCAATAGAGAGATTGAGGGATTCTCCTCTTTGATGATTTTAGTTATGGATGTAAACCATTAGGGAAGTTATGGGACTTCCTTATTCTATTTAAATCTTTGTCCCTTGATTAAGGATTTACTGATGGATTCAAATTCAACTCTTAATTACTCATCTCCTTCAAGAATCACATCAGCCAATTTTTAATATAACATCCCAAATTCTTCTATGCTTTCATCATAATCAGCCATCTAGGGAGGTCTCACCAATTGATTATCTATTTATTAGGGCAATTGTTCCATTCTGACCAATAGTTTGTTTAAGGTGGAACCAGGTGATTGTTTCCTTAACTCTTCTGGAGAAAAGTTGGATAGACAAGTCATTAAATTAGCTGCAGCAATCCTTAATAATGTGAATTCAACTGATTTTTCGAAATTATCTTCTTTAGTGATTAGAGTAGTAAATAAGAAATTGATATATTTGTTAAACTATTCGCTAACCTCATGAACAACAATCAACAAAAATGATGTAATTGATTCCAACAATCTTTTGCAAGACTTAATAATCTCTGGGTATTTTTTATGATTAATCTCAACATACTTAATCAAATTAAATGAGACATCTCCAATCAGCAACTCAACCATATGATCATGTTCCATGAAGAAATTCTATAACAACTTTATAGGAAAAACTGCATTCTAATCATTAGCCTCTTACTGTAAAAACTTATTAAATGAATTCACAACATATTGAAGGATATCCTTATTTTGTTCCGTTATTTAGTACTTATTATCCATGTCTGGCTTACCGAATAACCATTGATTGACTCTTCTGGTCACAGACAAATCTTTTCTTATTAGCAATTTCAATGAGGCTTCAACCAAAATCTCTTTATTATCTTAAATGATATTGGATTTCAAATGCGTGTACATCATGTCAAGTGCTTATCTCTTAATCAATTAACTATGTAGAATGGGATGTCATACTTTTCATCTTCCAAACAAGATATGAGAGCAGAGACATAAAGTGGAGGGAAATTGTTCTCATGAGATTCCTCATCGATGCCATCCTCAATCTTCATCAGAGCCTACTTTCGCTTCAATTCCATGCTCTATTCTACTACAATAGTTCTCTTCCTAATCTCATTCTAAGCTTTATTATCCATAGCCTACTCAATAGAATCGTCCTTAATATCATCTATATCCTGATTATTTTGAGTCACTTTCTATTGCTATTACTATTATTCTAATGCCATCGATTACGATTTCTATTACTCCTCCTCATCATATTCGTCACTCATGTAATCTGATTGTTCATCCTCCTATTCCTGTTACATTTTTGGTATCTTCTGAGACAAATACTTCAAAGATGAACTATAATGATTCCAACATGTGTTACCTTCTGCATTTAGGACTCCTTAACATTGACATCCACACTGATCCAATAAGGAACTTTCTGCCAGCTGAATGACTCAATTCATCCAGGACTGTCATGCATTTCTTCTGATTTGCTTCCTATTGATCATCCAAACCTGGCAATATGCTGGCCACCAGTCCTGGCAACATTGGGATCAACTCTCTCCCCAAAGGAACGTAATGTTAGATGATTAGATCCAAGAATTAAGGTCTCACTTTCGAAGACGCATTCGAAAAAAAGGGAAGCAATCCTATTGAATATAGAGCAAGATCTTCCAAATACAATTTCACTACTCCTGATGGATCTCCTTCAACACTGAAGTTTGCCATATTTTTGAATAATTGATCATAGATCTTTAACACTGACATGTGAATTGGTGCCGATAGCTAACTAATCTACTAAATTCATACATGTGGATTAAGACATTAAGCCAATCTCTTGCTTAATTGAATCTTTTCGATTATGTATGGAGACGGGTGTTGTTTCAATAATCCTTCAATTTTCATCAACAACGGAGCGATATCAGCCCATTCCTGGTTCTTCTCGAACTTATTTAGATAATATTGCAGATTAGTATTCAAAGATGATGTGTGCTAAACCAATTTTGATTTATCCATTAACTATTTAAATATATTATATAAGTATAAATATTAGACATATAGATTTCTTATTATGAAATCTATTTACAAATTCATATCATTTAAATTCTAAGATACTCTCATTCTGTTTATATCACATTCTCTACTAGTTGATTTTTCAGGGGTGGCGAGAAATCTTCATTTTACATATATGAGTCTTGTTTACTATACATTGGGAATCTCATTTTATATTGATTTGTCCTATTAATCCAAAATAGGTTTAAACAAATAGCTAAGCACCGTCAAGCATCCTGCAATTAGTTAATATATCAAGAATAGCGAAATCTAACCTCCTTTAGATTTCTTAAAGTGATGATTTTTAAACACTATATGAGTGAGTTAGATATCAAAAAATCATAAAAGATTTATGAAGTATATTGGATATATAATGGCAAAATGTGATAGCATGTAGTTCTTCCTTAATAATCCATTTCAATATTCAGTAACTTTGCTACATAATTATTGGTAAACCATAAATGTATCAGTAAAAAAAAAGATGAGTGTATATTAATATTTGAGTAATATGATATAGTTAACAAATATAATTATGATGTTATTTAAAGAATGTATTTAAATTTGATCTAATTTTTATTAGCAATCAGAAAAATCTGTTGAAATTTGATTTATATAAAAAAGGACAATAAATCTAAAAGGATATCACTCTTAAATAATAATTAATAAGCTACTAAGGAATGCAAACAAAAAAAGTTAGCATAACTTTATATTAAAAGGAAAAAGTAATAAAGTATAAGTCAAAAATAAATAGCTAGGTATAAAACCTTAAAAAATGATAATATATCAAAAATTTAATAGGAAAATCTTTTAAAATACAAAGAGAAATTATAGATAAGTTTCTCAGGCTTTTTAAATAATGGTTAGATGACTTACATAAATAATGATCAATTGGATTTTTCATTATAATAAGATTATTGATTTAATTATTCAATTGAATGTATAAATGAATTTTGTATGGTATTTTCAATTTATGATCAATCCAATTAATAAAATAGTTAAATAATTGATGTTTTTATGCTTCATAGTAAAAATAGATTTAATCAAAATAATTTTTGGGCTTAGATTTCCAATAAAGGCTTCAAATCTGGTTATGGTTTCCTGAGTAATTGACTGAAGGAGGAATTGTGTAGGGATTTCACAAATATCTATGAGACTTTACTTTTATTTGGGACTCCTCTAATCTATAATGTAAGATCAATGTCGTTACTGATTAACTTTAAAGACAGGTCTGTAATTCGTCTTACCAATCCTTTCTTGATTGTCTAAATTATTAGCTGGTTTTGCTCAAATAGAGTGCATTGGTGCTATTTAATTCTGGAAAGAGAGTCTTGTGTTTATAGGGTCGATAGAATCTTCTTTGACTAGTCCTTGAGCCAAGCTTGCTAGTCTAAGGAATTTCGAATTTGTCTTGCTTTGGTGGTAGGTGATATGGATTTTTTAGGTATTCAAGAACATTGAACTTTCTCTTATTTTATGAATTCATTTAATAAATATTATGAAACTTCAATTCTTAAAATATTATTATCTATCCAAAAACTCTTGCTTAACATCCTCAACATCCTATTAATAATGGAATACTAGATATTAAATGAATAGCATTACTATGTGATTGAATAACACCTTCATGTGATTCTGGGAAGACTACTAGTTCTACTTATCCATTATTTAATTTAACATCTGGTTATAGCTCAATCTTTCTTGGTTATTTGTGAGCCCTAACAACAATATATGAAAATTGATTACAAAACGATTTCTCTGAGTTAAAGGAACTTTTGATCGACTTGAGTGAATTTATTGAAGAATTTCATGCCATTCTCTCCATCAGCTACTGACTTATAGACTTATAAGCCTTTTAAGAGGTCAGCAATAGCTTCTTTGCCAACAGTCCAGATTTTACTGTAATCCACTTAAACAGTAAAGTAAGGTTTATTGTTAAATTCTGAATGGACAAATTGAACGAAAGATGGGTCCTTCTATATGATTGATTACAGAATCACATAGGAAGCCAAGATGTGTGGTTATCCCCATTTTGATTATTCAGCTGAATAATATTGAAGTCCTTTCAATGCTCCCATGATGATGTCTAACCAAGCAGCCTTGACAATTTCATCTCTTTCTTCTTTTGTTTTTCCAGGCACTAGAATTTACACTACATCATCATAGGTACTAAGATACAAGGCTACACTATCAGCTCTGCATTCTTCATAGGCACCTGACAATTCTCCAAATTTAGCATGCCAATGTTCATTTGGTTTGTAAAATGTTGTCACTTTTTCATTGGTGAATGGATTGGTAACATTCTCAAAATTCAATTTTCCATCTTTGTCTTCCATAAAGATCTTGCCACTTCCATGTCCAATCAACTCATGTAATGCAACGACGACAAACAAGGATTCTTTGTAATAGTTAATGAACAAGTCGATGTCTGTTCCCTATAAGAATCTAACTGAATCTCTATTTGGTTTTCCATAGACATTTCCTAAGTTAACATTCTTGAATCCTAAATTCTATCTAATGTCATCATAATTAGGTATGTTGATTCCAACTGGTGTGCCAGAACAAGCAAATGCCAATATTTCTAATGAAGTAAAGTCAGGTCTGCTGAACTTTTCAATTTCAAACTCCTTTGGCCAAGGCAAATCCTTGATTATATCTTCTGCCTTTTCAACTAAATTTCCAAGCAACTTGGATTCCTCCTAATTCACAATGGATACAAATCCTTCATATTCTGCTCTCACCTTCATTGGGTCTAAGTAGGTTTCAATAAAACCAATATTTGTCTCAATAATTGGTCCCTTGTCTTGAATCCAATGTTTCTAACTCTCCTTATGTTACTCAATGTCTCCACTCTAGAAATGTTTAATGTATTCCTCCAACATCTTAACTTAAGTCTCATTGGCAGCATACTTCTGTGCCTCTCTTAAATTAGTGGCCACTCCATTCAAGAAAGATTTAAAGTCACCATAGATAGCGAATACTTTCTTTCCTTTCACTTCACCCAATTCAACGACATCTGATCTCTCTGATGAAGCTACCAATAATTCCACTCTGTCCTCCTTCAAAATCACTCTAGTATTCAATTCACTTAAGTTTTGTTTATGCAAGAATTAATCCAATTCCTCTATAAATTCCTTACTCAAGTTTGGAGAGTAATAAGAATTAGATCCTCCCTTCTCAAGTAAATCCAATAATCCATATGGTTTCTCATATGAATAAATATATTTTTCTATTAAATTCCATATTTTTGTAAACTCATCCTATTGTTCTTAATATGCCTTTGATAATTGTAAGAATTATTGGAATTTTTCTACAGGTAATTCAGGAACGAACTTTGAGTCTCCAAAGCTTAGGTAATTTCCACAATTTTAGAAAAATGCAGAGATATAGGTATATAATTATTGAACCTAGTTTTCAGTGAATTCATTGGCCAACAACTTATCCCTAACTTCTGTTGTCTTTATAATATAAATTTATTCATACTGATTCCTTCTAAAATATCTTTTACAACAAATAAAATAATCCTGGCGCCTCATATGATCTTTAAAAGTAACAAATCTTTGCACCTGCCCAACAAGCTCTTGTGAAATAGTAGGCATAATGCTTGCTTTTCTCATCTAGTAAATTGAACGCTGGACATTCAATTGCAGATACCTTAGCCTCTAAAGATATTATTGGTGCTTTTTATTAATCCATAATTATTTTAATTATTATTCAATATACCAGTTTATCTATATCATTGCTTAATTAATTAACTTTCAATATAACTAAATTACTTACTCACAGGAGTTAAACACTTCTTCAAGTTATTTTATTATAGGTCAAACTTAAATTGAAGTGATATTTGTAAAAAGAAAGAATTTAAATTCTATCATTTGAAACTGAGATACTAATTCATAAATGCTCTTGATTAATTTTTATTTTATTACTACTTATTTAAGTATTTCTCAAAGTTTCAAATGTAAAATTACATCTTTTATTGATATAATGATGATATTATTATACACAATTTATGGTCTAGTTAGAAGGATGAACCTCTTATAAGGTATATTTTAATTTATAAACGGGATTTAATTTTTAATCATCTAATTATCCAAAATTTATGTAATTTATAATTTTTTATTGAGTAATATTTAACCTACTAAGAATAAAAGTAATTCATACATAAATATTGATATCACTCACATTTAACATAAGGAGTGCATGTAATCAAGTACTTTGTAGTATATATATTGAAAATTACATAAGATACATATCACTTGACATAAATTTTAATGATTTCAATAATGATGAACCAAAATATTAAAACAATCTGTTAATTGTAATATTAATTTTATTAAATTTTAAATCATGTCTTAAGTTTAGCAATTTTGTCAAGAGCTTTCGAATGTAGATTTGAAAGATCCTAAAGCTAAGGAATTATTAATGGACAAAATAAAACAGTATGATGAAAAGTAATGATATTAAAAATAATTGAAATTAGTTTCGCTTAAACAAATTTTTATCCAACTCCCTCGCAATTATCACAAAATTACAAGCGAGATACTTCAAAGATCTAACTTCCTTCAAATGGGTCTGAATTGGAAAAGCAAATAAAAACATAATTTATTGCAGATGGATCCATCTTTGGGGAATATCAATCTATTTTAAGACAGGCTCGTGTTCCTGCTTATGTGACCCCTCCTCCTCCTCCTCCAAAACCAGAAGAATAAGCAGCATAGATCTTTTTAAGATTGCCATATAATTATCTAGATTAAAATGCTAATACAAAACACGAATCCAATATCATTTAGAAACCTTAAAACCAGCCACTCAGTTAAATGTCTTACTTATTATCAACCATTCAAAATTAAAATTAACAAAATCAATTGCAGTAACAATAAATTTAGAATCCAGCAGCAATATAGGCAAGTGTTCTAAATAATCAATAATAAATGGACTTGTAAATGTAAATGAATCAAACCCCTCATGGTTTGGATAACGATTTTATCACCAACATCAAAAAAACAGTGAATGTATTGGGAGGAATAGAGGATACCGTTTAAAGTATATATATAAATGACCCTATAAAGTCATGAAATAGTCATTATAGGATTACGAATTGCAGCATTCGATTGAGAAAAAGATTGAAAAGCAGCCAATCTTCAAAAATTCAACTTTGATGAATACGTAAAAGCCAAATCAACAGTAAATTACATAATAGCAGTACCATCCCTTTGAAAGATATATGGCAACAGAACCTTTATTGGTAGTGTAAAAGTCACAAAAATTAAGGGAATAAAAACTATAGTAAAATATCCATAAATGAATATATATATGACAGTTTTGTTTGATTATTGTAAGTTTTCTTTTGAGCATCAACAATGGATTAAATAATTATATATATATTACAAATTTTAATATAAAAATGGGATCAATCAACTTAAATCGCTGTTGTTCAAACAAGAATAGTTTGATTAAAATTTATTATTAAATATCTTTAAAATTACACAAAAATAAGTCAATACAAAAAACTATAGACTCCCAAATACTCTCTATAAGGCTTAAGCAACATACTATACTCTTAATTCTCCACTAATATTTTATTGATAGAATAGAAATGATCAAAATCAACGCAATAAATTTTCCTGTTTTACATAGTCTTCAAAAGGAACTTAAATATATAATGTTTTAAATCATCTGACGATTTTTCATCTTTTGTTGTTAACAATCTTGCCTTCATTAAAAATTATAAGTCATTGATTTTTAAGTAATCCACTTATGGATCAAATTTTGATAGATCTGTTTCTTTATCAAGTAATTTTTAAAGCAAGGACAATTAAAACTTATTTGATAATGTGTTGTTTTAGGAGAATAGTTATTATAATATATTGATGATCTCATTCAATTCAGTCTTGCTGTAAGATGGATTATTGAACAAAGTATTTTGAATGATAGTCAACATGTTTTTCATTTATTACGATGTTAATTAATAGCTTTATCCTTTCAAACCTTCTTTAATAATTGATAAATCCTATAAAGGATGAATAAGAAAGAAATTAGTATTCTCCAATATTTTGGCTTGTGTTAAGGTTTCCTTAACTTTTGATGAAATGTTGTTTTAGAGGTCTAAGAATAATGGATCATTCTTCAATAGAGTGGATTATTTTTCAATGATTTAGAGACAATGGTAAAGGATATCCACTTCCTTCTGATACTTCTATTAGTTTTTATGGATTATTTTGAGCATTTCATACAGAGTCCTTTCTGAGATGTATAAATTGAATTTCTCATAAAATGTGAGAACAGCATGTATTTGTTTGATGTTCAAATATAACACATTTTTGTACCAAACTGATTCCATGTTTCGTAAGGGCTACATGTAATCCTTTTCTTCCATTATTATATATGATAACCAAATCATGTGACTGTTTATCTAATTCTCACTAAATTGAGTAGCTATGACACGTTCATATGATTGCTTATCAATAAATTGATTGACGTGCGATCTCTATACATAAGTCATAAGATTTCTGTAATCTGTAATCATTTCATATTTACAAAAGTTTAATCGATCTCTAAGACTATTAAATAATTCAAGTGAGTTTTTTCTTAATCCCATTTTAATCAAGGTCGCTGGGTCAATGCTTGCAAAATCCTAGATTTGAGTGCCATTTTGAATGGCTGTAGAAAATAACACTTTTCTTAAATGTTTTGTATTTTAGAACATATTAAAATCTTTAATTTTCATTTTTCAAATTATGGCTGAATAAACCCAAGACAAACAATTCAAGGGAGTTAAGAAGTTTACTTATAGAGGCCTCTAACTTGAAGAGCTCGTAAAACTCCCTATGGATAAATTGGTGGAATAATTCAGAGCCAGATAGAGAAGAAGAATCTCAAATCAAGGAGAAAAGGTGCATGCATTCTAAAACTTGATGAAGAAGGTATACAATATTAGTAATATATTTAGATCAGAAAGTCCAAGAAAGAAACATTACCAGGAGAGAAGCCAAAACCCGTGAAGACTCATTAAAGAAACACAATTGTTGTACCTGAGATGGTTGGTTCAATTGTTGGAGTCTACAATGGAAGATAATTCAGTAACGTTGAAATCAAGTTTGATATGATTGGCAGGTATTGATTTGTAAAAGCATGTATTAGATATTTGGGTGAATTCTCATTAACATATAAGCCAACCAGACATGGTAAGCCAGGAGTTGGTGCAACAAAAGGATCACAACACACAGATTGATGTTATGCATTTAAAAGTACATTAAGTTATTTCTACAATTATTATTAAGCTTCAAATTGCTATCAAAAACTTTTATTATGTAAAAGCAGCAGTCATTATTCACTTTATCATATATATTATTGTTGTTGTTTTTCAAAAAGATAAATATATCATCTATATTTTCATAGACTTATCTTGAATGTTTATTTACATGTATTTAGCTTATTATTTTCATGATGATATCATTTTTCTTATGTATATACTAATTTCTATCCAAAATGATTATGGTAAAACCTTTTGATGAACTTAAGTGAATATTGGGTACATAATAAAGGATTAAACTAATTTATTACTTCGTTTATAAGTGAAAGAAGATAAGTAGCGTATTGTAAAAATGATTTTATTATATTTGTTATTTTATATTGATATATATATTTATTTCATGAGAACCAAATAATTTAAATAACATGAATAATTTTTGTTTTTATCATGATGGCTTATTAGAAGATCGAGAAAAGTACTTCAAATAAGATATCATAAACTTTATTGGAAATGTCTTAGCTTATATGAGAGAAAAAAATATTGAGATTCTATCTTATTAGCATTTTAATAAATGTTGGATGGAAAATGACATTCAGTTTATCCACTAATGTCAATTGGAATGGGAATCTCAAGACGATTATTACAATCTGTTATACGGGATTATACTAAATAAATTGATCGAATCCCCCTTATACTTTGAATAGCTGTCATTATTCTACTTAATTTATACTATCTATGTTACTTTAGATTAAAAGATACTTATCTCCTTAGATCAAGAGACAATGAATCAGTTGTACTTCTTTTTTTAGGAATGCAAAGAAAAAGGCAATCATGATGTATTTCTCCTTTTTTTGGAGTTAAACAAATAAAATGCATTTCTATTGAGTTCTCGTGTTGGATGTAAACGATTGTCCATTCATCCTTGTGGATTACCATATATTATTACAAAAAGAAAGTAATATCATTGATAATGTAGTAAAGCACAATTAAAGTAGATTACAGAAGAAAGAGAGGATGAGTAAGAAAAAGTAGAAAGAACAGATTTGACTAAATAACTATTAAATGCAAGTGAGAAATACCATAAAGCGAAACAAAAATAAAATATTAAGTTGAAAAGTACTGATCCGCATTTTGCTTAGAGATGCATACACACTTTTAGTAATATTAATTAGAAATAATGAACATGAACAATTATTGTATATAGCATGATTAATTTATACGTTTGTTCACTGCCAATAAGCTATTCGCTGTTATTATATTATGTTTTAAATTGATGGGTATTCCTTTAGATTAAGTATTATTTTTATTAACTTCTCTTCATAATTTTGAATATAATTTATTTAATCGCTATTAATAGTATATTTTTTTAGAAAGAATAATTCAATAATAATAATTTCAGTGTGATAAAGTTAGAGTTTTAATTGATTTTTTGAAGTGGGTATCTTAATATATTATAATATTATTGTATTGATTTTCCTGAAATCCAAAAAAAATTAATAAATACTTTTTTCATAAATGAAAAATTAGGATCATTTGGATAGAATCCACACTGCAAGTACTATGGCCTAGACTGGACAGCAATCTCAATTTTGGTATTAATTCGAATGTGATTTTAGCTAAGTCACTTTCGGTAATATGAAAAAAGAGAAAAAATATAGGGTCAATAATAGGTATTAAAAACAGGATATGGACGATAATCCTATTGATGAAGAAGAGTAGATTAGAGAGTACCAGAACTAAAAGGAAATATAATAATTTTAATAAATAGACTTGTAGCCAAAGCAAATAAAATAAAAAGAAGATGAGTACGAGAAATTAATTAAATTTAATGAATATAATTACAATGATGGCAATCAATTTGAAGAACCTGATCAAGAGTCTCCCATTTAAAAACCCAAGAAAGTCAAAGGCGATCATCTTTACATTGCTTGGTATGATAAATTTGAATTTTAGTTAGAGAAAGCCTTTAGGGGAATTCTTAAAGAAGTATAATTTATAAGATATTGCTCATCCTTACATTAAAAAGGCAACAAAAACTAAATGCTGCTTTTTTGCTGTGAATACTGAATAATCTCATTATTAGACTTAAAAATAAAATATTATTAAAGTAGGCCAAGAGTTATATAATGATAAAAATGAAGATCATTGCAACTTACTATACTCAATTTTCTATTTAATATCCCAATTAGAAACATTATCAAAACGAAAATCATAAGAGATCTCAAATAATAAAATTAACTTATTCTAATTATTTTATACTTTGTCTTGTGTTACAGAATTCAGAGATGACTTAATTTAGATTGGTAAATTCGTAGAAAAGAAAGAGATGATTGTCTCTGTTATGTTTTTTTGTTCCAAATACATTTTTGAAGTCTTGCAATTTGGAAGTTTAGATCCTATTTTTAAATACACTCAAAGTAGTGGGGAAACTTTCCATAATCTAATGACTTGTATTCATATGGGTGTTTTTCGATATATTTCTACTTCTAATTACACTTAGGAATAAGAAATCTATTCAAATTTACAAAACCAAAGTATAAAACACCTTTTAGACATTTGGAAAGATAACAAATTTAAAAACAATTGAAAAAACATTTGATTAAATCAATTTTGATTTTTATATATTAATTAAGAAGGTTGTTATAAAAATCGAGCTCCCTTATTTGGGATTATATATAGTTCTCATTTTAAGTTCATTTAAATAACTAAATATATTTTTTTATATAAAATTTGCTATAATATAGAAAGATTATATTATAATAAAAAGGTTTATATCCAATTTTTATTTCTTTTTAAAGATACATTCATTATTAAAATTAATTCATGGATAATTTAAAAAAGGCACAAAAGCTCATGTAATTTTTGTAGATATCCTTAGAAAATTCGGATAAATAACAAAAGACGACATTGTGATTGGTAAAGATGAAGTTGATAGAAAATTTTTGACTCCATGTGGTCCTGTGTATACAGAGTTTCATGATTGCTTGAAATTAAACTATGGAGATGTTATCATCTGTATGACAGCATTTCATTACATTAGGTGATAAATTTAGAGAGAAGATGATCGAATGTGAAGTAAGTCAAGGATTTTTCAAATATGATGTTGCTGACATAAGAAAAAGAAGATAAAAACTCCATGGAAGCGAGGCTTGATTTATTAATTATTATAGAAGCATCACAGCTCATCATTATTATTATTTGTATATATATATACAGTTTTCACTGTTTTTATTTTTCATAATTAAATTTAATCTCGGTTGAGCAATATTAATAAGGGAATTCCTAATAAAGAAGTTGACTATGTAGAGCAACAGTCTCACTAGTGATAAATAATTAATTCTAAAAATAAAAATATATATTATTTCTTATTCACAAATGTATGTTTAATCAATCAGATAGACACCAACTGTTCACTAATAATATGCAAATTTTAATAATCAATTTTATTTATACATCTGATATTGAAACATACAAAATTTAAAAAACTCAAGTATGCAAGAACTTTTGGTTATTTTTTGATTATTAATACTAAATGTTATTTAATTTGATTGATGGAGTAACTTCCTTTTGTTTATTCTATGAAGACAGTTAGAATTCTTATCAAAATCCTATTTTTTAACAAAATTTTAATCATAAGGTTTACAATTAATTAGATTATATGCTATGGAGACTTTTTCAGGTGCATTTCATTTTTAGTAATGAATTTTATTTCATACAGCGACAAACTAAACTAAAGAAGATTAACTGTATGATCAACAATTAGTATTTTAGTGAAGTTTATAAAGAATAAATATTTGAGATAATTAAACTATGTATCAATTAAGTGGAATTATTGGTCTTTGTATTAAATATTATGGAGTTATAAAACATCTATTATTATTTTAAGAAGTAAATCAGTTATACAAATAAGAAAATTAGATATCAATAAATAAAAGTAGATATCATTGATGTGAAAAGCTTCTTTGAATACTAAAAGAAGATGCCATACTATTACTTTATAATTATTATTATATCTATTATAGAAGTTGTAGCTATAATAAAAATACAGTTTCATAAGAATTTAATTAGTAGGGTTTATAATTAAGAAATAAGTCTAAATTTTGAAGATAATATTCAAAAAGTGAAAGAAGGGATAATTGAGATCACCAGTTTAATATTCAATCTATATTTTATGAGTAAAGAGACTTGTTAATAACGATAAATTTCGGCAACTCTTAAAATTTTCATTAACCCCACTTAATAGGAATGTATTATATATCTACATAGTAATGTTTATTGTTATAAATTTAATAAATTATTTTAATATCAAAAATAATGTCTCATTAAGGAATACGAACATAATAAAATAGCTTAGAAAATTGCCAAGCTTAATCAGATTTCGAGATGATTATTAATGAAAAAGAAAGATTAATACAATATTTAGAAAAATAATAGGAAATATTGAAGAACAAGCTCTAGTTTTATTAATTCGAATATCATCAAGCAATATTAGAACATCATTCAAAATAGATCTAATTATTTGATATATAAAATAAAAAATAACCATCAATTATGTTAGTCTAAAAGTAAATAGATGAAGAATATTGATTTTTCTCATTGTATAATTTTAGAAATAAATATAATTCTTATTCTTTTAAGATCTTTCCATTAAATTTGTATATAGGAATAATTTCATGTGTTAATTTATATGCATTGGATAATATATCTGATCAAGGAACTTAAAATATTATGAGTTAATAATGTAATTTATAATATTGATAATCAATTCTGGTGTTTCAAACATATTAATGGTATCTTTGGTACACATCTCGTTTAATTTATTATAATATTTATTATTCTTCTGGCTGGACCGTAAAGGAGAATCTCCAACAATATTAATAGATTGCATCAAAGTCTTCAATGATTGACCATGCGAATTTAAGATGCAATAATATTATGCCTTTTTGGAAAAATATGCAATATAAAATTGGATAAATATAATAGGAGCATCTATAAGAATAAACAAAAACTGGCTTCATTAATAGTGAATATAATTACTGGATTAAGAAAATGCTAAAACTTTTAGGGATTGATTGAATCCTACAAATGGGATAGCTACCAATATTAATATGATTTCTAAAAGGATGGTCAATATTAATAAATTAATGACTAGGTATCCGTAATAAATTAGAAGGATTGCTAACTTGGTATCTAAAATTAAGTGAGGATTGAAATAAAAGGTAAGAGTAGTAATTGTAATCGATGTAAACATTTCAATCAGAGCTGAGATTGTCATGCATTTAGTACATGAATCATCCATTGGATTAATACAAATTAATTATATATATGTAAAGAATAAATATTATTTCTAATAAATTCCAAATCAAGTTTATTAATTACCAATAAGGAAATAAACTTTATTGGAACTTCTTTAGAACAATTTGATGAAAAATAAATACCTTATAGTCACATAATATAAGTTATCATACGAAGTTAATAGAAAGAAATAATTAAAGCATCATTTAGCAAAGAAATGTTTCATAGTTCATCTTTGGATTATGGTGGATAAACTTAATATATAGTAAGAAGGTATTAAATAAATCAATAATCAACAATAACAAGATTAATAAATAACATTTTAAAATAATTTAAATAATGATCATTTAAGTGAATTAGAGTAATTTGTGAATAGCTTAAGAAGGAAATAAAATAATTGATAATAAGTAAATCTAATTTGCTAGATGTAATAAGTTTTCTCCTATGCCTTTATTTTTTTATTTGGGAAGTATGATAAATGATTAATCTACAGAACAATGTAAATAAGTTGGAAAATCAAACATAAATCTAAGAAAATTCATTTTTGATTATATCAGAGAGTAGAAAATGAATAGATAAAATTAGATTTATTAAATTACATGATATGAAGTAGATCTAATAATACTATATGCTAATAAGGAGTAATTCATTTTAACTATTACCTCCAATAACCTTTACCCTAACAGCGAAATTGGATTTGAACGATAATAGATAATTTGTTCTATTCATTCCATTTAATTCGATTCTCTCTTCTAATTAGAATTTTAAAAGGATCTGGCTCTACCAAAAAAAGAAGAAAATGAAAACATTAGTTAATTAGCATTATTTAATAATTTCAATTATATTATGTTATTTGATCGTTGAGATGTACTACTTTTCATAGTTAATAATGTGGAGACTTGTTCAATAAAAGGTGAATTCGAAGTAATGATCACGATTAAAATATATATAAGTTTTATAAATAAAATTATTAAATGAAGTTTCAGAAATTGGAAGACGATTAAACATTAAAAGACTAATAGAATCTCAAATAAAAGAAGGAATTATTAAAATAAGAATTTGAACATTTGGAGGAAATTAAAAAATATGACAATTTATCAATTGTTTCTAGCAATGATTTTAAGTTTAAAGCAGAATTAGATAAACTGTTAGAAATGAATAGAAGCAAGAATAAAGAATTAAGTTTATTGTTGAAACCTTAAACATTTTAACCATCTAAATCATAGATGGGAGGTTCATAATTGTAAACCATATCTGGGACTTATGGTTAGATTAGATCGATTAATAATCATCATTCAGACCCCTTATTTGCTACATTTACATAGAGCATTTATACGAAAGATACTGATAGCAATGAATAATATATCGAGTAATTAAAAGTCCAAGAAGAACGATATAACGATTTGATTTTAGAAGAATCTGAAAAAAGAGATTCTCTGGAGCAACAATTAATTCAAATTGAAAAATCCAAATTAATCTTACAATAAAAAGTAGAATAATATCAAATGTTAACAAGAATGTCAAATAAGAGATTTGCTAACACTTAATCTCTATAGTTTTTAGCAGAATAAAAAAAGGAAACTAGCAAAGTGAATTTGAGATCCATTAAGGATGAATTCGAGTAAATGAAGAAAATGCAAGACACCTATAAAAAATAGTAAGAAGAAAAGCAGTCGAATTTATAGAAGGTCATTTATGTTGGAGAAGAGAATATTGGACATAATGCTATTAAAATTGAACATGCATTATCGATGAACACCTAATGTGTTAGATAAATAGAAAAATTAGAAATAGAAAAACAAAAGAAAATTGAAAAAAAATTAGAAAGTCGTTATATATTGACATATATTGAATGTTTTGAGAATTTTGAAAGGATTTTTATGCAACCAACTGGGGTTCAGAATGCCTATAGATTAGTTGATGAGTTCTAAGTAAATGAAGAGCAATTACGTAAATATTCATAATAACAAATCTAATTTGATCAATCAGCCAATGTTCAAAATGAAGAAGATTTTGATCGTAATGAATTACTATCATAAATAACTAAGTTTTATGAATAAGGAGAAAATAGAACTAAATATATTTTAAATTTCATGTTAGAATAATATTGGCATCTATAATCAACCTTAAATAAAAGTAGTTTAGAATATGAAAATCTATTAAAATAGAAAAAAGTGTTGTTGGATGTCATTGAAAATTTAGAATGGGAGATAAATGAATTAAAATTGAAGAATCCAAACTTAGAAGTTCATGAATATTCTTCAGTTGCAGAAGATGCAGGACTATTAGAAGTTAAAGAGTAAATGACAACATTGAATATTAAAAAAATGGAAATGGAGGATCACTCAGACAATGTATTATACTAAAAAGCTGCAAAGGCACAAGGATTGCTAATGAAATTTTAATTAGGATTAGCTGAGTTTATGCATAGAGTCTTTTAAATCATCTCTCTAATCGACAATAAAAATAAAGAAATTAAAAAGTTCAAATATACAGGATTATCAAGTGAGATATTGAATTATGAAAAATACCTAGCAAAAGTATATCACTCGAATGAAAAGAAATTTTAGATTGCTAATAATTCTGAATAAATGGATGTTTAGCCTTTGCATCTAAACTTATTTTAAATTTCCAACATCATTTCATAGGTGTTAAGCATCAATTAACATATTGTTGAAGAAATTAGTTCCTATTTCTTTATATAATGTAAGACTGATTAAATTTTATGGTTCCATCTCACTTAAGATAATTTCACTTAATTTATAAGCCAATTTAAGTAATTTGATTCTATTCTAATCTAAAAGGAACTATAATCTCCAAAAGTAATTAATTAATTCAGAGAGCAATTGGTCGACATTTTCACTCATAATTTCAAGGAATTATTCTCTTTTTTTACAAATATGTATGGTAAGGTTAAAGATATAGCAGAAGATTTGTTAATTCATTTGAAAGAAAACAATCCGAAATTTGACTTTAACAAATTAAATAGAAATCTCGCAAAAGAAGGATAAGATATTAAACAAGCAAAAGAATTAATTATAAAAAGAATGATTGAATATAAGACTGGAGACAATTTCACATTAAGAAAAGAGAATTCAATGTAAGCTCTTAAAAACACCAAAACTAAAATTGAGGATGATCAAGTTATTGAATAGGTTTAAACTAAATTACAATAAGATTATCAAAACTCTAAGGAGTTATTTCCATTAAAGGAAGAATTCGATGAATCCTAATTGACTTAGATTAAAAGCTTTTTTCGACAAAAAATAAAAGAAAAGAATGAAGAAAAAAAAGAATGCAAAACCGATTAAAATTCAACAAAAGATTAAATTACAATTATTAAGGATTAGTAAGACTTTTAATAGAAAAAGAAAGTGCAAGAAAGAAATGAAAACAAATACGAAAAAGGAAGAAATAAAAAGAATTAAGATATTAAACCTTAAAAATAAGTCATAAGAGATGAACTAGAATAAGAAAGAGAGTTATTGAAAGCATAAATTGCTTCTAATGTTTAGAAAATGCAAGAAGAAAAAGAAAGGAAAGAAAAACCTGAGTTTAAAGAATAATAAAATGAAAGAAAAACTCAAATAAAAGAATCAACGGAAAGGCTCTATGGAGAAAGAGGATACACTGTATAATTGATTAGAAACATGGCGTTGACATCAAATATTTTGAGTGACATTGATTAATTAGAGCACTTTCAGACAAAAATTGAATAACCTCAATTAGTAAGTGCGTTTGTTATGTAAAGAAAGAATTTGCATAAGAATCTGACAAAAGATTTAACATTGCCATAACTCTCGTACTTAAAACCAACAAGTGCATATATTGCAAGAAGGAATTAATCCTCTGAATAGATCAAGGCTATGGATTATAAAAGATATTATGAAATAGAAAATGGAGTCAACATAAGACCATAAACACAATAATTAGCAAGAAAATCTATCACCAAATAAAAAAATAATACTTTTAATACTGAAGAATATAAGAAAAAATACTCAGTCAAGAATTTGAAGAATTAAAATAGTGATATCAAATCTAACTAAATGCCTCAACCTATAACAGAATTTCCGACAAATCATGGTCCTTAGTCATGTTTAATCCCTTAAATGAATTGATTCCCAATATTTTATACATATTTTATAAATAATATACCAGTAAAATTGATATCTATTTGATAAAAAAAATACTAAGGTAATGCATTCTTAATTAGATTCTATTATTTTTATATGCTTAATGAATTTATTCATTAATCGAGTTTCAACTGGCTAATCTTTAAAGCATAAGGATTTATTGATTGTTAGAAACAACTTTAATTTAATTTATATTTTTATGTTGAGTTTGCTAAAATAAAGTACATAAGAATTAGTAATAAAATCTTTACACCAAGAGATAGGGATAAATTCTAAAAAAATTTGACATTTATTAATTAGCTATGAAATAAATTAGATTACTTTAAAATATGCTTTAAAGAATAAGGAATAAGTAAAATAACCATAATCAGATATATTATTGAAAAGTACAAGGGTTGTATTATATTTGATAACTAATTTGCAACTATTTAGAGTCATAAAACAACACCTAAGAAATTATTGGTTCAACACGCTCTTTCCGATGAACGATTAGTTTTTAATTCAATTCTTAAGTGACATCAGATTGAAGAGATAGATAATGTTTAAAGAAAATAAAAAAGATAATTACTATCAGCAACTTTTCATGTAACAAGAGAAACGAATTGTTACAACAAATATTTGATATCTAGTCATAATCTTATTAAACTCAGTGCAGAAAAGAGTATTTAGTAAGACAAGATCTCGAGTTTAATGATAAAAATCTAAATAATTCCAAGTTAACATTAATTATCCAATCAACCTAATAGAATTGTAAATGATTGCAATATATTTTATCAAAATCTATAGAATACTGCTGAGACAAAAACTTTTAGAAAGGCAAGAAATCTTTTCTTTAGAGATTCTAGCAAATTAAATCAATATCACTTGATAGGTGATTTGTTTCTTTTATGACAATAAGCATGCTTAAATACAACAATCAAATAGTATTATAGTTCTGATATATAAAATTGAAATATATATATTTCATATTAATTAATAAGATATTTTATTGGATTAAGACTATGATCTGCTAGACCTGTAAAATCAACAACAATCGTTCCGTTATCTTTGACAATAATTGCCAATTCCATCGTTAACCATTATAATCTGTGTCCCTTAATTTATCAAAATAGACTTAGATGTATAAGGCATGTAAGAAATGCGAGGAGGAGAGAAAAAATGAAAAATTTTTTAGTTTTAATGAAATAAAGCAAAAATTGAATACCCATGAATCTCTAGAGCAATTAAATTAGATTGTGAAAATATCATAAAAAATACTCTAATAAGCAGAAGAGGAGAAGAATAAGCTAATTAGTTTGGCAGAAGAAATAGCAGAGACCGTTATGAATGGAATATATCAATTTTTTCAATTTTAGGCTCCTAATAAAGCAGCAGCAGGTAGTGAATTTTCTGCTCAAGAATTATTTTCTGTAAAAAAAAATAATATTTCTATTAGTTGTTAACACCATCGACAATAAAGTCTTTGGAAGATTTAAAAAATAAATAAATTTCTATACAGATTGCAGATGATATGAGTGCTATGCTTTTAACCAAAGTATTATTTATGGAAAGAGTGGGAGAATTTATAAAATAATATGAAACAAATTCATCAACAATACAAAATTAAATGAAGTAAGGAGTCCAGAATTTATAAAAAACTAAAACTAAGATACAAAATTTAATCAAGATTTAACCGAATCTGTAAAACGAATAGATTTAGCCACAGCTATAATTCATGTAGAGTTAACAAGTTAGTTAAGTCATTTCAAATCAATAAAAGAGCTAAATCCCGAAAATTCAACAAGATAGCTAATTTATATATTAGTAGGGAATTTTATCAGATATTATTGATAATGAATCAACAATAGAAAAGGTAATTTTATTCATAAGTAAAAGTTTAGGGGAAATAGAAAATAAATAACTTATGATGATGGTGATCCTCTCCAAGTCAAGGCAATAATGAATATAAATAATGAGGAATTAGGTTTTGCAAGGAGGGATTGTATATGTATATTAGATAAGAGAAATAATTTGAAAGTAATTTAAAGATTAGGATATGTTAGTGAGGAAATTATAACATTTGCTTGTTAATTTTAAGACATGGGAAAATAATATATAGCAGTTGGGTATCAATAATAATATAATTAGTATCGAATTATAAGATGATTCTGGTAAGATCTAATTATTGAGTAAAAATGAATAGAAATGGTCTTAAATCAAAGTTGTAAAAGTTTAGCATTCAATTATAAAAATTATTCATCCTTGCGAAAGTTATCTAATCACAATTTCTGAGTCGAAGGTATTTTTATTTTTATCAATTAGGAAATGGAAATGATTAATATTTAATAAGATAATTAATAAATTGATCTGATTATTAAAGAAGAATCAAATATAAAAGACATTGCTTAGATAAATCCTTCTACTTTGATATATATAACTAGCAATTAAATACATTCATTTAATTTTTAGAATAAAAGAAAATTGCATTAAATTGATGGAAATGAAGAGCATTAGTGTTTGGAAATAATGAATTCTGAAAACTTTATTGTTGGAAATTCAGAAGGGAAAGTGCTGATCTGTACTTTTTAAAATAAAATTCAAATTATCAATCAGATAAGTATTCATTAAAAGGATATCAGATATATAAGTAAAATTGATTAAATGTAATAACATTACTTAATTAAGGCATTTTGTTACATCCTCTTATGATGGAAAACATATTATAGCGTCAAAAAATGGTAAACAAAAGAATATAATAAAAGATGGACCTAAAATCAACTTTTCTGAACCTTTGTTGTGGGTTAATGAATTAAGATGCTTAATTGCATCTTCTGGAGGTTAAATCTTTACGTATTATTGATAAGATAAACGAAAAAATAATAAAACAAATATTAAATATCATAAACAATTATCATTTTTATGGATATTAAGTTTAGATGTTTAGAATAGTTTTGAATTAATCGAGAAGTTTAGTTTATGTAAATGTTCTTGGTCTACGAAATTATTATCGTGTTCAAAGTTGTTTAGTTGATATTCATCTTCAAATTCGTATTGCTGGTTTTTTTGTTAAGGTAGAGTCTTAGATGGAAGACGAATGCCAAATTTATCAAATTAATTTTATTCTTTTTCATTGGATGCCCTTGAAAAAGAACTGATCTCTTATTATTTTAAATATTCTTGACTTTTTCGACTGATAGGAACACTTAATATTGATATTGTTCTGTTTTTGTTGCCAACATTTTAAGGAGTAGTTTATGTGTTTGCTTAACTAACATAATGAATTCCTTAATCCATTTCCATACTGGCATGCATATGCATATGTGTTTCACCTTTTGCATTGATATCGTGATATTGTTTTGATACAATTTATTTGGGTAATGATATTTAACAAAAAAAGGGCGTTTTAAAAAATGAATGATTTAAAGCTTCACTTATCGTTATTCTGTCCTTTGGGTATTTCTTTGTCATTTAACAAATCAAATTCTCTACTAAATTCATACTCTCAAATGTTACATACACGGTTTTGGATATTTGGATGAGGGTATTTCGAAATAAGCTTCTGTGTTTTTCTTGATAGTTTATTTTAAATCATTTTATTTAAATGGATTATATCCATATAATACAACAAACAAAGTTATCCCCACACTAAAAATATCGCATTGTTAATTATAAGGCTTCTTAGATTCTTCATATTTCAATACTTCAGGTGCAGAATATCTTATAGTTATTTAGAAATCATACCCTGGACTCCCACATTGAGGAAATGGAATTTGTTTTTACCAAGTAAAAGCTGCTAACCCAAAATCAATTATCACTGGTCTCTGTATATCATTTCCATTCAGTAAAATATTCTATGGTTTTATATCTCTATGCATCACTTTTTATAAATGAATCTACTCTATCGCACTTAGAATGTTGATTAACATTATTCTTAAATCTTCTTATGAATATACTTTCTTTGACGATTGTTAAGACACTAACTCCGGTCCATCAATATATTCAGTTAATAAATAAATATTTGATTAATTTTCATAGACCCTATACAATTTTAAGATATTTGGATGATTAAACATGCGCAAAGCTTAGATTTCATTTAATAATTATTCTTCATAATTCTTATTTTTGTTAATTTATTTTATTGTTTGCTTCTTGATGATCTTTACAGCATAAGTCTCCCCTTCTTTGTTCTAGCATTGATGAACCTAAAATTAAATATATAGGTTTACTGTTGAGAAGCTTCCCTAACCTATCTATGCTCCTAATTTATATGTTTTATCAAAATCACTCAGAATACAACAATTAGATAATGCTTCAACCCATATATTATATTGTTAGATATCATCTGTATATAGATGTATTTAATAACCATTATTTATCAATGATATTTCCAATCCTTATTCAAACTGATGAAATTAACAATACACTGTGTCTAACTACACAAATCCCTTTATCTGATTCCCCTTTCCAACATCAGAATATAATAAAAATTGTTTGACCAAAAAGTAAGTTCTGACACATCTTTATTTAAAAGTCTTTCCGACTTTTGTAAAGTTTCCCATTAACACCTAAACATTTTAAAAATCCTCTTATTCAAATGTAGGAATATCAGTTTTGTTCCAAAACTCTTAATTCTCCACATGCCCCTTACTAAATATCATATTTATTATTAAAAATTAACAAATTGAATAAAATAGCTACAATTCATTTTCTAATGTTGATACCTTTTAAATTGTCTCACAATCTAAACCGCCATTATGTGTCCAACACCACACTCCTACTTCAAAATTTCAATTAAATAACTTTTTATATTCAGACTAGTTTAAAATTAAGCAAATCTCTCTAATTATCAACAATATTTGTACAGAATTAATTAAAACCTTTTCATATAAATTACAAGTTAAGAGATTAACAATAACTAATGATTCAAGTTATGTTAAAACATAGTCTAAAATATTATGCTCAAATAGTTTATAATACTCAGAGATCTCCAGACCACTTATTTTAATTTAAATCAATTTAAATGTATATTTATAAGTCAAGACCAAAATTACTTTTAAGAAATAAAATATTTTTCAAAGAAATTATATCTTTTTAATATGTAAATTTCAAAATAATATTATCAAGGTAATCAAAAGTAACATAAAATTTTGATCTACTTTAGATAAATTACTATGAAACTAATCATAGATTTTATTTAAAAGATTTCATTTATCATTGATTATAATATAATATTCCATATATATTTGATACTCCTATCTTATAATTAATCTATTCTTTACGGATCAAACTCATTCTGCTAATATATTAAAAATTTCTTCAAAAAGTCTCCTCTTAAAAGAAGTAATTTTTGATCGCTCTTTTAATATTAATTTAGAATTATGTTTTTGATTATTAAAGACTAATGTTTAATTGATAAAATAGAATGATAATTATAATAGTTATTTTCAATCATATTCTGTTTTGAATTTTACTATATCTGCATTTTGAAATCTTACTTTTATAGCTTTATGTGTTTTCTCATTGTCTAATTGTATTTAAAACAATATTTACATTCTTTTTTGAATTTTTTCACAGATTCTTCAGTACCAAATGCTAAATATGGAGAGTTTTATGATTTCAATGGACTTTGAGCTATTCATATTTTTAAATGAATACATTACAAAAAGAATCTGTATTTTTTTTTGATTCAACTAGATTTTTTATTTACCTCTCAAAATTTTGGATTTACTTTTGGATTTAATTTTAACACTCAAGTTCAATTTGTTTTTTTTGATATTTATAGTCTTAATAATAATATGTAGATACCTTATCTTATTTTTAATTGCTTTTACTTTTTCAATTCTTCTAAAAATAATATCCTATCATGGAGATTCTACTTTAAACATTCTTACAAAATATCAGTCTAACATTATTTTTGAATCTTTATATTTTTCATATTATGATCCAATAATTCTTTTTATGATAATTTCTGGGTCGAGCAGCTGTTATTTGTTTTATTTTTGAGAATACTCTTATTTTTTCTTTCACTCTATGATTTATTCTCCTTTTATATTTTCTAACTAGGAATATCATTTATAACAAAATAATCAGAGCTCTTCATACTTTATTGCGGGAAATTAATAAAGTTATATTTATGTTCCTATAAAGAATAGGTTGACTTATCATTTGTAAGATTAGTTGAATCATCTAGCTTAGATCTGGTGAGACTTCCTTTTCTGTATTTACAAGAGAGTACTGATTGCAATTAGGAAATGCGATTTTTTAAGTTTTGTAAATTTTTAAGGTTTAAATTATTTGTTGACAGTGAATATCTTGAAGATGAGTATTCAATATCACTATAAAGTCCTAATTATTATTTTCTTGAAAGGCCAATCTAATAGGAATTGAGATCACAATTCTGCATAAATTTGGAATGAGAACTTTGTGATTAATTTATATAAAAGAAGATAAATGATATTTTGATTCAATTATATCAAACTCAATAGAGAAGTGAGCACAAATTATAGATTAAAAATAAATTATGTTATTTTGCAAAGATAAATTAGAAAAATCAGAACAGATAATGAAGTTTCTTATCAACATCTTAGAGTTTAGGTAATTTTCGCAATCTATTACCATATTCTCTTTATTTTTCATAATGGACATCAAGATTCTTCTTTGAGATATTTGGTTTGAGGGTTTGTAATTTTTTGATCAAATTCATATTTTCCAAGGAACTATTAAAAGTGTTGTTGGGACTTTTAAGATCTGTTTGGGAGATGCCTCTATATCGATTAAGATTGACATAAGGATTGTCTCTTAACTTGATTCTTTCGATTTTGTCATCCAATAACTTATACATTTAAGTAAAGACATACTTTTTGTAATTTATCTTATGCATTTTGCTATTGTTATTTATTAAATTTGGATGTGTGTTGAAGCATTTAAAATCGAGAATTAGTGGCACTTTTATTTTATTCAATTGTTTTGTAGATGTTCATTTTATCCTTATCAATCTCTTCCATTCTTTTAAAGTGGTTGTAATACTCTTCCAGTTGATAAGATTCGATTGTAGGATTATGGATTATAAAGCGATTAGCTTTCATCTTTTCGAGTTACTTAATTAATTAAGTTTATTGATAAAATTAATGAACTTATTGTATGTATTTTATATTGGTTTACTCAAGCCAATTTGAAGTCCTCAATGTGAACTGGAGTCATTGGTACATATTTATAAGATGGATCAGCATATTTAGTTTTCTTCACATGTTCAGGTTGTATTGATCTTTCTTTGATGATTTTGGCATGTTATTTATGATACTAATTATTTGAATAAAATAATGATTTTTACTCTTTTCATCATTTCTGCTGTATAAATTGAGCTAATTTCTGTATAATGTGCAGATAATCTTTGATTCAATGTATTCAATGGGAAATGTAAAGCATTTGTAGCTTTCTTCATCACATAATCCAAATTATCAGGACTAAGAATATCATTATGATCAATTACTAGTATGATCTGTTCTCAGAGGAATAGTACACTAATCTGAATAGACCTCCTAATACAGCCAAAGGACCCAAGAACACTGCTGCTCTCATTGGTCTCAACATGTGATATCCTTGATGAGTTAATCCTCTAAATCATATATTCATATTTCTACTTCAATACTGAATACTTATGACCCATGAAGGCTGTGGCAAATAGTACTCTTCTGTTGAAATAAATGAACATTTAATTTGTTGGATGATAGCCAAATTCTCTTGGTCCAATAAGGAAAAATCTACCGATCTTTCCCAAAAGCCCTTCATATTTTAGTGTATATTAGCTACCTGATCGTTTAGCCAATTTCTCATTGATAACAACTGAGACTGGTTATAAAAACTTTAACCATGCCTATTGAATAGGATTCATCTTAATTAAATAAATATTATAAGAAACTTAAATAAAAATTACCAATCAAGCATTCACAAAATAGTATTGAAATCATTTCATAGATCTTCTATTTATTGAAACATATTACTAGAAACCTAAATAATAAGATACTTTGTATTAACTCTAGTTAAGACGTTTTTAACCAACCAAATGAAATTAGATTTATTTGAGTATTATTATGTTTTAGTTATCTAATTTGTAAGAAAAAAATATAATAAACAAATAGCATTAATCCATGATATCATTTTCAAAAAATACAATAAAAATTAATGTAGATTAAATATAACTATAATAATTAAAACAAAGATTTTAGATTCTCTATCATCAACATATATTTACTTTATTAATAGTATAAGATTTAATACTGATTCTCTTGAAATTCAGAATATCAAATATTTATAAAAATGGGTATTTTAAATAATTTTAATAATAATGTCTGAATATCATGATGAGTTTTAAGAGGACCAATAAAAATTGAATGCTTTGAACCTATCTTGGACATTGGGATTTAATTACAAAATGGTAAATGGAGTTCACAACCTCACTAATGATTCTCGTAAAGTATGATCTATCTTGATTTAGGAAATATTCTATGCGACAGCACACACAGGAGTCATATTTGATTATGGGAATAATTAATAGAGATTATTATAAGGACATGTATTATATTATATGATTTGTAGTGTAACAAAATTTCATGCACGGCATATTGCAAAGAATTGGACATAATTGTAACTGCTGATGCAGGGCCTGACAGTATGTTAGTCATATGGGATGCAAAGACAGGAGTACCAAGAAGAACGATATTTGAGCCACATGCTAATGGTGTTTAAGCAGTGGATATTAGTGAGAATGGCCAATATTTGGTAACATTGTCAAAGGAAGAACCCGATAAAATACAATCTATATCGTTTTGGGACTGGTAATCTCAAGATCCTCGTCTCAGAACAACAGTCTTAGATGATAAATTAAAGGATTATCAATACTATGTTACAATCAATAATAATGCTGAGCAAAAGCAAAATTAGCAATAGATATTTGAATTTGCTACGACAGGCAAAAAGAGAGTAGTTTTTTGGAGTTGGGAATATGGAGCAGCAGGATTCGAGTATTACAGTCCTGAAGTTTAAAAGAATAAGGTGTTGACCTAGACAGTCTTTATTCCTAAGAATAAGAATGTAGTAACAGGAACATTGGATGGATACATAATAGTTTGGGATGTATCTCTTATTATTGAAGAATATGGATAACCAGATGAGAGGAGAGTTATTAAGATAGTGAATCTAATGAATGTGGCTAATAAATCTGAGACATAATAGAAGAAAGGAAATGCTTAGATTTTATTATTAAGAGTCTAAGGAAGGTATTTAGTAGTTGGAGCATCTAATGGATCTATAAGATTTTATGATTTCAAATTCAGAATTAGAGCATGGTTTGAAGATGTTGTGATTGGATAGAATGGTCTAAATATTTAATGCATAGGATCGATTACTAATTTATCATTTGCAAATGAGAGTGTGTTCTAAGAAGATTTTGAAACAGAATCAGATGAAGAGAAAGACAAGGATGAGTAATCCTAGAAGAAGTCAAAACCATTTCTATGTTAAGATTTTATAGTTGTAGATGATAGGGCTAATGTGATATTATTAAAGTCATCTTAATTTTAAGAAATAGAAAAAGAAAAGAAGAAAGGAACAGTCATCATGTCATCAATTGTGTCACCTATTATCTCCATATCTGTTAGACCTAATGTTCCTGTTGTTGCGTTTAGTTGTGAAGATAACAAAATTTATGAATGGAATTTCTATGAAAAACACAATAAACTGAAAGAAATTAAAGAGAAGGGAAGTGAATTACAAATATAAAGTACATTTATAGAATACAGTCCTGATGGTAATTATTTAGCTGTCTGTTCAAAAAATGGAATAGTTCATATGTATGATTGCAGAGAAGAAAAATGGCTTAAAAATCTATTGGTTTCAGAAACTGACAAAACTAAACCAAAAATAACCTATTTAACTTTTAGTATTGATTCAAAATATTTTGCTACGATTGATGAATCTTATGCAGTCAGTGTTTTTAATTTTTGATTTCGATCCTAATAGTCAATTGAAATAATAAAAAGAATGGATATTTGCTGGTAAATATAGAGTACATCATGGACCAATCAAATCAGTTGCCTTTGGTGAAACACTTGATGAGAAGAACTAAGTTTAATTAAAGGTGTTCACCATAGGAGAAGATATGAAGTTGGCAGTCTACGATGTTTTAGATCCAACTCAAGATCCATATAATAGAGTTAAATTAAGAAGTGTAGTAACTATTGAATAGGAATGTTTGCCATCAGCATGTATCTGGTATCCAATCAATCTATAAAGAGAAGATGTCTTATTAACAACAAATAGTGAATTCAAATTAAAATTATGGACTGTATTAAAAGATCTTCGTATTATCTGTAAAAAGACCTGTTTAGGTCCCACATTTGGTGGACATATCAAGAGATTATTATTACTTAATCCAAGCGATATGAAAAATGAATACTAAGATAAATATTTGGCATACTCCACAGGTGAGAAGGTGGTTGGTATAATTAAATTGCCTTTGGATGGTAATCCTAATAAAACTATGGGTTTGATTGCACATCCTGAAAAGATTGTTGATTTATCATCAACTTAAGATGGTAAATTATTTTTTACTTCTGGTGGTGATGACTTTGCAATTAATATTTGGAGTGTAGATTTTGCTGCTTTAGAAGATAATTTTTAAACACAAGAAACAGAATATGAAATATTTTCAAATTTATTAGACGGAGGACCTGAAGGACAGACCTTAAGAGATTTGAAAGACTTCTTTTATTATAGTCAGATCAGATCAAAGGATGAACATACTACTAAGGCTAGAAAATTAGATGGTCTAGTACCATTGACTGCTATTGCTGATATGATGAGATCTATGGGATACTTCCCAACAAATTAAGAAATTGAAAATATGATAAATGAGATCAAGTTTTCAAAATATCTTGAAACAGGTGAACAAATTTCAGAATTGGAAATTAATACATTTCTTAAATTGTATGTTAATCATAAACCTGTTAATGGAGTCACTAAAGGTTAAATATATGATGCATTAAAGACACTTGCTACTGACACTGGAGTGATACCTTGGGATTAATTTACTGAGTTATTGAAAACAAAGGGTGAAAAATTAGATGAACAAGAAATTGAATGTAATATAAATATTCTATTATAGATTATTTGGAATCATTGTTGCCAAACAAAAATTATCCATAGCAATTAAATTTGAATAATCTTTGTGATGAATTGCTAGGTTTTGAAGATATGGATGGTACTTAAGAATAATAGGAGTAATAAGAAGAAGTTTAAGATGTTGGTTCTGAAGATGAATAGTAGTGAAATTATATTTATTTTTATTCTAAATTTAAAATTAAATTAATGTGTTTCTATTTAACTTATATACATAAATAAAATAATGTATTTTTCAATAAAGTAATTCAAATATTTAATTATTATTCTCAAAAAGTATATTTAATAGGGTTATTATAAATTATAAATCCAAATAAATTCATTTCTTTTATTATACACACAAATTTGGATTCTTAAATGTATGTACATCTAATACGTTTATTGTATGAATTTATTGATTTAATTTCATACTCTATGGATAAAATTAGATGACAAAAAAAAAGAAAAAATAAACCAAGTTCTTTGAGTTTTTGTGGCTAAATGAGAATATAATCAAACCATCATCATTTTATGTTTTGTGTAGAGGTATTCTTTGACAATTTATTAATAATAACAATGTTTCAAATATGTTGATAGCCTATTGAGATTGAGGATAAAGATCATGATTGGAATATGAAAGTAATCATGGAGATGGAAATAGTACAAGATTTTAATAATAAAAAGTTTGCCAATACAAGCAATTAATTAGAAATAATGATTGTTAATTATTATATTTTTCAAATTCAAATTTTTCAATGTATAAAGAAGAAGCAATTCCATTAATCACATATGATGCTTAAAATAGAAGTAATTAAATATTCAATACATAGCCTACCATTTGGCAGATGAGGCGGCAAAAATGATTAGATCTATAAATAATCCCATTGCAATTATCTCAGTAGCAGGTTTGTACAGAACAGGGAAATCATACCTATTGAACAGAATAGTGCTCAATCGCGGCGATGGTTTCGGAGTTGGACCAACAGTAAATCCATGCACAAAAGGAATGTGGGTTTGGGGGACACCTATTACAGTGGGAAAGACTTCAATTTTGATAGTAGACTCAGAAGGTACAGGAGCCTTGAATGACTCAGATGTCAATCATGACACAAGGATATTTGCTCTTGCTGTTTTATTGGCTTCCTCATTTGTTTATAATTCAGTTGGAGCTATAGATGAAGGAGCATTGGAATCATTGAGTTTTGTGGTCAATTTAACAAAATTCATATAATTGAGATCGAATGAAGAGCCAGACTCTGAGGAGTATGGAGAATTTATGCCTCAATTCTTTTGGGTGTTGAGAGATTTTTCATTGCAATTATTGGATAACAATGGAGACACACTGACAAGTCATCAGTATTTGGAGAGATCCTTAAAGGAATAACCAGGATTTTGTGATAGAGTAGAGGAAAAGAACAGAATAAGAAGATTATTGAGAACCTTCTTTCCTGAAAGAGAGTGTTTTACATTGGTAAGACCAGTGAATCATGAGAGTCAATTACAGTCACTTTAACATTTGGATCTCAAATAATTGAGACCAGAATTTTATGAGTAAGCAATATCTTTGAGGAAGATGTTGTTTTCTAAAGTGAAACCTAAGTAATTTAAAGGCAAAACTCTGACAGGGGGGATGTATGTCAATTTGATTGAGTATTTACATATATATATAATTTAGATCTTATTTACAAGCCATGAATAGTGGATGTGTAGCCTCAATTGAGAGTTCATGGACATATGTATTTAGAGAAGAATGTAGAAAATTATAAGCAGAGGCATTCGATATATATGAAAAGCAAATTAAAGAAACATTGCTTTCTAAGCTCCCAACCACTCTTGAGGATGTTAAGACTTTGAATAAATTATGTAAGACCAAGGCAATTGCTCATATGGGGAATAATGCTGAAATAACTCCATATGTTAATGAGTTGAAACAAAAGATGAAGGGCAAATTTGAAAATCTTTTGGCCTTTAATGAAACTGAATCTGTGGCTTTGTGCAAGTAGTATTTGGTTACACAGTTTGCTCCTATTGATTAAAAATTAAAAATGTCAGAATATAAAACGTATTCTGAATTTGAAAAGGATTTAAAATTGTTCAATATCTTCTTGGAAGAACATGGTCCTAAGGTTGTTAGAAGAAAGCAAATGTTTGTGGAATTCATACAGAAGATGACAAATGAAGGAGCTACATTCTTTGTTTAAAATACTTTATAGGATTTTGAAGGTTATAAGAAGTTTTCAGAAGAATAAATCAATAAATTACAAAACGGGTTTAACACTCTAAAATAAGATTCACAAAAATAAGTAGAGTAACAAAATTAACAAATCAAATAATTGAATTAATAGAATGCTGACATTAATCAAAAATATAAAACATAATGTGAAGAGTTGGAAAAATTGAAATAAAAAAACAGTTAAACTATTCAATAGATGAAAACACAATTTGAGAATGAATACAATAAATTGTAGAGTAGTTTTGATGAATTAAAATAGAAATGTTAGGTAGCTGAAGAAGAATTAAAAAATTCAGAGAGAGAATAATTTATTTTGTAAAGTGAATCTAAGAAGAAGGAAGCCTTGTTGGAATAGAAAATATCACACTTATAAAAATTGAATGATGAATTCAACAAAAAGGAGAAACAATATGATTCTTCTTTGATGACTTCCAAGAGTGAATTCTCTGTTAAATTGAGAGAGTTGACCACATCTTATGAACAAACTTTGAGTGAAGTAAGAGCTTAGAACTTGTAATTAAATGAAAAGTTATAGGAGACTTCAGATTAATTGATGCAATTGGAAATCAAATATGAAAATTATTACTAAGTTCAAACTCACAAGGAGGAGAGTCAAAGCAATGCTATTAAGAAATTAATGCAATCTTAATAAACCTTACAAGAACAAATTAATATCGAAATCACAAAGAACAAACAACTGCAGGATGAATTGTTATAAACTCAAATGCAAGTAGAATCTAATGAAGTGGGTGAACAATACAAATAGTAAGTTAAGTAATTGGAAATCAAATTATAAGAACAAAAGTAAATATAATTAAAGAGTGATGCAGTCTTGAATCAATAGATTTAATTCTTGTAGATGGAATTAGAAGAAAAGAAAAATACTATTAATGATGTCAAAAAATCACATGAGTCAGCAATGTTAGCATTGGAGTAATCACAAAATACCTAGAATCAATAATAATTGAATAAATCTATCATTGATTTGAAGGAATAACATATGATTGAAATTAGACAAGCAGAGTAAAATTCTTAATAGTTAAGAAAACAATTACAACAATAATTGGATCAATTGTAAGGAGAATTACAAGAAGCAGAAATGAGAGGAGATGTGTTCTTATAAGAAAAGAATAAATTGTAAGAAGAATTAAGTGAAAGCTATTAGGTTTAAGATGAATTGAAATAGAAGATCTAACAATAATAGAAGGAGATGGAATCAAATAAGTATACTCAATTCAGAGAGAAAGAATTGAGAATGAATTAAAGGATTAAATAATTAGAAGAGGAATTAAGTTAATGCAAATAACAACTCTAAAATATGGGTAATCTAGACAAGAATAGTATAGAGTAATAAGTGAATGAATTAAGAAATTATTATGAAATGGAGAAGGATGTTTTGGAGAGAAGAATACATGAAGAAAGATAGAAGGCTGATTAGAAATATTAAATATTATTTGAAGAATAAGAGTAGAAGATGAGGGATGAACAATAATAATATGAAGAAGAGATAGAGACATTGAAAGATGAATTGAGAGATTTGGAAATCAATTTGACTACTTAATAATAATAATATGATAATGAAATAGAATTAAAGAATAAACAACTTAATTCTATGGAGAATATCTTGAATGAAACAAAAGAATAATTAGTCTAATTACAAAATACATTCTAAACTTAAGTTGAATAAAGAATTAACAATCTAAATGTAACTATCCAATCATTGGAAAGTCAATTAACTAATTAATAATAGAACAATCAATAATTAGTTAAGGAGAATCAATTAATGACTTAGAAAGTTGAAAACCTGGATGTCAAACTCTAATAAAAATTAAGTGAGTTCAAACAATTGAAGGAAGACTAAGAAAAGGAGAAGACTTAATTATAAGAGACATTACAAGATTTGAGAAGAAAATACACAGCAACTTGTGATGAATATTTAGAGAAGAAGATTAATTATGAGAAGGCTATAGCATTGAGTGCCTAACAAAATGAATTTTTTGCCAAGAAGGTAGAAGAATTGGAAAGACAGTTGGAGAGTTGCAATCTTAAATATGAAGAGAGAATCAAGATCTAGAAGTAGGAATGGACTTAAGAATTATCAGATAGATTATCAAAATTAAATGAAGAAAAGCAATTGATTGAATCTAAAAGTACATAGCTTAAAAAACAATTGAGAGAAAAAGAAACTTAGTTTTTGAAGGCACAATAAGACTTAGAGAAAGAAACTGCTTTGTCAACAGAAAAGATTGTATATTTAGAATAGAAATTAAGAGAACATGAATAACAAACATCTTCAGAGAATAGTAATGCTGCTATGTAATTGAAATAATTAAGAGAGTAATTTAGTTTACTAAAATATAAATCATCTTCAGATATCGAATAATTAAAATCGTAATTGACTAATCTCGAATTTGAGAAGTAAGAATTATAGGCCAATTATGAGAAAGATAAGATTTTATGGGTAATATTATAATTTAATATTTTTAGTAAGGTAAAACATAATTCTTGGAATCATAAAGAGAATCATTGAAATAAGAATTAGCTGATGCTATGAGGAAGTTTGAAACAACAATTCAAACATTGTAAAGATAGAGAAGTCTGGAGAGAAATGATCATAATCAAGATATCACAGAAATGTTGAATTAGATTGAGAGAAAGTATTAAGATTAAGTGAAAGATATTTAACAATAACATTAAAAGAAATGTGATGATTATTAAGAAAGAATTGAGAGATTGGAAAAAGAACTTAAGTAATCTTAAAGTAAAGAATTGCTGGATTAATAATCAAAGATTGGATAACAATTTGAGAGAAAGACAGCAGAATTGTTGGAGAATGAAAAGAGACTATTAAGTACAATTGAAGAATTGAAATAGGAAAGAGATCAACGAATACTTGAACATCATGAAGAAGTGGAATAAGAGAAGGAGTATTGGAGAAATAAAATCAATGAATTAGAAGAAAGATAGAGAGAATCAGATAAAAAATAATCATAACTTATCTTTTATCATGAAAAGGAAAGAGCTAAATGGAGTTAAGAAAAGGATTATATTATGTAATAGAAGATGGAATTGTAAGATTAATTATCCAGATTGGAGAAAAAGAAAGAATTATTACTCAAAGAAAATGAGAAAATGAAGAATTCTTCAAAGAGTCTCAGAAAATATAATCCTAATCAGACTCTTAATAATAGTTATTTAAACAAATAAGCAAGTGATAAGAAGATACCTTCATAGGTAAATATTTATACTAATAAAATTTAGGAAGTAGTTAATATGAGTTATGATGTTACTAAATCATTGGAGGATAAGGATCCAAGTGCAAAGGAGAACCTATCTACATCAACCACTTTTGGTAGTTTCAAAAAGTATTATTAAATGATGAACTCTAAATAAGTCAGTCCAAGTAAAACTAAAGAAATTTCAGATATTTGATAAAATTAATATATATAACACAAGAAACTCAAATTTATGTAGACCATTATTATCTTAGTGAATTCTCATAAAGTGATCTTTTTAATATATTATTAGCAAATCCTACATCCACACAATATTGCTTTTGTCTATCAATAATGCATTAGCCTAAGGCTGCATCATATAACGAAATAATAAATTTATCAATCTGTCTTGGAGAGAAATCTTCCATTTGTTTTGCCAAAGATAAGATTTCATCCTCTGACAGATTGAAATTTACTTTAAATCGTTTTGAAAATGCTTTGGCTGGATTTAAAATCAAGGAAAGCATGTTACTCTTTTAGAATGTATCTTCAAATCCCTTCTTTAATAATTTAACTCTTTGTTCTTCATTCAAATAATCAAATTTAACAATTTAATCTATTCTATCCAAAATGGCTTCATCCAATTTATTTGGTAAATTGGTTGCCAAGATTAAAGAATATTTCTTTGAAGCTGCAGAAGTCTAAGCTAAAAAGGTGGATAAGGCAGCCGATGTTTACTTTGAAGAGCTTCTTTTATAAAAAATAGCCTCAGCTTCATCAATAAATATAAGCGTTCCTTTAGGAGTAGATTAACACCAAGCAAATAATTTATCGATCTCAGGGACAGCCTATTCTCCTAATTTTTCTATGTCGCCGCCTGATATTATAGCAAAATGCAATCCTGAATTGTAAGCAAGCAATTTGGCAAATAGAGTTTTACCTGTTCCTGGTTGACCATGAAATAATAGATTTCTCAAAGGAGCTGATTAACTTTATTTAGCAATGAATCCAGATGTAATCAATTTCAGAGTGACTTCCAATTCAGGATTTAAAACGATTTTATCGAATATTCGTTTTGAACTAGGCATCATCCATTTTAATGAGCGACGAGAAGTTTCTCTGACTAAAGTAGGTTTTGTTAGCATAGCCTCCAATCTCTTAAATCCAAGTCCTAAACTGTACTTACTGAAGAAAAAGGCTCCACTCACAAATAACATAACTTTCGCTATGGTAAAGAGACCTTAAGGATTCTATTGCAAATATTTGAATCCCTCTTAGAATTTAGCAAAGTAAAGATTATGCAGTTCTATTTTAGCCTATTTTTCTATCTAAGCCTTCTTCTCTTATTCTTAAATAATTAAATCAAAGTTCTTTCTATAATTCTCAGCGTTTAGCTTGGCTTATAAAGTGATTTTTTTTTCCTCTAATTCAAATTATTTCTTCATCTGCATTGTTAATGTTTCTCTCCTCATATTTTCTTATCTTCTAATTGATTCTTCAGCTTCTTCTCTCATTCTTTAGGCAGTCAATTCTTTGTCTTTCAATTTGTCTTTGGTTCTATCTCTTTCCAATTTATCATTATAATCCGCAATCTATTGATTAACCTATTTTTGATGATCCATATTTCTCCTTCTTTCTTCTCCTTCAACTTTGACCTTTGAAATCTCGTGTTATTTCTGCAGTGCTTGTTTATCTGCCCTTTTGGCTTCTTCAGTCTTAATCATGGCTTCAAGGGCTTTTGCTGCATGAGGTGACTAATTCAGCTCACGTAAGGCCTCAAATAATACTTTAATAAGAAATACTTGAGCTGCTCTTTCTAAGGCTGTTGGATCAAAGACTCCTTAATTCTTCATAATTAAATTTAATTATTTATGAATTGTGTAAATTATAAATACAAAATTAGAAAATCCTGATCAGATGAAATCAATGATGATAGAAATAACCAATAATTATCATATTAAGATTATTGTCATACATCGTAATTATCTACTCCTTAATATAGGATCTACATTAAATAAGCAATTGCAATTGGGAAGTATTTGATTATTAAATTAATTTTATCTTAATTTGGACTATTAAATTATTGAATATAAAATTAATTTATTAAATCATACTAATTTCTTAACCATGTATACTCCTTCGGAATGATATCCTAATTTACGATAATAATGTCTAGTTCCGATTCCAGCAATGACTGCCATTCTTAGTACTTCCGTGTTCTTCTCTTGCAATTTTCTCTGCTTCTTCCATAAGCAATGTACCATATCCTTGATGTTAGAATTTAGAAGGATCTCTTGAATGAATAGGGACCACTGAACCATATACATGTAATTCTCTAACCATGGAAGTTGGTTCCTGTGTTAATTCTTTTCTGAAAGTGTGTTTATCCAATCTTCTGAGTCTCAACAACCCTATTAAAATATCTTAAGAAGGATCTTCGTAAGATAAGAATGTTTCCCATCCATCATTAGCAGTATAGTCTCTTCTAATTAATTCAACTTATTCTGGTTTAATTTTGTGATGAACCTCTTTGATTCCAACTTCCCTTGTTCTAACATCTCTACAGGCAACATTTAAGTCTCTCATCCTTTGTAATGATAACTCTCTTAAATTGCCATTGTCTACTCCTGATGTCACTAAAGGCATGGGAATATCTCTCTATATTCTATAGACTCTAGTCCAAGGTGGTACCAATGCCAATATTTTAGCGACAACATCAACTAAGAAATCAGGAGGATAGTTTCTGTATTATCCATTTTTCCATAATTCATACAATCCAGTACCTCTAATAACAAGAGTTGGATAAATCTAATTTACAATTCAAATATACTTTTAATCCATCAGGTCTGAAATCAGGATTTTCAAAGAACTCTTTAAAACTCTCTAAATCTCTTTCTACTCCCATATTAGGTAAATCAGGCATCATATGTGTAACCACTTTGTATCCACTATCTTTACTCATTGCAAAACATTTCTTTACAGATTCAACTGTATGTCCTCTATTAGTATCTCTTGCAACTGAATATTAGATTAGAATATATACTATCTTCATAGATTGATTGAACTCCAACTTCAATACGAGTACATCCATATAATAACATATCACTCAAATGGCTTTTCTGACAAAAATCAGGTCGTGTTTCTATGGTTATACCTATACACTTAGATCTACTCTCCTCCGAGAATTGGACTGATTCTTTGACTGTTTATGAACGATGGCCACTTAATGCATCATGCAAATTTCTGATAAAATAATCTCTGTATTCTTAATCCAAGGACATGAATGTTCCACCCATTATGATATATTCCACCTTATCACAATCATGACCTAATTATTTTAACTAAGCGATTCTATCTCTTGCTTGAATATATGGATTATATCTTGCTCTAATTGCTCTCATACTTGTTGGTTCATAACCTGTATAACTTTGAGTTGAATATTCGAAATCGCTATCAGGTCCCTAAAATCATTATATCAATGCTCATACTCCTGGACAATATATGCAAATATTCCCTGTCACAGCTATATGTGGGCATCTATGTGGTTTGGCCATCACTGCAACCACTGCAATACCTGAAGCTGTTCTCACAGGCTTTGCTTTCAGAATCGGAATCAATTTATCCTTATAATCATCTGGAATTGCAGAGAGGATTTCTACAATCTTAGGTGCTCCTGAGATCTTATTCTTTTTAGAAAACTCAGCTTTAATTTGTGATAAATTTATTTTCTGATTGCTATCGTACTATTTAATCAATTCTGCAACTATCTCTGAAATGCACTTCAATTTATCAACTGTTGAATCCTACTATTTTTTTCCTTTCTTCTCTTTTTGCTCCATTAATTATGTTAAAAAAAGAATTATGTTTAATATAATAAGGTTTTTAAATATTTAATGATAAAATGTAAGTATCTTTATATATTTTGTTATTCATACATCCTAGCATGATTTCCAAATTACTTTCAAGATTTCTAGAAATTAAGATGATTTATCTGATTTCCTTCTCTTTTCTATAGCTTTTATTCCTAATTCCATCATAAGGAACTCTTTATTTCTCTTAAATTTAGTCTAGTGCTCTCCCTAAACTTCTTTGTGATTAAATCCTCAACAATAACATAAATATTGGTATATTCTCTTTAGCCTAGATCGAAATTTCATTATATTCACTTGACTACTGTTTCTAAGCATAAATCAATAAATTTGACTCTTTTACCCTCCTTCAAACATTCTTAGATCTTATTAATTCCATATTTCTATTATTCAAAAAGTTGAGACAACATATCATTTTTTTAGTAATAACCATCATTTTTTCTATTTTTCTTACGATCAAACCTCAAAATATTGTAATTAGCAGAATGCAGATACTCTTATATATATATTTCAAATTCAGAAATGCAAACGACGATACAAATATACATATATAATTATAAATTTAGTAAAGTACAGACACAAAGTTTTTATTCTCATTCAAAATTTTTTGTTTGAACTTAGGCAAACTTTTTAGTCAGATAAGAATTCCATGAATAAAGTTTCTCAGTTAACAATAGAACCTCAGATGTTTTCCGTATTCTCTGTGTAGTTTAAAGGGAGCATGCTCTTCTTGTATTGTTAGTCGTTAATGGTGATGTGAATATAGTCTTAATTTCAGTTTCCTCATCTTCAGGCACTGGTGATATATCTCCAAAACTCTACAGTGTTGATAATGGGGATTGATCATGTTTCTACATTTCAATCTATAAATAATTAAAAAAAAATATTAAAATATTAATGATATATTGAATCTTGTATCTATTAATTACGCTATCAAAAGACCAAACTATTTTCTTAAATAATATATGTGTTTTATCTAAATTTAAAAAAGTTCAGTTTTTATAATTGAATGATTTTCCACTTACGATATTATATGTTTTATTCAGATTTCTATCAATTTCATAAATCATATAACGAAAATGATTAATTATCAATCAAAATAAAATGCTTCTACAAATGGTTTCATAAAAGTCAAAATTTATTTCAAGATTATATTTTATTTTTTCTCATTAATACCTTATAGAATAATTTCCAAAATTTCTTGAATTTAATATACAAAATAAATATATGTATTTTTAATATAATTGAACTCACTTATTATTTATGCCAAATATTTGATTTAATGATATGAGATATAAAGACTTCTATAAGTAAGTTATTATAACATTATCATTAAATGAAATGGGTATAAATAAGATATAAATCTAAAAAATGTACATAAAAATATTTTTAAAAGTTTATATCCACTGATTTTATATTATATTGACTTCTCCTTTTAATTACCAAAATTCCTTTATTAGGAATGACTAATGTCTTGAAAAGAGATTAATTATTTTGTTACTTGATATAAATTTAATTAATAGTATGAGAATAATCAGTTTCAAAGGATAGGAATTGTGGATTTCGATTCTCGCCACCATAAATTTTATTGGTTTAGGTGTCTTTTCAAATTAACATTTAAAGCTCATTTGTTTTTATTGGATTTAGAAGGCATAATTTGATCAAATATTTCTTTTTATAGGATCTATCATTTTTGGTTTTATATTGGGAACAAGGATGTATAAGTAAGCAACAAGTTTTAATAAGTAGTTGTATTAAGCATCTTTCAAGTTTGATGATATACTTAATTTCTGATATTACATTTATTTTGGTTACAACTGGATATTCATTATATATATATTTAGAAACCAATAAATACTATTTGGAGTACAATAATTCTGATGAATAATTAGAAATCCCTAAATTTCTTGATATTATTTTACTATCATTCTAGATGTTGATTGGGATAAGTATAAGTTTAAATTTTATTCACACAATGTGCTTCCTGAAAGTAAATAGTAATGAATTTTCTTTCCTCTTTATTCCAGCTTTCTTATCTACTGGAATATTTATTAACCTGGTTATTGGTGAGATTTATTTTTGGGATTATGGATATTATGAAATACCAACTAAATTTTAGATTTAAGTATCTATTCAAACTACTAACATTACCAGTTATATTTTCTAAATTTTTCCAATTTTGGTACGAATATGTGGGTCTTCTCTTTTGGCTAAATAAGAAACAGTTCGATAATCAGAAAATAAAAATAAAGTCCACATTATGGACGATATTGATGAAGATAAAAAACTAAAAGTTTTAAAGAGTTACTTTACTTAATATTATTAGATTATATTTCTAATTATATTAACAACATTTTCTGGATCTTAAATTACTCAATCCTATTTAAATATTTCCAACAAATACTTTTATTTCTATTCTAAATTGAATAATTAGTACTAATTTTATGAATATTTTTATGTAGCATTTTCGTGCTACTACTGCTATTAGGGATATTAGATTTTTATTGGCTTTGGAAATTTGCTAATAGTTATTTGCATCTTGTTGTTTCAGAAGTACATTTAAGTTAAGAAATATTTATCCATCTCTATTGGAGTATTATGTCTAGGTTTAGGCTTTGCTCTACATAGTGATTTCTGTGTTACTTACTATCTTATTTCATTTGGACATTAATTGGGATTGGGAACACTTCTTTATAAGATAATTCCAACAACATTGCCATAAAGTTCAATGATTTAATGTTTCAGTATATAATTCATAACATAATTTGTGGAAGTTTGTATCTTAAGCGTTATATATAAATTAAGAGTATCAAATTCACCTGATGTCTGTTCAAATATTTCATAAATCTTTAGGATTTATTTTTATTTGAATTTACTCGGAATTGCTTTTCTCTTGTTTTATTGGAAAGTGTAAAATTAAAATATACTTTATAGGAACCAAAAGTAAAGGAATAAAAGGAGGAGATATAAATCATGCTAGTTGAAACCAAGAATAATGTGGAAGAAGAATAATGAAATTAATATTATTACATCATAATTTAGTATTTAAAATGGTATTCTTTTGCTATGCTTCTGAATAACTTGATTTCAATATTATTGTAAAAGAATTGGAAAATGATTTATCTGCGCTTATTAATGAAAATTTAATCTGAATAAATTAATTCATAAATAAAAAAATGTTTTCTGTCATTGTCACAATTATACATCTGTTGACAACTCTAATTTCTATCATTTATGTTAGTAAAGGATTAAAGAAATTTAATTCTCCTTTATATAAGAATATAGATATCCCTGAAAGATTTAAGCCATTCAGAAGGACAGATAGAGATAATTGGAATAGATATGAAATGTACCTGTGCAGTATCATTTTATTCCCATTGAGATTGCTAATGAGCTTTGTAATATTGATATCTTTCATTATTACAATGTTTGTAGCTACCATTGGTAGAAATTTAAAATTTATATTTAGGTTTTAAACTGAAAAATCCTTGGCCAGAATCTAAATTGAAAGCTTTTAAACCAATACTATAATTCCTTGGAAAGGCATATCTTTGGGCTAATGGATTTATTTATATAAAGGAAAAAACTTTAAGGTAAAATATTATGAACAATTATTTATCATAGATTTGAAGATTTTATTCCTGGTTACTAGAGAACAGAATTAAGTAAAGGATAACCTTCGATTATTATTTCAAATCATTCTAGTTGGTATGATACCATTACTTATGTTTATAAATATTTGCCATCATATATGTCGAAAGTGTCAGTCAGCAAATACCCATTATTTGGATGGATAACAACATCATTAAAGTCAATTTATGTTGATAGAGAAAGTGAATAAAGTCGACATCAATGTGTTGCAGATCTATCTGAAAGAGTCAGATAGATTAATTAAGGCGAATTGTTTCCACCTGTAATCATATTTCCAGAAGGCACGACTACTAATGGAGAGTGTTTAATTCCCTTTAAAAGAGGAGCATTTGATCCATTATTGCCTTTGAAAATCTGCTGTCTCAAGTATTCTAAGAGAAGATTTCATCCAGTTATGGACGTTATAGGAATTGGTTACATGACACTTTTTTCTTTGAATCAACTTGCTAATGAAGTAGAAATAATTGAATTCGAAGGTCTATTCGATCCTACCTATCTTAATTTACAATAATATCCAGAAGACAAAAGAGTATGATTGATAATTTATAATAATTAGTGGGAGATATATGCAAATGCATGCAGGGAACTTATGGCCAAAGCTCTTGGTATCAGGTTGATTGAAGCTACTTATAGAGATGGAGTAGAATATCAAAATAAATATCTCAAAGGTAAATTAAAATAAGAATGAAAATTATATAAATATAATAATATGAGTAATTTTAAAAGAAATGATAATTCTAAAAAGGAAGATCCTAACAAAGCCTATTTTGGTCATCCTGAATTAGATGCCTTATTGGGAAATACACTATTAAAAGGATAAATCATTTTTATAGAGTAAGATTCACCAACAACCATCTATAAATAATTGTTGAGATACTGTATTGGCAATTCATTTCATAAAAATCATGTTTCAATCTTATTTGACCAATTCTGTGAATAATGGTCAAAAATAGTGCCTAAAAAATAAGTTGAGAATTAATCTCAATAAGAAGAAAAAGAAATGTAAAACAAGATTGCTTGGAGATATAATTAAATGTAATAACAATTCACAATTAAGAATATTGACTCCTCTATTTTTTATTTGGATTTATCCAAATCAGAAACTGAACAGACAGTTGAAAATCACTTAAAACTCAATAATTATGATGAAATAAATAACTTATAATAATTCTTGCAAATTATTACTAAATAATATTAGAAATCATTAAAAACAAGTACAGATTCTACTCTTAAAAAATTAATTATTCATGATTTTTGGGACAAGATACCTTATAATCAATAAGAACTCTATTAATTTTTATATTCTTTGAAAGTGCTCATTCGATCCTCATTTATTTTGTGTGTAATAACTCTTCCAGAAAGAAGAATGGATTTGATGCAATTTTGTGATTTTTACATTACTATCACATAACTATTCGGAAATAAAGAGTTCTCTGAATTCCAAGGAATGATTAAATTTGACAAAATAGGATGGAGCGGTTCAAATAAGTAAGTTTAATTAGATAATGATAAATGGGGAATCAAAATCACATAAAAGTCTTTGAAAATAGAGTAATTATATGAAACTGCCATAGAGGATGATTCAGAAGAAGAATAAAATAAGAAGAACAAGATTGAGTAATTTTGATGTTTCAATAAATTATGAGGATGAAAAATATACGTATATTTAGTAATTTAATAAGTAAATGTTATTTGTCAAGTAAATTTTAAAGACTTTGATCTTAAATGCTTGCAAAAGGGTCTCTATATCAATTCTAAATTACTAATTGACATCTCTAAGTTAGTATGCTTAATTGACATTGATTTTCGTTAGATATTTTATTTTAATACTTTCTATTTTGGCATGCTTCTATATTAATAATCTGAGTCACTGTCATAAAGTTTTGGATCATTTACATCTATATTGATGAATAAATATTTCAGATTCTTTCTTGGGTTAGTTAATTTAATTGGATTGTTATAATGCCTTTTTTTTTCTGGACATAATTTTTTTAAGACACAAGCGTTTCTTATTTTATATTAACCAGTAATAGTCATTTGCGGAATATTGAAATCAAAAAGGCTTGATCCTAACACTGGAGTTTATGATCTATATTATTGTTTCATTTATCAAACAGTATGTTATTAATTTTATTTATACTTAATTTCTAATAAATAAATTAATGTAATCAGACATTATTTTAAACAATGCTGTCATAAAACTAATTAGAGAATTTTAGGATAAGACGATCTATTTTAAATATTTTGTATAATACGAAAAGCCAACCTATTAAGTAAATATGTTTGACAAAATTAGAGAAAATTATATGATTTCTGGGTGAGTACAATTGATAAGTTAACAGAAAACATTTTAAAAACCAGTCTAATTAACGTGCATGAACTTTAAAATCTGTTTTCATTGTTTGAATATAAACCTCAATGTATTGAAAATGTTTTGGCTCAAATGAGAAAGGAAGGTAAAATCGTAATGGAAGGCTATAGAACTAAAGCTGTCAATATCTTACTGAAAGTTGAAAATGAGGAGAATGAAGATTTAACTACAAATAATACTCAACGCCTCTAAATTTTGTGGAACCCTCTAAAAAAGGTATTCGAGAAACTTCTAATAAAAATAAAATCTCCTACTCCCACTAAATGTCCTTACTTCTTTCATATCAAATATTTTAAAGAAAACATAATTAAATTTAAATAAGCAGTCGAAGAGGTCTCAATTAATTAATTCAACACATTTACTGCAAAATAATTAACGAAAGTAATAGATTTGCCACAACGAGAAATCTTATTTTTGATAAGTATATTTTTGGAGGCCAAACTCATTTAGAGTGTAGGATACTTTACTATAGATTCTATTAAATAAGAAGTTTTTATTTATAAATCAATGTGGCTTGTTGAGAATAATAATCTTGACTTGGCAAAAAATTAAACATTATTTTAATTGAAATGTATATTATATAGATATCATAGATTAAGAAATATTAAATTCGGATGAAAGAGAGGAATGCTATAAGAGTATAGAATTGAAGGAAAAGCAAATAAGAAAGAAAATATTGGAGAAGAAATCCCCAAATGAAATTAAATTTCACATTGCTGAAAAACTTCAATTTGAAAAATGGATTGAAAATTACGAGCATAGATTATTAATTATGTAACAAAGTCAAGCTCGTTTGAGAAATGCTGACTCAGATCTGTAAATTTAAGATATCATCTGTAAATATCATAATAATTATAATAGAATAAGTTAACCACATTCTAAAAAATAATGAAATTGACAACCTGACGTTATAAGAAAATCTTAATGAATTTATGGACCATCGTCAATAATAAGAAGAAACCCTATAAATTATGAAAAGATATGAACCAAGTGAAATTGATACTTTGTATAACAAATATTTAGAGGAAAATTAATAGATGGATGCGAATAGTTTATAAAAATAAAATACTCATAACACCCCCTTTGTTCCATTATAACCATAGAACCATAATTATGAGTTGGAAGAAAGAATTCTAGAGTTGTAATAATGAAATATTATAAATATTAATATCATATATGGATAAATCAGTGAAAATAAACGAAAAAGGAACTGGAATTACAGATTAAATTTAGAATGAAATAGTCACAATTGTTAAAAATGCCATTTAAGTGAATAAGCAATTTTTGGGGGAAGTTTGCAACCAAATTGCAAATGTTTTGTGTCAAAAATATGGAGGATGGTGGTGTTGCTTTGTAACAGATAAAGACGCCAATTACGGATCAAGATTGTTTCATTTTGATCACATGTACTTAGATGCAACAATAGAATAAAAGCGATTTACTATTTTCAAATCAGCAAAATGATTATTTCAATTAATATCCAAATCAATTAATAAATTTTCTCTAGAGGTTGATGTGGCCATATTTTCAGAGGAGAAAAGTTCAGGCTCCAATTCAAAAAGAAGTAAGTTCATTCTAACATTTAACATATTTAGTGACAATTTTGGATTATTATAAAATATACTTATTTAATCATTTTTTAGCACTTATAGGTCTTTTAACGCCATTACTTTATTTGTTTACTACTGCCGATTAGGGTCTTTATACATAATTTTGTTAATTGAATTATTAAGATTCATCTTATTGGAGATCATAAAACTATTATTAGTCAATAGTTTATCGTTTAATATCAGCTTAGTAATATTTTCCATCGGTTCCTTTAACCTAAGATACACAGAAAAGCATTACCCTTTATTGATTGGTAGTGCTACAACTTAGACAATTAATGGGATATAGCTTCTTTGTGTTGATCCCTATAATTTAGTCAGTAGGAGGTGAGGCTGATTGTTAGAAGTTCATAGGAGACTTTTTCAATTATACTATAAAATGGATGTAATAGATTACCTTATAAGGCTTCTATTTCTCTCCTTAAATAATTGATAGTATCCATTGCTTATCCTAATCTAGTTTCTAAATTAAATAATTCTCTCTTCACATCATCTTCATTGGCTTTGACTTTCACTTATTTTATTAATCCATTTATATCAACATCTCTAAATATTCTAGTTACTCTTCTTTCGATTTCATTCGCATTTTCAACTTTATGGCCAATGTCTTAAAGATCTTTTTATATTTTTCTAATTTTATCATCTTCTAGATTGCCCTGTTATTGGAATTACTCAAACATTCTATTGATTTCATCTTTAGTGACATATTTAGATTCTTCTGGAGTTGATTATTATTGTTGTTATTATTATTATTAGTATAATTATGAAAAGAACTAGAAACTATCATAACGTGACTTGAATTCTGCATCAAGAGTCTCCCAATGCACATTATTTCTGATCGACATTTCTTCTAATTTTTTAATGTCTCCTTCAAGAGTGCATATTTTATGAGGATCAATTTTAGATAATAGATAGGCTACATTTTCAGCATTTAAATTCATATCCTTTAATGCTTCAACTCTTTCTTTGGCTTCATCATTCAATCTTTAAATTCCATCTTCCAATTATTTAATTTTTTATCTATGTTAATCTAATTGATTAGAAACATCCAATTTATTTATAGCAGTGGCTAATCTGCTATTTAAATCAATTATCTTATCTCCTTATTATTTATTCTACTCAACTAATTTATCAATTAAATTGATTTTAGATTTTAATCTTGGAATATTAAGATAAATTTACAAGTCGTTCATTTCATTTAGTTATAATTTTAATTTGGATTGTTTTTCCCCTACTGTATCATCGATACCTTTGATTTAACTTCGAATGTATGCAATATCTTATTGAAATTTAATCAATTATTCGTTATTTTACATTTATTAAATCTAGAATTAAATATTGTAATTTACTTCTTTCAATATTTTATCTTCACTAGTTCTAATAGCTTCATTAACAAATTCTTCATTTGTTCTTTTCAATAATAGATCTTAACAATCATGTATTTTCCAAAGTGTTTTTCTTGAATTTAAACCAATTAAGCATACCTTTCAACATCTCTAACTGCCTCTTCAAATTTCTATATGTCTGTTGATAGTTTCTTTTCAACTGTGTCTAATTCTTGTCTTCCATTCTTCTATAAATCTTCAATCTGCTATTCTAATTGATTTTTTTATTTTCTCATCTTCTCTTTACATTCTTTAGTGTCAAACTTTGTTAACATGTCGTTTTCTAATTTTGTTAATCGTTAATCTTATCTCTAACATTAGTATCAATATCTACCTTCTTCTCTCGAAAGAGATGTTAAATCATTGAGATAACTGAAAATAGCTTTCCTCTCAATTCAGTTATAATTTTCTCTAAAGCTCCCTTTCCGAACTTTTACTTCCCTTATATTTGTGTAATGTATGTGCTTAATTAAGTTGATAATTCTTTCTCTATATCCTTGTCTGAAAACTACAATGAATCACTTAATAATTGAAACTATTCTTGAACCTAGATTATATCTAATTTTAACTAATAATATGATTTCGTTGGGTCCAAGTAATTTCTTTATGCCTTCAATTTCAACTGTGTGATTGTCAAGATCAGCTTATACTCCTTCTAAAAATTGTTTCAAATGATCATAGTTAACATCCAGTTTAAATAATGACACTCCTTTTAAACTCAACTCATCTATTATTGTATATTCAACTATACCTCCCAACTCTTTTCTACTTTTTGAACTTCCTTTGCTTTTATTATCCATTTAAATTAATAATATAAAATAAATTTATAAATGAACCTTTGCTCCACAATTATAGGCAATTCAAAACACAGAACTTAAAAATAATTGTTTAAAGCAAGAAATACATTAAGTTATCAAAATTATTCATTGTTAAATTGTTATTCATTTCTAGAAAATTGTAATTATCTCTAAAGGTGTAGAAAATTCTTAAAGAAACAAATCATATTTTATTTAGTTATAATATAAAGTATAGAGAAACTTTCTACTTTATGATAATTAAGAACAACTAATTGATAAATTTCTATAAATATTGTAAAATAGTAAGTGATTGTAAAAATTAATATCTTTTCTAAAACCTTGAATAATAACCAATCAATTTCTGATTTCAGCTAAATCTTTTTGACAGAATATCAGTTATATTTTTAGATATTTAAATTCTTCTGATATTTTCCCAATATTTTTGCTTTTTGATCTTTTCAACAGAAAAATATTTATCGAACACACATTTATATAAACCCGAATATTTATTTAAAGTTCAGCTTATTCTTCTAATAATATGATTGGATTGAAGTATAAATATAATTAGCAAATTAATATTTTGTTTGTTTCAGTGGAAATCTTGAATAATATAAGAATTCTTAAAAATATGACAATTTTTATGGATAATAAAATATATATTAAATGGTTGAATCATATTGCTTCGTTGCCGGATAATAAGATCAACTTTACTAATAGATATAATATCCAATAAAAATTATTTATGATATACTGTTCAATAATTCTCTAACAAGCAAAAATCTTATTATAACTTATAACTTATATTTAGAATGAAATGCATATAATTATTATTCGATAAATTTTGATATGATCATTTTTTATTAATAGATAATAAATATATTAGTGGAGGGATTGAATAAAATTTTACTGCATCCATTTAGTAAGTATTTAATATAATGCATTTATATAAATCTTATTTTATATTCTGTTCAAATAATTTATATTAAATGGCTTCGCTAAATAAATTAAGTAGCAATGATATTGGTAATGTTGATAGATAAATTGCTAAATTAAAGCAAGGATAAATATTGACAGAATCAGAAATCAAGAGTTTATGCATTAAAGTTTTAGTATATTGCAATTACTTAGGCGAAAGAGATTTTGTCAGATGAACCTAATATCATCTAAGTTAGAGCACCTCTTACGATTTGTGGAGATATTCATGGCCAATTCCATGATTTAATAGAACTCTTTTAAATTGGAGGAAACTTGCCAGTATTTACATTTTACAAATCTATTCTAGGACACAAATTACTTATTTCTGGGAGATTATGTAGATAGAGGTTCGCAATCTGTAGAAACATTCTCATTAATGCTCTCACTAAAAGTTAGATATAAAGATCGCATTGTTTTATTAAGAGGTATTAATCATAATATTATCAAAGGAAATCATGAAAATAGAGAAATCAATAAGATATACGGATTTTATGATGAGTGTTTCCGTAAATATGGCAATGAAATAGTTTGGAAGTAATTCACAGAAGTATTTGGCTATTTACCAATTTCTGCAATCGTAGAATAACAAGTAACATTAATTCTAATTCAACTCAAGATTTTTTGTGCCCATGGAGGTCTATCACCGGCAATGGAATCAGTCGATCAAATTAAACAATTGAATAGAGTTTAAGACATCCCACACGAGGGTTTAATGTGCGACCTTCTATGGAGTGATCCTGAAGAAACAAAAAATGGTATTGTGTTTTCTTAACACCTCTTCAGGTTGGGGTATCTCGCCAAGAGGTGCAGGGTGGACATGGGGATGTGATATCACAGAAAAATTCCTCCATTCTAATAAGCTTAAACAAATTGCTAGAGCACATTAACTAGTAATGGAAGGAATTTAAAAAGTCCATAATCAAAAGACTATTACTATCTTCTCTGCTCCAAATTATTGTTATCGTTGTGGCAATTAAGCTTGCATTGTTGAAGTCGATGAATAACTCAGAATGAATCAGTAATTCTATTCCTAATTCTAGAACCTAATTTGAGCCTCGCCCCGCGAGAAAATGAACCACATACAACTAGAAGAGTACCTGATTATTTTCTTTGAAATATATAAATATGTCATTTAATATCAATAATGTAGCTTGCAACTTTCCTCAAACATAAATTCCGTACTATTTGCTCTAAACTTCTTATTTCATTTAGGAATATCAGGATTATCAAAATAATAGGAAGTGTCATAATCTAATTTTATTGAGAATAGAACTAAGATTCATTTAAATGTTAAATTGTCAAAATCGATAAAACTATATTTATCATATTTAAATAATGTAATAACAAAGATTATTTATTAAATCATATTAATTGATCATTCTAAGCCCAATATCCAATGAAGTGTACTCAACAATTATTTACACAAAGGTTCATTATTTCCAATTATTTGTATTGTACATTACATGTTGGGTAAAACTATAAACTTAATCATATAATTTTAATTCACATTAGTCAATTCAAAAATTCCACCTAGTTTAAAGCTTATTTTTACAAAGTTTATAAGAAATGTAATTGAATTATCTATCCCTAAAGTAATCCAATTATTGATCCTAAAATAATTAATAAGAGTTGAACTCACATAACTTTGGAAATATCCTAAATTGTATCAAATTAAATACTTTCTTAAATAGTTTCCTGTTTTCACTATTTTAGGATTGAGTATAAATGTTTCTCCTCTCAAAATTTATGTTTTCTTTTATCTCCATTTTGTTCTAAAAATTTACAGGCTGATATCTTTGAAATCCATAAATGAAACTAAAGTGGTTGTTAAAAAGAAATTTGATGATATTTATTTGTTTGCCCATTGAGCTAATCATAAATCAATAATAATTTATTACAAGCAAATAATACATTTACTAATCTATAATTTTCATACTATTTAAAAATTCCTATTACTTCCTATTATATTTGTTGCCCTGCTTCGATTTTATCTACCATCTTATCTGGTTTTAACCACATCGAAAATTCTTAGAAATACTAATAATATGTACATTTACTATCTCCTTCAAATTGTATTTTACAGCTATCAAAGTTAGATTGAGTTTTATTGCCAATATATAAGGTTAGTTTTAAATAGATTTTCTCTTTCAAAGGAACATATTGTAATTCTTATTTAATCCCGACTTAAAGTTATGGAGAGTTTACTAATGTTGCTCTACCCTTTATAGTGGCTATTTTGAAACGTTTCTTTTGAGATTCTGTTAAACCATACATATGTAATAACTCAAATTAAGTATTATCATATTTGACAAATTTACCAATATATTATTTTATAGGTATTTATTGATCCATTTTTAAAGGGAAAAATGATTAAGTTAAAGTAGATTGACTCAATCCATCGAAATTTTCATCAAATTCCTTTCTTTTTCCAATATTAGAGGTTATATGATTCATTGGAAGTTATTCTCTTGTATTTTAATCATGAAACTATTAGAAATTATTATTATTTTATTCAAATTAGTTTGCATAAGCCTATTTTTATTACTAATTAACTGTAGAATACATATAATTAGTATTAATTATTCCATTTTATTATTAATTAGCTGATTTTTTTTATTAAAATGACGATTCCATAAATGATTAAGCTTATTATTATTATTTTTAAGGAATTGTATTTGATCCTAATTTTGTTAGTGTTATATATTACTAATTATCTGGATTAGGAGTTTGAAATTAATTGTTCCAATAATTTTCAATTTCCTTCTGTTTCATCTATGATTATTGTTATTATATTGCTTCTGATCTCTTTTATTCTGATTTTACCTGCTCTAATTTTAATTGTCCTTTTCTATTTTCTTCCAATCTTAATTATTCTTATTTAACTTATTCTTATCTAATTTACTCGTATCTAATTTATTCTTGCTTTTCTTTTTCTTTTCTTTCATTTTCTCTTCTTTATTCTTCTGCCCTCGATTACTCCTATTTAATTTATTCTTCTCTAAGTTTTGCTAAATGTTAGTCTTCTTACTATTTATTTATTTCCAATAGTTTCTTTTACTCATTAAATTATTTCTATTAAATTTAAGAATTTTGTTGCCACATTTTAGATTCTTCAATTGCTTTCTTCAACATTTCATCTTCATTTTAAAATTAGGATTAAAATTACTGAGATTATTATTACATTGTCTGCTTATATTATTAGGGAGGAGGATTATCGAAATCTTTATTTTATATTTTCTAAATGTGAGCCAAAGTCCTCTTTTTTAATTAATTATAAGCATCGGAACTACATTCCTGTTCTAGAAAGGCATAATAATATATTTGGAATTTCTTAACGAAATCTTATAGAGCGTGTAGTTCTGCTAATTCATCTTCACTCAAAACACCTTCATATTCATTGGCCTTATAAATAAGACTTGCAAATTATTTTTCTATGAAGTTCATAGATTCACTTAAATTAACTAATACTTCATTAATATATCCCATATCAAAATTATTAACCAATGTTTCATTGATCATTTCAATATCTTAGTAAATGGTTTGTTTGCTTTCATCTTAAGTAATAATTTGTAGTTACTTAATTTGAGCATAGTTTCATCTCTCTCTTTATTATTGTTTTGCTACTTTTGTGAAACAATGTTGGGATCAAGCGGTAAAATAAGACTTGATTAAGGTGGAAATTTAACCTAATGTTTTATATGAAACATGTACTCCCATTTAGACTAATTCATCATATTAGATTTTAAATTTAGTAGGTGCTCCCTTAGAATCCTTCGGAAATGTTGTAGCAAGGAACTCAACCAATTAGAGAGCCAAGTTTAAGAATTCAATACTTGATTGCGAATCTAAACTAATTTCAAATCGAACCTTGTCCATAAAATAAATCAGCACCTCGATTGAGATTGGAATCTCCTAATTTATGAGTACAGATATTTCCGATAAATGTCATCAAAGGTCTAGTTTAAATATATTTGTTTATAAATTTGCCAGATTTTATGAGTATTGCATCTTTGATAAGCTAAGATAAGATTGAAAATACTCTCAAGATTAATAATTTCTTTAAGGGTGGTTCATTTGAATTAAAAATTTGGACAGCATATTCAAGAGTGGCATCGATTAATTCAATATCATTAGCTTTTAGTTTTTCAATAATTTTTTATGCATTCCTGTTGTAGGCTGCTTAGTCTTGAGTGACAGTTTGTAATTATATTTTTTGCATTAATAATATGAATTAAATTTTGTAAATACCTCCAAAGTATTATGCAAATTACAATAAGAGTCAACCAAAAGAATATTGGGACTATGATAATTTTGAGAATGAATGGGGAGTATCAACTAAATATTTAATTTTAATAGGATAGCGATTAATATGAAGTGATAAGGAAGATAGGGAGGGGGAAATATTCAGATGTGTATGAAGGAATCAAATATCCTTAAGGAACAAGAGTAGTGATTAAAGTGTTGAAACCAGTGAAGAAATAGAAGATAAAAAGAGAAACTAAAATATTACTCACAATTAGAGGTCATCCAAATGTGATAGAGTTGTCAGACATTGTTAGAGATCCATCGTCTAAAACACCATGTTTGATTTTTGATTACATCGATCATGTTGATTTTAGAAGTTTGTTCCCTAAATTAACTGATATTGATATAAGATTCTACCTTTTTGAATTAATTAAAGCCTTAGATTATTGTCATTCCAAAGGTATAATGCATAGAGATGTAAAACCACAAAATATAATTGTTGATCCGAAAAAGAAATTGTTAAAATTGCTTGATTTTGGATTGGCTGAGTATTACCATCCAGGACAAGATTACAACGTGAGAGTTGCATCACGTTATTTCAAAGGACCAGAATTATTAGTTGATAATGTATATTATGATTATTCATTGGATATATGGAGCACTGGAGCAATGATGGCATCTATGGTATCTAATTTAGATAACTTTAGATCTTTAAAAAAGAACCTTTTTTTTAAGGATAAGATAATTATGATTAATTAGTCGTGATTTCGAAGGTGTTGGGTACTGAAGAGTTACAAGCTTACATTAAGAAATATAGAATTAGATTGGATCCTGTATTGGAATCTAAATTAGGAAAGTAAAAATAAAATCTTTGTTTAATAGTTATCCAAAGAAGGAGTGGGTAAAATTTATTAATGCAGAAAATAAACATTTATGTAGCGATGAGGCTATTGACATTCTCTCAAGAATGCTTGTTTATGATCATGTAAAACTACTCTCTTATTTCAGGCCCTCAGAATTACACCAAAAGATGCCATGGATCATCCATATTTCTTACCTGTCAAAGGAAAATGATTATCATTGTTATTAAATTTATGATAAATAAACAATCATCGATCATCTTAACAGCTTGTTATCTTAATCGTTTAGCAGTTTTCTGATAGATTAAATTAGTCTTCATACATTTTTTGATGTTTCAGAGAATTGGAAAATTTTATTTAAGATTCTTACTCTAATTAGAAAATATAATCTTAATAGAAATTCCTAATTCTGAATGCTTAAATCACAACCCAGGACTTATTTTTTTTCACTATTCTTAATCATATATCTTATTGTTTCATATTTGAACATAGTATTATAGTTTCAACCCTAAATCAATCATATTTATCACTTTTTTTCCATTCTAAATACCTCAAAATGATGGTTTTTTATTGCAGATTATACAAATTAATATGCATAGACTTTAGCAGTTATCAATAAACTATGGAAATATCAAGTAGTTATACTGAAGGGAGACTTCACCCTTATGTTTTCACTTTTCCTTGGTTAAATGCATTGTCAAAAAACATTAATATAAATAAATAAAATTATAATAGTTATAAATTTGATGAGATTGTAGATAACAGAATAAAAATATTTAATTCTGAAGAATTCAAGTAAAAAAAATTGAATAATTATTATTAAAAATAACACGTTTTATTAATTTATTTAATTAATGTTTTTGCTTCTTTTACTTTCAAACATTTAAGCACTTTCAACTGGATTAGATGGTGGTAAAGATTTATGTTTGGGAGTCTAAGGAAAGAAAACAGCATTATTTTAAATCTCATTTGTAGTTTCCGGTTTCTAGGAAGACAATATTGAAATGAAAGTAAATTGAGAATCTTACATTTTAGTTCTATTCTCCAAGAAAAACTCTTTTGAAATCTAGTATAAAATAGAAGGAAGGCAATTACAAAGAAATAATGACAGACGATGGATAATATGAAGTTTGCTTCAAATCATTAGATAAATATTATAAATTGATTAGTTTTAATTTTGATTTCGTAGAAGAAAATGATTTGGCATTGGCAGGTAAATCATTATTTTATATGAATAGAAACTATGGATTAAATGGCTGAAGATATGAAATAAGCTTATAGAAGTTTAAAGTCAATCTAAAATAATTAACATTATTAAAACGATAGAGAAAATGAACATCAAAGAATGTTAGAATCAACAGAGAAGAAATTATGGTGGTGTTCAGCTGGTAAGATGGGAGCCTTAATCGTGATATGCATTTCTCAAATATATATGTTAACAGGATACTTCAAAGGGAAATCATTTGGTCCAAATGTTTGAGATTTTTATATAAATTAATATATTTATGGATTAAAAGCTAGATCATGCAAACATCATTTTGACTTAATTGGAGTCAGCGGAAACCTTAAACTCTATGGAAGTAGCAAAAACTTTGTCTATTAACCATCAAGATCTAGTTGGTTGTCTTTTACAATTAGAGTCTGCAAATTATATTAAAACAGAGGTACAAAAATACTCTTAAATAAAAATAGGGATTAAAATAGGATTAATTGATCTTGACTGATGAAGGCAATACCATATTAAATTCTTAATCAGGAGAGTATGAAATCTATTAAAAAATACCAGAAGCAGGAATATCAATGGTTGATTTATAAAAGTTATTTGGAATTGAATAAGTGCCAAAAGTTAAATAAGAATAAGGAGAAAAGAAAGAAAAATAAGCTGAAGATCCTAAAAAGAAATAATTTGATTTAGGTTTTGGAAACGCTAAGAAGATGGGTTATATTAAAATGGACAAAGGAGTTATCACTAAAATTGCCAATGATTTACCTGATAAAATTAAATTGGAATTGTCATCATTAAAAACTATTTAATTAGGTTCATAATAGGCTAAATTATTGATTGAAAGGAAACTTGCTATGATTTCAACTATTAAGTATTTTGAAATCAAAAAAGGTATTAAATACGCTCCAAACTTCAGAGAATAATTTGCAGCTTTAACAACAGAGTAATTATTAAGTGGAGAGTGGAAAGAGTGTGAATACAAAAGCATTAATTTAAATGCTGAAGGAGAAAAGAGTAATAAGTCTAATATTTATAATTCTAGTTTCTATGGGTAATTTACATCCTCTTTTAAAAGTAAGGAAATAGTTTTCATAAATATTGATTGGACTAGGATTTGAAGAAATGCCAACTAATCAATTTGTGGAATCTTCCTTCTGGAATTTCGATGCTCTATTTTAACCATAAAAACATCCAGCAAGAGATGCTCATGATACTTTCTTTTGCAGTGATCCAGAATTGAGCGAAGAGGTTGATATAACTGTTAGAGATAAAGTGAAAGCTATGCACTAAACAGGAGGTGTTGGTAGTATTGGGTATCAATATGAATGGTCTCATGAAGAAGCCAGAAAAAATATATTAAGGACACACACAACTGCTGTCTCATCTAAAATGTTACATAGAATTGCATAACAATATAAGGAGAAAGGTTACTTCCCTAAGAAATACTTTAGCATTGATAAAGTTTTTAGAAATGAAACTTTAGATGCTACTCATTTAGCTGAGTTCCACTAAATAGAAGGTGTTGTTATTGACAAGAATGCTTCATTGGGATAACTGATGGGTATAATTAGAGAATTCTTTAGGTAAATTGGAATTAATAAATTGTGGTTTAAACCTACATATAATCCATATACTGAACCCAGTATGGAAATTTATGGTAATAAATATTAATAAATATTATAGGATATCACCCTGTTTTGAAAAAGAAAGTAGAAATAGGCAATTCTGGTGTATTTAGACCTGAAATGTTGGCACCTCTTGGAATTCCAGAGGATGTGAATGTAATTGCATGGGGATTAGGATTGGAAAGGCCCACTATGATTTATTACGATATAAGAGATATAAGAACTATGGTAGGACCTGAAGTCAAAGTTGAAACAGTTAGATCAAATGCATTTTGTGTCTTTGAAAGTAAATGATATATTGTTATATAAATAATATATAACAATAATCTGAAATAATCAATTAGTATTAAATTTTTATCTTCTTTCCTCCTTTTTTCTGTATTTATTTCTAATCTAATTACAAATATGTCGAAATGAATTTGTGAAAAAATTGTAAATTTATCAGTTCCACCATTTGTTAACTACTCATAACAATTTAGACAATTCTATTAAATTCAAAATTTCTTTATTTAATTTTGAATAATTTGCCATAAATTCCTAGTTTCTGGAAATATTATTTCAATTGCTGAATCATTTTTGATATTTTTACTAAACAATCTCGCTGAATCTAGATTTAGGTGAACTATTGTTAAAAGGCTAACTAGTATACAAAATTAATAGCATTGTAATCAATTTTTTATTCATGAAAAATATTAATATTCATTTGATATTTTCCGAAGAATCAATTATAATTATATTTCTCTTGAATGAATTTGATAATACTTGACTATTTTCAAATTGTAAAATTACACATAAATGATAATTGATAGATTTTGGAGGTTGTACTAAAATTATTGTTTAACATAAATTGAGTTTATGTATAATTTGATTTCTGTTAATCAATAAAATGGATTTCATAATTATATTAGAATAAATAGTAGAACGATAAAAAAGTTAGGAGATCATAGGAAAAACATTCTTAACATGATATTGTTATTTTTCCTAGAAAATCAGAAAAAGAATTTTCTGGAATTGCGTCAAAATTGTTTTTAATAATCCTTAGGTTTATTAAATAGAAATATAGATTTAATATTTATTATTTATGATTAACATTTAAACGCTCATTTTTGGATAGAATATTTACACTTGTCGTTTAAGCTCTTCCATAGTTCCTTTATTTAATATACTAAACTGTCGAATACTAATTAATTATTTAAATTATGGAATAATTTTAATTATAAAATCTCTTTGTTGAGAAAAGATAAGTGTTATCAAATACAAGTTAATCATTTTAAGGGGTTAAAGAGAGATTAGGCAAATACCCTAAACTAGAAGTCAAAAAATAACACCTCAGGATAATTAATGGAGTTTTCAAGAAAAATATGTTCAATTCCAGGTTAAAATTTAATATCAATAATTGTATTTTCTTGTAAATAGCTACTCCTGATTTCTCTGGCTGTTACTTTGGTTTCCAATTTATTTATTTTTGATTCTGCCATTTTACATAAATAAATAAAACATTAAATTAGTCGTTTATGAATTTAGGATCAAATTTTATCAATTAATAACCTGTTTTATTCTTAAACTACTAAGGTATTATTTGATCTAATGAATATTTAGCATAAATTATAATGTGCTGAATGAATTTTTAAGGAGTAAAATTTTATTTATAAAATATTAATTAAGCTAAATTTCCTAATTAATCAACTTAATAACAATTTATTGGGTTATAATAGGGGATTATTTTATGATCCTAACGAATGGATTTATATAAAAAATATATTAATAGATTTTTTTAAAATAAATAATAATAAAATTTTCTTGTTGACATTTGTGTAATGATGGAAAAGAGAGATTAAAAGTAAAAGTTGAATTTTAAACAACGAAGATTCAAAGCTGAATAATCTTGAGCTTTATAACGCGAGATTAATGCGGGTAAAAAATATAATTAATAATTAAAAAGAGGCGGGTAATGCAATCAGAAGATAAGCTAAAGAAGCAATCAAAGTTAGTTATAGATAATGTAAGTTCATAATTGAATGTAGTCTGATGAGGAAGAGATCTGTAAAAAAGTGAAATTAGAAGATCCATCTTATTCTGAGGAAGAAGAGGAAGTTGTGGATGTGGAAGAGCTAGAGGAATCAGAGGAAGAGGAAAAAGGAAAGAAAAACAAAAAACAGGAGCCCATTGAGGTAATATTTGTAAATATAATAAATAGGATGTAGATTATATATATGTAGACAAATTGCCTAATTCTGAAGCAATGTTAAGAGATTTAAAAAAACAAGTAGAGCAAAGAATTAAATGTTACAAAATGAAATACATTCAAGAATATCAGGAGAATCATACAAAATAGAGTTTCGTTCACAATGATGCAATTCCAATATGTACTGATGTTAGACTAATGGATTTTTAAGTAAATTTAATTCGTGATAATTTAAGAAATTAAGAGATGAATAATTGAAAATAGCAGGGCAATTGTTCGATGTAATAATGATGGATCCACCTTGGCAATTGTCAAGTTCACAACCATCAAGAGGAGTTGCAATTGCTTATTCTTCATTGGCTGATGAAAATATTAGTAAAATGCCAATAGAAACATTGTAAGAGAACGGTATAATCTTAATATGGTAAAATTATTAATTAATTATTAAGGACTATTAACGCTAAATATAAGGTGACATGTAAGTTAATTGAATAATGGGGCTACAAATTAATTGATGAAATTATCTGGTGTAAGAAGACTGTTAATGGCAAAATTGCTAAAGGACACGGATTTTACTTATAACATGCCAAAGAGAACTGTTTAGTTGGTGTAAAGGTAGCAATTCACAGTATTTATTTAACATAGGGTAACATAAATTTGGATCCCAACAGATTTAGAAAAGGTGTTGCCAGTGACATTATCTTTAGTGAAAGGAGAGGTTAAAGTTAGAAGCCAGAAGAAATATATTAGTATGTTGAATAACTAGTTCCAAATGGTAAATACATCATTATATTTAAGGATATTATTTAGAGATATTTGGTAGAAGGAATAATGTCAGAAAGAATTGGGTAACAATTGGAAATGAATTATGACTTTGTTTCTATTTATCGTTTTCATATTATTTCTATAAATAATTTATGCATTCTTTATAAATCTAAAGTAACTTATAAGATGGAAGAAATATGTGATATACTTATTAATAAGATTGTAAGTATTTAAATCTATTGTTAGGCATTATTTGATTATACAATAAAAAAGTATTAAACTATAATTATTAAAAAATTAAATAAATGACGAATAATGAGTAGAAAAGTGCTTTTTTTATAAATTCATTATTGGTTGGCATGATTTTAGTGGGTACATTCAACACTTTAGTCTATAAGTATTAAAATACAACCATTATAGATGGGGTAACATTTATACACCCTTATATGCAAGTATTATTAATATCAATATATAGGCTTTATGTATGTTTGTAGGTGAAGCAACTTGTTTAGTTTTCTATTTCATATTTTAAATGAAAGCTGAAAAAGATCCAAATAAAGAAGATGGAGGATTTAAAATATTGGCAATTCCAGCATTGTTTGATGGGATTACATCGTCTTTACAACACGTCGCCTTAAATTTCATTCCGTCATCTATTTATTAAATGTTGAGAGGAGGAGTATGAATATAACCATCTAGCTTATGATAGTAACAGCCGCATTTTCAAAATTCGTACTAAAGAAAAAATTGTCAAATCAGCAACAATTTGGAATTCTATTGGCAATCTTAGGCATATTCATTGTGGGATTGTCAAACTTTTTATTTAGAAAGACAACAACTGATGATTTCAGTTGGGAAATAAAATTGATATCAATAGCCTTAATTATAGTGTCCCTTTTTACTTAAGCAGCCCAATATATATTCGAAGAAAAACTATTTTAATAATATAATTATCATGTATTCTATGTTGTGGGTGTTGAAGGAATGTGGGGGTTATTATACTTTGGTATAGTTATGCCTATTCTCAATTTCATACCTTGTAATTTTAAAGAAGGATGTGTATTTCGAAATGGTTAAGGATATTGGGAATGTACTGATGTATTCTTTCAACAATTAGGAGCAGACGTATGGTTGACAGTATCTGTCGTTATGGGTATCTTTAGTATTGCTCTTTTTAATATATTTGGTGTTAATGTTACTAAGTATGTTTCGGCTTTGACTCGTACAGTTGTTGACACTATTAGAACAATTTTAATTTGGGGTATTGGATTGATAGTCACTGCTACAACTTCTAGAGTATGGGAAAACACATCAAAGTGGGCTAATTTGATGGAATTAGTTGGTTTTGCTTTATTAGTCTTTGGCAATTTGATTTATAAGGAGATGTTGAAAATCAAATTTCTCTAAAATAAAAAGCAAGTATTAATGGAGGAACAATGATTAACAATAAGAATTATTTAAAATATACCCAATCTAATATATGATTGATTTCAAATTTGTCCTGCCTATCTAACGCTTGAAGTGCCAGTTCTTACAGTTGATCTAGTGACTGTTGTAGTTGCAGTGGCTGCCTAGTATATTTATTATTAATACTCTGGCTTTCTCCTTCTTTAAGGCTTCCAATTCAATTTCGACGTTCATTAACTTCTCTTAAGCTTCATTATAATCATGATTCACTTCTTAAAACTTCCTTTTCCACACTTCAACTTCACTATTATTCTATGTCACTCTTTCTGTTATCAAAGTACTCTCTTATGCTTGCTATAATTCGATTTGTAAATGCTCATTTTCCTCTTCAAGTTCCTTGATCTTACAATATCTTATTATTTCATACTCTTGCGTAATCTATTTCCTTTATTACTTTGATTTCTTTTTTTTTCTCCAATTCTTTTATTACTGATTGTAGATATAGACATTCTTCTCTCCACGGCTGCTCAATTTCTTCTCTTGATACTATCACAACAGAAACAACCATCTATTATTTTGTACAGCATTAAAATTCACTATCAACCTATGTTTAACTTATTCCACTTCCAGCATTATTTATTTGGAAGCTCTATCCAGGATTTATCACAGAACACGATCGGTAATTTGTATTAAGTACTCTGCTTGCATATGAATTATATTTCTCCTTTTTGTGCCAAAATTAATAAGCCTCTGGTCTTTCAATCTTCTTAACAGCATAGTCTTCCTTTAACAATGTAGGTTCAGTTGTATATGATGTATACTATTCATAATGTTCAATAATACTTGTTTTATGGTCTCTGGTTGCTAAGTATTTATTTATCTCTCGATAAAAGATTCCTATTTTGTCGAAATAAATGTACTCATATCTTCAAAAAAAAAATTATTTCTCAATTAATTCACAATATAATTTATATCATCATACTCAATAATTTATATTAATGGCAGAATAAATTTTTAATATTTTCAATATGGTTTTAGGTTTAACACTTATGTCTTCAACCTAAATTGTACTTTGCTGGAAAATATTGGTTTTACATAAAAATCTGTTTCTAAAAATATCTTCTTAAACTTAATCTTCTCCCCCCATAGTAAAAATATGTCTCATTACAATATCTTAAGTTGCAATTGTATAAATTAAATCTAAAAATCAAAAAAGCGATGTGTTTTTTGTAATTCAAAAAAAAATGATTCTTTTAAATAATATAATTTAGAAGAATGCACTCTTAATTCAACCAAATTTGAAAATGATGTTGACCTTTCATAATAAACTAATGAAACATTCTATCTATTTAAGATAAATAATGATACTTAGTAAAATGTCGCTATTTAGAACAAAAGTAAAATTATAAAAATTTCACTTAAATATTAGAAAGGAAAAATATTATGAATTTATTAGTGAACAAGAAATACATAAATTTTTAGATTATAAAGTGTTGTTTATAAGAAAACAATTTATAAAAAAGAATAAATCTATTTGAAAGAATGAATTAAAAGTAGACATTAAATTGAAATAATTTAATAAAATATCATCCTTTTAAAAACATTCAATACTTTATTTGATTATTGGAAATTAGAATTAAACGTTTATATAATATAAAGAGAATATAATTCTTTTCAGGAAATATACAAAAATTATTCGAATATTGGAAAGTATTATAACAATTATTTAAATTTTTGTAGATTATTGGAAATGTTAATTTGAGAAAATAAAAATTATTGATAAAATTTCAAATAATTTAATTCAAATATTAATCGAAGAAAATATTTCAACTTGATATCATTATTGGAAAATCCTGAGAATAATTTAAATATTATATGAACTTATATTCTTCAATGAGTGTATCCTTACTTAATTTGATTATTCATAATTATTCATAATAATTAAATTCCTGATACTTAATTTACATTTATTCAATAAAAGTATCACTTCTTATTTGATTATTGAAAATTATTCATAATAATTTAGTTTTTATACTGAAAATACATTTATAGCACATTTAGTAAATATATAATTCATAAATGTAGAATATAATGTAACTATTCAAATTATTCATAACTATCCTAATATTATTCATAAATATATTTACATTATTAAATAAATCATTATCTAATTATTCAAATTATTCATAATTATTTGAAGTATTTTATTTTGAAAAAATTAAATAATTTAATCATTCCTCTACAATTTGTTTGCCTTATTAATGATAAATTACGTTACTTTTAAATTTATTGGAGGTAAATTTTCAACATATAAATGATATAATTATTGAATTTAGTTTTTTGTATTTTAATATGAATGAATCATAAAAGAATGAATTTTCATAATTCAAATATTGTGTAACTTATTATAAATATTATTTATTAGTTGTTCAATTTACGGAATGATATAATTCGACAGATCTATTTTAATCATTTGGAATTATTTGGATGTATATCTTAATTAGGAATGAGTCGATATCAGCTAAGGATGATTCATAACAATTTTCAATATATTCAATTATATTAAGAATTTACATTTATTTGTAAGGGCTTCTGATTTAAATAATTAAACTGATTCTCCACTAATCATAATTAAAGATATAAAAATGGATACTCTATTATTTAAAGAATATTTTAATTAAGTATGCCCCTAAACAATATTCAAAGTAGGTCCTTGTAAGGAATCAGATTTGATTGCATAACTTTAAAGTTTTTAATGCAGGAACCCTTGTTTACAATTCAAAAAGTAATTTTTTAATTCTATTGGCATTGTCAATAGTGTCTATTTTTTAGCGAATACAGGTTCATCGACATAAATAAATTTATCTTTCATTATAATGAAAACTATTATAAAATATAGATTTTTCACTTAATGATCCAATAATTGTATGATTGCTTTCCAAATCTGATTATTTTAAAAAGAACTGTTTAATAATGCTGTTTATTTGTAAATTCCTTAAACATATACAATATTTATAGTTTTGAAAAATAATCAAATTATTTAGAACTTTCTAGAATTTGTTCTTAGAATTCCATTAGACCCAATGATGATGAAATATGGGTTAAACATTCCAATCCAAGACATCTCACTAAGAATATTGATTTAAAAATAAATTCTGAAGTTGATGATTAAATTGTTTTTAAAAATATCTCTTGCATTTGTTTCATAAAGTAGTGAATGATTTTAAAAATATTTCATTATCCAATAAACTAGTTCGTATTACAATGATTAGAATTTTTCTAATTAATCTTGAGTAATTTTCTATTTACTTATCTTAAAATCTAGGTTCTAAGTATATATTTCTAAAATTAAAATTAGGTGCTTAATTAGCCACTCATTTAGTAATTGATAAGTTCTCATTGTGGTTAGTAATGTATTTTAAAAAGAATTTAAAAATGGTCTTGTTGAATGCTCTGCTCCTTTAAGTTGTTTGGCCCTTTATGGTGAAACCTCCTTTAACTACAGAAACCCTTTATTATACTATTGCATGTTTTACTAAGGAATAATCTTCATCTTCTTAAAACTTTAGTAGAAGGTAAACAATTTAAGTAATTAATAATTAAGAGAACAGTAATTTAAAAAGGAGTTTTGGAGTAGATCAATAAGTTATAGAGTAAGAGTAAATGTTGTTATAATCAAAAGATCCTTCTAAAATGTATAGATTGTAAAAAGTATATGGGAATGGATGTGTTGCTCTTCAAAATGTACCTCCTTAATTAATAAAAGTGGTGGATATGTGAAAATAAAAAATTAGGTAGTCCATAGAGGAAATTATGAAATATTTTAAGAGGTCTATGTCCATAATTTGATTGCATCTGAGAAAATGTAACACCTAAAGAACTTTTAAGTCGAGAAGATTTATGTGAGTCAGTTATCGGTTTATGTTATATTCGAATGTTAAATATAAATATAAAACAGAATTATAACAAAAACAAGAATATATTCGATTAATACCTACTTTTTGTAAACAATGCAATTAGAGAAGTATAATAACAGATAAAGTGATCGATTATCAGGTGGAAACAAAAGGACATTATGTGTTAGTAATGTATTAATTCGAGGACCATGTTTTTAATTCATTGATGAGCCGAGTACAGATGTTGATCCAATTGCGAAAAGATTTTTATGGAGAACTTTGAAGTTGGGAGTATAGTTGAGACAAAAGGGAGTTTAATATTAACTACTCATACTACGGATGAGGCTGAGAATCTGCGCGATAAGATTGCAATTTTAGTGAAGGGATAAATTTATTGTTTGGGCAGTCCATAAGAATTGAGAATTAAATATGGGGATGGCTATGATATGAAATTAAGAGAATATAAGAATAGACAAGAGATAACACAATTTCTTAAGTAACAATTTAAAAATATCACCCAAATCGGAGAGAAGGATCAAGAAAATTTATAATTCCATATAAACTATCGTAAGTTCTAATTATTAGATACCTGGTAAGTCTTTCGATTTTACAATGCCTATTTCTCACTGGCTGAACTTGTCTAAAGAAATTTGATCCATAATTTCTCAATCAATCAATCCTCTTTAGAATCTGTATTTCTGTAATTTTAAAAACAAATTGATTAATATAATTGATAATTATTATGAAATATTTTTATAATATATTAAAACCTGTAGCTTTAAAGAGAAAAATTACCAGAAATAATAATGTGGAAAAGCAGAAAAATATTGTATAAAATTCTGATTGACAATAATCTATTATTACCAAACAAATAAGCCTGTCTAGAATAATTAACTAAGCTAGGGATAAACTATATTGCACATCACCATGACCCTGTTCCAACAATGGATGATGTTGTTAAAATTCAAGTGACAAACGGTACAGCTTATGTTAAGAATCTATTATATGTTGATAAGAAAGTAAACATCCCACTCATTAACTTATAGTAAAATTATTATTTAATCTTGGCCAATCACACAACACATGTTGGTAAATTATTTTGGAAAACACTTGGATTATCATCAGGAAACATGAGAATAAGTAAAGAAGAACAAGTTATAGAAGCTTTAAAGTCAAGTAAAGGAAATGTAAACCCTTTTTCTATTGCGAATGATTCAAATAATCGAGTAAATGGTATTTAAATTAATGAAAGGTTAAAAATATAATTATTGATGAAGAATTGACTAAGTTTTAAAAGCTAGCATTGCATCCAATCGAAAATACAACTACTATCGAAATTTCTCTAGATGATTTGTAGAATAAATTCTTGAAAGCATTAAATAGGCAATATACAATAACATAATTGACTGATGCATCAGCTGAATAACAATTGTAATAACTAAAATAATAATAAAATGATTAACAAAATCTATAAACCTTAGCAATTACAGTAAAAAAATCTGATTTCTCTGAATGGTATCAATAAGTAATTAGAAAAGCAGAAATGATTGAATATTATGATGTCAGTGGATGTTATATTTTGAGACCATGGTCATATTTCATATGGGAATAAATATAAAGATACTTTGATGATCTTATTAGAACAGAAGATGTTGAAAATACTTATTTTCCTATGTTTCTATCTGCTTAGCAATTGAATAAAGAGAAGGAACATGTAGAGGGATTCAAGGCAGAAGTAGCTTGGGTAACTAAGTATGGTGAGAGCGATTTAAATGAACACTTAGCTATTAGACCAACATCTGAAACTATTATGTATCCAGCATTCGCAAAATGGGTTTAGAGTCATAGAGATCTACCATTGAAAGTGAATTAATGGACAAACATTGTGAGATGGGAATTTAAATATCCGACACCATTCATAAGAACAAGAGAATTTTTATGGTAAGAAGGACATACAGCTCATTTTACAAAGGAGGAAGCCGTTAAATAAGTTTATACTATTCTGAACTTCTATGAACAAGTATATGGTGAATTATTGGCAGTTCCTGTGATTAAAGGAGTAATAGATAATATTATGAATAGATTAAAACAGAATCAGAAAAGTTTGCAGGAGGTGATTTTACTACTACAGTAGAAACTATAATTCCATAGAATGGAAGGGGATTACAAGGAGCCACATCTCATCATTTAGGTTAAAATTTTAGCAAGATGTTTGAGATTAAGTTTGAAGATGATAAGAGATAGAAAGCATTTGCATGGTAGACTAGTTGGGGTTTAACAACAAGATCTATTGGTGCCATGATTATGTTCCATGGTGATGATAAGGGATTAGTATTACCTCCAAGGGTTGCTAAATATTAAATTGTTATCATTCCTATTATTAATAAAGATCTTGATGAAAAGCAATTAAATGAAAAATGTGAAGAAATCAAATAAATGTATTTATAATAGAATAAATCTTAGATTAATCAAATAAAGGTTAAGAGTTCACTTTGATAATAGAGATAACTATTCTCCAGGATGGAAATTTAATAAATGGGAATAGAAGGGAGTTCCTATTAGATTGGAGATTGGACCAGGAGAATTCAAAAATAATGAAGTTAGAGTTGTATAAAGATTTGACAATAAGAAATATTAAATTAAAATAGAAGATCTAAATTAATTAAATTAAATTCTAGATAATATTCATAATGCTATGTTTGAAAAAGCTTAAATAGAACTAAAGTAAAGAATCAAACAGGCTGATAATTGGAAAGATTTTATGAATCAATTAAATCAAAGAAATACAATATTAACTAAATGGTATTCTATTAATTCATTCATGAAGGTGTTAAAGAGATGAATGTGAATAGTAAGTTAAAACAAAATCAGGAATAGAATCAAAAGAGAAGGATTCAGAAATTAATGGGTAAGTTCAACTTACTGGTAGTGCCAAGACTTTATGTATGCCATTGAAACAAGATGAGATTAAGGAGGGTGAGGGATGTTTCCATTGTGGCCAATAAGCCAAGAAATATGTTTTATGGGGAAGATCATATTGACAATGTTAATATATTAAATAATATAAAATTAACATTAACTTTCAAATTATTTAATTATTTTAATAATATTAAAAGATGAGTTGGAAAGTAAATGTGTTTACATAACCAAGATGAAAGAATCCGTTCCCAGAGTGAAATTAACACATTTATCAAAAACCAATATTATTGATGTATGGGCTCACAATTTCATGGCTGAGATCACAGAAATAGCTTCACTTATTGAAGAATTTAATGTTATATCATTAGTACAGATTTCTATGATTTTAGGATACCGAATTTCCAGGAACTGAGTATAATCAACCAGAAAATGACGATAAGGTGAGTTGAATGTCAAATAATAGGATTATGAATATTAATAATTAGTAAGAAATGTTTAAAAATACAAACTTATATAACTTGGTATAAGCTTAGCAAATGAAGCTGGCGAAGTACCTTTGGTTAAGAACACTTGGCAATTTCATTTTAAATTTAATGCATAGTATCTGAATAAATAATATTAGATATGATCAATTGATGAATCCTGTTAAGGTTATGCTAGAATAGGCAGGAATCAGATTTGATGACTTAGCATCGAAAGGAATAGATTACTCCTTATTTTGTGAAGTAGTTACTGGAAGTGGTATAATTAAAACTTACATAAATAAGGACTAATCTTAAATGATGACACTAAGTATGTAGTATTTCATGGAGAATTTGACTTCGGTTACTTATTACATTTGTTTCATCATTCTGGAATTCCAGATACACAAGAAGAATTTTATAAAATGATGAAGCTTTACTTTCCATAAATTTATGATTTGAAATACATTTTAAAAGACAATCAAAAATACAAGGATGCAGGATTAAGTAGATTAGCTAGCAAAGTTGAAGTGACTCGTATAGGTCCTGAACATTAAGCAGGATCAGATGCTTTACTTACCTTACAATGCTATTATCAATTGAAGTTTTGTTACCCAGACTTATTAGGTGATTTTGACAAAAATATGAACATAATCTATGGCATTGGTAAAGGATATGTTCCGAATAAGTATTCAAATCCTTAATGTTTAGTCGTCGAAAAACTTATGCACCAAGTTCATAGACTCCAGATCCAGGATTATAAGTGAACTAGATGGATTAATATTACTATGGTCAAAATTTCTAATACGATGAACTTCAAAATTCTTATTATCTATATGGATAACAATTCATAAATTACAATTATTTTTAATATCAAATGCACGAATCTGATTAGCAGAAGAGGAAAGGTTATTGAATATTAAATAATTATGAATTTATGTTATCAACTGATTTGCCATATAGATTTTATATTCTCAAAATGAACCATCTTCATAAAAATATTCTAATACTTATTTGGCTAGCTATTTAATTATTTATTAAAAATTAAATTTTAGAATTGAATGGAATAAGATTCAAAATTGAGTTAGTTCATTTCTCCGAGATAGAATGCTTAACTAATTTTAGACCAGGACGAAACACAAAAAGTGAATGAATCGAAATAAAATGTGAATTTTAAGAGTGGAATACAGAAATTCAGAACTGAAGACTTTTCTTTAAGAAGAAAACTGCAAAACTAAAGTCTTTTTGGAAAACTGAAAGTATTATGTAAAGGGATGCAATAATATATTTACATATTATTAGAAGATCCGAACTCTTCTTTAATAGCTTATTGTTTACAATTCCTGCTACTAACTAGTATATTGTTGTCTTGCGTAGCAATTATAGTTGATTCATTAATGGAAAACAGTATGATATTTAATAATAATTTAGAAAGTAATCCTCAATATGATGACATTTCATTTTATTTAGAATATTATCTGTTCATTTTCTTTGGTTTAGAATACTTATTGAGGATGTTTAGTTCAACTGCGTTTGATTCTAAATTAGTCAAATTTATTTTTTCTCCCTTGAATTTAATAGATTTACTTGCAATAATGCCTTTTTTATTTAATCTCATTTTTGAAGGGGCTAGTTTGTCTGGATTAAGAATAATTAGAATTGTAAGATTCATGAGAGTGTTTCGGTTATTTAAACTTTCAAGATTCATGAAAGACATGCTTATGATTGTAAATATATGAATCACTTAAAAAGGCAGATACAGTAAAGCATTCAGCCAAAGACATAATAATTTTGATTACAATGTTCTTTTTTTTGGTTTTATTTTTCTCAATTGTGATGTACTATTTAGAATACGATTATAACAATATAGTGGAAGATGAATAAGAAATCCATTCTATATCTGAAGCTATTTGGTGGTGTATTGCAACCATGACTACAGTTGGATACGGGGATAAATTACCTTTGAGTGTCCCTGGAAAGTTTATTGCATGCATAGCGGCCTTTCTTGGAATTACATCTATCTCATTGTATATGATATAAATAAAAATAGGCCTGTTGCAGTTATGGGAATGAATTTAACTTAAACATTGAAAGAACATGAAGAAAATATAGAAATTCAAAAATTAAAGGATCAATTTGTAATGGAAAGTGATACAGAATATCTCAATAACAAAAGAGAACAAACTCAATTGAATATTAAGGAATTGAAATTTATGGAAAGAAGATTAGAATAATTATTGGAAAATAATTAGAAAGTCATGGAATATGTAGAATAATCTTAATTATTATTTGATGAAGTGACTTAAGATCTAATGAGTTTATATTCAGCCTTGACTGAATAGTTAGATCTCCATATAGAAACAAAAATGAAGAATTTGAAAGCTAGGCATCGCGTATTATTGGTTTCTATTCATTTAGATAATGAAAATGGAAAAGAATCTAAATCAAAAGAAATCCATAGAGTTGAGTTAGATTGTCTCTGCTTTTAAGGAAAAATAGAAGTTAATTTCCTAAGGCTCCATTCTAATGTGCGAGGAAAGTTAAGCTGATGTATTTAGTATAGCAAGCAGACAAAGCAAACAATACACTGCTAGAAAGAGTTAAAAATTAAGAAGCAAAAATAATAGAGGCTCCTATATGTGTGTAATTAATAATAGCAATCATAATCCTTTCAAAACTCAAACAGATTACAATGACGCAGATCCTCACCAAAATAGTATTATCTATGCTTAAGTCAGTTCAAGAAATTCTGCCTTTAATTAAGATATGTTCTAAAATATAGGTGGTAATGCTGAATTCAAATTCAATTTGGAGGAATCAAGTGGGAATATTGAGGAAGATGATGAAAATGGAGTCGATCTAAGCAGTAAAATGCAAAGTATCTCAAACATTTAAGATTTTAAATTGAAAAATAGTATTAAATAAAATAATATATGAATTGTTATGATTAATAATTTTAAGAGTTCCAATCAAATAGCAAAATTGATGAGCTACATTCCTAATTTAATGATGTAAAGTACATAAAAAAAAGTAATGAGTTCATATAAGACTCTTATGAAAACAATGAAAACAATAAAAACGATGAAAATAATGATAACAATGATAAAAAGGAACAACATTATATTTATATATTGAAGAATTATTATTTTGCAACTAAAGGTAGTTTTATAATAAAAGTGGCCTATTCTTGTAACGTATTTGAATTTATTAATGGATTAAGATGGAATTAAATTAATGGCTTTTTTGGGATAGATGATAATATGTTTTTGAAAATTAAAACTTATGGCCTCGAACATACTAAATGTTAAATCAATGATACAATGGAATGGTTGTTCGACAAGATCCTTCGTGTGGTTTGGATTGATACATCAATTGAAAAATTACAGGCTTCTAGATTATTATATAATAAGATTATTAAAATCAAATGTTAAAACACAATCACAGATAAATAAATTTGTGATTTGTATTCAAATCTTTTAAAAAAAATCAAAGAATTAAGTAGATTATTCATAATTATTTAGAAAATATATAGACCTTTAAATAAAAGGTTCATATTATGAAAATAGATTTCATATTATTTAAGCTTCGCGAAAATTAACATTTTCCTGATTTCAAGAAAAATTGCAATGTGTACTTAATTTGTTTATAAATAGATGCAAGGTTTGTTAATAACATAAATCAAAGTACTTTTGTGGAGGATGTTATTATTTTACTGGCAAAAGATGGAGTTTATGTTTAGATGGCTGTTTTAGACAATTTCATTAGGATCCTACAAAATATTTAAATAGAAAGAGAAAGAATTAGATTATTTGATCCTTATTCAAACTTCATTATTAAAACTAAGATGCAAATTTATTTATCAAATTTAATTGTTAATCTAATTACATAGGAGCACATCGTTTTAATAAATTAATTATTAAAACAGCATCAAGACCTTTAACCCACATCCTACCATTTTTACCCACACAGATTTCGAAACTAGAGTGTTGGCTTATCACTTTAAATAATTCTGGTTTTGTTTAGGAACTTAATAGACTTTACACAAAATTCAAAGGCAAATCTACAATCACTCCACCGATTAATTCTCTAAATAGATTTTCTCCAGTTGTCTTGATGTTAAGATAAATTATTACCCACTCGTTTTGCTTTAAGGATTTATGCATGACAATTTACCTTTTAAGTAGTGATTCAATTCAGTGACTCTAGCATATAACAATTATCCCACTTAAATGTTTGATTTATTCTTTTTTGTAGCTCCTTCAAAACCCATTTAATTCAATTTATATACTAAACCATTACCAAGTTCGCAGAAATAGTATTCACTATTTTTCCAGTGACTTAGGCAATTAAATAGTCATCAATTTAGGAGTATAGTAAATTGGACTATGAAAAATTGCAATTTTTTATTAATCTATCAAAATCCAACCGGTGTGTTTTGATTCTATTTCAAGTGATTTAGTAATATTGACATCCTATTTATTAATTTTAATGGTATTGCCAGTAACTACGCTTTTGAGTATAATTTTTTCTCTAGGCAAAGTTATATATACAAGAGCACTTTACATTAAAATTAATTAATTTATGCTTTAGTATTTAAAATTATAGTTGGCAAGGTTATAAAATTATCAAACAAGAATAATTTCTCTTTAAAAGTGGAGGATTTATAAGAGAATTTAAAAGAAAGTGATAAGTGGAATGTAAATATGAAGTATATAGATTATAAAATATTAACAAAAATTATGAATAGGGTTGATTCAAATATCAATGTAAATTAAATAGGTTTTTCCTAACATTTTACACTTTATTCACATTGTATGGTTTTTTGGCTGCTTAAATTAATTCTTACTAAGCTTCATGTAGAATATCGCAAATGCGATTTGCTGCATTTTTTTTACTGTGAATAATAACGGTATTGGGACAGGTTGTATTAGACTAAGATAATTATAATTAGATATTACATCACTTTAGATGGGAGTAGTAAGAGATGAGTTCTCTATTTCTTTTGTCAGCATTTCACTAAATTCATTGATTTCTTATTCATTTTGAAAATCTTCTTCTTTATAGAATTATTAAAATTATTATTATGTTATGATGTTTTCTTAAAGAAGTGTTTCCAAAACTACTTGTCTACTTGATAATCTTGATTAATGTTTTGGTTTTACACTAGGAGATAACATTGGAGAATCATCAAATTGTGAGGAACAGAAATTAAATTACTTATTTATCTGAACTTCTTCAGATTCATCAGATGAATCCATAATACTTGATCTAATAGTGTTGAATGTTTCTAATAAATTTAACTTTGACTTTTGAGACAAATGATTTTATCTTTAGTACGGTTATGAATTTAGTAAGATATAGAACTCGCTTTCTCCAAAATAGTTGATGAAAAGTTAGTTAAACAAGAGTTCTTGAACTGATTAAACGTTATTGTTAATCATTTCTTAGACAGTGTCTATTTAATCAGGGAATCTAGATAATAATTATTTAACTTACTATATAATTAAGTAAGCCTTAATTAATTGGACGTCTTAAAATATTTCCTTAGAATATTCATGTGTCATTCTTTCAATCAGGCAATTGTCTAAGATGTCCATATTGCAATTATCATCCAATAGAATAACGTTTGAAGCCTATAACAAAATATATACGACTTTTACTAAAAATTTATTTAGAATGAATCCTTCATTATGGTATTTGTACAACATTTTTAATAATCCAAAAAAGGATTATTCGAAGGGCAATCCATTTATTGGCTTTCCATTTAAATATGAAATGACGATATAGACATATTGTTCATCCTCATATATATATTCATATTTTTAGTTCCTAATTATCCTTTTCAAATATTGTCTGCCTTCAGATTTTGAATACTATTTTATTGACTTTAGCATCCCACTCATTCTATCTCGAGCTTGTAAGATCTATTTATAACAACAAATAATTACTGTGAATTTCTCTAATTAGAACAACACTTTCTCAATTTCATAATACGATTGAATATCCAAGTGAGTGCATCTTTAGTTTATCATCTAGTAAAACTACTATAAATCAGGCCCGTTGATATTTATTGAACCATATTTATTTTAAAGTGTCACTCCTCTCTCATCTAAATTGATAAAAGTTTCCATCAAATTTATATATTAACTATTGGCATATAATTGACCTGAGATCACTTTAAATGTCTGTAGGTCGTCATCAGAGTACAACTAAAATGTTTATTCCTTCAAATTAAACAAAATAATTTACTTCTTCGTCATCTGAGTTCATAGCCCAATTATATTAAATGGGATTCCAAAAGGATTCAGCAAATATAGAATCTTAAATCATTTATCTAAATATTTTTTTTAATAATTATCATTTTATAGCTTATAATATATACTTATATAGCCTTTCATATCATTTTGAATTTCAAATATATGAAACAATTCATTTTTATACCAAATTTAATTAATCATTATTTACATATTTGTAAGATTTGCCTCATTATGACTAAATATATATTTTCTTTTTAATTCAACTTGTAAATAATTTCTTTATCTTTCATTCCACTTCATAATTATCCTTTATTTGACTAAATTATGAAAAAATTGCTTGTTCCAATTCTAATATTTTAGTTCTAGCCTTTACATCAACCTTATAATTCTTTTAAACATTTACGTTTTTCAATCTAATAATATAAGTTTCATCCACCTTTTGTCACCATAGATTTACCTTCATTTTCTTGATGATCCTATATTTCTAAGACTAATAAACTTACTTTATTTTGAATATTTGATGATCTTAATCTATGCAAACAATTGAATTCGATTTTTTATTATTTATTTAAATAATATAAAAAATCAAATAAACTGAAAGATGTATATTTATTTAAACATCCCCACAATTATTGAATTCTAAATTAAACTCACATTTCTAATCAAAATATAAATTATGCTTTTTTATATAAATTACTTTCATTTTTGAAATAATTGATGGAAATAAGTTACTTAAAAATCAACATTGATTATTAAATGAGTTAGCTTCTATTATAATCTACATTATTCTCTAATAAAAAGAATAGAAATACAAATCCATAAAGATTCTATAATAGGATCATGAAATCAAAATTGACTTTCTTATTAGATTAAAATTATTTTAAAAATAGTAAACAAAAGCCAATGAATATTAAACTTATTTATTTTTTAATAATTTGTAATTTAATCAACTAATTGTCAAAGTCTGAGACCAGCTTTTTATTTTAGGGAAACAAATCAATTAGAGTTGAATACTAAGAATTTCAAAAAATATTAAGCTATCCTACATTTTAGAAAACAAATACTCATGTTGAATTACAATTAATCTCAATAATCTATAATAAACTAATCCACTTTAGCATTGATTGAATAAATTCTTTGATATTGAGTTAAACAATAGAATTACCTAATAAATAGACACTAAGATATTCTAGTTTAATGTAAATGTGGCAAATCTTCATTTCTAATTTGATTATTACTTATATATAAGATTTGAAACTAACAGTCTAAGCTTAGATTACTTAGAAGAAGGAAATTAAATAGAAAAATTCAATTTATTTGAATATTAAAATAAAGAAGAATTTATCGAAATTCAAATTAAAAACAAGACGTAGAAGCAAATAATGAATTCTTAATAAGATGATAGAAATAATAAAAATTATCAATTATTAAATTATAAATTGTGATTAACAATTAATGTTAACGAGAAGAAAAAGTTCTGAATTAATTGAACCAGAGATTGTTAAAAAGATCAAAGGAAATGATGAGAGCAACTTGAAAGTTTTTATAAAAAACAAGCAAACCAGAAAAGTCTTAGAAGTAAGAATTTAATAATAACTTGAAAGAGTCGAGGCATTGCAAATTTATTTCCAATCCAATAATAATGTTTTGAAACAATTTATAATGGAGATGATATAATAGGGTAAGATAGAACAGGTTCAGGTAAAACTCTTGCATATTGCCTCCCAATTCTTGAAAGAATAAGAGGATTAGGATTAAAATAAAATAAAAATCCTTATGTATTAGTATTATTACCAACAAGAGAATTGGCAATCCAAGTAACTACTGAATTTAATTCTATTTTACATAAAGAAAATGAATACAGAATATATAGTATTTATGGCGGTACAGATCTAAGAAACTAAATTGATTAAGTGAGATAAGGATGTGAAATTGTAGTTGGTACACCTGGAAGAATATAGGACCTTTTGGAAAGAAAGGTTCTAAAGTTAGATGAAATTTAAGTGGTTGTTTTGGATGAGGCAGATCAAATGTTGAATTTTGGATTTTAGGAAAATATTGAAAAGATCATGTCCTATTTCAATGATAGAAAAATTTAAATGCTGTTATTTAGTGCTACAATACCTGATTGGGTAAAGGAACTATCATAAAAATATATGGAAGCTAATACTAAACATATTAATTTAATAAAGAGACATGAGGTAACTCTATTATTCTAAATATTTAGACTTAAACTTCAACTACAGTTAAACATTATGCTCTCTAATGTGCTAAAAATCAATTAACAGGTGCAATAGGTGATGTAGTTTCAGTGTATGGCGGAAGACATGCAAGAACTATTATCTTCTGTGAGACTAAAAGAGAGTGCAATGAAATTATTTTGCATTCTAAATTACCAGCTGAAACACAACCATTACATGGAGACATTCCTTAATAATAAAGAACAGTGACATTTGAAGGATTTAAAAATGGAAAATTCAAATGCTTGGTTGCAACCAATGTTGCTGCTAGAGGTCTGGATTTCCCATAGGTAGATTTGATTATCTAATGCAATCCTCCTAAAGATATAGAATCATATATCCACAGATCAGGTAGAACTGGTAGAGCTGGAAAGGATGGAATATGTATCACTTTCTATTCAAAGAAGGATATGAGTTTGATTGAAAGAGTTGAAAGAGTAGCAAAAATAAAATTCATAAAGATTTCTGCTCCTCAACATTAAGATATTATCAAAGCAAGCTCAAGAGATCTATAAACTAGTTTATAAGTAGTTAGTAAAGAAATTGTTGATTTGTTTTAACCTGTGGCTTAAGAAATCTTATCCAGGTGTGATCCAGTAGAAGCTTTGGCTAGAGCTTTAGCATGTGTGAGTGGTTACAAGGATAAACTATAGAATAGATCTATGTTGGGATCTTTTGAGGGATATATCACTTATGTTTTAAGATCATCAACTCCATTCTAGGCTTGCGGTTATATTTGGAAATTCTTAAAGAATAACTTTTCAGAATAAATTTGTAATAGCATTAAGGGAATGAAAAAATTAAGAAATGAAAGCGGTGTTGCATTTGATATTAGTGAAGATGTCAAGGAAGAATTCGAAAATCAATACTAGGAAATATCTCAAAAATGGATATTGCAGAGGAATTGAAATTGAATAAGCTACTAGTCCTTCCAGATATAATTGAAGAATAATTCTAATCTCATCAAAATTATCATTAATAACCCTACAGTTTAAGTGTCACAAACGGTTAAAAAAGAATAAGAAATATTTATTGGTGGATTAGATTTTAAGATTACAGAAGATGAAATTAAAAATGAATTCAAAAATAGAGGAGTCGAGTTATTCAATCTCAGATTATTAAGAGGCTAGGATGGTTAATCAAAAGGATCTGCTTTTGGAGTATGTAGAACTAAAGAAATGGTATCAGTGGCAATCAAATAAAACGGTACCAAATTCAGAGGAAGAAATATTCGTGTGAATATGGCCAATGAAAAACCTAAATGATAATTTATTGTATATGTATATATAGTAAAATATATTATTAACTTTGAGATAAGGGATTTAAATATATAAAATAATTAATAATTCACATCTATATATAAAAGGATTCTATATAGTGTTAAAATTGTTAATATAAATATAAATAAAATTGTAGTTTCAATTGAAATGAATTAGTTGTTAACTTTATTAGGCAAGAATTTCACGTTACACTTTAGATCGCGATAATTTTGGCTCAATCTATATATTCCCATATTTAGCATACTTGCTTCTTAAATGGCTTAAGAAAAAATATTTATATAATTGCTTCCTATATTTATTTGCTTGAACAACAACGGAGCAATCAGATAAACCATTCAATTATTTGTATCGGAAAGAACTCGTAAATCCAAAGAATTGTAACTTCAGATTGGATTGAATTTAATTTCATATTACTCTTCTTGGATCATTACTGCTGTTACTTTTAGCCTTGTGATTTCAGTAATTTACTTGATTCCTTTTTTTATTATGTAATTAAATGCAGCAGGCTAAGCTTCAGTAGATGTAATAATATTCATTTAAGGAGATATTCTGTATAATATTGCATTGTCATCTTTCATGCTCTTTTTAAGTATATTTTTTGAGAGTCCACTCAAAGCAAGCGAATTTTTGAGTCTATTAAATGTGATATTTTCATTTGCTTCATATGTTAACTTTTACCCATATCCTGAATATTCCTTTTTTGGATAATTAACAGCTGTATTTTTACCTTAATCAGCTTTTTAAATGCTTTTGTTTAGTGAAAATTGGGTTTTTAATATAAGATGGGTTTGCTTAAGTAAAATTACATACATAGCATTCTTAATATTCTAAATTATAGTTTATTTGTTTTGTTTTGTATACTTTGATCTAAATAAAGGAACCCTAAAGAACAAATTTTGGAATTGTTTCAAAAAGCAAAATTAAACTCATGTTTTCCTTTAAGATGATACATGCGAGTAGAATAGTGGGAATAGAAATTAATAACTATAAAAACCATTTTTAAATATACAATAGGATTTCGAAATTCAAGGATAATCAATTATTAAAGCAGAAAATCTAGGTTATCAAATAGGTGAATAATCAATACTAAAGTCTATTAATTTAGATGTTTATTAAAATGAAACTTATTGTTTAATTGGTCCTCAAGGGTCTGGTAAATCCACATTGATAAAGATTCTTTAAGGATTAACTCAACAAACTTCGGGCACAATTAAATTATTTGGATTAGAAATAGATAAGAACTTAAAAAAATAAATTGGTATATGTATGTAATAAGATATTTTGTATGAAGATTTAACTGTGTAAGAGCATCTATAACTTTATGGTTCAATAAAAGGAATAACTGAAGAATAATTAACTATTCAGATTAATAATATCCTTATTTTTTGCTAATTAGTTGCAGAAACAAATTTAAAGGCTAGTAAACTAACTAGTTTAAATTCTAGAAAATTGTGTATAGCAATTTCAATGATTGGAAATCCTCAAGTATTATTTTATGATGAACCAAGTTAAGACTTGGATGCATAAGCAAAATAGTAAATTTGGTAAATTTTAAAATAAATTCGATTAAATAGAACTATTGTTTTTACTAGTTTATAATTTGAGGAGGCTGAGCAAATAGCTAATAGAATGGGGGTTTTAATAAATGGTTAAATTGTGGCATAAGGAACTCCAGAGTTTATTAAAAATAATTTTGGAATTGGTTATAATCTGAATATGAAATTCACAGATGAAAATCAACTATTAATTGAAAAACCAAAAATCCAATTATCATTATAAAGAATTGATAGTTTAATATAAGCTATTCAAAGAGATGAAACTACTCTACTTTCTGTATTACCTATAAACAAAATGGATTAATTTCATCAAATATTCTCATATTTAGAGTAGAATTCTAAATGTATCTTCTCGTTAAAGTATAATTAATTAGAGGATTGTTATAAGTCAATCGACAACTCAGAAGGTTAAGATAATATCGATTTTAATGCTCAAGGAATATTTCATTAATAACCTTAAATAGAATTAAGGTCCCAAATTCATGGCTTGATAAAGAGAAAGTTATTATTAATTCTCACTGAGAAAGACAAATAAATCAAGTATATATTTTAGTACTTTTTAATTGCTTTGGCTGTTATGTTTGGCATGTTTTCAGCTTTTAGATTTGTGTTTTTCTATTTAGGAATAAAGGCTATGACATGTATTCTATTTACAGATTATTAATTTGAGGAAAAGAATACTCAAATGAAATAGTTTCTATTGGCCAGTGGTGTATCTATTCGTACATATTGGCTAGGTACTCTATTCACAGATTTGATCATTTCATTTGTTGAAGGTATCTACACTGCAGGTTTGTTGTGGATTTATAATGTTGGTCATTTTGGATTTCACTTTTTTGCTGTTACTTTGTTAATAACTATTTTTGGTTTTAGTTTGAGTTGCTAAGTGAATTATTTTATGTAAAAGTCACAATCAGGTAACTTATGTTTTGGCATAACTTTTTTGACTGTATTTGTTTTTTATCTGATATTCTTGTGTATTATGTTAGGAATAGCCTTACCTGGAGTATCTCCTGGTGTATCTCTTTTAGCTATGATGATGATGATAGTTTCACCATATATGGCTTGTTACATAGGTTTTGGAATGAGTCCAAGTCTACTGAATCTAGCTATTTTTGGTTATTGGTCTTGTTTATTATTTTTACTAATTGGAGGAGGCTTATATTTTTTGATTTTAATAACTACAGAAACTAAATAACACAAATAAATAGAAGAAGAAATGCATGATACAAATCCTGTAATAGATTTATAAGATGTTCAGTGGAAATATGGATCTATTGTAACAAGAGAGAAGATCAATTTCTAAATTAATAAATAAGAGATATATGGATTAGTGGGACCTAAAAATGCTGGAAAGTCACAATTAATAAATTTAATCAATAGGTATGATCAGCCTGTAAATGGAAAGATTAGAATACGAGATTAAAACACCCATGTTGGTTTGGCTCCTCAATTTTAGATTTTCAAATCATTACTCACTGTACGATAAATGCTAGAATTCTCTGGCAAAATCAAAGGGTAATAAAATCTTGATTAGAGTATTGATATATTCTTAAAAGCATTTGATATGTTTGAAATTAAATACAAATAAATTCAATATCTCAATGAAGCTGAAATGAGGAAACTCCATTTGGGTATGGCATTGATGGGAGGTTCAAATAGGTTGTTTTTAGATGAAATACTCTAAGGATTGGATCTGAAATCTAAAAGAAAGGTTTCTTAAATAATTCAATAAACTTCAATTAACAACGAAGCTGGTATTCTACTAACAACTTAATCCATCTAAGACACCTTATTAATTTGCAATAGAATTGGAATTTTCATTAATGGAGTTGTAATAGCTTAAGGAACAATAAGCGAACTACAAGATTAACTTGGAAAATATGCTAGATTTAGTGTAAAAACTGTATTTGGATACAAAGAATAAACTCATGATTTTATTTGTTAGACCTTACAATAATAATCGTATGCTATATAACCCATCTTCGATGCAAGAGAAAAGTAAATATTTATTTTATCAATGTAGTTTTTTGTCTTATATGATTCCAGCTTCGTAATTTAAGATGTCTAATCTCTTTTCATTTTTGTATTTAGAACTCTAATTGAAAAGTAAGTTGATAAATGAATTTCAAATCTATGAACCAAATTTAGAATAAACTTTAGAATTCTTTGCCTCCTAATAAATGATGGTCTTGAAAGCTTATCATTTAAGTTAAAATGGTTAGGATGATTTCAATTTCGGATGTGGACTTCGATCAATTACAGCTATGTTTTGTATATTCTGGTGATTGATTAATTTATTTAGTTTGTAATTATTATTATTTTCAAATTCAGAATAACAAATAAACACTATCAATTTGCTAATTTATTTGTAAATCTATGTTTTTAAAATTAATTCAATTTTTATTAAATTAAAATTACTCATTATTGAATACAAAGAGATTTATGAAATAGGATTTAGACTAAGAGTTTAATACCTCTAATTCTTAATCAAATAGTATGAATCTAATGAATCAACAATATTTACTATCTGTAATATACTTAAATTTTATAATTATATATTATATTAATTGTCAAAGTTGTGATTTATTTGAATTGACAACTTCAATGATGTATGAATTCGCCTCTACCATAAATTATAACTTCTGATAATGAATTGTAATAAATTCTGCTTACGATAGTTATAATTATTAATTTTATAAATAAATTTCTGTTTTAATAATGTTAAGAGAGGATTTAACAATATTTCCTAATACTCCATAAATATAAAGTCTTTTTAATCCTACTCCAAACAATCCTATGACTGCTTTTGTTGCAAGATCCTGTTATAAGTATAATTAACTGCAAAGAAACAAATAATAAAGAATCGTTATATAACACATACCTTCTAAACATAGACCAAATGAATCGAGACAGATATCTTTACCAAGAGCGTTGTAAGCCATAAAGAAATAACAATTAGAATGTATTTAATTATAACTTAATATTTAGCATTAAGAAGATAATCTCAATAAAAGGATGGGACTGTAAGTTTAGTTTTTTCGGATGTAAAAGAGGAGGAGTTGATCTTATAGAAGATTGATAAATTCTAGTATTTGTAGCATAAACTATAAACGAGTAATGATGATTTGGTTGAAGAAAGAAAAACAAACATGAATGAGTTAGAGAAGTCAACTTCTAAGATGAAAGGTGTGATTGAGAACGATAAAACAAAATCTATATTATGAGATTTATTGGGAGGAATGTAATAGAAAATTGATGAAGTTGCACACGAGAATCACATGAGAATAATGGGAATGTAAATCAAGTCATTCAAATTACAAGAATAATAATCTATTAGAAGTAAGGCTATGTCTCAAGAGAAAGAGAGAGAGACATCAAAATCATATGCTGAGAAAAGAGATTTGTATAGTCGTTCAGTTTAGAAGAGAAGACATTAATCACCTTCAAATAAAATGAAAAATATATCATAATAAAGTATGAAGACAAATCAAAATTTCAGATTTTCACTAACAGATTACTCCTCTTTAAGTAGAGAATAGTTGTTTTAAATGAAATTACTAAGTTACCACTATTTGATTTTTATAGTTTCTACACAAAGCAATTTTTATGTTTAACCATCTGAAAATGTGACTGAGTTAAAATTCAAAGTTGGAAAAGGAAATAATAGTTTATTAATAAAGGAACTGTTTAAATCTAGATGGTGGTGGAATTTAAACTAAGAGGCTGATAATAAGGAATTAAATTTTATTTGGACATAAATTAAGGTTCCTCAATTTATGAATCTATAAGAATGGAGCAAAGACCCATTTATTACAAGATAAAAATCGTTGTCTTAAACATCTACTGATTTAAGAAAAACAAGAAGACAACAGCAATCTCCTAAAAATAATAAACAAAGTTATAAATTTGGAAAATTTGATGATCCTTTGTAGAAATTAATTATAGAATAAGATGTGAATGAACTAAAGTCTATGGAAAAGTCTATTCAAAGTTTTATTAAATATGCTGAAAAGAAGGACTTAAAACTAATTGATAATGTTAATAGAGTAATAAACTATCCAATTATTTAGATTCATAATCATATTGAGAGAAATTATCATCTGGGTAATAAGAAAGCCATGTTCCATAATATGAAGAAATATTATGAATTAACAAAGCAAGAGCTATTTCTCCATTTACCTATCACATTCCATGTTTCTGGAGTCAAAGACAAATCCTATTAATAGTTTATGGAATATTATAAATAGAAGTATTTTAGACATATTTAAAAGGAAGGGAAACAATATCTGGATTGTAAAGCCAGGAGAATTCACCAACAGAGGAAATGGAATCATTGTTTGTTAATCATTAGCTGAAATTCATAAAATCGTAAGCAAAAGGCAAGTGCATCCCAATGGCAAACCATTTACATATTTGATACAAAAATATATTGAAAAACCGTTCTTATACAATAAAAGAAAGTTTGACATCAGATGTTACTTTTTGATAACTCAATTGAATAGCATTATCAGAGCCTATTGGTATGAAGAAGGTTACATCAGAACTTCAAGTGAAGAATTTGATATCAAGGATGTGAGTAATTAGTATGTGCATTTAACCAATGATGCTATATAAAAATATAGTGAAGCTTATGGAAAATATGAAAATGGGAACAAGTTGTCTTTTGCAGAATTCTAAAGATATCTAGATAAATGGCACAGCAATGAACATTTGAATTTCTATAAGGATTTATATCCCTAATTGAAGATGATCACTTTGAATGCTATCAAATCTGTATACCATAAGATCGAGCCATACAAAAGAAACTACAACTTTGAAATTTTTGGATTAGACTTTATGATAGATGAGAAATTCTAACCGTATTTAATTGAAATCAATACCAATCCTTGTTTAGAATTAAGTTCTCCTCTGTTAGGCAGAATTATTCCTGCTATGGTAGAGAATGCCTTCAGGTAAATACATCTATATTATCATGTAGATTATCTATTGATACATTAATTCCACCTCCAGAATAGTCTACTTGGCCACCCAACAAAAAACATCTATTGTTTTATGATAATATGCTAGAGAATAATAGATTCTAATTGATTTTTGATGAAAGAGAGGATGCCCAAGAATTAAAAATGTTGTATAGCAATTAATCAAATGATGATCAAATAGACGAAATGGATGAAGAAGAAGAAGAATATCAGTCTGATGATGATTGATTCAAATAACCTTAAATTTATACTCAATCATATCCTACATAATCTTCAGCAATAACTTATTTAACTTAATCAACATTTTGACAAAGCATCTTTTCGAATCTATTTTTTAATGTAGTTGCTGTGGCAGGACATTCTACACAGGATCCTTTCTTATACAAGTATAAGATTCCATTCAATTCATCAAATTCTCGAAATACTATGTCTCCTCCAATCTCTTAAAAATCAGGTCTAATTCTATGATTTAATATATCTTTAATCAATTAAATAGGCTATGTTTCAAATTATTTCTTACTTTACTGTCATCATCTTAAATAACTGAGTCTTTGTTTTGTTTGAATCCCTCAAAAAGGAATTGTTTCTCTGAACCTTCTTGATTAGATTCATATTAATCGAAAATCTATTCAAAAATTCTTGATCTCAAATCATCCCATTTACTTTCATTTTTTTTTGATATTGATATATAATCCATACCATAGAATTCTCTGGTCACCCCGTTATGTTAAATAGGTTTTAAGCAAGTGGTGAACATTAAGCATCTTTTGCTCTTGGAAAATCATAGGTTCCATCTTTCATCACCTATTTTCCAATTGGAATGAATTTTAGAAAATTAGGATTTGGAACTTGCTTAACCTATATTAATAACTTGTATATATTTTTAAATTTTAACATTAGAATTAATTATAAAGCTCAACTATTCTTATATTCACATTATACTGCAATTACAAACTATCTTTGTATCTCTTCTAGATTCCATGTTTAATAATTATGATGGATCCTTTTTAACTGTCTCATCAAAATAAAAGACTTTCTTCTCAAAATATCTTTTTTATTACTGTATTGTACCTTAAATTGCTGGCTGAGTATATAAGAGACGGTTTTGATATTTGTTTTGTTTATCCAATCAAAGTAATCTCATTTAATTTGAATGATATAGCTTGAATTTAGAATGTTTAAGTTGTGTTGCCTCCCAGAATTATTAATGCTTTTTATTTGAATACATCATCCACCATCTTTGTCACAGAAGCATTGTAAAAATGGTTATAAACCTTCTCAGTTGCAATAATGTTTTGATAATTAATAGTAAGAGTATCAACTATCGAGAATTTTCCAAAATTCAAACTCAAATTGGCTTAATCTGTCATTGAAAACTATTTAAAACTATTAGATTATATATACTAGCTTGGCTCTAGCTATATGTTCCAATATTAACTTTAAACTAACATATTCGCAAGTTTAATTAGCCTCAATCAACTCTTAATCAACTTCTTTTTCATATTCTAATAATGGATTGCCACCCATTATAAAGATGTATTTCTAATCCACTGATCTGTGTTCAGCATCTACTTTCTCCTTATCCTCATTATCCTTATCTTACCAAATCAGACCTTTGTCTTTAATCAGATCAAAAACTATAGGATTCATTCTTGATTTTGTCATTGTTATCGTTAGTACAGGTGTTAATGTAACCTCTCTTCTTTTTATTTCAAACACTTTTATAGTTTTCAAAGGTTTCTTTTCTCCTCTCTATAAATGATGTCCTCCAATCACAAGAAGCACACTCTTCCATTAATATTCATGTTCGCATTCAATTAAATATAATAATGGATCTTACCTTGGTTTGTCTTCATTCAGATTTAATGAAACTAAAGGTTTATCCTTATTGTCATTAATTAACATGTCTGAACTAAAGATATGCACTTTTCCTAATTTGTTATCGTAGATATAGAATCTTCCAGTGGTCTTCTCTTGAACTATTGATAAAGAAGGCCTTTATCCACCAAAATCTTAAATCTTTAACTGTTTCTCCCACTTAGTGTTATTCCCTAAATGTTGGCTAATCAAAGAAAGACTTTTTGGAGCCATAAAACAAATCTTAGAAATCTGATTTTTATATAGTCTAACATATTGCTTCTTTGTTGGTGCAATATCTTTTTCTACAGAGGCTCCGCTTACCTTTAACTCCCTTTCTTTTCTTTTAATTCGAGCTAACATTATTATTGACAATACTTTTGTCTAAATGTTTAGCTTCCTCATATGGTATACCCTCATTCTTAAATATTGTCTTGTAATTATAAATTAAATTGAATGAAACAATTTCAGGTATTTTGGTTAGCAATTAAACTTCTTAGAAAAAATTGACTTTTTCTTCTTAAGATTCTTCTTCTATTTTATCTTTCAATTATGATGTTTAAAGTGACATAGGGTTATAAAATGCTCTTAGTTATTCACATAAATATATCATACTGATTTCCTTTAAGAATATTATCAATTGTAAGACTTGAATCATCCACAGGTTTGTGAATCATCTTGCTTTAATCCTTTTGTTACTAGGTACCATAAATGTTTCTGAATGTTAAAAATTTAATACCTGTTCTAATTTATCATGTCGTTGAAGTCAATACTATCACTCATTTTAATTATTTTTTCATTTTTATAAACAAAAAATTCATTTTTACTAGAGAAGAGAAAAAAAGTTTCTTTAAAGACTTTAAATTAATTATTGATATTGTTTGTGTCATTTTGATCTTCATTTTTCTAGTTTTAGATTTAATCAAATCTAATTTGATGAAATAACATACCAATTTAGATACTAATGTAATTTCTTTATATTGTTTATTAATTAGGAGAATATGACATCATCATCCGTAAAAGGATTTAAAATTTAGTGAAGATACTAAATTGCTGTTTTATTAGTATTAAAGTACTGAAAAGGTTCGAAGATTACTTAGAGAATTGATGCAAATCTTTAGGTTAAAATAACTAACTATTGATAAAGATAATTATTGAATATATATGACTAATAAATATATAATTAAATTTCAGTTGATAAAACATGGATGTTAGGATTTAGATGTTAATTGATGTTCTAAATATATATTACTTTTAATTACATATGATTTATTAAACGCTACGTGAGTTTCATATTATTTGGATGATTTATAAATTACTTAGATTTATTATTATAATTATTTTTTGTTTAGATTTATGCAAGAGTTGCTGATTAAGTTATTCAATATTGTAAAAAAATAAGCAAATTAATTAGATTTGTGAAGAGGATCAGACCAAATAGAAGTTTTATAAATGCAATAATACATGCGAATAGTTAAAATTAATCACAGATATCATAATTAAAAAGCAATCAGAATTCTTAAGTTTGGAAAAGCAATTACAGAAATATGAATCTGAAGTCAGAAAAAACATTAGAGTATTTTAATATTTTTAATTTATAGGATTAGTATCTGATGCAATAATAATAAGATGATTTGTAACAAAAAGTAGAAGAACTAGAAAAATCAAGAAATGAATTTTTAAGTAACACCAAGAATACTATTATTGTAATAATTCAATTTAATCTTAGAAATTGAAAAGAGAAAACGAAGAATTGTATTAAAAATGTAAATCCTTAACTGCTTAATTATAAAAAATTGATAATTAAGTATATTCATAAATCATCATTATTTTAGTCAATCAGCAAATATTCGACTGTAGAGAATACAATTACCAATATCACTAATACTCTTGATTAAGCTAAATTAAGACCAAAAACGAATACAACACCTTAGAAATTGAAAACAGATGTGGATACTTCTTAAAAACGATTAAGTCAATAACTAATTAAGCCCAATTACTTTCAAAAAAAACAATCCACATAGATATCTATACAAAATAAACGACAGTCCTATTAGTACATGGAAAATCAACTAAATTTAACAACTAGTATGTGATATATTTTATATGTATTTTCATTCATTTTTCTGTTATTCTTTTTTTTATTCAGCTGTAGATTAGGTTGTCGATTATCTTGTTTACATACCTGACTTTTAAGGTTGCTAAGTTTTGGGTTTCTTAGAATTCGTTTAGGTCTATTACTTTTCAGTTTCCTCTTCTTAAAACTAATTAAATTCATTTTACTCTTTTAGATCTGTTTAAGGGTTTGTAGGTGTTGTCTAAGCCAAAGTATTTACTTTTCCTTTACCCTTTCCTGATTTCTTTTTCTTTTTTTTATCATCATTATTCTCACCCTTTATTAACAAAGACAAATTTCCTAAACTATTTAAAATGAAATCATCTCTTGAAGTAGGAAATTAATCTCCTATATCTATTTTATGCTTTAAATCATTTAGTTATTCTATAAATTTTTCTAGATCCTCTTTATTTTTTAAATTTCCCTTACCAAAGAGATATCCAATTACAAATGAATCTATCATTAATTCTTACCCTCTTTATTCAGAAGTTTTGATAATCTACATCAAATCATATATTTAGTTCATTTATTATTTATTATTTGAATATTGTATGATATTAATATAAATCAAACACTTCATTTTAATTAACTAAGCATTTTTATAATTCTATCATGGGCATTAAATCTAAATCAATTATAATAAATATTGGATTGAACTATAATAAAGTAGAACTACTAGGGATCGCTTTTATTTGATTCTCTTATTTAAGATGTCTTTTATAAGAATGATAGAATCATGCTCTAAGAAATAAATTAAACTGAAAATATGAAAAAATACAATACCATTATTTATAATGATTGAATATTTCATAAAAACGTGTAAACTTTTGTATATTATAAATTAATGAAATAATATTTTGTTTTTATCATTAGAGTTTGATATAAGGAGAATTAACATAATTTCTGTAACTATCATATGCTTAACCTTATTATTTTCATCATCTTTCGAATAATGGGTATTAAAAATATATTTTATTAAACTATTAGATTAAGATAAGCTGACTTCTAAACGTTTGATAAAATAGAATTTATATTACTATTTTCATTTAGATCTAAAATATGTATCTGTTATGTCTTGAATGATTTCAATTTGCTATTTTTACTCTCGTTTGATACTTAGCGCAAACTTTATGATCTGAAGAATTGAACAATATTTGCACTAAAAATATAGAATGTAAATTTTAGCAAACAAAATCAAGGATAAAGAGATATTAAGATATATATGAATGCAAACACACTATTCGGATTTCAAACATTATTTTATCTTCGTTCTTAGTATAATGTTATATTCATAATTAGAAAAAAATATTTATGAAAGATCCAAAATAAACCAGCTTTCTTATCCCTAAATACCAGTTAATAACTGAGAGCCAAAATAATTACAGGATAGCTAGGAATTGTAGATTTCTAAAGAGAGATATATGATTTAAGCTTCCAACATATTATTATGTCATATTTCATTGATATGTATCTTATTTAAATAAATAATATTTGAAATTATCAAAAAACACTAGATAGAGAGTTAAAGGAAAGTGAATAAAATGGACACTTATTATAAAATTGATTTAATATATAATATATGGATTGTCAACATTTGCAGTTGTCAGGATTTTAGGACTGATTTTAATTGTTTAATGAAAGGCCTTAATTAGGGTTGTCTTATCCAGGAGTTAATGATTTAATTTTGTACATTTCTAATGATAAGACAATTAAAACCTTATAGCAATCTATCGAAACATTATCCAACATTCTAACCTGTGACAGCACTTGATTCTTCAAACAATACTTTATGCTGTTATGCAAGATTTTTAGCATCTTCTTTTTGAACCTTTCTATGCATAATCAAATATAAAAACCTTGCACTTCCATTGTTTTCAACTAAGTCTATTTTATTACCGACTAACATTATAACCACATCTGGCTCAGCTTAATATCGCAAATCTTCCATCCACTTAACAACACTTTCAAATGTCTTCTCCTTTGTTACATCATAAACAACCAAAGCTCCTCCTGCTTTTCGAAAATGACTGAATAAATTTTATTCTAATACGTGCTTGTGATTCCTCTGTACCTTTCCTAGCCAGCGGTATCCCAAATTTATGCCTTAACCTTTTTGCCATTTTATAAAGTGACTGTCTTTCCAGCAAACTCAATCCCAATGGTGGGTACAGCATTTTTTGGTAGGCAACCTTTCACATATCTGTTGTTGTATAAATTAATTACCTGGTCATTAAATGTGTTTTACCTACTCCTGCATCGCCTACTAACACAACTGATCTAATTTTCAGACTTGATTACCTTTAAAGAAGTCAGAGTAATCTTCATTATTTGGATTGTCCATATTGCAAATTCAAAATATAATTAATATATAAATACCTAATATTTTATTAATCAAGATAGTTAATATAATTCCCTAACTTGATTATTAGCAGTCCCAACTCAAAAACATTAAAATCATAAATAGAGCTAATTCAAAATATCAATTTTTAATATAGAAGTTACTTATTGAATAATAAATTGGATTCAATCGTAAAATAATGAATTTATTTTGTGAAGATCAATGTTACCTATTATTTAATTAATTAAAATATGGAAACATGAACTTTAATTTTTCATTATTCTTAATAATAGTAGTAGTGCAAAAACAATTTTTGGATCAATGACTAAATGACCTTACTAAAAAATAATATTAGGAGAAAATTATAAAAGGTTGAAAGTAATAGAAAATTTATAATAATTCAAAAATTACAGAATATTTCGACTAAATAATGTCACAACATATGGAGATTATGCAAAAGAGAAAATGCTGTTAAATTAATTAAGATATCATGTTGGTGATTCTTTTTAGGATTTAATTTATTATTTGAATATTGCTATTTTTCATTTGTTTTTTAGTAATTGTTTACAAAATAATTAAACCAAAAACTGATTTATATTTTTGATTTAATTTATTTGAGGATCTTCTTCAAGATTAATAAAATTCATTATAAGGGAGTTGTAATAGATATAATATAAATTATATTTTGTAATTAAGATGGGGCAGATATGTAAATTACCTTCAACTCCTGAACTAAAGATGAATAGTGATTCTAATCAAATAAAAGAAATGACTCACGAAGAAGAAGTTCAATATGAAGAACAAGAAAATAAAATAAGCGAATAAAATTAATCTTTCTTTCCTGCCAATCAATTATCAGTCCAGTTGTCATGTACTCCAGAATTTAGTTTACCTCCTCAATAAATTAAATTATTTTCACAACAAGATAGCGAATACACTCCTGAATTTTTAGCAATAAGTTAACCTTTTTAATAATAAATGAATATATATTAATAATAATTTTGAACCATCTGTCTAGATCTTCAGAGGCATTGCAAAATTAAATTTATCAACTTGTACTTTATAGAAATTATGCTCATATTATAGCTGAAGTCTTCTGAATTTTATTCAGGATAGTTGATTAGAACCCCTCTATCTATAAAATTTAAGAACGTATTGTTAGAGTTCTGGATAATATGATGATAATTATTTCATAATTAGTATTTTAGATTATTTGTATGATACTATACCTACCCCTGTTTTACACTTCATTCTTATGTGTAATCAGGCTCGACGTTATCATTAGTAATCAATTTAAGCTAGAGTGATAACTATAATACCAATAAATGGTATAACAGTTGTTTTGATAGCTATTTATCATAATTTAATTATTTAAATATAAATGGGTGCAACCTGCAGTAATTCTTGCTGTACTAATGATTAAGAAATCAATAGTAAAGGAGGCGCTGATAAATAAGAGGTTGTATTATCGAAAAATAAATCATTAAAAGAAAGTCAATAAAGAAATAACAAAGAAACAGAGAGATTTAACGCTGATAATGATTAAGGCAAATCTGATGCTAGCATTGGTAGCATAAAGAAGGAGAACATACTCATACAAAGCACAATCGGCAAAATGTAGAGAGTCCAATTAGAAGGTATTGGTTTAATTCATTTAGAAATCACTTTTTCTGATGGAACTACTTATAAAGGGGAATGGATGAATGGATTAAAGGATGGATAAGGAGTACTTAAGTGGCCTTCAGGCAGTATATATTCTGGATTTTTTCTGGAAGGGAAACTTAATGGAAAAGGCAAGCTAGTATTGGAGGATGAAGATTACTATGAGGGTGAATGGAAGGATGATAAATGCAATGGATTTGGTGTTTATATGTGTAAAAATGGGGCACGATATGAAGGAAATGTATCAATTTTTTGCATATACATAAGTGGAAAAATGATAAGCAGCATGGAAAAGGTAAAGAAATATGGTAAGATGGAAATACTTATGAGGGATTTTATAATGATGGCAAAAAACACGGTTAAGGAATTTTAAAATTCTCAAATGGTACTACTTATGAAGGAGATTTTTCTAATAATGAGTTGGAGGGATAGGGAACAATGTTATGGGATGATAAAAGAGTATATAAAGGATAGTGGAAAAAGTCTAAAATGAATGGTTATGGTGTTCTGACATTTCCAGATGGAAGGGTTTTTAGAGGGGTAATTTAACTATAATCTAAATAGCATTTTTAAGATGATAAAAAGAATGGAGTTGGTGAATTTACTTGGAGTGATGGCAAGAAAATGGTATCTACTTGGAATAATGGTAAATTGATATACAAATTAGGCAAGTAAAATGGTATTGGTATTTGTACAAATGGTGATCGCAAAATAGGATATTGGGAAGAAGGGAAAAGAACAAAATGGCTAGATGAATAAGAAAGGAAATTACATTCTGAATCCATTTAATAATTAGAACTAGTAAAATTTTTATGATATCTACTTCATTTCTTTATAAACTAATCAAATTTTTGGGCTGTGGATAATGGTTATTCAATTTTATTCAATGAATTTGATCTTAATGACTATTGAGTTTTTGGTTTTTCACCTCCTTGATTCTGACGATTGCCTTCAAATGCTGTCCGAGGCATATTTTGATTATAAATCTCATTTCTTCCCAAGAGTTGATATTCAGGAGTCAATGGATTAGTGCCTCTATGATTAAGTAACCCTTTTCTCAGAGTGCCAACCTAAGCCCCAGGTACATCCTTAGTGTCATTGATGGCTCTGAATTGAGATCTCTTTTGTCTCATCAAGAAATGATCACTTATAGCTCCAACATGACATCCTTCAATGTCCTTAGTTTCTAAATTCTTAGTATTATAATTGATTTATGGATGCAGGACTCTGCTCTTACTTCCACCAACAAACCCATATTTTGAATTAGCTGGTTATCCTTCAACATCTTTTAATTGATATTCAGGTTCTAATGGGTTTGTCACACGGGATGATTTAAATACTCTATACTCGTTGATGTCTTTAACATCCATAATCTCCATATGATCTCTGGGCATGAAGGCAGGCTTTGATTTAGCCCCATCAACTTCATCAAAAATGTGAACAGTTTTTCTTAATTTGGCTGCTGGAGGATTGGGTTTGGTTCCTGGAATGTCCTTTTCATTATTATTCGCTGTACATCAATATTTATTTGATCTCTAATGAATTTCGGTTGCAAAGGTTCTACAGGAACAGCTTTCGGTAGAATATACACAGGATCTACAGGATTGGTTGGAGGTCTTGTTGTTTGAAATTTATTTAATTATGGATAAGCACCTTTGATGTCACGATTGTTCAGAGAGAATCCCTTCCAAATAATCAAATAATATACATCTCTTCCAATTTATGGGATCAATACCTTAGAACGAGTGCCTGCAATATCATCAGTCGTATTCGTAAAGTCCTGTTTATTGGTAAATTTATATGGCTTCATACATGGAGAGGCACCTACTTTGAAAATTCAGTTACCATCAATGTCTTTAGTTTATAGATTAAAATCTTATCCTGTTAACTTATCAGGTCTAACAGTGCCTACATCTCGTTTATCTAATTTATGATATAAAGTTTATACTTATGGAAGATAAATACATTAAATCTTTCCTACTTGGGAATGGCCAATCGTATGGATCACTCATATATATATATATTATTAATTTATCAAAAGTATAAATTCTAATGAAAATAATTAATTCCAACTGAAATGTACTAATAATAATTAGAATGCAATTAATTTATATAAAAATTATTTTCTGAAAAATTGAGCATGATGAATTAATTGGATGACCTTGATATTGATGAAGATTTTTTAGTTCAACCTGCTAATCAATTCATTGATGATGATCAAAATGAAGACGATATTTTTGATGAACCTACTTAAACATTTGTTAATGATAATATGCACATTAATGAAGAAACTCGAAAAAAAATAAACAATGATTTTAAAGAAAAGCTAGAGAGATTTGTACCAAAATTATTCTAGTAAGCCTAAATTAAAGTATTTACAAAGAAGTATATTTATTTAGACACGTGAAATCATAGGCATTAAATAAATCCTTAATTCTTTGAAAATCTCTGATAAGCTCATTCTAGAATAAAGACAGAAAGAAAGGTAAGAATAGAATAATCAAAATCAATATAATGGACCTAAGTAAAGAATTCAAAAAAGAAACACTGAAGAGTTCCTTATTGACAAACTTAAAAAGCATTTGATTGAAGGTTCTAATCTAAATTTTACTATCCACGATTTAAATTATACTCAACTCTATTTATGTCATAATCCATGCGTAATCTTCATTAAAACACAACACCCATATCATACACTTGATATAGTGAATTAAATGTTAAGGAATCTCAAAAATCCATAATTGTTTGAACAAGATAAATTTAATACTTTGCAAAATGAATTTGGACAAAATTGTTTAAAATTGGTTATCCAATAAATGTAATATAATCATTTGGTTGTTCAAATCCCTGGTGGTTCTATTAAATTTGAAATTAAAGCAGGGAATGAAAATTAAAATTTAGACATTTATAAGGATCAAATTATGAATGTGTATTGTTAAATCAATCCAGAATTAAAGAAGATATGTGCATTCTTAAACTATTGGGCATATCAAAGAGGTATCTTGGGAGATCATGCACTCCCTGAATTTGCTTTGTATTGTATGATAATCGATTTCTTTATGACCTAATCATTGATACCTAACATATTTAGTGATTAATACAGTCAATGGAGTTAAGAAAAACTGCAATTGAAACAGAAAATCAAAGATAGTGAAGATTGTAGATTGTCTAAATTTAATAAAGATGAATACATAATTCAAGTGACATAAAAAAATGGAAGAAAAGTAGAAAAGATATTTTGGCTATCATTTCCTAGAAGCAAAGAAGAGATCAAAGGTGTAATTGAATAATGGACTAAAACCCAAGAAAAACAATATCAATAAATCCCTTAATTTAATATAGGCTATTAAATCAGTGTATTCTTTCATCTTTGGAACCAAGTTGAAAAATACAAAGTTCCCCTTGCATTAACCAGTGATGTTTAAAAAGAAGGTTAAGAAATAGGATTAATAATCTATAATCCATTCATTAAAAATCAGATTTTGACTCCCCTGTTGCAAAAACGCCAAAAGAATGAAGAATTTAAGTCTTCCAATATGTATCAATAGGTGAGATAAGAATTCAAAAGAGCTTACGATTTGATTTTATCATGTAATTTTGCTGAGTTATGTGACAAATAGTAAATATTATGAGAATAATTTAGCATTTCAACCATCTATTTCATCTTCTTTATTTATTATAATGAAAGTATTTTATTAAAAATCAACTTAACCTCAATTATGGGATATCATGAATTATGAATAGTTCACACAACAAACTCATCAGGTGTTCTAGTTATCAAAAGGAACTTACAGCATCAAGGCAAAAAGCAATAATTAACCCATCAGAACAACTAAAGATTTATAATTGTATGGATAATAAGCAGGCATTATCATTGAACCGTAACATTTTCACCTCTTATTTTGAGTCATCAGCAGAGTTTATTTTCTGTTTTAGGTGGTCATTTGCCTGAGGCCAATAATCCCTAATCTCATAGAATTGTAAAATAAAAAGTTCCAGCAATTAAGAAATAACTCAAAACTGAACACGATGGAGTTGAAAGCTTTAAGAAGATCCTTCACATTGGAAATAGTAATTTAAGCAATGATTGGAGATAAATAATTACAAGAATCAAAGATCTTCAAGCAGAATCATATTACTTTAAAAATCATATGTAAGAGAATTATGGAACATTTTAAGAAGAAATTGATGCGTATGTTACCATAATTAATTATTAGATTGATTGATGAAGCCAATTCATTGCAATTGCAATAGTAATAAGTCTTTTAGTAAAATACAGAATTACTACAAAAAATTGAATAAACTAAATAAGAAATTATTGAATAACAGCAATAATATGATGCTATTAAGAATTAATTCAAATAGGAGAACATCGAATATTTCATTCAATCTAAACAATAATAAAATAGAAATCAAATAAAAATATTTAAGTATATTGATGAATTTGATTCCTTTTTAAATGAGAATAAATTTATCCTTGCCTATGGAGCCAATTTAGATATCAGAAAGAAATTACAGTATTTCAAAAATAAATATTTATAATTAAGCAAATGAGATTATTAGAATTAATTTATATATTATTTAATATTAATGGGAGTAACATAATCTAGTTAAAATGATCATTTAGAAAAATATTTAGGATAAGATTTTCCAGATGGGGAAATTTTAATTGGATTTGAAAATGTATAAGTTAATCATATATCAGCCAAGTAATATTTGTTATTCAAATGTAATATTATAAGCATTGTATTATTGCAAAGAATTTAAGAATTAAATTTTATAACATCAGAGCTCAATTAATTAGAATAATTTACTAGATTTAACTAAATTGTTATTCCAATCAATATCAAAACACAAACAGAAGACTGGAGTAATTTCAACCAAAAAGATGATGAATTATATTAAAACTAAAAATAAAATTTTCGATGGCAAGTATCATTAAGATTCTCATGAATTTTACATGTGGTTTATTAATGAATGCGAAGAATTATTGAAGGATAAACAAAATAATTGGGTTAGATAAATATTTCAGGGATAGTAATTAACATAAATCGAGTGCTTAAATTGCCATTCAAGTAATTATAGTAATGATAATAAGTCTCTTAAAGAGAGGAAATGTATTGTGATTTATCCTTAGACTTATTTCCTAATTATAGTTTGAGCACTTGTTTGTAATAAATGTCGAAAGAAGAACAGCTAAATGGTTAGAATCAATTCTTTTGCGATAAGTGTCAATCTAAATAAGATGCTATAAAAAGGTATTTAAGTTTGATCTATTAAGATTATTGTTGAATACTCTACCAAATGTCTTAGTAGTCCATCTGAAACGATTTAAATATGATGAGAGATGTGGGTAGATGATTAAAGTGTCTTCAAAGATTCCCTTTTCTCAATAATTAAGTATTAAGGCTCTGAAATAAACAAAGACCTACGAATTGACTACAATCATTATCCACTTAGGATAAGGCATATTGTATGGTCATTATGTGTGTATAACAAAAATACAAGGGAAATGGTTTAAATTTGATGATGATAAAATATCTGTAATAAAAAATCGAAATATGCTTAGCTATTTGTTGATTAAGATTTACATTTTGTTTATGGAAGAAGTTATCCAACTCATGCTCAAACATGTGCATATATGCTGTTTTATAATGCATAATGAATGTTATTAAGAATAATAGTTTTTTAAATTTCTTACTTTCAATGTTCAATTGCTTTTGAAAACTAATATATTCATAATTGTTCAAGATTGTTTCAAGAAACTTCTTTAGCTATTGTTGTACTTTTTTTTTATTATTAATTAAATGAATAAAAATCATAATTTTGAGTAGGTCTGCTCAGACATCTGCGTCTATCATGAACCAGTAGAATACCCATAAAATCCAATTTAAAAGCAATACAACAAATTGAATCTGAAAAAAGATAAACTAATGTAGAAATTAGCTTCACAAATTATCAGAAGTGAATAAAGAATTAAATCTCCTTTTTAGATTGAAATGTAAATGGTTAAGTTTATCTAGATTTCAATAATAATAATTACTTAATGATAAGTGTGTAGAAACAATGTCTTCTGAACTTGTCTTATCCCAACCCAAGAAAAACCTATCAATTGATTTAAGCAAAAGGTATTCTTTATTTACTAAAGCAGATGGCATTTAGATTTATCAGACTTAACTGACAAAGGAGTAAGAGATTTGAGTGATGGATTGTCAAAACTTAAAAGTTTAGAATAGTTAAATTTAGCTTTGTGTGGGTATTTAACTAGGTTATTTAATATTAGTTGGGGTTATTGGAATCAAAATATTACAGATAAATCACTATAATACATAACTAATGCTTTGATACTTCAAAATCAATTGCATGAGTTCAACCTTGATCTAAACATGTGGGCATATGAGAATAATAGTATAACTGATGAAGGAGCCAAAAATCTAATGGATGGAATCGGTTTATTATAGAATTTAGGAAAGTTGGAATTAAATTTAAAAGGCTGGGGAGATGGAAATTAAGACATTACTGACAATACTATTATAGGACTATCAAGATGCTTAAAGAAATTAGGAAATCTATCAGAAGTCAAATTAGTATTGTAAATCATTTATTTTTAATTAGATGGTAAAATATAGGAAAATAAGCTATCAAATAATTGAATAAGACTTTATCAAAAATGGAGAACTTAACAAAAATAGACATTAAATTTGAAAGGTATTTCATAAATTTGATTTATTTTAGTTGTGCTCAGTAATAACCAATTTAGAATAATAATATAGATTTAAAACTTCAATAAATTAAAATAAATGCAGTCCAAAAAAGAAGATTGCTTTTCTAAGTTGAGGGAATTATGATTAATTTTGAACCTGTAATTAATAAAAGGACACTTTGGGACATTATTTTAAAATTATGATAATAACAAATATGATATTTATATCTAATACTGATATTAAGTTGATTTTTCTTGTTTATTTAATTACTGGATTTATAATACGATTCAATTGAGACAAAAACTATAATGAAGTTCTGTAAACCTCAATTTAATTTTATAAATGTAAAGTCACATTAACTATTCTAAAAATTGAGCTAACAATTGAGATATGCATATAATTTCATCTAAATTCTATTATATTTTTGTTCATCACTCCTAATATTGCAAGTCATTCCCATTTTATTACAATTCATCAAGAGACAATATTTTTTATATGATTCTTTAATTATGATTTAAATTATTAAGTTGAGTAGATTCTACAGCATTGAATTTTGAAACAGACTATAAATATAATTCTATGAATATGCACAAGAATTTAAATCCAATTCGAAATTCCTTTTCAAATCTTACAAATAGTTTTTGAATTATATTATTATCAAATTATTGGATTTTTAATACTGTTTCGCCTCGCAAAGTGTGAAATAAACAATACGTTTTCAATTCTGATTAGTCTAATCCATATGGCCTTTTAATTTAATGTATAATAATATATCATAATACTTGTATATTATAGTTTATACTGTAGATTTTATTGACTTTAATAAAATTTGGTTTTTACAAAGTGTGTAATCTAAATAAAACAGATTCCATCTGTTTCATTTTTTTCTTTCATCTAAAAATAACTTAAATATTACTACGTTATTATACATAGCGAGGATTTGATCATATCAATTTTAATATCTCTTAATCATGATAGCTTGATCTTTGAGTTATTTTAATTGTGTTACTTTTGCTAATTTTTCAATAATGTATTAGCTAAGATCTTATGTTGCCCTTTTTGACCATATAGTTAAGATAATGATTGCAAGAAAAAGGTTATATATAACAAGTTTAGACCTATCTCTTAGCTTTTGATATGTTTGTTATAGTTACTCAGCAATATTGAAAATCGCAAATGTATCTTCTATCTTATCATTTGTCAAAGGTTCATTAGATTGACGATTATTTAAATTATTTGATTCCCATCTCAATAATTCATTCTCCCATTCCTAAAGATTAAATTAATCTGAATTAGTTCAGAATTACTAAAATCTTCTTTTTGCACATAAATAATAATTCTATTTCTATTAGTACTATTATATATCTATCCATCCCTACGTATTTGATCATGCAAAATTAATCCTAAGAATATGCTCAAATATAAATAATGAATAAATATAATATAAAATCTCTTTATATATAAGTTAGCTCTATCTATTAAAATTTGAATTTATAGAACCATATAGTAATTCATAAATTTTATAATTATTATAATCTAGTATTTGATATGGATCTTAACTTGCGACTTATAGGTGAAGTCCTCAACTTTGTAAATCTGATTTCACTGCTCATAATCGAAGGAATTCTGGATGTTTTTGTAAAAATGTTATAGGTTTACTTAGCATTTTCTATCTCAACTTACTATTACCTTATTCTATCATTTAGACTTTTTGAGATATCACACTAAATTTATAACTCCTTCTACAATTTGTCGCATTATATTTTATATTATTGAAGTGACTATTTTTGCTCTTTTGATTCATTTCTCAATTCTGTATTATTTTTTTACAATTATTAATACTACTATCTTAATTACTCAGCTTAACTTTTTGATTAGTTTAGTTAGATTTGAATATCATTCAGTTTTTATGAATTTATTTTTTCTAATTATTCTAACTATTATTATTAGGTTATCTGAAGATCATGGTAGTTAGTTTCAGCTAGTTTTTTATCTCTAGATTACTACTCTTTATTTAATTAGAGTTATTCGGATAGATAAACTATAATTTCATCCTTTTCTACGAGTTAATTATTCAAGAGCTCTATTTTATTTTAAAGTTCCTTTTGTTCACATTTAAGTTTGTCTACTTCAAATGATAATTACTATTATAAAAGGTTAATTTTATAATTATGTTCTGATAGATTTTTCTCTCTATTAATTTCATAATCCTATTACATCTTATTTAATTACAATTTACATTCATATTATGTTTCTTTTACTTTTTAATCTATTTATTAAGCTAAACTTTATTAAAGTTTCTGGTATTTAATCTGAATATCACCACTCTATTAACTTTTTTCTAGAATTACATTTTATTATTATTTAATTTAATGCTCTAAATTTTTCACATATGATATCTATGTTTAATCATCGTATTGTTGTGAAAAATCTGAAGTGAGTTCTTATTGTTATTCTCCTTCTAGCTTTATAGGATTCCCAAGAATATTCTCATATTTAATTTTTTAAATTAAGATTTATTGAGTATGATTTAATTATTGATTAGCAATAAATAAGTCTTTCTATTCTAATTCTTTTTTGAGTTATGTAATTTGAGAATTGAGTTGATTAACTTCATGGACATGTTTCTACAAAAGAGTTTAATTTTAATCTTAATGTTGTTAAACTTACTCTTTCAATCTTTATTATCGTTTTTCTTCGATAGCCATTTTACTTTACAATTGATTAATGATTTCTTATTGCTCCAATTACTATTTATTTTCCTTGGCTTTATTTTTTCTTTCATTTGCTAATTCTTCAATGTATTATTTAATTTTTTATGTTTATTAATCTAATTATTTTTCAAAATTATCTCTTTGTTATTTTATTTATTTAATTTACTGCATTTGCTTTTGGTACTTTTCCTAGAATTATTAATTTTCCAAATAATATTTTTTATATTTTTATTCTATCAAACTAGTTTGATTTTCCAATTCTTCTTTGTAAAATTTCCTATCTTTTTCATGGTTATGCAAAATAGATTATATTTCGAATTAATGTTGTTATTTTATTTAAACTATCTCATTATCTAATTGTGCAACTCTTTGTTTCAACTATTATTATTATTGTCTCATTAATTCTTCTGTATGAAGTACCTAGTCTTATAGCTTCGACTTATGAATTTCTAACTCATTCTATAAATCTTTAAGTTATTAATTTAATATAACGATTACATTTTCTTTTTCGATAATTTTGTGTTCTTACTCTTCAATCATATGATGAATGTCATTTTATGTTTTCACTTTCATTTGTTCTTCTTTTTCCTTCAACTTTTCAAATTGAGATTCCAAAATTGATGTGTTATTTTTAAGAGTGTTGATGAGTATTTTCCATCTCACTATGTTCTCTTGAATGATTACAAAGACATTTGACATATCTGTTATCTGAGCTTTTTGTTTAAAGTCTGGATCAAGTTCATTTATTAAAATATCTAAATTGTCTTCTACTAAAAATTTGATCTAATGGACTTTATCTTTCAATATGGAATTTTCCTTCACTAAACCGGTTCCATCTAAATTCCTTTTAATAAAACTATATGATCTAATTCTTTAAGCCATAAAAATATTATTAAAATTAAAGATGCTCATTCATATTATTTATGGCACTCTGACTTTACATATCATACTTAATGATTTTTTTGAAATAAACCTATAATCACAAATCTTTAATGCTCTGCTTTTACTTACAATAGGAGTTTAGGTTTATAGATTTGCATTGTAATGGGTTTTACAAAACAAAGAATAGGTACTCTTAATTTAATCAAAAAAGGCTGAATAAGTATTCTCAAGTAAAATGAAGCAATTTACAGAGTTATCCAGCCTTCCAGAGAAATTGATAAAGAATTACATAATGCCAATCTTAATTGATGCTATTACCTTGAAAAACATAGTATGAATCAAATTTTAAATTCTAGCCTCATACAATTGCCTTCTTCATTGCATTACAATTAGGCATATCCTATATATCGCTATTTTTAACTAATGGAGCTGTTCGAATTATCTCTGTGAATGGATTATACGCATTGTATTATCATTATAATAAGAATTAATAACTCTACGAAACGATCATACAAAGAACTTAAAAGTTAGGTAATGATAAATGGCAAATAATAAATCAGAAACTATAAAAACAATAGGTGTGAACATTTTTATTCATAAATATATAGATATCAATCCTATTTCATTTAAGTCATCTTCACAGCTCTTTAAAAACTAAATCCCTCTTAATAATATTTATATGCGTCGGTCAAACGATTACTTAGTTCAAATAATACAGTATCCTCCTAACCCAAATAAGAATCTATCAAATGCAGGTAGTCCTTTTCAGAATCAATCACACTTCTAAAGTCATTCTCAACTATTAGGAGAGTACTTAATTCTTATCCCAACATGGAGAGCATCTTTTAATAGAATCCTTTCTCATGAGGTATACAATATTCTCGAGTTAGTAACAGATCAATATGCTAACTAATAAATAATATACTTATTACTGAATTTGTTGATCAATCTTCTTTAGAGCCCATTTAGCATATCTGGGCAAAGAAGCAGTCCAAATTATTATATAGTAATATTTATGCATTTATTATAAAAATTGAATTGATCCATTTCTAATCATAAGCCTGTTGGATCCCTATTCAAAATGCACTAAGGTTTCATCCAAATCAATAATTAGGATTGGTTAGGTTAACTTTGCATTTATAAATGGGTGAGAAGCAGTGAGTAATTGTTTTGGTAATAGCTTTATGATTTCTAAGTTTCTGGTTTCGTGTAACCACAATGCAAAATGTCTTCTAATGATTTTAAAATTTAGTTTATATTATTAACTTTATTTGCATTTTCTATGTATCATCCAGATTGTATTATTTCCTTGTTGAAATCTTTCATATAGATCATCTATACTGACATAATCAATAGTATTGTTCATTTGAATTTATTATTAAGCATCTTATAATTACTTTTTATTAAATTTGCCTTTTGAAAACAATTCTTACAAACATGATTAATAATTCTAAACGAATTAACAAAAAAATTGGTTGAATAATTGATCCTGTTGCATTTCGTAGCCTAAAGATATTATGATTTTTTCAAAGTAACAGATTTCAAATAATTATTTTTACAATTATTGAAATTGCAAAAAAAACACTTTCTTAAAGAGTTCTTGATACAGATCATAAATATCGCCATTTTTTTGAATAAAATCCCAAATTTAAGCAAAAAATATATTCCAATTGATTGGTTTTACATTTTATTACTAATACAATCTGAAATGATTCATTATAATTTAAATGTCTTATCCATCAGAGTTTACTTGATCCATTTTTATTTAAGGCAAGAAACTTTTGTAATTTTTCAAGATTTAATTTTAACTGTAATCATCCATTTGATCGATAAAGACACTTTTTCTTCTCTTAGCTTATTCAAAATAAGATTTTTCTTGTTTGAAGGATGAGTTTCTTCTTCTTTATGTATCAACAGAACTTTAAATTGCTTTTAACTAATTCATAATTAATATTTTTATAATATATTATTTCCATCAACCTGATGATATATGCCTGTATTATGTCTAACTGATACTGTCATATCTATAATTAGGTACATTATTGAAAGGGTTAGATATTATATAGAAATACTCTACAATTTTACTATTCTATCAGAGGAGTTATGAAAAATAACAAGTATATGTAAAATGTGGCAAAATTCAATATATAATAAGTTATTTATTAACTAACTACCTTATTGATCAAATTATTATCCATAAGTATAGCTTATTAGAATAGAAATTAGCGTCATAATATTAATATCAAAAACTATATGAATTATAATAAATTAAACAACATATTACTTTTAAAGATTATGCTTTTAAAATATAAATTTCATTATATATTTTTCCCACCTTGTTATTGAATTTAATTTATGGACTTTTTTTTAGTTTATGTTATAGAATTTCATTACTTAATTAACGCTTCACAAGGCAATTATTAAATAAAATAACAAAAATAGTAATGAGTTAAAAAGATCAACAAATATCAAGCTCAGGGGAGATTGTCTTCTTAGAGAGTTAAGCTTAATATGATTCTTTATTATAAAAAGTAGCATAGTTAGAAAGCTAAGTGAAAGTATAATATGAAATAATTAAAAGAAATTGGAATCGAATAATTAGCAAATATAGAAAAATTTCAGTATGAAAGAGAGACAATATTAATAATTAATTGAGGAATTCTCGAACTATAGTAATTAAAAAAATTAATATAGAAAAAAGTGAATAAGAGTATGTAGAAAATAGGGAAAATAGTTCGTTAAAGCTATTGCACTAGTTTAAGATTTACGAGAAATAAATAAAAGAATAACGAGAGATGATAAAGAATTTAAAAGAATAAAATTAAAAATTACTTGATGAAAATAGAGAATTAGAGAATCAAAAGGATTATCTTTAAAGTTAAAATTCCGTAATTGATCAAGAAAAACAGAAAATTTTTGTAAATCTTATTTTGACATTAGATTTCATATTATTCTAGAAAGAAAGAACTAGAGGAAGTTGCTTTAGAAAAGAACAAATTTGAAGAGGAATTGAAGTCGTATAAAGAAAAAATTTAAAATTTGGAAGGTTAAATTGAAACACTTCAATAAAAATAGAGTACATTAATTCCAATAATATTTAATAGTTCATTAGGAATAGGAAATAAGCTATTTGAAAAAAATATCTGAAGAGAAAGAAAAATACTTATCAAAAGTTTAAGATGACTTAAAGAAATACTTAGAACAAGAGCATATAGTTAAGTAACCAAATCAAGAAGAGTATAAAGTAAAAGTTATTCAAAATCTGAGATGTACAGAATTATGTTATCCTATAGAAATTATGTAAGAAATAGTTGGAAGATTTGCACATTTATCAGAGGAACTGAAAGATAATGAAAATGAGAAAATAAACAGGAGGAGTGAGGAAATTGCATTTCTAAATAAAACATTTAATGTTCAATTGCGATTGGAGCTAGAAAAAATATTTATTACGTTTAAACATGAAATAAGAGACAATGAAGTTCGTGAATGAAATCAATATATATTGGAAGATAATAATTAATAATCATTTTTATTTCTTTTAAAATGTAAAATTTCTACTCTCTTTTCTAGAATCCCAACATGCTGGATTCTAGTTATTAATAGATTCATTTATACTAAAGAACAATCAAAGTAATACATTTCTTGATCAATATACAAGAATTTAGAAAAAGCTTCAAATAAGACATTAGAATTATTCATAATTTCTAAGACATGGTTGCGGTAATGGAAACAATATGTAAGGTATTATGAAAACCAATACTATAATATCAATTAAAGAAACCAAAAAGTATGCAAACATCTTAATTTACAAGCCTGGACCTATTAATTCTGATTTAAAATCTGATGAAGTTTTCTTATTCAACTATCCAAATAATCACTCCTTTAATTAGAAAATAGTAAAATTAGACCCAGAAGATTATGTTTTAGTAAACCATACAAATATTTAATAGGTTGGGAGCGATTTGATGAATATGTGGCATTTAGAATTTGGATCTGAATTAACAATTTTTAGACAGATAACTTTTGATGAAAATTCTAAACCAATTACAAATGTAAATCTACTTAGAGTAAGACTATTCTAATTAATTTATAGTAAGACATCTATATGAAAATTTAAAATTCTACTCGAGGTACCATCTAAGTAGATGAGAAATGTTTGATAAAATAATGGATAATGTTGATAAAATCAGCATTGAAAAGCGAGTTTTAATTGAATTGCGAAAACATTAGACTATGGAAGCATAAACATTTTCCCGCTAATTAAGCTATAAAACAATTAGAATAGCATAATGGTAAATTCCATGGATAGATATTGGATGAAAATTAAAGTGTAGGGTATTATAAGGCTGATTTAATAATTATCGACATTCAATTAAATGGAAAGTGGCAATTTGAACTATTAGATTTGAAAGTAATTACATCCAAATGATATTTTAGACTGCTAGTTTGGAAGAATTCAAACATGTTTTTAATAAAGCATATAAGGGATGTGGAAAATTTTATTGTGATAAAAATTATTGTAACAGCAATCCAGTCTTTAATCAATTGCAGTTTGAAAAGGCCAGTTTACAATAATTTCTTATTGAATCCTTCAAAGAAGACAGCATAGATTGGAGTGAAGTTTGTTGGAATTCTGATTATGAATTAAAGCCTATCTAATAAATAGAGGAAGATATTATATAGTAGATAAGCAAAGTTTCAATTTATCCAAATAGTTTTGGAGGTTCCTTTGTTTAGGATTTTAATGGTTCTTATGAATCAATCCTTTCTCATAATAACCATCCTAGATTGAATACGACTGTGATAAACGAAATAAATAAGGTCATCGATTTCAACGTTTTGAAGGGTTGGATCAACAATCTATATAAAACTAAAGAGAGCAGTCCGTTTAAATTGAGATCAATATTCATCATTCTACACTTTGATTGTTTTACATAGATAATACCAGAAAAGTCAAACAGTTTCTTAGAATTTGTATTCAATTTGGACATATAGAGTAAGAATCAATTATCCTAATATTTGACCCATCTTCCAAATCAGCAATTTTAAAATATTATTGAAGCCTTAATTAAGAATTTGATATTGTTTATTAAGTACTAGTAATAACTGCCAATTTAATTGTTGCTTAAGGCTGACATCCGTTATTTAATGTAGCAACTTGAACTGTTACAAATATTTTACAAATCGAATGAAAAGGTGAAAAGGATTATTAATGAGAAATTCATTATTAAGGAGATTACTAAACTATATCCAAGACAAGCAGAATTGTTGGAATTCAAATAATTTGCTTGTTTGAATAACAAATCCCTTGAGAATTATTACTTTACGTTTTGTCTATATCCCTGGATAATTCCGATTGAATTTAAATACCAAATTTTAACTATGGATTCAAATATAAATCAAAGGAACTAGGGTGATTTTATATGGCAATAGATAGGACTTGCACCCTCTTTAAAATTGTTGATAGACAGAAATGATATTGTAAACAGTGCATTAGAGTAACTGTCAAGAAAAGGAATAAATCTAAAATCTAAATTATCCATAGTATTCAAGGGAGAATAAGGAATAGATTAAGGGGGTTTAACAAGGGAATTTTTCTCTATATTGACTCAGAAGCTATTCGATGTTTAATTTACAATGTTTGTCACAAGAAATAATAATACAGTACTATGGTTCAATAAACATCATATGGAGATGCCAATAAAGTATGAATTAATAGGGATGTTACTAGGATTGGCTCTTTACAATTAAGGTATAATAATAATAAAAGATTTAAGTTCTGCTGGATGTAAGTTTCCCATAGTTGGTGTTCAAGAAGTTGATGAATGAAACAGTGCAATTTGAGGATCTCAAGGAGTTAGATTTGGACACTTACAAGGCATTGAATCTATTGAGTTAGTATGAAAAGGATGACATAGAGCAAGCGTTTGCGTTCAATTTCTCAATTACTGAATACGATAATTGGGGATAGCCCTTGCAAGTTGATTTGATAGTAAGTGTTACACATTAATGAATAGTAAAACGGGTCATAAATCATGGTCACACAGAAGAACAAGGAGTAGTACATTAAATTATGCACTGAATATTACTTGAATTAATCAATTCAAAAGGAGTTCCAAAGATTTCATGCAGGATTTTGGAAAGTGGTGGATGGAAATGGTATTAAGTTGTTGACAGGTGCCGAGTTGTAAACCATGATATTGGGATAAAAAGATTTGAACATGTACGAATTGGAAGAGTCTACAAAGTATGATGGATTTGATAAGAATTCTGAATATATCAGAACTTTCTGGGCATATATTCATTCTTTGGATGAATAATAGAAGAAGAGGTTTCTATTCTTCTGCACAGGATCAGATAGAGTTCCAGTGGGAGGATTAAAGTCATTGAAGTTCGTTATTTAAAAGCATGGTGAAAGTATCGATTATATTTTAAGTGGATAGACACTGAATAATTGCCATCAGCACATACATGTTTCAATGTGTTTTTGTTGCCTTAGTATGATTGTTTAAACAAGATGATGGAGAAGTTGAACATTGCCCTTGAAAATAGCGAAGGATTTGGACTCATGTGATGATCGTATATATGTTTGTTAAAAATATGTGAAATATTAGATCCAAAATTATATTGATTTCTATTTTTGTGATTAAAAATAAAGAGAAAGAAATGAAGAATAATTAATAGCTAACTACAGAAGAAGATGAAATGATATCAGATGAACCATGGAGGGAATACATAGAGTAATTTAAAGAATTGCGATAAAAAGTGAACCAGAAGGCAGATTAGGAATTCTAATTAGTGACAAGACTCGAATAGACCTTGAACTTGATTGGTAAGGGTCAAAAGCCTAATCCTGACAAGGCTTAATTTATCTACAAGGCTAAGTGCATATTGCTTAAGTTGAAGAGAGATCTACATTTCTTCTTTGCAGACGAACATGAATTAACACTCTAATGTATCACCATTTTATTGATTCAAATACTGGAGGATTATCCATACATTTTTAATGATTGTCAATAGTAAATTTTGGAAATGCTAGCCTGTCTTACTCTTAAAGATTACACCTTGATACTTCTCATTAACTCCATAAGTTTGAAGGAGTACATAAAGAAATTGACAAAGGAGATATTTTTAGAGTCTACACAATATAATCCAACGAGTGAAATTCTCTTTCTGTTGATTGTGATGATGATAGCCCATTTAGACTTTATAAAGAATCCAGAATTAGAGTTAGTTCAATTAATTGTGAAATGTTTTTAGCACTATTAGGATCAAAGAGATAAAACCTTGAAAGAAAGGGATATTTATGAGTAAAGGAAAAAGTTCGAAAAAAAGATTACAAAGAAATCAGGACAGGAAAAGGAACAAATTGATCTCTCTCCTGAAATGAAGTACATGTAAGTTCCACAGGAAACTTGCAGAATATTAAAATTAGGGTTATCACTTATTCCTAGTAATATTTGCTAAATGCCTTCATCCTACAAGTATTAATAATCTGAAGAAATAATGAAAGAGACATCTCTAAATGTCTTTTTCTGCACCTTGAGTTTCAAGATTAAATAAACATTAGTCTAAACGATAAAAGAGAATAAAAGAGACTTTGATGTAGTGTAAATGTTAGTGGACATCGCCTAAATGCCAGAGTGTTTTACCTAATAAAGGGAAGCCTTGAGAACAGTCAATATGTTCTTAGAAGGATTTGATGACACCCTGTTGTGGATTAAATTCGATTCTACCAATCTATTTGACAATAGCAATCTCAATAATGTGTTGATCTATGGAGATCCAACCAAATTAACCATAGATTAAGGATTGTTCTACGATGGTTGTGGCTGTTTCTTTGATAGAGATCAAGTGCTTCAGTTGGAAGAACCATTGAAAATCAACAAAAAATAGATAGCCGTGTCCTTTTGGATGGTCATGTTTAATCCTGAAACCAATAAGTCCAGAGGTGCTCAGAACAATTACTAAATTCGTACCTTATTGGGTTCTAGTGATGGATACTCGTCCTTAATCATATCGGATGCTTATTCTTAATTATTGGGAATTACCAATGTCAATCAAGATGGATATGGATACAAGTTCTTTGAACCTAAGAGTTCCGATAAGAACTTTTCTGGTTGGAATCACGTTGTGATTGTATTCGACAACGATTAGGAATCAGCATATCTCTATTTGAATGGTGCCTATGAAAGCCAAATGAATAAAGTAGTATCATCCTTTGATATCCAATTTATTGGAAATTGTAGAACTCTCGATTAACCTATTGGATATATATGTGATTTGCGAATCTATCCCAGAATCTTAAATGATCAGGAAATCAAAAGCTTATCTTATTATGATAAAAAATAAGTATTGCTCAATAGCAAGAATGACCTTGTAGATTAGATTCTGAGCAACAGAATCATATTGGATTTCAAACGACTATTGGGTTACTTCACTGGCAAAAACTCAGAAGCATTGATCTAAACACTCCAAATACTCTCAAAATTGTGCTAAGCCACTACAATTTTCAGATTGGAATGTGTCAAGTATGGGATCTTTGATCTGGCTATGCAACTCCTGCCCTCCACTAATTAGCAAGTATCCTATTAGGCTGGAATATTAATTAATAATATGAAATGAATGAAAAATAATTAATTACTAAACATATTAATTTATAAGAATATTCTTAATATATGAAAGAGCGTATTAAATACTTGAACGACAAGAAAGTCAATGTCAAAGGCAAATATGTAGCCTATTGGATCTAAGCCAGTTAGAGAACCAAGTACAATCACGCTCTTGAACTGGCTATTTAAAAGGCAAATCAAGAATAAATACCCTTATTCTGTTTCTTTGGGCTAACCAAATATCCTGCCGCTAATCAAAGACCTTATCACTTTATGTTAGAGGGTATTCAATTAGTCTTAAAAAAATAAAGGGTTGTAATAATTAAAAACTAGCCTTGCAGATCGAAAAATATTATTTGGAGTTGCCAAACAATCTCCAGATGATTTGGCTATCTCCATTGCTCAAAATGCTAAATTACTTATTGTTGATTGTGGCTATCTCAGAATCTAAAAACAATGGAGAAAAAAAGTAGCAGACACTATTGATTGTTAATTTATACAAGTAGAAACTGATGTTTTGGTACCAGTTGAATAAGCAAGTCAAAAGGAGGAATGGGCAGCAAAGACAATTAGACCCAAAATCTAATCTCTTACTAAATATTTTGCTAAAGAATTGAATGAAGAAACATTAGTCAAATAAATGGATAAATTACCATTCTAAGAGTATGATATCTCCAACATCACAAAAGTCATAGACGATTTAGGAGTTGATAAAAGTGTTTCGATTGTTTAACAATTCAAAGGAGGAGAAATAGAAGCACAAAAGAGATTGGAAGAGTTTTTGAATAAGAAATTAAAAAATTATGCTAAAAACAGAAATGATCCATCACTTAATGCAACATCTAATTTATCACCCTATCTACATTTTGGAATGATCTCTCCTTTACATATATACTTAGAGGCTATGAAATTTCCACCATCTGAAAGTCGAGAATCATTTTTAGAAGAATTGATTGTAAGAAGAGAATTATCAATGAACTTTTGCTATTACAACGATTTGTATGATAAATATGAAGGATTGCCTGATTGGGCTAAAAATACACTTTAAGAACACGCTAAAGATAAGAGAGACTATATTTACACATTAGATCAGTTAGAAAAGGCAAAAACGCATGATGTATATTGGAATTCTGCATAACTTGAAGCTATTCATAAAGGTAAGATTAGCGGGTATATGAGAATGTATTGGGGTAAAAAGGTAATAGAATGGACAGAATCCCCATAGTAAGCATTCGAATATTTAGTTTTTTTGAATGATAAATACCATTTAGATGGAAGGGATGCAAATGGATATACAGGAGTAGCCTGGTGTTTTGGAAAACATGATAGGCCATGGACAGGTAGAAAGATTTTTGGGAATATTCGATATATGATTGATAGCGGTCTAAAACGAAAATTTGATACAGGATAATATGTGATGAATGTGAATTAGTTAAAAAAGCAATCCTTAAAATGAATGATTTCTATTATTATTATTATTCAAATAACATTATTTTGAATCTATTTTGATTAAACTTAGAATATAAGGCAGTAACTGCTCTTTAATTTTTTACCTTCTAATGAAATAAAAGACTCCAGTTCCTAATATACCTAGTATCATAAATTCTAAGAAAGTTTAATCTAAATAAGATAGTTAATCAATCTCAGAGATGGATAAAAAAAATTAGATCTTAATTTGAAAAGATCTGTACATATTAAATTAATCAAAATACTTATATTTATTATAATCTTTTTAACATTATTATCTAAATTGAAATCATTATATTTTAAATTATATGAGAAAATAGAAATATTAAAATTAATCAAGATTTAGCAATTATAAATATATTATTTCTACTTTTACCTTCTGTTATAATTTTAAATATAAATATATATATAAAACTTAATTTTAATTAATTAAATTTCCAACACAAATATAATATAACAAAAGATGGCTCAAATTGAATCAGCAAAAAGACTTATTAGTTTAGGATCAGCAGGATTGTTTGGTCTTTTCTTGATTAAAAATTGTTTCTTTACAGTAGAACCAGGACATTGTGCAATTAAGTTTAGCAAATTCTTTGGTCTCTAAGAAGAAAAATACAAGGAAGGATGGCATTTCAGAATTCCCTATTTTGAAACTCCAATTGATTACAACATCTAAACCAGACCTAGATAAATCAAGGCGAGCACAGCCAACAGAGGTATGATTCTATCCTATATATAAAAGACATGCAAAATGTTCTTCTAACTCTTAGAGTACTTCATAGACCATATAGTGATGAACTACCCACTATCTATAGAACATTAGGAATTGATTATGATGAAAAAGTTCTACCATCAATTGTGAATGAAACTATGAGATCTGTAGTAGCTTAATATACAGCATCATAATTAATGAGTCAAAGAGATTAAGTTTCATTCAAAATTAGGTAAGCTTTGGATTAGAGAGCTGCCCAATTCAAAATTGCTATTGATGACGTTTCAATCACAGAACTCACATTCGGAAAAGAGTATTTAGAAGCTATTGAAGCTAAACAAGTAGCTTAATAAGAGGCTGAAAGAGCAAAGTTCGTTGTAGAGTAAGCAAGAGAGGCCAAGAAAAGTATTGTTATTAAGGCTTTGGGAGAGGCAAAATCAATTGAGTTGGTAGGAAAATCTGCCTTAACTAATCCAGGTATACTAAAATTCTACTTATAAATTAGCATTTTTGGATGTTAGAAGAATAGAGTATGCAAGAGAAATTTCAGCAATTTTGGCTGAATCCAGAAATCATATTATGTTATCATCAGATATTCTCAAAATGGATGCTACTGCTAATAAATGAGGGTTAATCAAAATATTTAATATTCATATCTTAAGTTCTTACTTTTATTACATTTATTTTATCATCATTAAAATAATATTGATAAATACTATATTTAGTTATAATTCATTCAAATAACCATTCTTTTCTTTATCGTATTGAATCTTCACCATTTAAGATTGCTTTCAGTTTTTATTTTTCTAAAAGGTCATCCTACTCTAAATAAGCTTTTAATGCTTCATCTGCCTCTTTAGTCCAAAGCAAGCCTTCTTATCTATTAGAGAATACTCTCAAAAGAGTATTAAGATCACCTGAACATTAATACATTTTTTAAACAAGATCTTTATAGGATGCATTCAACAAATTCGACAATAATTTCAAAGTATATTTTAATTCTTCAGCTCTTTATTTTTATTCTGTATTCAAAATTGTTTATTCAGTTTGAAAGGGACATTACTTTTTACTTGATTTGTCATATTTTGAACTATTTTTAATTCAATAAATACTTAGCTGAAAATTAAAACTTAATTTTCTTTTAGACCTAAGGCTCAATAGGTTTGTCTTCTTAGTTTTATCTTTTAAATTTAGATTTGCATTTCTAAGGTTACTCATTTTCTTTGGCTTTCTGTATAGGACTGTCAATCAAATAGTATATTGGAGACTCTGAAAGAGATGAAATATCCTTCAATTTCCAACAATTCCTGTTTTCAAGATAAAAATTGAGTTAACCATCTATGCCATGTTTCTATAAAAATTAGTAGATCTTAAAAAAGTCTTGGCAATTAAGATGCTATAAGTACTATTGATATCTTGCTTTAATTAAATCCATACCTATTTCTTATACCCATAGAAGATCTTTATAAAATCAGGGCTATTTCCTAGAAATTCTTTTTTTGAGAAATTTTGGAAGGACTATGTAATTTCAGTATAATAGTTAAATCTTCGAAAAGAGTGAATTTTTCATTGATTTTCTAATGATTTGGTTAATAGTTCTCAATTTTTGTATCTGAAATTGCTTTAGAAAAAGCATCAAAGTAGATTTATACAAAATCATCATTTTCTTTTAATTTCAGTTTTTAATTTTTCATATTTAATAATTTGGAGGGTTAATGTAAAAATGAATTTATTTCTTCAAATATAACTGCAAAATTATTTAAAGTGAAAATGATTCATAAGATAAAAAGTACTTTGAATTATTTTGTAGTTTTATGTTGTCTTATTATTTAGTTTTTTAATTTATACTCTCCTTATTATGGTTTTGCATATTATTTATCACATTCTTCTAATAAAAGGATTCTAACTTAATTTATTATTATATGGCTATCAACATTACTTATCTTTTTCAATTTAAAGACTTATTTGCATTAATATTAGATAATATTAAAATTAAAATATTAGATCAGAAATTAATGAATCATAACTAGTGAGTTTTTCTTTAATGGCTGAAATTAAGAAAAAGAGTAATTCTATTTTTATTATATTTATAAATTTTTATAACATCTAATGATTAGATCAGAAGGCATGAGTCTTTATTAGCTGCTGATTCCAAGAGAATCCTCCTATGATGTTATGAGTGAATTAGGCTAGATAGATAGTGTAATGATCATTGACCATCATCAGCACTTACTGTCTAAACCCTTTATTAATTAAGTTTAAAGGTAATTAAAAATACTAATGTTAGATGTGATGAAATATTGAGTAAAGTAGAGTATCTAATCAATTAATTAAATCAAATAGGCTAGACAATAGAACACGTTTATGATTTCAAATTGATGTTGTAGGAAGTTCGATGTATGAAAATATTAGTAATATAGAGAGTCCTATCATTCAAGTAAATTCAAAAACATACATTTATAAATTAAATTGAGGAATACATAACTGGAAAATATCAATAAGTTTAATAATAAATTGATACCCTATCTAGATTGAAATCTAAACTATAAAATACAATAGAGGCCAAAGAGGCTATGATTAACGCAAGGAGATGGTTGGGAATAGCCTATTTCCATAGTAAATCAAGTACTGCATTAGACTTTGATGAATAAATGATTAAATCATATCATTAGCATGGAGGTATGATGCCTTCTTAGAAATTTACTCATTTTGTTGGAGTAATGGATGCCAAAGATTATTAAATCTTTTAAAGGACAGTGTTTCGTATCACAAAAGGTAATTTTATGGTCAATCAAACTCTGTTATCTGTTTCAAGAAGCTGTTTTCTATTGATATTTCCTTCATTTTCACTATAATCAGAAACCTGGAGAAAAATCAAAAAGCTCTGTGATGTATTGAAAGTAGACCACATTTCATTGCCATTAACAGAGGAATAATGGGATTAAAGATATTGTGATTATGACAAGGAGATAATTGAAATAGAAAACATGGATAAATTGACTAATCAATTACTATAATCCATTTTAAAACCATTATTGGAAGATGGAAATGCATAACCATCATTGCTATTCATCCGATTTTATTTAGTGAGAGAAAGGACTCTATATGAAAATTTGAATAAAGTAAAGATGCAATAGAGTATTTTTCTAGCAAATTTATGGGTAAGGACAAGTGAAATTTAATTATTAGAAGATATTCTTTAAACAATTAAAATGAAGAATCCGCATATTCCTGCTCCTTAAATTAAAAAAAATGCAATTGCAAATTAAAAACCACCAACTTTTTTTTAAACCAACCAATTTAATAAATTATTCTAATTGATTACTGAAACTTATGGAATTCCTGATTATAAAGAAATAAACCCTTCAATATTCTCTATAATTACTTTTCCATTTCTTTTCGGAGTTATGTTTGGAGATATTGGTCATGGAGCTGCCATTTTGATATTTGGAATATTTTTATCTCTGAATAAGATCTTTTCTCCAAGATCAGAATAAAAGATGCTTAGAGAGCAAAGAATTTAATTGGGCTAACAAATAAAAAAATAGATAAACTCAAAGGACTTTAATGATGAGGATCTCAATACTGATTTCAATTTAACATAGATAATTTTTGATTTAAGATATATGTTGTTACTATGTGGAGCATTTTCTCTATATACTGGATTTATTTATAATGAATACTTTGGACTTTCTCTAAATATCTTTGGATCATGCTTAAATAAAACTGATTGCACATATCCTTTTGGACTTGATCCATAATATGAGGATCTAAACTTTAGAAATTCATACAAAATGAAATTGGCTATTATTATTGGTTTTTGTTAAATGCTATTAGGAATATTATGTTCAGGATTTAACTACTTTTATTTTAAAAAATGGATCAATCTTTCGATAATTTTCCCAGCAAGACTCTTATTTTTCACTTTATTCATTGGTTATATGGTATTGTTAATAATAATAAAATGGTCTACATTCCATATAGATACATCTTAATCACCAAGTATAATTACTACTTTGGTTGACATGTGGATGCATGATGGATAAGTTACCTTAAAAACATTTGAGTCTGCTGATTTTCAAGTTCAATTGTAAAAGATCATAATTGTTATTTGCATTTTATGTATACCCTTTCTATTATTTGCTCCAATAATCGCTGATATTATTGCTATGTTGAGAAGGAAAAAGAAAGATCCTAAAAGTCTATAAGAATTTGAAATGGTTCCTTAGAATATGAATAGTGATTCATCAAACGATGATATTATCTCTGAGCAGTCCTAACATACATCCTATATTGATATTATAGTTGAACATCTTATAGAAACCTTAGAATTTGCACTTGGATGCATCAGTAATACTGCTAGCTATCTGAGATTATGGGCACTGTCTTTGGCTCATTCTGAACTAGCCAAAGTGCTATTTGATTTGACCTTGAAAGATCCAATCGCAAATGCTAATTTACTTGCTTCTCTTGTAGGAATGCCTGTTTTTTTATTGTCCACTTTAGGTATTTTATTATGTATGGATTCAATGGAATGCTTTTTGCATGCTCTGAGACTGCATTGGGTTGAATTTTAAAATAAGTTTTATAAAGGCAATGGATATAATTTTGAAGTTTTTTCATATAGAAAAGAAATGTAGAAATATTAGGAGAAGATGAAATCTTGATTAATGCACCGAATTAGATGATTTTCTTTGTAATTATTATATTTATTTATAAACAAGACTCAAATCCTAATTCTATTGATTTTCAAATATTTTAACTAGTCGAATTATATTTATAAATTTTATCGTATTTTAATATATCGTATTAGTCAAAAGCAGATAATATTGTATATTTTAAATTGAAATTCTTGATTATGTAAATATATTATAAATCATAATATCTAAATAGAAAGTTTAGATATTTCATTTATCGCTAACTTGTGCAATTTTTTTGCATAAATGATCTTTAATTGTTTTGACAGAGTGAGATAACTAATCCAAAAAGAATTATATGGATTGACATTATTCTAGTTTCTGCAAACTATTAATAAATTCACTTTTGCTAAGAAGACCACTTTTTTTTTATTTTCGCTTACGAATTTTTTTGTTAGATTTACAAACAACTATTTCAGAGTCTTTGGTGCCAGAATTATCATAGTGAGAGAAGTTATGATCAATCTAGCATCCATAATTTGAGAGATTTTCAATTACTGAAAGTTCAGGACTATGCAATCCAAACAATGAAAGACGCATATTTCTATCCCATTATAGTTGATTATGATAATCTTCTTCAGTATCGATTTCTTATTCATACGTATTGCTTATCAAATGGCTAATCTCCATTTAGAATTATAATATATGTAAATATTATTGTCAGCAATAATATTTTAATTAAAAAACGTTGGGAACGTCTCCAAAATTAATTAACTTTAAATTTCTAATTCATTTTATTCATCGCTCCATTCTAGTGTCAAAAAGATATTAAAGTATTCATTTCTGTTTTCAAAAGCATCTATTTCCAATATCTAATTGATTTAACGACACCAGCACATCATTAATCATAAGAATCTGAATTTAATCTGAATCCAAAATGACAGTTTTCTAAATATTGTATAGTATACTCAAATATAACCAAATTTTGCGGTTTTTTAATAAATCACTGTTCTCCAAGAATGCCATTTGATTAACACTTTCAAATTATTAGTTTAATAGAAAAATGAGGGTCTTCGTGTATTGTCATTTCTAAATATGGAAGTGCAGTTTTTTTTATTGAACTTTTATTATTTATTATATTCTTTACAAGTATAAATTAAGGCAAGTACAGCTGTAAATTAAACTTGGTAACCACTCTTTGTATTAATTACTCAATAATAAATATGATTATAGCATAATGTCGTTTCGATTAAATATATTTATAAGAACATATAACTAAATAAGATCATACTCGAGATCCTTTTTATTGGACATTAATTAGAAGTTTATGTTTGACCTGTCCTAAGATTCCTTCCAAGTTATCGATTAATTACTTCATCTATTGGAATTGTTAGATTTGTTGATTTGGATTACTTTATTTGACTGAAGAAAAGAAATCCCTTGCAGCATTTAAGATTGGGTTTTTAGTTTTTGATTATTTTTTGAACTTTTTTGTTTTTTTCTCTATTTTTTTGGTCATCTTGAGCATTTGTTCTACAGGTTCGATGGGATTATTGAGATCTTGATCCTCATCTATAGTGTCTGATTAAAACGGTAGCTGCAATAACGAAAAATCCTCTTGGAGGTATTTGACCCTGGGAGAAGGTCGTCCCAACAATAAAGGAGAAGGGAAGATTATTTGATTCGAATATTCGTCCCAAGTATTGAGATCTTGAACTTCATCATCTAAGAATGTGTTCTCCATTTATAAATTTTATTACTAAATATCTTTTCATTCAATTAAAAATATAAAGACCAGATTTTCCCGTTAATAATTAATCATCATAATTAATTTACAATTTTTTAGTCTTATAATATCATCCTATTCATATTAATAGCCATCTATTTTACTAAGCTTGTGTTTCATAGTATGTATTGTAGTTCAATTAGAAATAATATATTTATTGATTTTATAATAAAATAAATGGATCTAAATTTCTGTGCTATGTGATATAAAACAATATGTCAGAGCATATTACTTTATATAAAATTGATGTCCTCTGCTTTTTGGGACATTTCAATAAGTAGGATTTTCTCAGAAGTATTTGTTGTACTCATTCTTAATTTGGACTAAATTTTCATTGTGTAATTAGAGATAAAAAGACACCTGAGATTTGCAAGAACTTTTCAAAAGGGAGACAAGCAAATAATAGGAAAAAAGTTGGAGGATCAAAATTAGTGTTTATTTGCTAATGGAAACAATAAATAGACGGTGAATAGCCTGTGAATTGGAATTTCTATAAAAAAAGGAATGCAGATACTATCAAAGATTGGCACATGTTCTTTTAGTTAAAGATACTGACACCTATATTTAGAGATGAAGGACAAGATCAAATGGTGAGGTGTTACTTAGAGAAGTAGTTCAAAATCATTTTGGTTCCCTTTGCTTTTGCATAGGGAAGATAAGTCATAATTCAATCATTATAGTGAATGGATATAGTAAAATTTTAAAGAGTATTCAAAGATTATCGAGAAGTAGAATAACTATAATATTTTAAACATCTTTACGTTTGGGGAAATTATGTTTTAATAAATAAGATATAAATATATGAACAAGTCAAGATTCACTTGATCTTTTTAAATTCAGGATTACTTTTTAAGATGGCCTGATAGAATGTATCTTATAATTTGAAAGCTTTATCTCTTAATTCTTCCATGCATTTCTTCAGACACATATTTTACTTAAGATTATCTTGTTGGTAGGAATCTTTGCATTTTTATTAGCATCCTTAATCTTCAATTTCAATCTTATTGAATGACTATTGCAATTGAACAGAGTTCGATTACATTCTCTCATCAATTCCAGCGAAACATTTATAATACAAATCAGGCTATTAGGTATTTTATTTGAAACAATTGATTTTTTCATCCAAAGTTTATTTCTATTGTGAGATTGAATAGTACTTGGTAAAGATTATAATGAGGACTATATTTGTTTCTTAAATCTGTAGTTAAATTCTTGTACATCATCCTGATTTCTGTTTATTAATCGTCCATAATTAAATAAATTATTTTTATTAAAAACAATATATCATTTATTTTTAATAGTTTCTGTATTAGATGTTTAAGCCTCTGGCTTCTCTGGGTCTGCATTATAGGCCCAAAATTGAAGAAGAGATTTATCAAGATAAGCCTTTATTAAAACACTTAATGTGCATCCTGGAACTAAATACAACAAGGCTGGTTAAGCATGACCTGTTAAATTCATAACAGCCAATGTAGTCACAATTCCTATAGCATAACCTACAAAACACCATAAGAAATAAGGGATATTGATTTCTGAAATCTTTTTTACTTTTTCAATTTGTCTATCAACATCATACTTAAGACACATTCCAACAAAGATACCAGGAACGACAATATCACCTAAACCTAGAATACTGTATTTTGTAAATGGATTTCCTTCGTCATTCAAGGCAGTAAATGGGAATTGTAATTTAATTGGAGCTTCAATAGATTTTGCAACTGTAACCATCACATCAGTTCCATAAACCCAAAAAATGTCATAAAAAAAGAGTCCCCAAAGCATCAAATATGCTATCTTAATATAATAACATCTACGTAAATACTTTGAAATTTGGTATGACAGTAAAATTTGCAACTCCTGAAACAGTGAAGGCTATTCCGAATAAATTATTGCAAATCCAATTCTTTGATGCTAAATACACGCCTAAGGGGAACATTGAAATAAATAATGATATGAAATTCAACTTAGTTAATTAGATATCTATTTCCTTGCTTGTCAATATCAAATTTAAATTGAATTTCTTTCCTACTACTATTTTAGTTGAATATTCAATTGGGAATAATCTTTCAATGGCATCTTCTATGATTCCCATCAAACATAAGACCTTTAATGTAATAGAATTTAATTACTCCTACTGCTGAGAAGAATAAAGTTATGGCAGTCTTGAGAATTGCTTCATCTAGATATTTCAACAAAAGATAGAGTCCAAATAAGTAGGCAGATAGATAGATTGGAAATTGTAAAGCATCCTTTTATGTCATTTTCTCTTCTGACTATTTTTCTTCCTTCTCCAACTTATTGTTTTCTGCTTTACATTTCAATATATACATTTGTTATATATGATTTTAGATGTTGCCATAGCTCCTATGTACAGACAAGCCAAAGATTGAACAACTAATGATATACCTGGACGAACCTCTGTCAGCAGTGTTATCACATGTATTAACACTAAGCTTGCCAAAGATAAGTACACATATTGTGGTCTTAAGAAATGGGTTAGAGGTTTGAACTCTTAAGAAGGAGCCATTATTTTACACGTATTAAAAATAATTTTATTATATGCTGACAAAATAATTGCAATTATTGAGAAGTGTGGCATTCTTTGCAAGAGCTACAGGAGGTTTAGATAGTGAAATTTATGTTAGAAAATCCCATAAATACCTACATTCAATCTACTAAAAAGAATCACCAATCGAACATGCATAGCAAATTGTAAAGGATTTTAAATTGACTTTGGGATAAAGGTATCAACTACTTATTTAAATCCTTAAGATACTAACATGGATTTGAACCTGAGGAAATGAAAGAGGCCTCTCCGTTAGTTCAAAAAGCATTTGGACTTAATAATGCTACTGATGGCTAAATTGTTGCATATCGAATTTAACAAGCAATTAAAAAATATTAGAAATGGCCATTAGACACTGCAAGTGCTTTAGTAAAAGCAGCTGTATTGAATGAAAGAGTCATCAGCTTGATGCATCACATGGAAAAAAATAGGTAAGACAAATATTGTGCTTTGACACTTACAAAATTATTGGCTGATAGAAGAAAGGCTATGCATTACTTGAGAATTCATGATTATTAAGGATTCAATTGGTTGGTTGCTGATTACGGTTTGAAAGATCTGAAATACCACAATCATCAATACTTAAGATATAGACATGTCACAGCCACCAAAACCAAAAGATATACAAGAAAAGATACAAACAGAACCAGATGGGCATTATGAGATATTAATATTAGTATTTTATGAAAGAAGAATAATCTATTTATTTATATCTCGAATTTAATTTACTACTCAATTTTCTTGTTCTTTCTCAAAACAATATGAGATCTTCTCTATTTAGATCGACAATATTCTTTTGTAAAATCAATTATTTATTGGTTTCATAATATTTCTCTTTCACTATTAGATTATTCTCTTGCACATAGATTTCAGCAGTTATTATAATTTATTCAATATCTTTAAGTGAAACAATAGAATCTAAATTCTCCATACATTTGAAGAATTCGGTTTTGCCTTTGGATCCTAATAAAATCTATTTATTTATAGTCTTCGCAATAACCCATTTAGTCATCTTTGAATCCTCCCTACACAATATATTACTTTGACTTCCTGATAAATATTGTATAGGAAAAGGTTAGGAGTTTCCCAAATTTGAATTATCATACACAATATTTAGTTTTTGCCATTAAAAATAGAAACTATCTTTTTAAGTAGTCAGTTGATAAGCATAATACTAATAAATATTTACAATAGGCCTGCTATAGCAGTTACTTTAATTGTTATAATCTCCTGGTAGGAAAATGTATTATTATGGTTCTTGATTAGATGACAGTACAAACATATAAGGCCAAGGGAAAAATGATCCTTTAGCGAAAAGCACTTCCTTTGATATTATGTATGAATGAAATCCCAATGTAGCCAACTACTCCACTTTGACTATCTCCATAACGTTGCATATTGATCGATCGCTATTTATAATTAAAGAGATTTTACTTTGAAAGTTCTCCTCCAATCACCATAAAATCAGTGTCTGAGATGGGTGAATTTTAAACAACACATGGACCCCTTCGATTTTTTAATAAATTTGATATTCGATATTAATCCCTTAGGATAAATTTTTGTTTTGCCAAATTTTAATCTTCTACATAATTATAGTCTTTGTTCCTCTCTATTATTCTTACAATGGGATTATCGAGAAGCTGTATCTCCAAAATAATATTGCTGTTTAAAGAATGGATATAAACAATTTTATAATCTTTCTGGTATTGATTGTTTTACGTGATCATCTTTTTGACAGATAAGCTAGCTCTGTTGTGGGAATCAATCAATAACGAATTATCAACATGCTTATTTAACAGTATTCTTTGGCTGATTGCTTAATATAACTATAGAATACCATTAAAATTCGTATTAAGCTTCTTAAATATGGGTGTAATATAAATAATAGAGATTTTTTTCAATATCATCTTATTTCAAAATAACGACCATTTCAGCATCGTAATCAACTAGCAAGATTGAATAAAATAGGAATTACAACTTTTTTTACTTATAATATAAGTGAGTCTTTCTGTAAATTTCATTTTTGTTCAAAATCATTAATGTTGATTCTTATAAGAATTCTTCAGATTATATTTAGGTGTTGTTCATGAACAAGCTCCTTAATTCTCTCTAATACATGTTTAAGAATATTGGATCCAACTTCACTTGAATTTATATATTAACAAATTCCTGCAACCAATTTATGTATTTTATTGGATTCTAATATCTATATGTATCCAAATCAAAATCCAATTTGGATTTTATTTTATTACCTATAGTTCCTTAAAAGATACAATTTATAAACCTGACCAAATCTTAATTTTAACCATAAGTTAATTATTTCAACTCTATAGGAAATCCAGACTCTGGATCTAAAAGTACTAAATGGATAAACAGCTTTTCTTGCGCTAATTTACAAAATTTCTAAATGACTCGCCGTAAACAATCATCATCAAACTATATAAATTGTTTTGAGGACTACATTAGAATAGAGAAACTTACATTTGCACTAAGAGATTTTGCTATTGACAATATATATATATTTGAGTTAATTCCCTTGATCAATTTTTTTATATGAAGTCTATATATTAACTTGAATTGATCCCATGAAAATATCCCATAATTAAAATATATATTTTGAAATTTCCTTTCAGAAGGTAATTACTTTTATTATTATAAGTGTTGAAACACCTTGAAATTTACATAAAAGTAATTCAATTTCTCTTAAAATTCCTATTAGAGTGTCTCATCACAATGATCAACTCCTGTTAAGTTAATAAATACAATCTTTTTATCTAAATAATAATTAAAAAAAACTTGATTTCAAACTCATTTAACATGCGCCTAAGAAACAATCATTGTATTTTCTTATCTCATTTTATATATCAAAGATCAATATATTACCTAATGTTTGTTTCATTTGCTGTATAATTAAAAAAGATATTTTACTAATTGCTGTGCTTCTTAAATTTGTTCAAAGAGCCTCTACGAATTTTCCGATTAAAAAAATGGGTTAGGATTAGAATTCTTTGAATATTATGGTGTTCTAACAGCCTGGCTAAATTGTAGGTTTTTTAAAGCTAATTATGGCTATGTTGTAAATTATCTCAAAGAAGTTGTTTCCAACATATTAAACATATTATCCGATAATAGTGATAAACTATCCTTAACTTAAGCAATTTGATGTTATTCTTTGTCGCTTATCACAATTGACAATGCATAGATAGAATTCGCAATTGTTGATAATGTTCCTTCTTTCTTTTGTTATAGCTATTTTTATTAATATTTTGCTTACTTGTGAATAATTTTATTATATTAAGTCAGGGAATTTTGGATTCATGGCAATTAATGTAATTAAATATAATATAAAGTATTCATAAACACAGTCAAGATGATTTGACCAAAACAAGTTAAAGAACACAACAAGCTAGATGAATCATTGATATATGTAATCAATTTAATCCTAATGGATTGTTTTGAAATAAATTCATCATAAAAATTTAAGATATCTCAACACTCGATTAGGCTGTTTCAATGGCTGATTTCACAAATTTCTGCTCAGCTATATCCACAAAATTAATCTATTCTAATGTTTCAAGAATCGAGATTTATTAAATTTTTTTAGAATCAAAAATATGTACATCAGTTGTGCTTTGAGATAGGCTTCACTCAGGTTTCAAAGGCGGAAAAGAGAATTTTGAATTTTTTCATTTTTATTTTGTAACATCAAAGGATAAAAAACAATTTCCAAATTCATTTAGAGGTTGGTTAGGAATTTGAAGAAAAGTGAAAAACTTTAATAATCCACCCTGTTTTAAGCAATATTGCTATCAAATTAATTAATCTATGATGATATTTTATTAATAGAATAAAACTGTATAACTCTCACTTACTTTTAAAATTTTACTACGTTTGAAATTTGATGTGCAATTAAATAATCTAATCTCAATTTAAAATTAAAATAATATTCTATTAAGGTATCGTAATAAATGATAGTTTTATCTTTAAAGGTAAATAAAGAAAGTTTTATGGCAGAGTGTTTTAATAAATTCTAAATTAATGTTAAGATTGCCTCAACTAATAAGTGTTATATATATGGCTTTTGTGAATCCATCCCTTATTTTAATAGTCCTTTTTACTTTTTGAGATTAAAAATTCACCAAAAATTTATAGTTCCACTATTTAGCAATAATTCACCATTCCTTCTTATTCAAAAATCTATCAATAATTTGATTTCCTTAATGTGTTCGCGCTTATCTAGTTTTTAAATTAAAATTAGTAATAAGAAATATTAATACAAATTATTAAACATAAAAGTACTTTTTCTTTAGTATTATTTTAATTTTAATAGCATTTATATTACAAGTTGTTATTTTTTAATAAAAACTTGAATATTATATTAGCCTCCCAGTTTTTTGGTTTTTACCATGAAAATATGTTATAATAGTGTTTCAATACATCAATTCATGGTGGCTAATTTTTCCAAAAGTATCAAATTTTAGATATTAACAAAATAAACTCGTTCTACTAAAATTTTGTTCTCTATCGATGAAATTAATAGGGCAAATTCGATAATATTTGTAACTTCTTAGTGTTATCTATGCTACATTTCCAAATATGGAAAGAATCTCCAATTTCTATCTCAGAAAATGAATTTGAAACATTGTCATTTTTAGCTAAGTGTGTAGTGAAATAATCTTTGAAATCTAATAAAAAACATAGAAATTCAAATTTTGAAGGACTAACAATGCTTTTGAATTCATAACCTGGATCTGTTTTGATTTAACTTTGTTCTATTAAAATAGGAATTCTTTTAATATCTAATTATCTTTTTTTTATTATAAACATGAGGTATATCTAGAGTTTGTTTAGATATGAATGTAAAGAGAATGATAATATTTATATCAGCAGAATCAAAAACCTCATGTTCATACTAAAAATCAATCATAAATTAATTACTATAATTAAAAATTATATAATATTTATTTTAATCATTCATAAAATCCAATGTGATAAGCTTTCTATTTAGTTATTTAATTTGAATTCTGAAGAGCATCAAAGGATAAATTGGTCTAATTGGTAAATTAAGCTCTATCCTTCTTATGATTTTGAGATCTGCTTCCACTTTGAACAAATTTATTAGTTTATTAAGTATCCCTACTAGCATTTCTATAAGGATTAGTGATCTCTAAATCTTTTTTATTTCTTGAACTTCCTCTCTTACCCTCATCCCTATACCTATGGCCAGCAGAAGCAATATTATTAATTTTATTTTTGGTTCCATGCAAATTCGAATGAAGTAACTTATTGCTTTTTTTGATAACAGGGGATTATTCAAAATAATTATCTTCTTTTTATCGATTTTATACACTTGCTGCTTATCCATTTTTACCAATTCGATTAACACTTTAATCATTATCAGCTAATATTCTATGATTCTATTCCTAACTCTTAATTACTCGTCCTCTGTCTTTATCGGTTGAATATGATCTCTATTTGATTATCTCTTCTCTCATCTATTATTTCAGTTTCTCATTATTCAATAGTGAATTCATATCTGATGCAAATACAATTAAAACATACCTTTAATTGGTCTCTGCTTAGGTTCAAGTAATTTAATGTCAAAAGATTCAGAGTTGAGATCTGCTGTTGATCTACCTCCATTTACTAAATGTCGTTTTAATAACAAATGGTAGAATGTCGTAACATCATTATGCTTATTTGCATCTAAACATCTTTATGCATAATCTATGTCAATCCCAAAGGATTTCAATTATTTAAGAATATCTTAATCCACTGGGATTCTATTATATCCGACAACTATTCCTGGGGGAATTTCGTATGATCTTCGATACAATTTAAACCATGGATGATTGTGAATATCTTCAATCGTGAATCGTTTTTGGGGATCCACAGTTAGAATACCAGAGATCATTGACTATGCGTCCCTTGATAAATGAGATGGCATTTAATATGTGCCACCTAAGATCTTCTAGTACAAGGCAGACGTGTTTTGGTCCTCGAAAGGTAAATAACCACATAAACAAGCGAATAATATAACTCCTGAACTCCAAAGGTCTACTTGCAATCCTTAATACTTCCGACCAGCTATCATCTAAAATTAATATTTGAAAATTAATGAATACTTCAGGAGCAGCATAACAAGGACTACCACATGCAGTTTTTAGTAGCTCTTCGTTCTTATATGTATTTGATAGGCCAAAGTCAACAATTTTGAGATTCTTATTGTTGTCAAGTAATAAATTTTCTGGTTTCAAATCTCTATGTACAACTCTAATCTTATGCAAATATTCTATTCCTGATATCAGTTCTTAGAATAATTTACAAGCCTCAACTTCCTCCAACCTAATTCAATTTTTTCATTACTTTGTATTTTTTACTATGTAATCAAATAGTTCACCTCCACTCACCATCTCCATCACTAAAAAGATGTGTTTTGGAGTCTCAATTATCTATAATATGAATCCTATTGTGCATACCTCATATAATTAAATAATATGCGGATGTCTAACTAATTTCAGGATGTGAATTTCTCTTTGAACTCTCTCTACATCAGCTGTCTCTACTATTCTATCCTTCTCCAATATTTTGATAGCCACTTTCTCACCTGATTATTCGTGGGTTACCATCTTCACTTTCCCAAATGTACCAAACCCAAGGGTTTTTCCTAACCTGCTGAATCAATAAATCATCACCTATCACATAGTTGCCAATCATTCGAGATCTTTAATTTTATAGCTTTTCTGGATTTGCAGGCTCTGTCATTTGATAATAATATAAAATAAGTTAAGAAAATTATAATTTATATTAACTCAATCACCGACATTAAGAAATACTAACATTAATATTCAATATTTTATTGTCAATATCAAAAATGTGTAATAAATGAAAATATTTGATCATAAATAGCTGAGTTATACTAGATATATTTATATGTTAAAAAATATTATATATTAATCCAATTCTACAAGATTCTCTTATAAACATATTGCGAAATAAGTTGAAAATATTAATATATAATTTATATAAAAATATTCATGCGTAATAAGGATCTTATGCAGATTTTTTACGAAGAAAGTAATCACGAGCATAATCCTTTGGATTTTTCAGTTTACTTTGCAAAAACTAATGATCTTCTGAATTCTGGATTATAGAATATTATTTGTTACTTTAGAAAGAGATTTTCTTCTTTTAAAGAAATCGAATTGGAATTCTTCTTCTTCAGTATTACTACTTAGTTCTGAACTAGAGTTTGTAGCTTATAAATCAAATTAATGTCTAACTTATGATTTTACATCCTTAATAATCTTTTCTATCATTCCTTTTTGGCACTTGCATTTTCCTTATATCATCTCTAATGATTATTTTAAAGCTAAAAGAGAGTTCTCATTATCAATCTTCTATTTTATTAACAGTTCTTCCAACCATTCATTTTTTTAACTTAACTAAGAAACCTCATTTTAGAATTCTTTTTAGATGGATTTCACCTTATTTTTTAAATCATGTTCTCTTTATTTGTAACGATTCAATTCGTTTGCTAATAATCTATTTGAAATAGTTAGTTCCTTAATCTATTTCTCTAATTAGGGATTCTTTTTTATTCCAGGTCTGAAATGAAGTTCTGATGATTTGTGATATTCTATTGCATTCTCTACAAATTTTAAAAATTCAGACTCAGATGAATTTGTTTCTCTTTGAACTGAATCCCTCATAAAATCACTATCACTTTTAGAATTACTCATCTTAAAAAATTAATCAAATAATTTTTCTCCTTCTAATTCTTCCAAATCCGTTATTGGAGTACCTTGTCTGTAATTATTCTAAAAAGAAGATATAGCTCTCTGATGTTTTATTGTGTCTGAAGGATTATGTTAAAACATCATTTAATCAAGATTTTCTTAACGTAATCCAAATGACTATTAATCATTTGGAGTTCTCATTTGTCTGAGTTCTCTAGAATTGATTAATTGTTAATTATACTTGCATAATTGATTGTTTGCTTTCCTGACAGTTAACTAAGAGACATTTTAATTAAAATAATAAATAAAACCTAGATACAATATTTACTCATCTCATAATAGTAATATTTACATTAATAGGTATAAACTAAAGCATACACCTATTTAAAGATTTGTGTTAACCAAAATTTAAGGATTTAAAATAAACAATTATTATTTGGATGAAATTTAATGAAGGGTTTGGTGTAATAAATATTGCTCATCAAAATAATAAAAAAAACTATAGTTAAAAAGATAAAATAATGGGATAAAGTTGAATCTTATTAGATGAAGCTTTTTAAAAAGTATATGATGATAAGATTGTTGGAGTATTAAAGGCTTCGATAAAATGATATTAAAGGGAAGAGATAGTATTTAAGATTATATATCTAATAATTATACAAAAACTTTATTGATAACTGAGGTAGATTTTACTCATAAAAAAGGAAAAAGTTTATTTGATTGCACTTTTAGAGTATTTAGAGAAGTTAAATTTCATTTAACAGATGAATAATTTATTCTTTATCCTAAGATTTTACTAATACCTTTCCACTTTTTATAACATTTAGTCCATTTTGAGATAATATGGTATATTAATAATGCCTCACATCATCCAATTCAAGAGATTAAGTATGAGGATAATGGAAGAAGGACTGGGACATTGAATTTTATGAATATAATGAAATTACTAATATTAGCCATCCCTCTCCTTCTCTTCAATAGCGGTAGATTGACTGCAGATATTTATGTTGAATCACTTTGCACCTATTGTAATGCTATTACAACATCAGACATTGAGAAAATGGTATATATTTTTATAATTGATTCCATATGGAAATACTAAGAGATATGTTGTTGATGGAAATGGTTATTTACTTTTTAACACGGAAAGGCCGCTTAAGATAGTATTCAGCAAGCATTAGGAATTGTAGTCGCAGAAATTCCAAAAGCATGAGTTGTCTATTGCATCCAAAATTTTATTTAAAAACCTTACGCGAATAATTCATTTGTTTAAACTACATCTCAAAGCGAATAATATTTTCCTTATAATGCAAATCATGTCTTCGATTGTGCAAATGTAATATATTTTATTAAATATCAGACTTCTTATGGAGAATTGTTACATTTAATTGCTGCTAATGAAACTCATAATTTAGTTCCTAAACATATAGGAGTTCCCTGGGCAGTAGCCAATAGTCAATATACTGAGGAAACTGGCGATGAGATTATTAATAATTTGCTTAGATGGGCATTTAAAAATTATGATGGAGAAAAATTGCTGTTTGTTAAACTTAACAAGAATGATTTAATAATTAATATAGATAATCACATAAATTAAACTGTCTCTAGTTTAACCTGTTATTAATATAATACACTCTTATGCTATTATTTGATTTCAGATTGAGTTAATCAATACATAATGTTTGATTGAATTAACAATTTTATTTATATTATGATATTGCTAGAGTATTAATAAGAATGAAGTTAAGATTGCGATGCTCCACAATATTCATGAATGATAATAATATAAAAATATCAGGAATTATGTATTTTATTCAGTTCGGCCTTAAGGGACAACAATAATAGTTGTTAAATAGCAGCATCTAATACAAGTTCTAAATATAAACGTACTTTTACCTCCATCAGAATCAGCAAGAGTGGATGATTAATTCAATCCATATAAATTGTTTAATCTTAAGGCAGTCAATGTTGAGCATAATCTAAATTAGCTATTTACAGATTAATTAACTCTAAAATTAACTATTGCATTTTACAATCTTATTGCAATCTTAATTTATTAAGTTTGAACAGTTGAAAAGCTAACGAATTATTTTGCAAAAGCAAAGAATCCCCGCATTTTAAATTTAATTTATATAAATAAATTTAATGTTAAACTCTAAAAAAATGAATAATTTTGAGTTTCAACTTGAAGATAAGCCAACTAGTTTTTTATAAAAATATAAAGTAACCATAGCCTTTTGTTTTCTTATTTAATTACTATCATATTGATACTAAATTTAAGTTCAATCTAATTATATAAATCCTTATATGCAAAAATTTAAAATCAAGAAATTTTCATTTCATAATAACAAATGATTGCCCTATTACATTTAAAATATCATTAAGCAATATATAAACCTATCATAGTGGCTTTATTTAAAATTAAGATATTTAAAGTAATAGATTTTGATAATATAAATGTGTTACATCTAATCTAAAATAATTTTTCTATTAAAAGATTAAAGTTTCTTTTAAACAATTAAAAAAGTTGAAACTCTCAAAATAAATTGAAATTAATAATTATTATAAAAAGAATAAATAAATCTGTTGTTTCAGGTTCTACTTAAGAAAGATCATTATTCATTTTAATATCTACATTAAAAATCTATTTATTAGCATTAAGTTTTATATAAATTCAGTAAACGTTCCTTTTCCTTAAATGTATTATAGAAGTTAATATTCAAACAAAGAATATAAAATTAACTTATTTAAGTTGTTGATATTAAATAAGCTGATTCAGTTCATTTTTTTCAAACTATCTCCTTTGGAAGGTCAAATCAGGAGATTGAATAATAATTAAAAAAACGTTTTACAGTTGTAAATTTTGCAAATCAACACAATCAAGAAAAGATCATATCCTATTTTCACACTGCTTAAAATACGAGGCAACTATTTGCTTAAATGATCCTTCTGATCATTCCATAATTAAAGCTCTAACTACAATAAAAGCACAGAAAACAAAAATTAACATTCAAATAACTTTTAATTAACCAATGCATTTAAATTGAATCAGAAGCTTGCTAACTTTTATAAAGAATTGACTTCTTGGTATAAATATCAGAGCACAACTAACAATTAGATTCTCCATAGGTTTTTAAAAGTCAGAATTACCCTAACCAAACAATAGGACTCTTTGGGTAATATTTAAAAACAAAACTTCACGAATGAGCAGAAATTTTCAAAAATTTGGAAAGAAGAAACTGAGTCTATAAGTAGATGAAACTATCACAATTCTTAACCCAAAGAAAAAGGAAGTTAGGATATGGAAAGTGGATAGTTCAATATTAGAACTTAAACTAATATTTTAATTTTTGAATATTTTTCTAATGAAAGTTTCATTCAGTTCTTTCCTAAGCTATGTCAAAACTTGACATAGTTGGATAACATTTGTAATATTTTTAAAAAATCATATCTACAGGAAATGAAAATTTAATAAGTTAAAGGATAGATTGAATTAATTACCTTTTGACAGCCAAATATTTGGAGAGACCCAGACTTGTTATATCAATGACTGAAGACTATAATCTAATTTTAAATTTGATAAAATAAGAAGGGTTGGTTATAAATATCATTCAAAATTTTTCAAATTTGATGAGAATAAATTATTATGAAAATCGATATTGAAAAGAATTTCTATTAATTAAGAAGATAATAATTTTTTTCATCAAATTATTGATGTAGTTTTGTGAAAATAGCTCTGTCAACCGGTTAGGTATATCAAAAATAATAAAATGAGGTTTCATTGATAATTTTTCTTAAATTCGAAGATTTAATACACTTTAAGGATTAATTCAGCAAAAATAAGCATATCAATTAAATAAAGCATTAAACATAGGTGATTTATTTATTCCGAAAAAAATCAAAAATTAAAGCTATGAGAATAATAAATGTATGATTACAAAAATTTGGATAGTTTTTGTTGTTTAAATTTGTAATGGCAGAAAAATTGTTATTAAATAGAAAAAATTTGATAAGTCAATAGAAATGAAGATTCCTTTACTTAGAAAAGCTCAAAAAATATAAACTATTATAATGAAAAAGGTGTAACTTAATTATCAATAAGTACATAGCTATTACTTTATTGAAAATTAATAGATTTGAAGAAGCATTAGAATATTTTGAATTAGCTATTTAGAAAAACCCTGCAAATTCAGAAAATTATAAATAAAAAGGTACATTAATTTTTGTATTCAATCTTAGCTGATATTTTACATAAAATTAATAGATTTTAAGAAGCATTATTAAATTATTAGTTAGCTATATAAAAAAATCCTGAAGATTCAAACTATCTTAATTGTAAAGGTACTATTCTGTCCTTATGCATAATTAGCTTTGACTTCATAAAATGAATAGATTAGAAGAAGCATTATAAAATTATGATTTAGCTATATAGAAAAATTCTGAAGATTCAAACTACTATAAAAATAAAGGTAAAATTATCTCATAAAATTCCTATAGCTGATACTTTAGATAAAATGAATAGATTAGAAGAAGCCTTATAAAATTATGATATAGCAATAGATAAAAACCCTGAAGATTCAAGATACTTTAATAACAAAGGTACAATTTAACATGTATACATAATTAGCTTTGACTTTAGATAAAATGAATAGATTGGAAGAAGCATTATAAAATTATGACTTAGCTATATAGAAAAATTCTGAAGATTCAAACTACTATAAAAATAAAGGTACAATTATCTCATAAAATTCCTATAGCTGACACCTTAGATAAAATGAATAGATTAGAAGAAGCCTTATAAAATTATGATATAGCAATAGATAAAAACCCTGAAGATTCAAGATACTTTAATAACAAAGGTACAATTTAACATATATACATAATTAGCTTTGACTTTAGATAAAATGAAGAGATTTGAAGAAGCATTATAAAATTATGAGTTAGCTATATAGAAAAATCCTGAAGATTCAGACTACTATAATAATAAAGGTAGAATTATCTCTTAAAATTCCTATAGCTGATATTTTAGATAAAATGAATAGATTGGAAGAAGCCTTATAAAATTATGATATAGCTATAGATATATATCCTGAAGGTTCAAACTATTTTCATAACAAAGGTACTATTCTATCTCTATACATAATTAGCTTTGACTTTAGATAAAATGAATAGATTGGAAGAAGCATTATAAAGTTATGAGTTAGCTATACAAAAAAATCCTGAAGATTCAAACTATTATAAAAGTAAAGGTAAAATTCACTCTTAAAATTGTTATAGCTGATACTTTAGATAAAATGAATAGATTGGAAGAAGCATTATAGAATTATGAGTTAGCTATAGAGAAAAATCCTTAAGAATCAAATTATTTTTATTGTAAAGGTACTATTCTGTATGTATACGTTATTAGCTTTGACTTTAGATAAAATGAAAAGATTTGAAGAAGCATTAGAAAATTATGATTTAGCTATATAGAATAATCCTGAAGATTCAGACTTTTATAAAAATAAGGGTAAAATATTTTCTCCTAGCTTATTATAGCTGATACTTTAAATAATATGAATAGATCAGAGGAAGCTTTAGAATATTAAGATACAGCTATTTAGATAAACCCTCTAAGCGCAGAACTTTATAATGACAAAGGTAAATATATACATCCTTTAATCTTAGCTAATACTTTAGATAAATTGAACAGATTTGATGAAGCTTTGAAATATTATGATTTAGCAATTTAGAAAGAGTATGAAGAGTCAATATATTATAATAATAAAGGTAAACTTACACTATCGAACAAAATAGCTTTAGTTTTAAATAAAATGAATAGATTTGAAGAAGCTTTAGAATATTAGGATACAGCTATTCAGAAAAACCCTGAAAAAGCATACTTCTTTCAATGCAAAGGTATAGAATCATGATAATTTTATAGCATAAACTTTAGTTAATTTGAATAGATTTGATGAAGCTATAGAATATTATGATTAGACTATTTAGAGAAATCCTTTAAATGCGGCAAATTATAATCGCAAAGGTAATATGCACATCATTTAATCTTAGCTAATACTTTATATAAATTGAATAGATTTGAAGAAGCTTTGAAATATTATGATTTAGCAATTTAGAAAGATTCTGAAGAGTCAATATATTATAATAATAAAGGTAAAATTTATACTATCGAGAAAAAATAGCTTTGGTTTTAGATAAATTGAATAGATTTGATGAAGCGTTCTAGTATTATGGTCTAGCAAATCAAAAAAAATAAACTCTAAAGTTTAATTGAATACTTTTATTTACATAAAATGCATTCAACAACTTATTTATTTCTTTTCTTTTCTAAACTTTTAATTATTATCATAATTTCTAATTGGTTATTTAGTTTAGAAGCATTCCAAAATAGGTATCCCAAATTTATCTTCTTTTATATTTTTTCACATTTTATATTTCAAGTAGTTAGTTTTCATTCATTTTGGAGAAATTATCATTTAAATTTCGTTTTCTTTTATGAAGGAGTCAACTTGCTTATTCTTTAATCATTTATGAAAGTCTAACATTACAATTTAGGTACTTTTGTTCATATTTTTTTATTTTAATCTAAATATGAACCCTTCCAAGCAAAATTGTCTGCTCTTCAAGTATATAATAAATAAAATTTGAATTTTTAAACAAGCCTCAATTATTTATAAATGATTAAGTTAAATTAATGAGAAACAAACTTTTAGTGTTTGAATTAATAAAAACGGATATCAAAAATCGATGGATGATATTAAAACTACAAATTATACAGATTATTTTTTAATTTATCTTAGTTTATGTTTATTGGAAAATTCTTACCTAAGTTTTGTGCTCTAATGCTTAAGGTAATATACAAGTATATGAAAAATAATTTGATTTTGGTATTTTAAGATATTGAAACGTTTTACTGGTTTTATAAATTCAATTACAATTTCAATATTGGCATAAACTCCACACATAACTGTATACTTAACTTTAAGGGAAGACTTTTTAAAGGTTATTCTCACAAAAAAAAAGAAAAATTTCTGCCAGTTGCTGTCAAAAAAAAAATTATAGAATCATTGTAAATATGATTATTTTTGTTTTTAAACGGGAGTAAGTAGAAAGAGAATCGTATCTGATAGTTGTCAAATAGGTATTTCTGGTAATTTAAACTGTATTTAAAGTATTTTATTGTTTTAATTGAGTGCTTTAATATTTCCCTTTTTTCTTATTTTGTGGAAGAAGAAAGGATGTTGATTTTTGATTATAAGGGCTGAATACTTCTTAAATTTTGATATTTTTTCAATTATAAAAAATACTAAGTAAACTTAACATATACAAGTTGTATAATTTGTTATCGAAGTTTCTCTCAAATTATAATAATTTTAATAAGATTTTGATCTTCTTCATACATGTTGATCTTTAAAAGATATCATCTCAGAGAATGTATTTTGCAAAGAACTCTATTTAAAATATAATAAAGAATATAATTTCAATCAACTTTGATATATTTTGCATTCATTACTGCAGGTAAAAGTTCTTTATTCACAATAAAATCAGGGTTACGATGAAGGTACTACAATTACATATCCATAATTATAGGAAATACATATTCCATTTTTTATACAGTTTTTTCGTAGACATCTTTTGGTCTTGAAATAGTTGCAATATCAATTTCTTTGGATGAGGTGAGTCCATAAATATTCGGACACTATATCAATACCTTTCTACCGCATTGTAGCAGATCAATTTATCTTATCAATATTCAATTATGATTTACATCAAGAGTCGTTAATATTGTGTTTATACATTTCTCATTGAACGAAATGTAATGCCTAAGATCCCTAAGTAGAAAAGAATTCCAATAAATGATCTATTTTAGAAATTGTATAATTTTTTGGCACTAAAATATGTAACATATCCTCCAAAGGCAGTAATCAATATGTAGTAATTTCTAACTCTATTAAAAAGCTAGCTTTCGTAAAGAGTGCTTCTGCCCTAAAATTATTGTTAATTGTACATTAAAGAAATTTAATGGGTTTTATGGATGATATAACTCTTCCGCATCAGGCCCAAAATCCTTTGAGTGTTAGGTACAATTATATATAATTTTAGAGATGTTTCTTAATGTTTTTGAATACATTTATAAAGATTATTTTCTCCTTAAATTAAAATTTATTAAGAATTTTTGATGAAAGAAAAACCTTTTATAATTATAATACTTACGTACAATGAGATTAATTAAAATTAATAATTATATATAAATTATGTCGAGTCTTAAGTCTTCATTTACAGTAGGAATATTTTAGTCTTTAAGTTTTTGCGGGTTGAGATAGAAGATTTTAAAAAATATTGCCTTTTAACCACCGAAAGTGAGTTACTCTTTGAAACCGAGATCAGACGATTAGATGACAAAGAGTACCTTAACAAATACTTCCTCACTATAAGTTATTGACATAGATAATGAGATGCGATAGAAATCTAAATCCTATGATGATGAAAACATTCATCAATTGGGCTTGTTAGATTTGGCAGACGAGCTCCTGTAGTTTACAAGTGAATCCTTAAGCCCATTGCGAGAGAAGTAAGGATAATAATATTAAAATAGAATAACCGAACCCGCTTATGACTTTTATTTAATTGATGAACAAGGTTAAGAAATTCCAATTCCCAAATAAGAAAATTTAGAACTGACTGGATATTTCTTAAAAGGAAGGAAAGGACATCGAATTGCTTCTCTATACATAAAGTGTTTATTTCCAATGAGTGATTACGTGATGTTGTTCAGCCATGGAAATGCCAGTGATTTAGGTTACATGATTGATACATTAATTGGTAATTATTATAGTTGAAATTCTTTAAGACCTTTGCAACAATTTAAGAATAAACATATTTGCTTATGAGTATTCAGGCTACGGACTTTCACAAGGCAAATGCACAGATCTCAATATCATCAATAACATCTAAGTGGCTTATGATTTTTTGGTTTCATAAATGAAGTTTGATCCAACGAAAATAATTGTTTATGGTTATAGCATTGGATCAGGACCCAGCGTAATGTTAGTATCTGATATTGAATTCCCGGTTGGTGGTTTGGTAGTACATTCTGGTCTAAGTTCAGGGTTGAGAGTAGTAAATAGCAAGTTAAAGTCAACTCCATTTTATGATATCTTTCCAAATGTAGATAGAATAAAGGATGTCACGTGTCCTGTATTTATAATGCATGGGAAAGAGGATGAGGTAATTGATTTGCATAATGCCACTTTATTGTCTAACAATTGTCAAAGATTGTATGAATATTGGGAAGTTGAAAATATTGGACATTAAGGAATTGACACAAATGATGAGCATCGCAAAAATTATTTCTATAAATTAAGGGATTTCATTAAATGTATATTTAGAATTTATAACATCAGTAATTCAAAAGGAGAATCAAACAATCAAGGAACTCAAACAAAGAAACACTGCTAGTCCTAAATCAAATGGGTAGTATAACCATTACTATGATAATAAGATAAGGGAGTTTCATTTAAATTGTAAGAAGGTCGAAGATTCTGATTCTCCTTCGAAAAAATTTCGTTGATTTTTGTTATAATCAAAATTTTTGAATATAATTAATTTTGTTTATGAATATATTAAATTAAAAGTGAATTAATATATAGATTTGATCAATATCTATGATGACTGGAATCTCTGGTTTTATTGGGTACTTTTGTAAATGCGATGGGTTTAGTATGTTAATTAAAATAGTTTTATTATTTGAGTTTATTTTGGTTCATTAACTTAACTTGATTAGTGTCATAAACATCCACAGATATGTTCATCTTATTAGTAGAAATAGACCTTTCTATGAATGCTGATCTCTAAGTTTATAGAACCTATTGGAATCTCTATTGAATATTGGTTATTTTTTGTTTAGGGGAAATGGACATTATTCTATTGTCTAAAATGATAATATTAGTACCATCAAAGGTTGAGGATCTCTCTTTATTATTGAAACTGTTGAGATCAATCAATTTGATTGGAATTGGATGATCTTTAAATATTATTTTTTGTTTGATTCTTTGACCAACACTTAATAATTGTTGATTTAACCAACTCATCACTTTATCAACCAAAGTAAAGTCTCTTGTTTCATTGTGATCCTAATTGGTGTAATAGATTGTCTTGATTCCTTAGTAGTGATTAAATAGTTTTTCAGTTTATTCATGCGAGACTATTGAATCAATCTTTGAAGTGATAAAAAAGGCAGGTATTTTTATAAGCTTTATATTATTTAAACTAGAAATATTATTATATTATGATTACCAATTGATCTCATTCATTGTAAAACCGCATTGATTTTTGATTTCATCAGACACATAGGAGGATAGAGAGTTCAAAATGAAATTTGGAATTTTGGTTCTTTTTGAAGCCATCTGCACTACAATCTCAAATAGGAAAATTTGAATACATCTTACAAACAAATAAAGGGACTATCAAGAACCATGCATTTTACAAAAACATTTTGGAATTACTGCATATACAGCAAAGCAACTACAGAACCCATAGATCTTCCCCATAAAACAATAGATTTAGCATATTGACTTATGTGTGTGATAACAGTCTGCAAATCATAGATTTCTCTATAACCATAGGTAACTTGATTGCCATCCGATATGCCACTGCCAGTAAAATCAAAAGTAAGAAACATGTAATTTTAATTCAAGATCTCATTCACATATCTTAAGGCTTCTAATCTACATCCATTGGCTGAATGTAAATAAATGATGCAAACATCACTTTAAACATTACCTTAAAATAGTGATACTTTTATCCTCTGTTGACAATGATTCACTAAATCGAAATCATTTCTGGTGTATGTTTAATCTTAAATAGGGCCTAAATGATTGATTGATAATATTGAATACCTAAATCATACTGTTGATATTCAGCTCTGAGGGGCCGAATGATTTATGCACAAATTTAGTTAATTCCATTTTGAAAATATTTCATTAATATTATTATACTGTTAGATAATGATATCATAACAACTCCATAAATAGCAACTCTAATTTCAATAGTAACAAATCACTCCAACAATGCACTTGAAGGGGATCTTATAGGAATTGCCCAAAGAAACACTCTTCCAAAAATACATGAAAAGTAGACTCAATAAGAAGTAGAATCAGAATCTAAATAAATCGCCTGAACTATTACCTTTGTAGCCTAAAAATATTATTAACCAAACCACTTATATCATAAAAAATAAATAATGCTCCCTGAATAAAAAAGTCAAGAAATATCTCACAGAGGTTGATAGCATAAGTACAACAAAGGTAGTCTAGAGAAAGAATCCATTTATCAAAAAAAAAAAGAGCGAAAATTGGAATGACCTTGATGGCTGGAATGTAATTGATGAAACATTTTATTAATGACCAACTTCATACTAATGCTATAAGTTACATTTATATGCAATCTTTTGCTTTGATATTTATTAACAAATAAAATATTCGTAATTATGAATTCAAAGAAGGACTCCCTATACTTCATGATGTTTCTCATCTCATTCATTGAGTAACCAGAAATCCTAAATCTTCATAATTTATTAATTATATACATTTATTTGAAAAATAATTATAGACATCAATGGGCAATATTTGTCGATAAAATCCAATTATTGATAAAGAAAACAATGAAGTCAATACGTCCCAACCCCCAGCTGTTCAATAGGTAGTGGCCCCAAAACCAGAAGAGGTGAAGACTGATGTCCCTCAGATGCAAGTTTAACAAGAGAAGTAAGAAGAATAGAACATACAAAATGATTAACCGAAGCAAGAAAATGAAGTATAATCTAAAATAACCTTATGTTAGCCCAAAAGAAAAGAGTAAAAAAAGATGGCTAAAATTGCTGCTGTTATTGATTAGGAGGTCATATACGAAAATGTATAAAAGTAAGAAAAAATCAAAAGTCCCTTCGATTATCAATTATTATTGAATGCTTTTAGTAACAGTTTTATTTTTGGTTAATTGCAACCTGAGGACAAGTATGATCAAATTTTATGTCAAGAGTTAAAGTTATTGAAACTATGTTTTACTGCACAGTCCATGATGGTTAAATGGTTTTTAAGTAAGGTGACAAAGCAAGTTCTTACTTTTTGATCGAGAGAGGCCAATGTCAAATCATCATCAATAATGAAGTTAAGAAAACACTTAAATCAGGCGAAGCTTTTGGAGAATTGGCTTTACTTTACAATGCTCCAAGATCAGCATCTGTCAAGGCTGTAGGAGGTAAATCATCCTCATTATGAATCATAGACTGTGCATTCTGGGCTATTGATAGAAATACTGTAAGAAAGGCTATTGAATCAATATAGTAAAGAGATTATGAGCAGAATAAAGAATTCATAAATAAAGTGTAGTTTTTTGGTAATCCATTATTTCATCTGTAGAATCTTTAACCGATGACTAAAAAGCAGCAATACCATCTGCTCTGATTAATCTCAACTTTAAAGCAGGCGAAATTATTGTTAATGAGGGGGATTAAGCAGACTCTTTCTTCATTATAAAAAAAGGAGAAATCTAGATATCCAGAGGAGGCAAGGAACTACGAATAATGAAGGCTGGAGACTCCTTAGGAGAACAAGCACTTCAGTCAAATTCTGTAAGAGGAGCTACTGCTAAAGCCATTAAAGAAGATGTGGTAGTTTTAGCATTAGCAAGGGATGATCTGACAAGAATCCTAGGAGACAAGATTTAATTCATCATGTATAGCAATCTAGAGAGATGGGCATTTGAAAGACATCCTATACTTAATAAATTAACTAAATTGTAAGTTGAAAGAATTGTTAGCAATATGTAATAAGTTTAAAAGAAGGCAGAGGAATCTATCATTGAAAAAGGGTAGTCTTGCAGAGAAATTATTATTGTATTATAAGGGTCTGTAAAATATGGTAAAGAAGTTTTTGAGAAGGGATAAATGTTTGGTGATAAATTCTTGGATTAAGGAGAGAATGTTAAATTGGGAGAACCTGTTGTAATGAAGGATGATGGAATAATTGCTGTTATTACTTTTAAACAATTCTTTGAGATTATTGGAGGTTCTTTAGAGTAGATCTTTGCTAAAAATGAAAAAGCTCATGATAGATTTATTAAGAAAGAAGATGGGCAAAAATAAGATGTTTATAAGCACTTTGAATTAGATTAATTGATATCTGTTAAGAAATTGGGTTAAGGATAATTTGGTAATGTCTATTTAGTTTACAATAAATTGGATAAAAAGACATATGCTCTTAAGTGCATTTCAAAAGCTTAAATAATTGAATAGAATCTGGAAAAACATTTAGCTTAAGAAAAGATTGCTTTGGAAACTGTAAATTTCCCTTTGATTATGCATTTTGCGAGGAGCTTTAAAGACAACACATATATTTATTTCTTAGAAGAATATATTAGAGGAATGGAATTATTTGATGTTATTAGAGATATTGGATTGCTTAATACATATGACTCTCAATTCTATGTTGGATCATTGATATTATGCATGGAATATTTGCATCTCAATAATATTATTTACAGAGACATTAAACCTGAGAATATCATGATAGATGAAAAAGTAATTTGATTTTATTATAAATTAGGGATTTATGAAACTAATTGATTTGGGTACTGCCAAAAATCTAAAAAGCAAAAATGGTAGAACTTATACTATTATTGGTACTCCGCATTATATGGCTCCTGAGATTTTAACAGGAAAAGGATACACATACTCAGTAGATTTATGGTCTATTGGCATATGTCTCTATGAGTTTATGTGTGGTAATGTACCTTATGCTGAAGATGCAGATGACCCGTAATTAATTGTAATTATTATTTAGCTATGAAATTTACGAAGAAATTCAAAAGAAATCCCTGGCTTTCCCTTCAGTATTAAAAGACAGAAAAGCGAAGAAACTGATAGAATAATTATTAAGCAAGACTCCTGAGTTGAGACTTGGTTCATCATATGCAAGTCTAAAAAATAATTCCTTTTTTGAAAGATTTGATTATGTAAATACAATATTAACAAAATTAGGATAGTTTGATAAATAGAGAACTCAAACCTCCCTATTTGCCTCCTAAAAATAAATTACATAGTGACAAGGATATATAGAAAGCAATATAAGTTGGAAAGTTGATCTCTGAAGAAATAAAAGTATATTATTGATTAAAATAGAATGATCCTGCTACTGCGTCAAATGTATATAGGCCAGAAAAAGCACGTGATCCAAATTGGGATAAGGAGTATTGATTTTCGAATTATCTTTTAAATAATAATTTATAAACTTAAATAGTTAGTTAGTTAATAATATAATATCAATTGTTCCATTTAAGCAGTTTTCCATCAACCCATTCTCCTTCTTTCAAAATTTTGTTTGTTCCTTTGTATTAACCCTTTCCGTGTTGTTTACCATCCTTCCAATGTCCTTTGTATACTCTTCCATCTGGCCAATAGAATTCTCCATAACCTTCCTTCTTATCATTCACATAGCCACCAACATAACGTCTTTATATTTTACTTAATAGATTACCTTCCATCTGACCAACTAAAGACTCCATGACCATCCATTTAGTTATCCTTCCAGTCTCCTTCATATTCTCTATTATCTGCCCAAATGTAATGTCCTTTTCCATGAATATTGTTATTAATGAATTCTCCAACGTATGAACTACCATCTGGCCAACTAAATTTTCCATGTCCATGTTTCATACCATTAGTATAAGTTCCTTCAAACATAGAACCATCAGCCCATTTTTCTAATCCATTGCCATGTTATTGGTCTTCGTACCATTCCCCTTTATAAAATGCTCCATCCTTATGACTATATACACCAAACCCATGGGCTTTGTCATTTAACCATTTTCCTTCATAGAGATCCCCATCTGAATGAATCAGTCTTCCATCACCATTGGCTTTGTCTTGTAACCAATATCCTTCATAAATAGAACCATCAGCCCAAAATTACTTTCCTCTTCCATGTCTGAATCCATTCTTCCATTGTCCATAGTAAAAGACACTGGGTTCTATTTCGACTGGTCCATAGAAGGGTAGTGATTTAAATTCAAACGGTTCATTTTGATCGTAATTAAATGGTTATAACTAATCTATTAAAGTCTTAGTAAATGTATTGGTAAAGTCAGGAATTGAATCTAATTTCTTTAAGTCTTGTCTAGAATTATTATATTATTATCAACCTAATATGCTATTATACAATGAAACTAGCATTCTGAGATTTAACAGTACTCTATGATAATTTACTTTTCTAAGTCAATTATTGAACATTCTCTTGATCATCCAAGTTTGGTTTATTCTTAAATGGTCTCATTTATTCTCCTGCATGTTCATAAATTGATGGATCGTCACATGTAGCACAATTTCCCATAGAAATTAAAAATAACAGCAAAAAATATTAATTAAAATAATATGAGTACAGAAATTGATATAAATAAGCTTAAAGCAGAAATAAAAAATGACAAATAAAGAAGATTAATTCTCTTTGGAATATTTGCTACAGGGTTGATTGGTCTTTATGTTCTTGTGCATTTCTCTCCACATTTAACATAGTAAACACATTCATTTATAAATAGGGAAGAGAGAAAGATTGTCTATAGAATCCCCAAATACCCTCATCATATTGCAGAATTGTTAAATGTTATAAACAGATACACAGAAAATAATTAATTCTACGTTCTATTTGCCTTCATCTACCTTTATGTATTCATGCAAAGTTTTGCCATTCCTGGACCTGTATTTTTGAGTTTGCTTTCAGGTAAGAGAATTATTTCATTCCAAAAGGGCAATTGTTCGGTCCAATCCCAGCATTTCTATTGGTGTGTTTATGTGCCACAACTGGTGCAAGTTTATGTTATGGATTGTCTTATTCATTGGCAAGAGGAATAGTATTAAACAGATTTCCTAATCAAATTGTGAATTTCAATAAGAAGATATCTTAGAATAGAGACAATCTATTTTTTTATATGCTATTTTTGAGATTCACTCCATTGATTCCTAATGTTTCGATTAATGTTTCAGGACCTATTGTTGGCCTTCCATTTAAATATTTCTTCTTTGGCACATTATTTGGTAATACAACATTTGAACATTAGGATTAATGCCAGGAAACATCATCCATATTAGAACAGGATTATTGATTCAGGAACTTAATGATTTTTCTACAAGTTATCAAGTAAACCATTAAATCATTGATTTTAGGCTATATTGACATTGCTAGGTTTGTCTTTGATTGCTCTTCTGCCTACATTCTTTAAAAAGAAGTTGCAAGAATTGGATGAGAAGGGATTAAATAAATCAAAAAAGGAATGAAAATATGCATAATAAAAATAATCTAAATTTATTTTATTAAACAACAAGACCACTTTTAGAAATTATTTAAAATCAAAATCTGAGTTGTTTAATTTAAAATTTCGTTCACACAATGTTTTAACATACCTTATCAAGATCTAATATATTAACTATTAACCCTGTAAAATATTACTTGATCATAAATTATTTTAAGTGTTTCAAAACAAATTTCAATTAATAAATTGAGTTTATTAGAATTAATTTTAAATTTATTTATCCAAATTGTTTACAATATTGTATTAGCAGTAGTCCTATATATCATTCAATCTATAACACTATTTATTTATCATTGTGGACAATTAAGATTAATTCCATCAGCCTTTGATTATGGAGAATTTATGAATATCAAAAGACACTTCCAAAACTTAGACTATTTAAAATTCAAAATTTATTCTATAATATGGTATAATAAAGTGTGATGATTTTTAGCAGAAAAAAATTTAGATTTGAATTAGTATGCTATTTTTAGATATTAGATAGAATAATAAAATACATCTAAGGTAATGTGTTTTCTAATTCTATTAATTTTTGGAATTATTGTCAGCGAATAATTTTTATATCTGAGTTTATTAATTTTATTATAAAACGAATATGCATATCAGTTTGAAGTAGTACATATTTCTAACTCTTCTTCAGTTTAAATCATTAATCAGAAGGATTTTCTTTTTTAATTAACAGAGTCCTCCTTAGTTAGTTTAGTCATTAGTGTAAGTGAAAGTGTTATTTAATCATGAGGTTCACCTAATATTTAAGAATTCGATACTTGCTTAATTAGAAGTATTCTTAGATAAATTTGTTAAATTCAATGTTTAATTAGTATTTGATTCTTACTCTAATGATGAATCAGTAGTTTTAGAATAATTAGTTATGGTAATTGTTTCTGAATTCTAAAAATCTGGAAGATCTTCGTCTTAATAAGAGTTTCTTTTCTTGGTTGATTTATCGTACTAGGTTAAGCAAAGGGTTTCACTTTACAAATTTACATTCATAAATAAATAATAATGTTAAATTAAACATTAAATGATGCTTAAATAGTGGCTGGCATAGACAATTTGAAAACCAAAGTATTTGTAAAGCTCTATTGTTTTAGAATCAATGTGCATATAATTACGAGCTCTTTGCAAATGGGGAAAAACCATTATTATTGATGTGCACCCAATATCTGGCTGTGGATGACAAATTGAAGTGGAGTGTCTTTTTAAGTTATGTACGCACTTTAAGTATGAGATATTATATCTATTAGAATTGAAGGTGGATCGACAATTCTATGTGAATTTAGGAAAAATATATGAGCAGATATTCGGCCATTGTTATGAAGACGATCTCATTTATTTAGAGTCTGAGTTTGGCAAGCCTGCCGAGGGTTATCAAGACAATCAGTTATAGGAGCTGTTCTTTATGTTTTCAAAATGTTCACCTTTTAATAACGATGCTAGAACAGGAAGATTTCTTAAAATTGGTGCTTAATTGTAGCCTGAAAACCTAGATGATAGGTCCACCGTTGTTGCTGTTCAATTATTCAGAAAGTTTTTTATCTAATATGCTGATTATAACTTTAAAGTAAAGAACAATTTAAATTTCAGCAACCAAATCCATTTCATATAATTAAAAACAGCAACTCTATGCATTATGACACTACAGTTGTCAGAGAAAAGATTGTCAACTTGATGATGAAGAATCAAGACTTTTTAAATTACATAGAATAACATACCTCGTTATTTTAAAGTTAAGTACTTTTTGATTAACCAAAGAAGACTGAACATCAAAAGGAGAGTTTGATGAAGTTTTTCTATGAAAACACTGATCTACATCATTTTATAATTATGGTATATGACTTATTGAACAAAGTAACAGAAGGAGAATTAAACTCAACTCTTCTTCTAAAACATATTTCCTTGCAAATACTAGATCCATTTATACATCCACTTGCATTGTCAATTTGCGATTTTTATGAATCAATATTAGAAGAAGAATATGAAGGGACAGAGGAAGTCAAGTAAATGAAAGAGAAGTACCTACCAAAAATTACATTTTTTAATATGGATGGGATAGATTTTGAATTCAATTACAAACTATTGGATACTTACTCAGATTCTTGTTAATATATATCAGTTGTAGATGAAATGTTGGAAAGTGATGATAATTCTTAAATGTTTGATTTAGTGACCAAAGACAAAAATTATTTCATGCAGGCTAAAAATTCATATATTATTCCTATTAGATAGAGTCATAAACAAAAAAGGTTAAATGATATGCATTTTAGACATATCTTAGATTTACTAGTATATCCCTTAATAAAATAATTCCAACCTTAGGTCATTATATTTAGTTATTCATTTGCATATTTCAATTAAGAGTCTGATATCCAATTGTCTTCAAAACTATTTACAGAAATCTCAACTCATCTCTCATTAATTAGCAATTATAAGGTGATATTCCTACCTAGAATTTTATCATCAGGAGTTTAAATTCAAGATCATAGATTTGAAATTGAACTCTTAAAAACGGACCATAAGAATATTTTATATTACTTGAATATTTATATTACTCAAGTTTAATAGAGCTTTAAGTTCTTACATCCATCTAATTAGCAACATTGTGAATTATCACATTATGCTAACAATGCGATGAAAATTGTTAAGAGTAATAGCTTTTATGAGAAAAAAAGGTAAGGTAATATTTCACATTTTGTTTTAAATAAGGAAAAAGAAAGATATATGTTTGAAATACTATCAGGATTTCTTGAATCATGTCGAAGTAATAGAGTTTATTATGCATTAGAATCGTATTTACAGGAAGTTAAGGATAAAGATAAACGCATGCAAGATCCCAATCTATAATGTTAAGATTTGTTATAATATAAACTATCTTACGCTAACCTTTTAGATAAATTATATCAATGCCATCAAAAGCATCTGTTTAGTAACCTATTCAAATCAACCTAATAACAAATTCATACTTATAAGTTACTATCTAAATAACATTAAAAGACATAAAGAAGGGAGGATTCTTAATTTGTTTCTTTTTTAGCATAAGACTTAAAAGATTACATATACGTAATAGATAATTTAGTTAACAGTAATTCAATCGTATTTATTATAGATGAACCCTAATTGTTATAAATATATCTCAGAAGATTACAATCTCCAGTTTACATCCATAATAGACTCACTCAGTATTTTGTGAATTATAAATTAAAGAGCATTCTTTTTATCAATGTCCTGTCCTTTATTGATATTCGAGATATTGGAATTGTAAGACGTTATTAAAAGCTAATAGATTCAAATAGGATGCATACTAAGTTTGCTTGGTGAATTATGAAAAATATCTTAATCCCATTTAAAAAACCAAATAAATCTGGGCAGAAATAGAAGTTATCCATGAAACACCCGAACCTCCTGTATTTTTTCGATCCTTGTGTTTTGATAAATTAAAGAATATCATCTATTGCATTTATGGCAAAGAGGCTAAGAATAATACATTATGTGATTCAATAGACATCTTCACTTTTGAAAAAGTTTAAAATATGAATAACATTAGAACTCATTCAGAACCATTTACAGAGACAAAACTACCAAGAAAGCGAGTGATACTTATTTTGCCAGAGCATATGCTTCCTCTGTCGTATTCTCATTTAATTAACAATATAAACCTTATTCTGAAGTCTGGACTTTTGGAGGTTCATTTCTGTAAGTATTTGAAATAAGGTTAGAGGACATTATAATCAAGAATACTAGAATATGGGATTTTGCAATTTAGTAGAAAGATTATTTATAAGCGAAGACTCCTATAGATCTGAAAAAATCAATAAGGAATTAATTATTCCATTATCAATGAGACCTATGTACGGATCTTTGATGCTAAGTGTTCAGTAAAATATTTTATTAGCAATAGAGACAACGACGAATCTGCTATTTTAATAATTGGGGGATCTCAAAATGAACTCCTTGTAAATATTGATTAATAAGAGTACATTGGATATAAGTTTCAACAAATTGAGAATTAGTATTATGTTAGTGCAATCACTAATGTTGGACAGAAAATCAACCCCATAAGCTTCTATTCACAAAATTAAAACATCTATTCTGAACTAGACAGGATCTTTATTTTGAACGATGCTACTCAAATATTAGGAAAATCATATCGGTGCAACAGTGAAACCAATGAATTGGAAGAAACTGACCCTTTTTCCCCATATGGTATTTTAAGTATAACTGACCTTAAAATTTCAAATAATTTATCGACATAAGAGTTATTTCAGAAACAAAAAATATCTATAATAAGCATTGATGCTAAGAATGTGATTTTGAATGGCACCCAGGTTATATAACCTTTTGCTCAAATGCACAAAGCCATGAAATTTTTATATAAGGAACAGGACTATGTGAATTATTCTGCAAGAATTATATTTTAAGATAATGATGAAATAGTAGGTTTAATTAAAAACTATGAATGTACAAGATACATTCATTTATATGTAAACATAAAACAAGATGACACCATTCATTAATGCTATCTAAAACCATGTTCTATGTGTGTTAGTTATTCTAATAAGTGTTTATATTTGCTTACTACAAATATTGAAAATGGATCTGTCTATTTTACAATTTACAGTTATCAAATAAATTAATTGAATCAAGATATCAATTTAGCATTAAATAATAATAACACAAAATTGGTTTTGAATGTTTACACAATCTTTGCCAAAGTTGTCATGCACTTATCGAGTAATGTAGAAAGGATATTTAAGCAATTAACATGTGATGATGAAAACCTGTATTTGATTGGCGGATACATGGGACTTATATATTAATAGAGTGATTTAGATTTATTACTACTTCAAGGATAGCATACTTATAAGTACCATAAGAACACAGAGAATACCAACAATGATAATTTCAAAATTCCATTTGATAATCCTGAATAATATCAGAAATTTGGACAAAGCAATAGGTATATGTATGAATCTCCCTACATTATCTGGATTAATTCATATTAAACTTTAATTATTGAGAAAAACTTTAGATAAAAGTATTTCAGTGAAGTGATTGATAAAGTGCATCATGATTTCAAAATTTGGATCACTAAATTCGAAATATAAAGTAATGAAACTTGGGAACAAGGAATTTTGGTTATTCCATCTTTTTTACTTTCCAAAGCATCTGTCGAAATGACATCTTAGGAAGTTACTGATAAATTTAAGGAATAGATCTAACACAGAAAATTGGATTTATTTCTATAAAATACAAATACTGAAGTATGATATTCAATTTATAATTAAAATAGTTTGAAACTATTGTTAAAATTGTCGATTATGCATCAATTGATCAAAGAATCATATTAACTTGCGCAGTTCAAATGCTAAATTTTATCTAAGTGATGAGCTTTGAATTTTCACTCGAAAATTAAGAGGAGTATTTATTATAATACAAATACAATGGAATTCATTAATAACATCAACATGCTCGAAGATATTCAGTTCCAATTTTCATACCCAAAGTCACTCTTCTAGTAACAACTCAAAAATAAGCTACGATTGTTGGGTATCAAATATATGATCCCGTGAATGAACATCAAACACTCAGACAATCAAATTAGAGCTAAATCATAGTTAAAATGAAGGAATAAATCAAAGTTTATAATCTGATTCCCTAAACCTGAAAATATCGATTTTTTATTTATTTTATCAAACTTTAATCATTTATATAATTTCATCTAGAATTGATTATCATTATCTGAACAAAATTTCTTTAAAATGTTAATTTGATACTACTAAAGAGTAAAACATCATATCAAATGATTTGAATATGAAAATTTAAAGAAAATACTCAGTCAATGAAAATTATAAAAAAGTCAAGAATACTTTCCACTTTTATAAAATAATATCATTATAGTGTGGTTTAAACATTTATTGAAAAATTATTATTGGTTGCATATACAATATAATGGAATTTTAACAAAAATAAAATTATCAGATTGTTTGATTGTATTATCAGAAACTTAGAATTATATCAGAGAGCAGTCAGTTTTTAGTAACACAAAGTGAAATTTTGTAGAATAATACTGAATTTGTATGTGTAACTGCTAAAAATTTATGAAAATTCTAGATCAAGAACACCTTAATTGCATTATTATTCACAAAAACAAATATGGTTATTATAACAAGGCTTATATAATAACCACATTTTTGTCAGAGTATGTTATGTCATGATAAAAATTATTGAAGTAAAGTTAATATTTAGATTCTAGAACCATAATCTAGCACTTCTCTCAATTGTTTTCCATGCTTAGAAAAACAAATATACTTATTAGATTTTACATTGAATTATCAAGTATGTCCTTGAATACTTTAATCCTGTTAGTTTGGAGAACTCGTAATAATTTAAGTATTTTGGGAATATTTGATCATAATAAAATTTGATTGTTGGTTTAAAATTACTAAATTTATTTCTTTTATAATATTTTTTGATTTATCAATTTATGATTGCATATAAATAGAGTTGGACTCTTGTTATGAGTTCAAACAATTAATTCAGCGAAGATCAAAGTTTAACATCATAACTATATCATTTTAATTTTATATATAAATTATTTAAGAATTTTTATTTTATCATAATTCTTAAACAAATTTTTATTATTTATATCCTCCTAATTCCTTTGAATTTAGTGGATCAGAATTGATTCATACTATTATGAAATAAATCATAATTTAAATGATATTAATTATCAAATGAAAAACTGCAATAATAAATTTCTAGATGTTAAATTATAAGGGAAATTTATGGGTTCGAAAAAATTATGTTTTAGGAAACAGGGTAAAACATAAAAGATATCATTAAATAGGCATAATACCCTTTGTTTTTGGGCACAGTGGCTGGGACTCTCTTGCTTTACTTATATTGTGATTTTGTTTTACTCTAGAAATATTGTGAAATCCCCAATTTAAGTAAAGTAATTGTAACATTTCAGATACTATCAATATACTCAATGTTTAGAGTCAATATGACAGGTAAACTACAAAGATTTAGATTTTTAGAACCTGGAGTATAAATGTAAACGATTTCAGATGATAAATATTTTGAAGGGAAATTATGTGAAAAGTGCAGAGCTATAAAAATTGATCGCTGTTATCATTGTAAATTTTGTGATCATTGTGTAAATGATTTTGAAGCACATTGTTTTTTTTAATGGCTACATGCATAGGCAGAAGAAATATAAAATATATGCTAGGTCTAGTCACATTTACTGGGATAGCGTTATACTTATTATTACTCATTTTGATTTATAAATGTAGAAGTTACTCTAATTATAATAGTATTTGTATCAGATTGCAAGAAAGAATTAACCTTCATTATTTTAAATATCGTCAGCCTAGTTTTAACATTGGTTCACTTAAATCCTTTTATATATACAACATGGAGGAATGCGTCATAGGTAATTAAAATTTATAATTTAGAATTGGACAAAAAAAGAAATGAATAGAACTAAATTCAATGGATCCCCTTATTATATTTATAAAAACTATAAATAATTCTTTACTCGTTTTTATGATAGTTAATTATATGCAAGTTTTATATAATATTGAATCAATATCATTTGTAAATAATATTTATGAAATGCATTGTTAAATCATTTATATACATATATTATAAATACGTATTATATTTATGAAGTTGATTCCGTTTATGTTTTATCATAAAATTTAATTGCGCATTTCAATTTAAAATAAATAATAAATAAAAATGAAAATTAATACAAAAATTCCGAATTATCTTAAATTACCTCATCTTGGACATTAGTGGAAATTTTTGAAAAACAAAGAACAAACCACATGTACTAATAGCAGCATGGAATAATCATGTAAACCCATTAATAGTAGCTTGATTTAAAATAGTAATATTTGTCCTATTCGCACTTAGTATGAAGTAACTCCTTAAAACATTAAAAGAAGATTAATCAAAAGTTAATCAATAGATGTTAATTAATAATTAGATTAAATTGATTCAGTCAAAGAATCGAATAGTGGACAAATAAAAAAAATAGCATAACATCTCATTTAACAATTTAATAGTAATATGAAGGCAACTGAAAAATACTAGAACCCCTTAATTCTCCAAAAACATTTATCTCTCAATAATGAATCAGTAATAGCAATATAGAAACCTTATTTTGAAAAAAGTAAATCATTGTATTAATTATAAAATGAAACAAAGTAAAATTCAACACATTAGGAAACTAATGAAATCAATTCTTTTACTTAATTTCTTCAATTAATTTAAATTAAAGGAAAAGAAAAGGGTAAAAAAAGAAAATGTTAAATCAACTTTTTTAAGAAAAGTTAATCAATGGATAACGTTGATGTAGTCGAAAACCAAAAAACGATTACGAAATTATTGTTGTAATCGAAAATTAGAATTAAGCCCAAATTCTCACCAACAATTAACATTTAAGATCTCCTTTAGCAAAATTGAAATAAATTAAATGAATTAAATTATTATCTAATATGTATATCTCAAAAAATGCAAAAAGTGAATAATTATTTATGCTTAATTTAAAGCTTATTATTATTTCTTCCATATATGAATAACAATATATCAAATCATGTTTTTAAGACTTTTAATCCGACTAATTATTTGTATTTAAGATCAACATAACTATGCACTTGATCCTTTAAAAATTATTTGAATCTGTCAATTCAATGTTTTCTAGAATAAACGGAGTTTTATTTATAAAAGTAAATTTTTCAAAAGTCTATTGTTCTTCTTAGTGAGAGTATAATTCATCAATTTAACTGAGTGCCAATCTTTTTAAAAAGAGTTTGGCTTTAAAAATTTGTAAAAATCCTTTTAAACAATAATTCAAATCCAAAAAAGGATGATATAAAGTTATTTGGAATAAAATATAATTTGATTCTAACACTCTTTTTGATAAAAGTATTAAAACTTAAGTTAAATGGATTTAGTTTACAAATATAAAGTTTATTGCAAAACATAATTTTTAATTCATTTAAGTTAATGATTGATTATATATTTCTGATTATAGAACCTTTAGGGTATACCATCGTGCTATATTGGGTAATTTTGCTATTAGAGGAAATATATAAATGCTTGCAACCATTTCCAGATATTAAGAAAAAGTATGGATAAGATTGTTGGGCGGTAATCACAGGAGCAACAGATGGAATAGGAAAAGCTTATTGTTAAGAATTAGTTAAATAGAATGTCAATGTTTGTATGATAATTAGAAACAAGGAAAAAGGAGAAAAGTTAGTCTAAGAATTAAGTGCAAATTCAACATCAAAGTTTAGAATTGTTATAGCAGATTTTGTAAGATGTACAGAAGTAGACTTTTTCGATAAAATTAACGAATAAATTAAGGATCTTGACATAGGAGTCCTTATAAACAATGTTGGAGTTTCTATGGTATATTCTCATTTTTTATAATTAAGAAAAACCCTTTTGAGAGACAATCAGAGGTTGACATTCGACAGATGCTTACAATCAATATATTCCCTGTGCTTTTTTTAACAAAAAAGGTACTCCCAATTATGAAATCAAGAAAAAGTAGATCTGCTATCATCAATTTATCTTCAATTGCAGGTAGATTACCGTTACCATATCATCAAACCTATTCGGCAACAAAAGCTTTTGATGACCATTTTTCATAATCTTTAGCAATTGAAACTGAGGGAATAGATATTTTGTCACACCGACCTTTTTTTGTCACAACTCCTTTGACCAATTATGAAAAGGAGGCTGGAGCTATAACTCCGGAACAATGTGCTAGAGGAGGATTATCAAGACTGGGTTTGGAAGTGACTAGCCATGGATATTGGTATCATAGAGTAATGGGATTCTTATTAACTTATATTATCCCATAGTTTATTAGAACAAGATAATTAAAATAGGTTTTAATTAAAAGAGCAAAAAAGAATCAATGATTATGAATTTGTGTTTAATTGTCAAAAACAAAAATGTTTAAGAAATAAGTTTTTTCTGAAATTTATATAATTTTAATATGTTCTTATATATTGTTGGATTAATCACAATAGGTTTTGTTGTATTTAGAATTTTGGAAGAAATCTATAAAAGTCTACAACCATTTCCAAATATATAAGCCAAGTATGGTAAGGATTGTTGGGCAGTTGTGACAGGAGCAACAGATGGGATTGGAAAAGGTTATTCCCAAGTTTTAGCTTAATAGAATGTGAACATTTGTATGATTATCAGAAACGAGGAGAAAGCCAAACAGTTAATTTAAGAATTAAGTAAAGGATCAACATCAAAATTCAAGATTGTAGTGGCTAATTTCAATAATTCATTGGAAGATGGATTTTTTGATAAAATATATAAATAAATTGAAAGTTTGGATATTGGATTATTGATAAATAATGTTGGAGTCTCACATGTTTAAATTTAGATTTATTATTATAGTAAGCTCCATTAGAAAAATATAATGACAATCAGCTTAAAGAAATAATAACAGTTAATTGTTTTCCTATTGTATTTTTGACAAAGAAGATAATTGCAAATATGCTCTAAAGAAAGAAATCTGCAATAATTAATTTATCGTCTTTCACTGGAAGGGTTCCAATGCCTTATAATTAAACATACGCAGCATCTAAAGCATTTGATGACTACTTTTCAAGATCAATAGCACTTGAATATCCAAATATAGATATTTTGGCTCATCGACCAATGTATGTTACTACGCCAATGACTAATTTCTAAAAAGGATAAGGAGCTATTTCTCCATTTTAGGCTGCTAAAGGAGCTTTGTAAGATAAATGATTTATATTAATAGACAACGTTTAGGTTTAGAATACTCAACACATGGGCATATTTTTCACAGAATTCAAGGATTTTTTGGTGCTGTTGTTGTACCAGAGTTCATAAGAAACATAATTCTGAAAAAAGAAATGAGAAAATTAGTAAAAAAACATTTGTGATATAAATTTAATAAATTATAATATATGATAATCAATTATTATTAATTTACTAATACTTTTCGATCAGATAGTTTATTTAAATAATATAGAAGATTTTAATGTTTATTTTAGATTTAGTTATAAGAATAAAAACATTAAGATAAAATTATGTCAAGATTAGATTCTTGTACATATGTCAGAAAATTAATTAAAAATAATTGAAAGGAAAATAATTTTTTGCAAATAATGTAATAAAATTTTAATATCCGATCAATTGTTTGCTGTTAAGACATAGCTTTATTAGTTTTTTTAAAGGAATTTGTATTGATATTCCTCGATGCATTTTTGATTCTCAGTGTATTCGATTGTTTTTTCCTATTTATATAGTATTATTAAATACCATTATAGTCCATTTCATCGAAAAGAATCACTTTTGCTCCAGCTGGAACTTAAATTGATTTGATTTTGCTTGGATATTTAGCTAATTAGAAGTTAGGCAAGTCTTCACACATGTTGAATGATTTTCCTAATTAATTAATAGAATATAATAGGTACCTGTATAATTGCATTCTGTATAAAGAGTAGCACAAGCATCTGGTTTTTCATAATAGAGTTTAAATCCTTTAAGTGCAAATGAGGCATTATCATTATTTTTTCCAATAGTGGTTGATATAAGTAAATCCAAAGTGGGTGTTTCATGTCCAATAACAAAATCAACAATAGCATAATTTTCAAATCCATCTCCACCGCAAATATCAGCAAGTCCAGGATCTCCAAATCCAAATGTTCTTTACCAAACATTTAATCCATCAACTTTAACAAAATAATCTTCTCCATTCCAGTTATCAATTTTCCAAGCTTCAAATGCAATTCTAATTCTTTTATGAGCAGGTAAATTGAATTTTCTAGTGATTTTAGCATCTTTTCCAGTCTTATCAAAACCACCAAAAGAATTTGAATTCTCCACATTATGTTGTAAAGTCTGGTCCATTTTTACCATTCAGCAACTTTCCAATCTGCATTAGCTGTCCAACCTGCTCCTTAGAATTCTGAAGTGAATTCAACCCAATCTCCTTTCAATACACAACCAGATCCATTTCCATCTTCTGGGTCCAATAACACATAAGGAGAAACGCAAGCTGTACAATCTTCAACACTTGGTCCAGTACATGTTGCACAATTACTTGAACATTATGCAACATACAATTGGAATTATCTAATACCCCAAGATGCTTATTTAGATGACTTCTTGATTGTGGATGTCCATTTTACAAGGGCAGCACCATAATTATGTGGAGTTTCAAAGTTAACATTAATGATCTTTTCTGTACCATCAACACCTCCTGGACTGATCTTATCACAAATGAAGTATTCCTTGTCTTCAACTTAAGCCACATTTTATTTCCATTTTTCTTGATTATCAATAGACAAAACTGCATTATCATTATCCCAATTATCAATCTTCCAAAATTATGCTATCACCTTAATTCTATAATGTGGAACAAGTTTATCAAAGATTTTTTAAATTGAAACGTTATTACCGAAATTACCTGGACCACCAATGATGGGAATTCCTGCACAAGTACTTGATTTAATAACAGTTGAAGATCCTTTTGCACTCCATCCATCAGCATCAATATTCTTTATCCAACTTGATGATACGGGTACCCACATTTAACAAACAATAGCATCTGGTCCAAGACATGTACCACATTCAGCTGGACATGGCAAATAGGATAATTTTAATTTTCTAAAACCCCAAGACATCTAATGATTTAGTATTAATTATACCTTATCGGCAGTTTTATCAGCTGAAGATGCAAATGCAATAAATAATGCTGCATGATTATGAGTTATTGTTTAATCAACTGAGAATGAATTCACATTACCACCTGCAGGAGTTGCACATCTCTTTGTTCCATCACTTCCTGTCCACATAGTTTCCCAAAGGTAATTATCCAAATAAAAGAACTATCTCTAAGTGTCCCATGCATCAAATCTAAAATTAATGAATTGTTATACTTCCAGACTTCAACTTATATTTTAATCTAAAAATGAGGAGGCAATTAAAATTGTTTGGTCACTATGGCTCCTTTACCAAATGCCTTAGGTCCACCAAACACAATGGCATCTGAACAAGTAAAGAAATTATCGGTTTAAGTTTTTGATATTGATCCTTGTAATGTCCATCCATCCAATTAACCTACGTCCGCATTTTAAAAGGCAGAATAAAATTCAACGAATTCTTGCGATGTAGCAAGCATCACAAAAATTGCAATAACGATGAATCTCATTTATATAAAATTAATATTCAAAAACGCATAATTTTTTCATTTATTCACACACCATAAATATTGATCATTTTCATCCTAAATCCATTAGGCAAGTCATCACTACTAAACATACTATCAAATTTTTGTTATCCAAAAGACTGTTACAATTCTTATAAAATATTAACAAAAAGAGGTTTTATAGAGGGGAACTCATTAGAGGCAACAATACAATACACAAAATACTTGATGTCGTTAATCACCCTCCCTGGATACATCTTCACTATATTGATGAGGATCCTATACATTAATATTTGTTATACTTAAACGATTCCTCTTTGTATTCATCTAAAGATTGACTCTTTATTTAACTAAGGATTAAACATACTCGTTTAAAAAAACTGGGGATGAACTCTTCGATTTACTATATATGTGACCCAGCAATCCTGCATATTGCAATACATAAATTCTATGCGATGGATTTTGGAAATTTTGGTTCATTTATTATTTTTATCAACTTTTCCATAACAGCATTAAAGATAACTGTAAGTTTTGCTGGGTCTTTCATAGCCAATTCTCCCAATGCCCAGGCAGCATTATTGGAAGTAGCCAGAAATAACTTTGAAGGGTCAATGCTTATAGATTAAGCATAGATGTATTCATTTCTAAATTAAATATGATTTTTTACAATACTATAGCAATATTGACATTCTTGAAAATTGTATAGCAATCTTTAATTAATTCACCTATCAGAGAAAGTGCATATTGTTTCACATCTGTTTCTGTGTCTTATATAGCGAGATCAACAATTTATAAGAATGACTAATCACACAATTCTAAGAAACTTTCTTTTGTGATGTTGATTATTTTAATACACACATCAAAAGATCTTTTGAGAATTTCCTTTTATTAATACAAAAGTCTTGTCTTTCCATTCTATATTGATTGCACATAACCATTCATAGATTACACTATTGCTTAATAAATTACTGGAATATATTTTAATGCTCTTTATCCAAATTTTTCAACTGCTTCTGCCAAACATTCTATCAGTAGATAAAGTATTAATACCATAAAGTGGACATATGTTATAATCATTTAAATCTATTAAATTGCTAATCAATTTCGTCATTATTAAATCTATTAATTCCTAATTCTCGATAGTTTCGCATTCAGCCAGTATTGTGGTTATTGATTAATATATGTACAATAATACTCCTCCTTTTTAGGATAGGGCTTTTAAATAAACTTAGAATAAGTCTAATAAGTATGGTTACAATATAAAAAATGCATCTTTTGATAATGAATTCAATGCAGAGCAAGCAGATTCCTTTACTATTCTATGAGATACAAATAATATTATACATAGATTAATTTTCAATAGAGATCAATAATAATTTTAGATAAGATTATATAAATTGAGTCTCATTGATAGCTACTGTTTTAATCCACTCATTATACTATGAGAAGGTCCATAATGTAGAAGCATAAATATATTCATTTTATTGGTTCTTTTCTTGAAATAAGGACATTAATATATTTGGTACGAGATTAGCATGATTCTCCATTATTTTTTCTGCAAACAACCCAAGACAAATAACAGCAATTTCTTATTATTTCCAATCTTATTGTTATTATAATTGATCAATAATTTGTAACACAATAGGAACTATGGTTTTATCATAAAATTCTATTAACTTTTTAAGCAATAAATTTGAGACTGATCTTAGAGAATATTCTCCCAGAGTTTTCTCCTCATCTTATTCTTCATCCTCATTTTTGCCACCTTAGTTGTAACTATTTGAAAATGTTGGTTATATGGCTATTTGATCTGACCTGGTGATTGCCAGATTCAGAATAATAGGTTGCAATATTTATTATAAATAGGGTTCGAGTAAGTGAGTTTTTTCGTAATCTTCTGCATCATTAAATCTCAAAAAGTCAGTTAAACATAATTCAACAAATCGAACAACTTCTTTGTCTGGATCTGATAAAGATTAAACACATGCCATAATAACTAAATTCATCTACTTTATTTTATCTCTATTTGTTTCTATTAAAGCTTAAATACCTTAAAAACACTTTAATCTTATTTACTATTCCTAAGATCGTGTGCCAGTAATCAAAATATTAATGTAACAATCAATATATTGGTTTAGTGAAGGGGGCATAAAGAAAATATTGTAATTTAAAAAATTTAAAGAATTTACTACGACTTAGGTATTAGAATGTTCAACCAAGGATATAAATTTAAAAATTAATTGATCTATTAATTACAATCCTGTATCTGTTCCATAGTAATTGATATTTTCAGAATTGAATTTTAAATCCTCTATTATTTTGGATAAACAATCAGTTGCTATGACTGGATCAGAATCAATCAATTTAATTAAATATTCCATCATTATATTGCTATCTATGATTAATATGATGCTGCTTACTTTTGATTCCATTTCTTACTACAACTTCAGGTACAATGATAACAAATGCTTGCCGCATTATTTAAATACTTAAATCCACTTAAATAAGCATCTACTATAATGTTTCAGGCAAAGTAGTGCAATTTTTAACGGCACTCTTCAATATCACAGCAGCCCTATATCTAATTTCTGCATCATAATTTCCAATTATAACAGAACATAAATGAATTAAAAATTATGTGTCTTAACTCAATTCCTAAGCTCTTTTATACACTTATTTTTAAATCTGATTATCTGGCTAGGCTGACCATTATATTAATTCAATTATTTAATCCATAATTAAATATATATTAATTATCAATATTTGTATTTGGTTGAATAATCCTTTGGAGCTACAACTAGGCCTTTGCCTTTTCTAGCACCTCGATATATAATTTCAACGATATCTATGAATTCCTGCTTATCATTCATAGCCCAGTTTATTTTATTATTATTTCCTGTTCCCAAATCAATCATCATATGTTTGTTTCTATAAAAAAACATCACTGTAACTGGATCATATAGTTCATACATTGTATTAAAATCAGGAACTTTAGTGATATCTACTAGATAAACAACTGCAAACTTTTTTATTTTTTCAGCAGATTTATAGAGGATTTCATCCATTTGCATACATTATGGATCCCTAAACTGATAATACTATTGAATTACCAATCATGTCCAAAACGAATGATAACTAATTTCTCTTCTTCATCTAAGATCGCTTGATCAACTTACCAACCGTTATTTAAATGAGGTAGAAGGTAAGACATTTTTAAATTGTTAGTTATAAATTATTAAAAAATTAGGTCATTTTTTATTTACTTTTTTCTCTCTCAATTCTTGATTCTTAATGAAAGCAACAAAAATTTGTTACTCTCTTTATTTTTTCTCAGCTTCTGCTCTTTTAATAGCATTCAATCCTTCATTTTCCTTCCTGATTGTAATAGGAGAGTTATGTTCAACAGAAGTATTTAGAACTGCTTTTGCTGATTATTTAATGGCTTTAATTTGTTATGCTTTATAAGATTAGCTATAAGATTGAGATTCTTATAATTGTCTAGCTCCAATGAGATTTTTCTTTTTAGATAACAACAATGGAGTGTGATTGCTAGATTAATTAGTATTGATATTAGGAGATTAATCAGTTTGCATATTAGACTGTATTTATTGTGTCTATTATTAGTGTAGTAGTTATTTATATATTTTTTGTTAATGAGCAACTTATTATTAGGAATAATCTTCTATTGTAATATTATTCTAGTTATGTTTAGATGATTTGTCTTCAAGTTATTGTTATTACTCTTGGTTACTACTTTATAGCTTCTATTATTAAACTTTTTACACAGCTTCCTCTTTTTTCCTTCTTTCTATAGTTGGTATTAGATACTCTTACAAATAATACTCATCTTCCTTATCTGATAAATCCTACTCAAGTAATAATTCCTTAGGATCAAACTCCTTTGGAACATTTCCCAAATCTTCCCAATTAATGAGATAATTGGATTTCTCTTTTTACTTTTATAAATTCTTGGCTGAGTTTTTTGGTTTCTCTTGAACAGAAATATTATTAGCATTTGTAAGTGCTGGTTCCTATTTATAACTTTCAGCTCTAGGTTTAGGTTTGGCTGGCAAGATCAATCTACGAGAACAAAGCTTCTCTTATGTTAAGATTTCGCTCTGATCTTTGGTATTAAATGGTTTCCCTACAACAATCATCTTCTTTCGATAAATTTTAGGATCATAAACTCCAAGATAGTCATATAATGCTCTTAAAGAGTTATCTACTGGGAAAATTACATCTGCAATCTTCATTAAAGCAGATAAAAATTCTTATTAGGTCAATTCTTATATATTTGAACACTTTTTAAAAATTTCCACTAAAATCACCTTTGTAACTATAAAATTCTCTTTCTCTTTATGCTTATATTTAATCTTATTGAGTGGTTTGGTTGCAACTTAGCCTGTATGCTGATATACAAAATCATTGTCTATTTCCAAATCTATTAATTCGAAATCTTTGCAAAAATACATAAACTTTTACAATGTCATTACTTATTGAATCTAGTGAAGTTAATCAAAAGTATTTTATTTATTTGAAGTTTATGTTTATTTTGAATAAAATTTATAAATTTCCTTTAAATTCATCTCAATCATCTTTTCTGAATTCTTTTCGCTGTCTTACTAACATAACTATAAAGGTTTGATTATTGGCTTATTTAATTAATAAGGATCTTCAGATGACAATTATGGAGATCTTGTTTTAGGTGATTTTATAACTTGTTTGAATTTCTCCATAACTTCTTAAGTTCTTAACATTTTATCATTGTTTTAAATTTCTTCATCGTTTTATTTAATATCTGTTACTTCAGTTGGGACTTATTTTAATACAAAATTGGATTGGTTTTCTTCCTTTCCAATTTAAGTTTGTTTATTACTCTGTTCTTCTGATATTTTCATTTATTTATAATCTCTTAATTCTTAAAGGTCTTAATCCTCAGAGTTCTCTAAAATTTTGGATTAATCTTAATGAAAAGTCTATGCTGAATCATCACCATGCTCTTAGGAATTAAATTAATCACCCTAATGATCAATTTAATTTAACGAATCTTGATTGTTCCGACTTTTACTAAAGTCATTATACTCATTTTATTCTTCCTAATCATCGTTTTATGTTAAGGATTCATTTTTATTTTAAGTGGAACTTTTTCTTTAAATTTATGAACCATTTAAGGCTTGAGATTTCTATGAAGAATGGTTTTATTTTTATGAGAGAATACTGTCTGGATGTATTGCAGATCCAATAGAATCTTGTTATCTATATTTTGATTATGATTAGTTGGAAGGTTACCCCTGAGATTAGTTTTCCATGATAATTTTAATTAATAATAATTTGTATTACTAAAATATAAATTCAAAGTTTCTAAGCAACTTTATTGAGCTCCTCCTTTTTCTATTGTAATCTCTAATCTTCTTATTTTTTTTATTCTTAAAGTTTTTCAATTAACTAATCTCTTAGAATAAGCAAAAATTCTCTGACTGTCATGTGAATTTGAATTTCTAATTAATTTTATTATTAATTAATCATTTAAATAGATTAAGAACTTATAGTTCTTTGGGTCTTTTCCTTATAATAGAAATAGAAATACTAAAACTGAAGAATAAATATAATTTAAATTGCATCTTAGGGAGACAAATATAATAGAAAATAGTTCCTGGGATATAAATGATTACAATATTTTTAATAGAAAGTAAAGTCAATTTATAAAAGTCACAATAACATTTAACAATTTTCGAAATATAATTAACATACTTTAGGATCGTATCTGATGTCAATCCTGGTTTGTTTTTGTAAGTACAATGTTTTTGTGATTTTAATTTAATATAACAGTTTATTTTAAAAATAGTCATTGTTACTTATTAATTGTATCAAATAACAACTATATTGATTAGGCTAACTAAGAGTTAGGGTTTTGTTCATTTATTTATTGAATGGCTTTTAACTTCTTGAAATATTCATTTCTCTCTCTCATCAATAGAATATATTGTTTTTTTAACTCACTCTCATCTCTATCAACACACTAATGATTAAATGTTGAGGAGTACTTCTTTTAAATTTTATAATTTGCCTAGTTTTCTTAAAACTGCCATCGAATTTTCATCATTCTATTCTTATAATTCTTATATGTATTATGGGATTAATTTCCATTTCTAACTCATTAATTTATTAAATATAAATGTTTCAAAGACAAATAAAAAGACCATAATCAGTATGTATAAATTAAGATTATTAATGAAAATAGGCGATCAAATATGAACCATAGGGATATAAATAAAAGTAATCAAATGAATGTTAAATTTTAATGCCAAGTGCAATACAGTATTTTTCTGATTTAGATTCGTTGCATCATGTTTCAAACAATTTTCTAAGGCCACAATCAGCAGTTTCATTATATTAGAATAAAAAGATAAGTAGCTCAACAATGGTGGATAATAAATAAGTCAGTGACACAAGATTGACTGATCCACGATTAACACCAAGATATATAAAGAAAGATAAAGAGGAATTGTACTCAGATTTGTTGCTATTATAATAAAAATATAATTAATGCTAAGATGAAAATACTAAATTAAAAACTTAAATTTCGTCATTAGAAAAATAAGTTATTCATTTGACAGATTTAGTGAGAAATGTTGAAATGTTCTGCAACAAGAAAACTAGTCATTTCAATGAATTTTAGTTAAAAAAACAAATTCAGGATCTCAAATCTAATCTCAAAACTAAAGTGTAAGAATTAGAATCATTAAAATAAAATGTTAAAACTACTAAAATTGATGAAATTAGAATTGAATTATAAGAATCTCACATCGAATGTTTAAGATTAAGAACTATGCTTGATCAATAAATACGATAATAAGTGTTGTTTAATTATAATGATCATACATTGATTGAAGAGAAATTGTACATACAAAGTCAAATGATGAATTAATTAAAAACAGAAAATGATTAAATGACAGGATTACTTAAAATCCAAGAAGAAGAAACCTATTATTACAAGAATTTGTTAGCGGAAACCTTAAAAACAGTAAGAAGGTACGAAGAAGCAATTGAAGATTTGCATAAGAATCTAAAAGGTAAAAATTAATTTATGGATAAATTGGCTTAAAAAATAGAAGCTTTGAAAAGCACTAATAATGGATTAGCTGATAGAGTAGTAAAGGTGGAGGATTTAAAAGAAGAAATTCGACTTTTAAAGTGTACAATAGAAGACTAAAATAAATAAATTCAAAGTGTCCTATCTGATAACGAGTATCTTAAGGGAATGGTTCATGAATTAAAAATTAAAAATAACGAGAAATCAGAAATATAAGCTAAAGAAAAGAAAGTATTACAAGATTAGATTGCTAAAATATCAAGCTAATATGATCTTTTAGATGATAAATACAAAAATTTATTATTAATTTAAGTTTAGGCTAAAAATAAAGAAACTGTTTAATCTTCATTGATTCATAAGAAAGAGCAAACTGTAGGTTTAACTCTTAAAAATAACAATGATAGCTTCTAATAACAGAAGATATATGTCCCTAAAAAATTAAGAGCCATCAAAACGAATGATATTTTACATATTGGAGAAGAACTAAATTACAGATTTAGAGTAAAGGAAATAATATTAATTGATGTAATAGAATAATTTCTATTTGATGATGACAACAAAAAAGAAAAAAAAGTTAGTATTAAGCAATTACAAAAAAGTTTCGAAAAAGAACCATTTATGTTATTTGAATAAGATAAAGCATTAACATTTGCTCGTTTCTTAATAGAAGACAACTCCTAGGAATTTGTAGAATTTAACATTGAACTTACTGAAAATTTGGATAGAGTGAAAAGCATATTTACAAAAATAGTTGGCAAATATAGAATCTTTACTCCTGATGAAGAAATGAAGCATAAAGAAGATATTACGAAACTTATTATCAAATATAAAAATTCTCTAAAATAACATTTTGATTCTCTTCAAAGTACTAATGGAGAATTAACTAAAAGATAAATATTAGAAACTTTTATCTTTATGGACATTGATATTAATAATTCTCAACTTGAATACTTTTTCTTAAAACTATTTGTTTTTTCAAACAAGATTGATAGATTTCCGTATTAAAAGATCTTTGAAATATTCTAATAGACTTAAACTGCATCAAGTATCATTACATAATCTCATTCATAGCTCCCCATCTACAAAGGAAGGAAACTTAAAGAAAAAAGGCTGCCACTGAATCAAACAAGCAACCTGTATATGTTACAAAGAGTCTATTCAAACAAGTTGAAGGTACTAATCTATAATAAGCTTGATTCATTATAAAAATTATTAATTAAAATTATTAATTTTAATAGTTATTAAGAATGTTTTTCAGCCATCACTGTTTAGAATGTGGTACATCTTATAATAATTAAGGACGCTATTCTGAGTGACCCATGGGTTTGTGTATTGAATGCTGTGTATTTATGTGAGAATTGTGCAATGATTTTATCGACTGAAGCAGGAATTACAAATATCAAAAAATACTCTAGTTTGAATACAGAGGAGAGAGACAGAATGTAGAAGGGAGGAAACGAAAAATTTAAGTTGAATGTTACTAATGTTAACGATAAATTTCATTCTCATAGAGCATTACAATATCGATTTGAAGTATCTATTGAACTATAATAGTTAGCGTTGGGCTTGAGTGAATATGATTCAGACATGAGTACAAATTATGCTAGTCCAAATAAATCGTTAATCTATTATCCTGAGCAAAAAAAAAAATTAACTTAGGCCTTGGAATTAGAGGGAATGCAATAGGATGTTGAGTGGTTACAAATACAGTATTAGATTTTGACAAGGGATTTAAAGAAAAAAATTGATAGGAACTTTTATTTGTCCAAATTGGAGGAGATAGGTAAGAAATTTGTCGAAAAACAATAATAGAAATAAGTTCAACAGAAATAAATTCATAATCAAAATGATGTTTTTTAATCTTTTTCAGCATTAATGAAAAAATAGAATTGAAATATCATTTAAATATAATAAGCTTTCATAGTGATTATAAAGATATATATCTATAATGACATTGTTATGTTTTTAAACTGAGATCCTATTTTTATTCATATTCCTCTTAAACATTTATGAATTTATATCACGTTTCAGACTAGCAGTAAATTAAACTAATATTCAAATATTTTTTTATTTAAATAAATTAATTACTACAAATCGTTATGAAAAAAATAAATCAATAGATGCAAAAAATAGCAGGACGCAATAGCTTTTAAGAATCTCCATTACAATTGGAAAAGAAAACCTTAAAAAATTCCACCAAACCAATTAAAACAGAAAGACCTTAACAAAAAGGCAAAACCAAATTATACGATTATTTTAAGAAAGAAAGGAATTCATTAGCCTAGGTGGTCAATAACATTAGAGCTAAATTGAAGGGGAGCAAAAGTATTGATAATGTGTTCCTTTTAACATAAAAAAGCGAGAGAGCAAAAACATCGTAACAAAATGTAATACTTTTAAATAGTATAAAATAGCAAATTGAACAAAGAGTCTAAACAGATGAAGGGAATAGTTCTAAAAGAATAAATTTGAAAACAAAAAATTTATCTTTAGCTACTGTCTCAGTTGAAGTATAAATTAAATATATTATTTAGAAAAAGGAATATGCAAAGTAACCTTCAACTACTAAATAATCTTATAATTAATCACCTTCTAGTTAATCAAAACCAATTTTAAATAAGTCTAAATCCAAAGATCAATACTTATTTGAGATGGTATTTATTATTTTCATAGTTAATAGTTAAAAAATGCTCAAAAGATATCAAATCAATATTAACAATACTTTAATTTGAAGTAAAATAAGTAATCTATATAATCAGACACTTCAACAAATCATAGATAATCACTCGAAGATATGTTATTAAGTTAAAAATCCACAAAAGGATCTCCTCAACCATACAGTTCAAAATTATCAAAAAAAACAGATGCCGACTCAAAATCGCTTAATTCAGGGTATTCTAAAACTGAATAAACCCCTGTAATTAAATAACAATAGAAAACTAAAATTGAAGAGTCACTCTAATATGATCCTAAAAAGAAACTTCAAGTGGTTCTATTTTATAAATAAACAAAGTACAATTTCCATTCAATAATTTAGATATTACTATTTGTATGATTATGAAAATTAAAAAACTGATAACTTGTATAACTTTCTCATTTAATAAATTGCAACTATAGAATTGGCCTCAGCAAAAGTAGAAGGAGGAGGAGGCACTGGTTCGACTGAAGATTAACACATTTAAGAAGGTATATCAAAGATTAATGTAGAATTGAATAAGATTTGCCAATTCATTACAGTTTCTAAAAACATCCCTTATGATTATTACATTTCATTGCCTGAAATGCCTCTAAATGTGTTTTAAGGCATAACCCTCTAGTTATAGCCCTAGTATGCTTAGTTCTAAGAAACAAAGAGAGTTGGATTGAAGGATTTTAATTTGATAAAATGCATAGGAGTAGGAGGATTTTCAAGGGTGTATTTAGTGAAAAAAAAAGACAATGGACAATTTTATGCCTTAAAATTAATAGATAAAAAGTTCATTTTTGATAATGCAAAGGAGGTAATAGTTTAAAATGAGAGAGACATAATGGTAAGGATGGAAAATTAGTATATCACAAAATTGCATTATGCCTTTGAGACAAAATTTTATATTGCTTTTGTATTAGAATATTGTGCAGGAGGAGAGTTATTTTATCACTTGAGAAAACTAAAGAGACTAAATGAACAAGAAGCAAAATATTACTTTGTTGAAATATGTATAGGAATGGCATATTTACATTCATAAAATATTGTTTACAGAGACATTAAGCCTGAAAATATCTTATTGGATTTGCAAGGTCATATGATGCTTAGTGATTTTGGATTATCTAAACCAAATATGGAGGATGGAGAACTAGCTTATTCATTTTGTGGTTCACCTGAGTATATGGCTCCTGAGATGTTGATGAAATCTGGACACAGCTATTTAGTAGATTGTTATTGCCTTGGTGCTTTACTTTATGAACTAGTTTCTGGATTACCTCCTTTTTATTCTAACAATACTTAAGAAATATATAATGCGATTTTGACAGAGAATGTCTAATTTCCAGATTATGTCTAAATTTCTGATTAATTAAAAGATCTAATTATTAGACTGCTTTAAAAAGATCCAAATCAGAGATTAGGATAAAATGGGGGGATTGTTGAAATTCTAACTCATGTTTGGTTTCATGATGTCGACTTCGAAGCAATAGTAAACTAAAAACTTCCAACTCCTTATAAGCCTGAGCCTTTAAAATATAATTTTGATGAAGAAGAATTCAATAAAGGAGATGCTGAATTCAGAAAACAATATGCATTTAATCTTCAATATGAATTTTAAGTATTTACAAACAAATTATATTTGTTAGAACATTGATAATGCAAATTATAAACTGCAAGATTTTTATTATGAAAGACCATAATTAGAATTTAAAAATAGAACCAATTTAGTAAATACAAGCAAATTAGTTTCAGAATTAATTTAAAAAGAATCATTATCACCAAATAAATAAATGTTATCAAAAGTCAAGGTAAATGTAATAAATAAATTGCATAGCATTCGCCTTAAGAAAGTAAAAAAGTTTTAAGACCTAATATTAAGAGTGAAGCTCTTGACTATTTCAAAAAGCATAATCTTTTGACGAAATCTTCGTAGATTCTTCATTAGTCCTTAAAGTTGGGTCATGCTTATTCCAAAACCTTATAATAGCCTTCAATGTCAATTCAAGATTTAAAAGTATAAGAATTTAATAATTAAGAAATTAAAATAATTGTTTGATCAATCTAAATAATTGTTAAGTTCTGATAGATTAACTACAGTTCCTGATTAGAATAATAAAAATGGAGTAGAAAGAGTCAAAACTGAACAAATTGGTAATTTGCCATCTCCTAAAACCACAACCAATAGTGCTGCAAATAAATTAGCTAAGTTTTCTAAATTATTTGGATCGGAAAAAAGAAAAAAATGAAGATGTATTTATAGTTAAAGTGGATGTATTACTCTTTAGTATATAATTAATTTAAATAATAATAATGTACTTTTTTTGTGCAATGTAATGTATTAATAATGCAATCATTTCTTCTTTTATTCGACTTTCTTAATGTAAAATTCTAATTCCTTTCCTTCCAAAATGTAACCATCAGCTCTTCCTGATTATCCTGGTCTTGATGTAATTCTAACCAATAATCTTTAATTTGTAAATTATTCTTAAACCAATGCATCAATGGCATTTTCCTTTGCTCTTTCTTCTAATTTCTTAATAAGACTTCTTGATTTTTTAGTTGCTTCAGGTTGTCCCTTCCTAATTTAATAAATCATTATTACTTTCTTGTCCTTTCTTCTTTGATCCCAATTTTACATTATATTTCTTTGCATACCATTATCTAAATGGAGTAGCATCAACTTAAACAATCACTCCCCTAGTAAGTGTCTTGGTTCTGACCAATTCATTATTTGATGGATGGTAAACAACCTCAACAATTTTAGCTTTTTTAGCAACACCTTGGCTTCCCCAAGAGAAATTGCCTTCTGATAAACGGAGTGCTCTGAATTTGAAATTTCCTCCTCTGACTCTTAATCTTCTGACTCTCTTTTCTCCTGATACCAATTTGGTCATTGCTGCCTATCTTCCTTTTTCAAAGGCTCTCTTCTTCTTATGAATAGGCATACGACCTCCTGTAAGTCTTCTTTTGTGTCTACTATCTCTTGAAATTCCCATGAATTGCTTTCTTAAATAAAAAAAGATTTTATTTAATTTTAAAATGTGCTTATATATTAAACCAAATATTTTATTTATTTTCCATTATTAATTAGGTGTGTTTTGCAAGGAGAAAGGGAAGTTTAAGAAATTCTACAAAACATAAAATATGAACAAATGTAAAAATCAAATTTATTTATTTGTTGGACTTAAATTGAATCTATATTATATGCTAAATATATTACTATGTATTGTCACTAAATTAAAATGAGTATTTCATGAGAGACTTAGGGATTCTATACTCAAAGCTCAAATCATCAATTTAATATATAGAGTTTCCTTTATTTTTTTTAATTGACTTATCAATTTGTCGTTATTAAGCTATTGATTTATTTAGATCCTAACTCTATTAACTAAGCAATTTTAAATAAGGTTGTTAGACAATGACCTATTTGAGTATGTTCTTAGGACTTTTAGCAAGACATTATCGGTTGCTATCAGAATTAGGAAAACTAGGTAATCTTAACTTGGGTAGTTGCTTAACTCTATTGGGACTAAATGGGCTCATATTTTAGAATTGGAATATGTTTCTACTCTTTAATTGTTTGACAACTAAATAGCGATTTCGAATTTTAAAGTTTTTGAATTCTATTTCTCTTTTTGGTTCTATTATATTTTTTTTTAATTGATAGTATAATGACATTAAAATAATTATAATTAATATTTTTTTGAATTTATAAGGCTATGCAACGATCATTTTCGAAATCCTTTTTTGAATGAGATTTTGAACAATATTTAATTAATTGATTATAAAATTAAGAGTAATGTGATCATTTATTTTAAGCATAAACAAATAATAATTCATGAGATTACGTCATCCATCCCAGGAATTAGTTGGCTTACGAACCCTGTGTTTAGATCTATTGATTAATGATTATAAAGTACAATAGACTCTAAAACAAATCCTTAAGTTCAGTGTTACTCATAGGTTAAAAGGGATGGGCAGGGAAATATTCATTCGGTCTTTCTAATTCCAATGGGAATGACCTTTATGGTTGCCTCTGAATTGTATTGTCACCTCTGAGGGATTTAGTTTTTTAAGTTTTCCTTACCTTAACGATATTAGATTCGGTGGAAAATCTAGTTTTAGATTGGTCATTATTTCTTTCTTAAATTCTGACTTTAGGAATATTGACATCAACTTGAGAATACGAAATCTCATAGCTTAAGACTGGAGGGAGTTTGATATCTTCCTTTGATCTATCAGTTGAGGATCCAAAAGCATAACTTTTTTTTCTTTGCCGACTTTCTTCAATTTTGTATGCTGAAAGATTTGGTTTTTAAACTCTTGATTTATGCAGTACAAATTTCTGGTAATTAAGTTCTGCGTCTGTGCTCTCAGTATTTTGAGAGAAGAAATCATATAGATCTCTGACCATTTGATTATGATAATTAATGATGTATTTATATATAATTTATCTGGATTTGTGTGATGTAGAATGGAGGCAGAGAATAATGAAGTGGAAAGGAGCGACAGGAGTTAAATAAGTGTTTGAAGCTTCAAGCAATTAAATACATATTAAATACAAATTAATTATAGTTAATTTAGAAATGCAAACTTTGCAATCCATAATCTAGTAAAGAGTTTTGTAGTAAATAAATAAGCAAAAAACAGAACCATTGCAATCCTTGAATATTACCTATGTAAATTGCATTCTAAACCTTAGTATTCAGCAACCAAGATACAATTGGCTTTGGACGAAGCTGTTTAAATAGGCAAGGTCATGCAAGTAATTACAAATTTAAGTAGGGTATTCAAGGTGTTCATCTCCAGAAATAGTAATCCGATGCATTGATTTCTAGCAGTAAAGTGGCAGTTCTTAATGTTGATTACAATAATCCTATGGTTTTACCCAAAAATGAAGAAAATAAATAGGGTCCATAGAAAGGCAGGTTTCTTGTAAGAAATGAGTATGGCAGTAAATTGTCCTCTGAAAATAAAATCACACATTCATCAGTTGTTCCCAATAAATACCATAAAAATTATTTATCCTATGGCGAGGAATGCAACAGGATAAAAGAAGAGAATAATAGGATGAGGAAAAAAGAATATGATAAAAAAGTTAGAATATTTAATTTACCAAAAATAAAAACAGATTACATTAGTTCTCCAAATAGTTTTTAAAAACAATTATCTGGATAGAACACTGCAGAAGTTCAAAACTCAGATAATATCAAAGATACTTTGGATGATAATTTATTGTAGGAATACAATTAGTACTAATTGCAATAAAAATAAGCTATGTATTATAAAAAATAACTCCTTCTTTGGAATAAAAAATAGAGAAATCTTGATATGAATGATGATGATTAATTTGACTGATTTGTAATTTATTTTAAATAATGACATCGATTGTGGAATACTAATATAAATAATTTTAAAATCTATACGTTAGCCTTGTATATTTTAACTTAATTTGTAATATGAAAATTAAATAAAATAATTTATTATATTAATATGTCATAAGTGAAAAAAAGCCTCTTAAAAGTAGAGAAACTTTAATTTGATATCTACATAAATAAATAGTTAATTTAAGTGGATTATGATGATTAAACTACTGTGGGGGAAATTCTCGATTTCATTGCAAGGATACAAAATATTTCGAACTCAGATATCTCTTTGTATTTGGCTAAAAAAAGTGGTGAACCCAAGCTGTGTTTCCCAGCTTTGGAGAGAAATAGAAAATTAATAAAAACAAATGAAAAACGATTTGTTGTTGTTATGAAGTAATAAGAACCAAAAATTTAAATTGAATAGAATTTAGAAGCAGTGAAAATAACTGAAGGAAGACGCCCAAAATAAAGTGTTTTCAAGAAATGGTTTGGAATCTCCATGACTTGTAAATGATTTATTAAGTATATATAAATTACTTTTAATAAAATATCTTTTAATTATTGATTATAGGGATTATAATTTTTGTTGTACACCCATATCTTTTAAGCAATAAATTAAATGCACTTTTGATAATCTTATCGGAAGTATTTAATAATGCAATACATATAGATACAGTAATATTGAAAATAAAATAAATAGTAATGTAATATCTATAATTAATATATAAAATCTAAGCAAAATCGGATGGATCCAAAATCAACTGCTTTTCACATTTATAAGTAAACCCTGATTAAAAAAAACAACTAACCTATTTCACATGTGTATAGTTACGAATAAAAGGATGTGAGTTTATTATGATTATCTCTTTTAGAAAATTGGATAAGGAGCCTATGGGAGTGTTTATAGAGCAGTTCATAAAGTAAGTAAGCAAGTGAGAGCAGTTAAAGTGATTAACAAATTGAATATTAAATACAAAGATAGATTATTGAGTGAAATCACAATTATGGAGTTGTTGGTACTGAATATCTTTTATTTTAGGATCATCCTAGCATTTTAAGATTGTTTGAAACCTTTGAGGATGCAGAGTATTTGTATATGGTTTTGGAGTAAAAATATCAATTCAATTACTTGATAGAATCTGTTAAGGAGGGGATGTATTTGATAAAGTACTTGAAAAGGGTTGTCTCTCAGTGGAAGATGCATTTAAAGTGTATATATAATACATGAGAGCGGTCAATTATTACCAAGGGTTCAAAATAGTGCATAGGTATTAATTTTATAATTTTTAGAGATTTGAAGCCTGAAAACTTTTTGTTCCAGAAGAAGAATGACATGAATTCATTAATAGTTATTGATTTTGGAATTGCGAAAAGAGGGATGGACAAATTACAAACTAAAAGTGGAACAGTAAAATCATTAAATTAAATGAATAGGCTTATTATGTTGCCCCTGAAGTACTGGATGGATTATATGATCATAAATGTGATGTCTGGTCTGCAGGAGTTGTCCTATATGTCATTTTATGTGGCTATCCTCCATTTTACGGAGAGAATGAAAAGGAAATCTTAATAGAAATCAAATCTGGAACATTGCAATTCGAAGGTTATTAAATTGTTAATAAGTAGGCGATGAATGGTTAGGAATCTCGTAAGAAATTAAGGATTTTATAAAACAACAAGTCTGTCCAGCACCTAATAGAGCTATACCCAAAGATTTGTTAAGTCATAAAATAATAACCCAATACAATTAAAAGTTCCTGAATGATTTTAAATTGATTTCAATGTTAAATCTCAATTAATGGGTTAAATATCATCCATTAAGAAGATTGGCACTTTACTATCTATCAACATAGATTGATTCATGTGATTTAGTCAATTAAAAGAATAATTTCTTCTTCATCAATTAATCGTAAACTGGATTGATAACATAATAGGAATTGGCGACTTATTTGAAAGTTAATAAGTAGGATATTCAAAAATTATGGCCATATATAGATTGTAATAGCAATGGTTATTTGGATTATTTTGAATTTGTAGCATTGACTTTGACACCTTAGGATTATCAAAAACAATTACAATTCATGTTTGATTTTCTAAGTTAATCTGAGAAAGTAATAACGCAAAAAAGTATTAAATCTATTTTTGATTAAAACTCTAATTTAAATAATAAGTGGGATAGTATTTCAAATACGAAAAACCAGTATGCTTAAGTCAATTAACATGAATAATAAATAAATGTTAAAAACATTATTGATAAAGATATCGATTTTAATGCATTCAAAGCAATAATGGGATGATTCAATAGAATATATAAAATATATTAATTACAATTTTTGTAATCAAACAATGGAAGCTTATAGATTCCATGTCCTTTATTTTTTTTTTTAATTGCTTTCGTAATCTAAGATATTGGATGTTGATTTACTTGTTATATACTTTTTGACCTAGACAACAAAGTAGATGATGACTCCCAAGAACATTGTTTCAATGATGGCTTAAACCATCATCAAAGTTCCCTGGTACAATTAGCCGCATATGATTTCTTGCTTCTAATCATCAGTAATTTCAGTTGTAGCTGGTTATTAGGGGACACTTTCCTATAACAATCGACTTTTGGATAAAATATTATATTGTTAAGCATAGCCTTGCATGAGAGCCCAAACTAAAAAGTAAGTAATTAATCGTATAGCCAAGACAAACGATGTCAAACAGAGGTATTTCCCAATTTCAGATGAGGACCTAGAATTAATGCCAAGAAATCCATAGGTTGAACTAGCGATCCAGAATATGTTGCCACCTACTATAACTAAGCACAAAATTGCATATGTATAACATGTAGTTCGATAATGTATGAAGTAGTATAGAAATCTAATGCACTAGTATAAAAATGCACACTAAAGATATTGCATAGTTAACTTACGATTATGAATATATTTGAACTTTGCAGAAATCTAATGTTGTCCTCGATAGTTTCATTGAATTCTTCGCAATCAGGAGGCAACAGGGAGTCGCCTTATCGCTTGGTAATAATGAAAGGCCTATTAATTTCCATCCGTGGATTTGAATCGATAAAATTAATATATATATTAAGATGAATTAATTGAGAAATTAGAGAGGCACGGACATAGATGAAGTATACATTGATCCAGAGAGAGGAGTAGCAATTAATGCTCGTCAGATGACCACGGAATAGCATTTCAAATATTACAAATCCTCATTCAGTACTATGAGACCTGATTTGACTGAATATGAGTATGAAGCATTTGCCAAGAGATTGAGAGTGGGTATTTGAGAATTCATAACAAAGGCGAGTCGTTCTTGAATCACATGAGGGTGTTTCTCAATCATGAATCAGGTAGGATCACAAATCTTTATCCTGTAAGTGCTAGAATGGACAAAGCTCTGGTATATGATGCATTACTATAATCAAGAACTATTAACAATAATACTTCCATTTGCGTCCTCCTTTTATTTTGGGCCACAGATCAAATGCAAATAGAAATTGGGCTGATGCATCAAAAGTTGTGAATTATGTTGAGAAACAATTATTAAAAATTACAAAATACGGTAACTATCTCCAAACTAAGGTCCTAGGCTTGGATTATCCTAATTATTATGCACCAGCAACTGCACAAGAATTGAAACAGAGAGAAGATGAGATTTATGAGAGATTCGTCAGGGAAATGAGAAAACCTCCCATCGTTGCAGCATAATGAAAATTATACAAATAAATAATAAATTATTATTAGAATCTTTTTTACTAATGCATCTCTACACTTAGTCTCCAAGTATTAATCAAATCACACTATCAATTCTGATTGTGTACGAGATTGTTACATTCTATTAACTTTTGCCAATAAATCTAATGAATAAGATATGGATTTATTAAAATTAATTTATAAAATGTCTGAAACTATAATATTTTTTTATCTTTTAAGTTATTAATATGAATAAGTCAGACAAATACTTAATGTTTGAAGATGACATCTCCAGTACTCAAAGTTCTGAAGGAGAAGATTACATTCCTAAAAGAATAATATCTAAATCCAACACAAGAAGGATCCATAAAATCCCCATAGAGCAACAACAATAACTATTTCGACAAGTCTTTCAGGAAAGCAAACCAATTAAAGAGGTATTCATTTTCCTATTACAATAGGTTGCCAAAGCTTTGAATCTAAATTACTCTAGTGCTAAATCTCTCATTCATTATTATAAAAATAATAAACGCTCAGCCCCCTCAGCAGTCTTAGATGTTTTAAGTGGCAAAAAGTCTCTGGTGTGTCAAGTTTCATAAAAAATTGATAAAAAAAAATACAATAATCTAAAAATAGAAGTCAGGCAAAAAAATCAAATTCTTCACTCCTACAACTATTATGAACAAAAGACGACTCATAAATGACTTATAAATTAAAATTATAATCTTCATTACGTTAGATCTTTTCTTCATCTCAATTAGGATTTCCAATTAAATAATTTTATACATTAAATCAATATCAAATATAATTTAAATACTCAATTTTAGGGGACTTGCTCTCCTCAAAACTACACCTATTTGCCAAATAGAACATAATAAAATTCAATAATTGTATTCAATTCTAATTATAATCATTAAATTAGTATGTTTTTGCCTCCATATCTTTCTGGAATGGTTTCCTCATCCAAATCTTTCAGAAGTGCTTTCTTAATCTCATTGAAATCTTATCCAACAAAATTAATCTAAAAATATGAACAATCTAACCTTCTCTACAGTTCTAGATGGCAAGAAAGGCTTTAACATAGCATAAAAGCTGCGAGTCAAGAAGTTTGTATTTATTACATAAATTCTAAATTATCTTTCAGGATAATAATTGAAGATTTCTATAAAAGCATTTTTCAATACACTGAAAGAGAAGTTAGCGGGAGCCAGTTTATAACAATCAATAATGACAATAAATTGATCTACATATCCTCTCATACTTTTTTATTAATATTATATATAATACGATCTGATGCCTTCTTCCATCAGACTTTGATGGTATTACAAATAGCCCTATTCAGAGAATCCTTAGTTAGTCTCAAACTTTTCTGGATGTGAATGCATTCCATTAGTTACTAAAATTGGATGTCCCCATCTTGAAAATCCCAATTAAGTATGAACATTTTCATTAGCATACATTTAGTAGTCAGAGGTCTTTCTGGAATTGATTCTATTTTCCTTCCTCCATTGCTATTATAAAATATTGAATTAACATACTAAACATTTCAGTATCATTTTTTCGGTTTCATTAACTTTATAATTTCTTGCAATCAAATACCTGATCATGGCCTAGTCATTCAAAAATAAATGACCTATCTTCTCTTTTAATTCTGCCAGAGCTTTTAATTGTTCTTCATTTTAGTGTATAATTCTATTATGCATATTTTCATATTTCTTTGCAGACACATTAGGTTGTAACTGATTATCTACATATCCTTAGCGATCTTAAGGGGGAAAATGAACATTTTCGCCTTTTGAAAATTCATTTTCTTAATTATCATTATTTGAATGATGGGTTTCAAGCACAATTCTTGATTATGCTATTGGTAAAGCTTCATTATTAATTTAAATCAAAAGCAAATCCAATTCTGTTGATATTATTGACAAATTAATTATTTACTCTTTCACTAATTTTCTAATTATTTTTTCATTTTAGTCTTTTTTTACGACCTGCATATATTAAATGTAACATTTTGAGTCTTCTTCCACTGCATGAATAATTTCCAATATCTTAAATATTGATATGAGTTTTTTCTTAGATTCATTATCAGAATTCTTAACAATGGGAAATTAGCCTTCTTTGACTGATTCTCTTGTCAAGAAAAATGAATTATTCCTTTGGAAATCAAACTATATATATTTAGATTCTAAAATATACATCTTACCTTCATTATTAAAATGCCAAGTGTCTTTATGATATTAATACAAATCAATCTCATGGATATCAGACGATTATTTAAATAAATCCAAAAGTTTTCCACCTTTCTATCTGATTAATATACTATTTTACTTGAATTATTGTGGCCACTTTTTGTAAAGAAGTGTTAAATACATATTCACCCTTTAATACAATATTATTGGAAGATTGAATTGTTGTTAACTTCATTTATTTTAATGATTTCTCAATAACCCACTTATCTTTGCTTAATTCTTGGTAGAGTTATAATTATTTTTACACATATTCTGGGATATTTCTAAGGTAGTTGGACAATTAAATACTTAGTTATATTTGAAATGTCGTTCTTTAAAGATTTTTGTGAATCGATGAGGATCTGATAATTAGAAGAGTGGAGCAGAGCCTCATATTCTGAAATGAGAATCGCTTATTTAATTTTACTAACCCATTCAGCAGCATCATCATAGGTCATTGATATAAATTGCATCATTATTTCTTATTACAAATGTCTGAGTGTGAAAGTATAATAACCATCCTCTTACCAAGTACCATCTACAATGAAACCTGATAAATCGATTCTTTCTTATGGAATATGAGTCTGATTATAAATATGAAATTACTTTGTCGTCTTCAAATATTAGAAATTGAGTGCCTTCCAAATAGAAATATTTAGTAGTTTTTAGTCCAAATATGTGTTTCTGTTATCTTAGCTTATTTTATTAAATTACAGATATCCATTTTTAATTGGCCTTTAATTCATTAATTTTATTAAATTGATGTATAATTTATATTAAAAATGATGAAAGTATTGTGTTTGATCTGCTTAATATATATGGGACAGAGCTTGTCTGTATAGATTAGCTAGAAACCTACATGCTTTTATGTTAAATCATATACAGGAGACACTTATGTTACTGTAAATTATTAGATATCTGGAATTGATGAAAATAAAACAGAAATTACAATAGAATCAGAAAACGGAGATAAATTAGTCAAGAAATAAAATACAAAAGAAGGAGCACTTAAGTAATTCTTAAGAGAAAAGGGCACTTATTATATCTGTTTCAAAAGCTTATCCAAAGGCTATAAGACTGTAAGTTTTGACTTTGACATGGATGGTGTAGATAAAGAATATGCTCAATCAGAACAATTTAGTGAAATGTCAAAAGAGTTGTCAAGAACTAATAGAAACTATTAGGCAATTTACAGAAACTAAAACTGGATTACTGACAGAGAGAATGCTCATTAAATGTGTAAGTATTATAATAAAAGTAGTGTTGGAGTAAACATAATAAAATGTTAAATGGTGTGCTTTAGCTAAAATAGGAATATTATTAACAATAGCTATAACTTAGATTTGTGTTGTGTATTATTTTTTTAAAGGCAAAGATTTTAGTGCAAGTGTTTGATAATTATCGTATTGATAGATACATAATATATTCACTTTTTCTTTTAAACTAGTTTATTTGTTTATTATTATTACTATTAAATAGCCTTTTATTATTGCTGATTTGATCGAGTATACGCAGTAGTATATTGTTGTTATTTGTTAGCTTGTACTTATTGTTTTGGAAAGGGGCTTATCATTTCCTACTAATCCTAATTGTAATTTTCAAGGCATTTGTTAGTATTTCTAATCCTAAAACACATGTTCTTAGATGTTAGGAGTTGTACAAAAAAGAGGAAGATAATCCTAATCAATCTTTTTTTTATCTAAAGCTTTTCTTTCTGACTCATCTTCAAACAGAGTTTCATGCAATTCCCATCTTCTGTCACATGCTATACAAGCACAATAAGAATTAAAATCAGAACATTGGCAATCAGAAAATTGGCATTTCTTGCATCTTAATGGATAATTTGGAAGATGATCTTCTATAAGTTAGACCATTCAACAGGCTTGGATACATAAAAGGAGGAGTTAATGATGTCAAGTTAATGATGTCAAAAAGCATAAGTGGTTTAAAAAAATTAATTGGCAAGAATTAGCTCAAAAAAATATCAAGCCACCATATATACCAAAGATTAAGTATAGGAATATATATATATATAAAGTGGTTTTGGAGATACTTCTAATTATAATTTTTATCCTTAAAGTAATGAGGAGGAGGATATACTCAATTAATTCTAATAATGATACTTTTACTAATTGGTGGATTTGATGTTTAAAATAAATTATTTTATTTAAACTAAAGTTCTTTTAATTTAAATTCTGGAATGCTTTACTAAGAAGTTTATTATTTAATGAGTCATATCATATACTAATGTTTATTTTAAGAACAAGAGTATTATACAATAATTCCAAATTTTCACAGAAGGGAGATAGTTTTGGGCTGACACCAATAATTCGGATCTATTGAACCAGAGTATATTAATAATATTAATAAACCCCAAAAGATACATATTCTTTGGATATTCTTATCTATGGAGGTAGTTTATAAAATAAACAATAAAATTTTGCTTAAATTAAAGATTTCTGATACTTTGAAAAATCTGATTAATCTAACAATTGGAAACTCATATACTGTTACTAATTTAGTAAAAAAGAAACAGGAAACTAATAATTTCATTTTATCTGAATGAATATATAATATTATTTTTATTATTTTAACGAATTCTTGTATGATTGATTAAGAGAGTTTGCTAGCCGAACTAGGATTATTAGATGAAAGGAAATTATTGCTGGAGTTGACAATATAACTTGGATAAAATGAACATGACATCCTATTTCTATATGAAGGAGATGATATTGGTGTTAAGGCTAGTCAATTTTGTGAGAAGCATCATTTAAAGGATGAAATAAAGGAGGTTATTGCTCAAAATATTAAGCTGCATCTGAATGAGAAGGAAAATTATTTTAGTTTCGTAAATTAATCCACTTAGATAAGCAACGTCAACACTAATAAACCACTATAGAATTAAGCAATCAAATAAATTAAAGATGTCAATTAGGAGAAGAAGGAAAATAAGAAAGAAAACCTCAACAAATCGTAGGCGGCAATTAAAAAAACTGATATCTATGATAAATAAGTCAAATAAATGAATAATAAGAACAATGCAATCTAAAAGCAAAGAATTCTTAAAGAAGAAGAAGCAATTAAAGAAGCAACATTCAAACCAAGACTTAATTAAAATACATTAAAATTGTCAGCACTACAAGATAAAACAGAAACAATACTCCAGAATATTATTTGTTGAAATATGGATAATAATTGTAGGAATAAAAAAAAAAGGCAGAATAATAAAATTTAAATGAAACCTCAAGAGAATGTTCTTTCAGACCTGAGATTAACAAAATGTAATTATTGTTGTTTTATGATGAAGCTCTCAAAAAATTTGTGATGAAATTATCAAGAAAGATGTCAGCATGACTAAATTTGATTAATTATATAATTAGGCCAAAAAAAGGAAAGCTAATGATAAATCTTCGACATCTATCATTTAAGAATCTCAAACCCAGTACTCCAAAAGAAGTGTCACACCAAATAAATCTTAAAATAAGCAATATCTACCTTTTTTAGAAAGAATGGAAATTTAGAAAAAGATAAAAGAAGAAAAGTTAAAATAAGAGGTTGAAGAATCTATAATGTATGATGATAAAAGTGGATAAAAACTATTTCAACCGTAGGTCCATAGTGCCAATAGAAACAGAGGTGGACTCAGTATCGGAGAGTACCTTTATCAATAGTAAAAATCCATAAATGATGAATCTATAATACAACTTGAATGTGATGATTTAAGCAAATCAGTCTAAACGGATAGATCTAATTAAATAGTTATATAAATGAGAAGAAAGAAACTAGAAGAGTATTTTAAATTAATGGATTCAGACAATGATGGATTGATTAGTGCCCAAAATATTTATCTCGAAGAATTACCTACAGAAGCCTTAGAACTGTTACAACCAGTTATTTTATAATTAGAAAAGTTGGATATATTTTTGAACACCGAAACATGGACAGCAAAGTGTCTCGATATCATTGAAAAAATGAGTATCTTTGATAAAAATCGCCTATTTTAAAAATAACCAAAATAATAAAAGACATTACCTGATGGTTCCAGTACTTTTAAACCTTAGTTAAATCAAAAATCAGAGATTATTGCAAAATAAAGATAAACTTTTAAAGGCCCAGCAGCCTTATATCAAAAGGCAATGAAAGAAAATATAGTTAAAGAATAAAAAATAAAGCATTTTAAAGAATAGTAAGAATAAAAAGAAGCTAAATAATGCACATTTTAACCAAAAATTAAATTAACCAACAGATCTACTACTAGCACAGGGTTTTATTGATTATTCTTATATTTTGCATAATTTTGTATTTAAAATATTTATAGATGATAGTATAATATTTTATACTAATAAAAAATAGTTGGTAATTTGAGATTTCTAATTAGATCATTTCTAAGTAACTTAATAAATATGAGATCAAAGAGTTAAAGTGCACAAGAAATAGATTTTCCAAAAATGAATATATATTGAAAAATTTCAATATTAAAGTTGTTTTTATATTATATTGTAATTTTTTTAAAATAATCATTACTTAGGAATAATTCATCATCATATATTATTCCATAATTTTAATCAAATATATTAGATTTATGCAATTATGAGTCATCAAATTTAACGTCAAACCATAATAACAACAATATCAATAGAGAGAGACGATCACAATAAGTTACATAATTAGATGGCATAGAGGAATAAGAATACAATAAAAATGAAGATTACAAGAGAATATTATTTGAAGATGCTTGATAATAAAATATAGTTATTAGTCTAATTTGGTTAAAAAGTCTACACTTCTCCAACAGGTATATTTCTGATTCATCATTTTCTAAACCAATAAAAAAATTGAATAGTTTCATATTAATATACTTATTTATACATTCCTAAAAAGATACTAAATATTATTCTCTAATAAAAGTATGAAAAAGAATTAAAAGTTTTATTAATATAAAAATATAACAAAAAGATTTGATTGCAAATTTGAAAGAAAAGACAAAAAATTAAGATCCCTAAAATTTGAGTAATAAATGATTTCCAATTATTTGACAAAAAACCTATTAATCTAGCAGCTCAAATTTTATAATTTAGTAGAAGACTGCATTTGCAAACTAATTATAAGCTTAACTGTTTATACATCATTTTGTTAAAATTTAAAAATAATTAATGATAAAAATTAATGTTATTTAATTTGATTCTAATTGTATTTTGCAATTGATACAATAACTTTAGTAAGTGAGAAAATCTACTAAGGGATGACTAAAAGAGATATTCATTGAAATAATCCATTACTAATCTTATAAAATTAGTCTTTATTTCAGCTTTTTATGATGGAACGCCGATGATTCAATTAGATAGATACTTTTTCTGCCTAAATGCAACATCAAATTCTAATAAAAAGAGATATAACAAATACACATTCAAATAGCTAAATGTAGACCTTTGGATACCAACATTGTGTCCGTTTGATTAATGATCCATCTTCCTAAATAAATTTGGTAATTTTAATGAATAGGCTATCTGAATATTTAAAAAATCATATATTCTAGTCTTTTAACGAATAGAATTATGAGATTAAAGAATAAATTGAACTCTAAATAATATGGTAAATGATATTCTTTCATGATCTTTAATTGATTATTAGTAATAATCCTAATTTTGGGTATATAAATTTGTTGCTTAAAATTAATAAAATTATTGTAATGAAATTTTTTTAAGTAAAAATTTATGGTAAATAGAAATTCAAGTATAACCTAATATATATGTTGATCAAATAAATGTAATATTCTTATCATCTTTTAAATCCTCCTCTTCCATAGCCTCCTCTATCATAGCCTCCTCTTTATTATCCACCTCCTCTACTAAATCCACCTCCTCTTGGGCCTCCTCTACTAAAACCACCACCTCTAGGGGCTCCTCCTCTTCCTCCTCTACTAAAACCGCCTCCTCTTGGTCCTCCTCTACCACCGCCTCTTGATCCTCCTCTGCTTATTCCTGGTGCACCTTTAGGCCTGGGTAAAAATCTATCCATAGGCATGCAATCATAGGCATCCATATAAATCAATTGATCTTATTTAAACTTTGATTAAATGTTTTGAGTACTGATTTTGGAGCGATTCCTTCTTCAAGGTTTACTGAGAATAAGTAATTTTCAATTGGACCAAATATTTCATCAACTTTACCGATTGGTTGCTTATTTTCAAAATACACACTTCTAAAGAATCTTGGAACCTTAATAATAAATAGGCTTTAATACAAGTTCTTTTCCTAATGCCTTAACAATAATTTGATTTCCACAAACATGTGAAAAAGTAGCGAATGGTTCAACTTTTGCTGGGGGGCCTTATGGTTATTGAGGTCTTCCTCCTCTTCCGCCTCCTCTTCCAAAACTGCCACCTCTGGGGGCACCTCTTCCTCCACCTCTGCTATTGAAATCACCTCTGCCCATAATTTAATTTTAATATATATATTTTTATTCATAATTCAATCTACTCATATCAGTTTTATGGTGATTCGCTTATACTTAGGAAAATTAGAAACACAAAAAAATATATTGCCAAAGGCAATATCAATATAATAATAGGCAAAAATAAAAAAAAAAAGTACTTGAAAATTTAATCCATTATAACCAGCAAGACCTTTACATTCACAAAACTAACAAGCTAATATTACAACAAATTTTGCATAGATGTTTAACATTTGCTTAGAAAAAGGTAAATGAGAAATTAGATAGTGAATGCCTATCAGGTATAGAAACATTTCATCTGTTCTTGAATTTTCTCTTTAGATCTCACCTCAATTCTCCAATTTTTGAGACTTAAAAACCCTATCCACTAAAAGGCATCTTAGAATTCAATACTGATTGTATAAATGTGTTAGATAATTCCATAATATTTAATTACACAATTTCTTAAAAATGTAAACTAGGAACTAATCTACACATAAAGGCAATACTCATAAATATCAATTCATTATTTTAAAAATTACCATTGATTATCAAAATTTTGAATTAATATAATATAGACTTCTACTAGCATAAAATTTTCATATTAATTTTAGGTTTGTGTTACTTCTGCTGCATAGCTATTTATTTAACGTTTTAAGCAATAATTCTAAAATAAATTATGCAAAAGCAAAACTTGCTTTCTAATAGGTTATTATTAGGTTTTTTATCAAGAGTATAAAACTAAAAACTCTTAAATATATTAATAAAGATACCATTTTCCCTTAAATCGGAATATTGTAGAGCAATTAAATCATCGTAAGATTTAGTCTTAATTGACAAGCCAAAACTGAAACCAATCCAACAATAATAAGATTGATGTTGAAATTTTTAGTAAAGTTTCTAATATAAGGTAAAAGGAATCAAGCCTATTACCCATAATTCCTTAAAATTCATTTGAAATTTGACACATAATGTAGGCATAATCTTTTTTAGTAATAAGTATGATGAGTATTGTTATTATATACAATAATCCAATTATAAATATTGATAAATAAGGAATCTATTAGCAATTATTTTTGCTATTATTTTTTGGTACTTTGAAACACTTCTTTATTCTTCAGCAAAAAAGATTAGCCTCAATAATTTGAAATAAAACTATATATATGACTTAATTGATTCTTTTTATTTTTACAATGGTTAAAATAAGAAACTTAATGTTTATCATCCTCTATTGAGAAGAATTGAAATTATTAAATTATAGCAAGATAATATAATGAATCACTATTAGATTTACGATTTGGGACATCAGTGGTAAGCTTATGTTAGAATTGAAGTTTTTGTTTTGGATTGATCTGGGTTGGTTTTTGACTGACCATCTGATTGCTTAATATTTGGTTAAATTTCCTCACATGAGCTCTCGTAATCGCTTAGATTTATTTCTTATAATTATTGTGATTTAGGGGCTATTTTTTCAAGAAATTGACTTAATTTATTGTTAAGCAATTATTTGAGTTTTTTATTATCAATTTTGAGAGACTTGTTATATTTCTTATTGCGGTATTGATTTTCAAATTCTTCAATCTCGGATAATACATTCTTTAGATTTGTTAAAGGTTCCCAAGTATTTTCGGCTTCATTATAACCTTCCCATTTAATGCAATATTATAATTCTTTTGAAAGGGGATCATATCGTTTGTCCACAATTTTTTCGACAATATATAAATTGGAGTTTTGTTTCTTTTTTTGACGGTGTTTCATTTATATTTAAAATATATAGATATTTGTGATTTAAATCTCATTTATCTTGAATAGCAATCATTTCTTCTTTGATAGTTGGATATTCCTTGGGAAGCCACTCTTCTAATTCAACACTCAAATCCCCTTGTAGTTCAAGAGCTCCTTTTTCATTGATTGAGGAACCGCAACCAAACTTTTTACTAATTTTTTTCGAAGTTTCCTTGAGATCAAGACCTTGGATATACTGATTAAATACCATGTTTTTCTAGTCCTGACAAGGTTGTAATGAATTTGTTTTTGTTTCTCTCTTTAACTTTTATATAAATCATTTCGCTTTCAGGTACCTTGCCATTTTTCCTCCTCTTTTTTAGTGGAGGTTAAACTAATGGTATTTTTTAGGCCATATGCTATTGTATTAATTAGAGAGTAGCTTCTTTTTCCAAATCTATTTTAAGATCTTCAGGGTATAAAATTGCATAAAGTTCTTTAAAGGTTATCTTTAGCCATTGTTTGCATTCTCTAGGAGTTTTGGAAAATGAACAAAATTCAACAGGGTAAGTACATATTCTGCAATAGATGACTAATTTAGGATGTTTTGGATTGTGCAATTATTATTCTGTTTGATTAAATTCTTGTTTGAGTTATTTTTATTGTTAGAGTAATTCTTATTATTGCTGTTGCTTTTGTTGTTGTTCTATTTTCATTTTGCTTGGCTTCTTCTTTTTAAAAATATCATCATCTGAATCACTCATAGTTGTTCAATTATTTAAAAATAAATTAAAGATTTTAATTATTATTTGAAATGACCAAAAAAACAAAGAAGGTTGGAATTACAGGAAAATATGGTACCAGATATGGTGCATCTTTAAGAAAGATTATCAAGAAGTTCGAAATTTCACAACATCAAAGATATTTCAACACTTTTACTGGAGCTGTAATATTTATTATAACATTTTAGCATTCACTCAAGAGATAAGCTATTGGTATTTGGAGATGCACACAAACTGGATTACAAATTGCTGGTGGTGCTTGGGAAGTCAAGTAATACGTTATTTCATCCATTAGTACTCCTGCTGGATTATCTGCAAAATAAGGCATGTTGAGAATCAAGAAATTGAAGGAAGACGCTGAAGTCGAAGTCAAGGATGAGAAGAAAGAATAAAAGAAGCAATAACCAAAAGAGTAAAAGGAATAAACCAAAGAACAAACCAAGGAACACACCAAAAAAACACAACCAAAAAAATAACAAGCAAAGAAACAATGAGTATATTAATCAAATATAATAATAATTAAAATATGAATAAATTAATATCTACTGTTGTGAAGAGTATGCAATCACAGGCTCCTCTCTATGCTTATCACTTCCCAAACGGTTCTGTCTATAACAATGTACTTGATATTCTAACTTCTAGCCAGCCGTAACTGCTAAGAGAATCATTAAGGTCGTGGGTGAAAGATTAAGAAAAATAGATCCAGAAAGAGTAAACTTTGATTCAATTATCTTTATAGTGGGAGTCCACCCCAATCACATTTAATACTAATTGGAATGATGCAGCAGGATATGTTGATGTTGCTACTTGCATTCACATTCATGACGCTCTTGAAAAGGAATTCGGCATTGAAATCAAGGACAGAGCCTTCCTTGTTTCCAGCATTGAAACTGCATTTTACATCGTAAACATTCATCACGATAGTCATTGAGATATATCGAAAATATAAATAATATTTAAAACATTATTTTAATTTATGTCATAATAACTATTTAAGGTGTATTTGCAATCCATTTCACACACTTTTAAAGACTTACCTAAAGGAAACTTTTATTGGAGATTTCATAAACGAGATATCAACAGGATTATTACTACTCCTTGCCCAGTAGATTCACCAACCAAAGAAACAGATATATAATTGTTTAAGGAATTAAGAGCATAAATTGGAGTCAGAGAAGACTTTGTTTGTCCTCAATGTCCACATCATGCAAAATGTTAGAAGGCATTTTAATAAACAGATGGAGGTAATATGTAAACATTGTAATTACCACATCTTTCCAAGTTTTTAGAAACCATTAGTACTCATGAAATGAACCTGTAAAATTATTTTATTTATTTATTAGACAAAATGATTAAAAAAGCTTTTGGTTGTCGAGTACAAGAGTCTTAGACACATTTCATTCCATTCTAATAGATTTTTAACTTAATCAAAATAAACTCAATGAATAATTTTTGAGTGATATTGCTTAAGTTTCTGAAAATGAATCTATTCATTAGTAAGAACCCAACAAAAAAACAGATAAATATACAAAAAAGGCTGATTTTTTAGATGATTAAAATACTCAACCAAAAAAAGAAGGTAGAAGATAAGAAAATGAAGATTATGAAAATAATAATAAAAATTATGGTAGAAGATCATATGAAAATTCAGAAAATAAATACGATAAATTTAATAAATATGAAAGAGGTGGTGATAAATATAATTCTAAATTTGATAGATCAGAACAATACAATAGAAAGGATAGATTTGATAAATATGATAATTCATAAAAGTATGATCGTTAGTTTGATTCAGATAAATACAATGATTCAGGTAAATATGATAAATATGCAAATAAATATGACAGATATGATAACAAAGAGAGATATAATAGAAAAGAGAGACCTTAAAGATATGATAGAGAAGCAAATGGAGATTAATAATATAGAGAAAATAAAAGTTTTGATAAATATGAAGATAGAAGTCAAAGATATGAAAGAAGAGATAAATTTGATAAATATGATAAATATGATAAGTATGATAAAGGTGATAAATATGATAAGTATGATAAAGGTGATAAATATGAGAAAAGTGATAAATTTGATAAATATGAGAAAAGTGATAAAGCATTCAAAGGAGATAGATTTGATAGAAGAAATACTGATTTTAGTGAAGAAAACAATGAAGCACCAAGAAATTATAAAGGTAGAAAGGATGATTTTTCAAAAAATTTTGAGAAAAATGATAAATAGCATTATGAAAATGATCGATTTTTAAAATAAAATAAATATGCAAAAGTTAAAGATGAGGACGATTTCAATACATTTGTTAAATAAAGAGAACAATATTTGAAAGAAAAGTCGGATAATTTTGAAGGAGAAAGAAAATCAAATTAGAAATAACAAGATACAAAGAGGGTCTAATAAGAGGATTAATCAACTTCAAATGAAAACTATGAGGAGGAATAACCATAAGGCAGAAAAGTTAAAAGGAGTACGAAATTTAAAATGTAGTGATTTGAAATATTGTATATTATTAAGAATAAATGTATCAAATATTTAAAATATGTAAAATAGATATATGCTAGGTAACATAACAGATATAGACTGATTAAAATCATTTATAAATTTATATGGAATCTAAATTTTATATAATTGTTGTATCTGTTTTGTTTTCTAAACGTAAATATCTATTCTTTAAGATTATTCTATCAGAAATTTGAGGAGTATACAAAAAAAAAGTAGAATAAAACAATAATATTTATGAAATAATAATTTTTACGAATAAACCTCTAAGACTCACTACAAGAAGTATCTTGTGTAACACTAGAAAATATGGTAGATATGCTCAGGGATCCAGATTTTAGATAGGAGTGTGAATTATGCAAATAAGATAATAAATTAATATAGAAGTTCCCTTTGGTTGGTTTTGGTATAACCATTAAGAGAATTAAAAAAGGCTCATCAACTAAAATAAAGGTAACTTAGTTTTCCAAAATAGAAAAAATAATTGATACCACATTTTTTTATTAAAACTATTTCTTAACAAAAAAAGATTATCCAAACTGTGTCTTACCATTATTGTCATCCAAAGAAGGGAATGATCAATTATTAAATTGTGAGCTCTTTAAAAGAAAGATTTCTTACTTAGTACATCAGCAATTTGATTGTTACTAAGAAGACACATATTTGGAATTAATTTAAGCTAGCATTTACCACATAATTAAGAAAAATGGTAACTAAACTTGGGGGAAGAAAATTTTAATGCTTTCATTTGAAACTTGTAAATAAGTCTTTATTAATACCCCTTTATTTTACAATTCACTTCAAAGTTTGGAATAGAAGAAATCTAAGTTTTAGTTACTTAATTTAATATGTTTATTTTATATGGGTTAGACTAAAACTGAACAAATTTTTGATTATTATATTCGACCAAATTTTTCAAAAAATTATTAAAAACCAAATGAAGAATTTATTTAACCTTTCTTTAATACATTAAAATTTGAAAATTTCGATTTAATTTATTAGAATATTTAGCAGTTTATTAATAATTATTTAGTAGAAAATAATTATTTCATTTTAAATTTTAATTTCAACTAATTTTTATTAAGACTTATAGAATTTATGATTCCAAAAGATGAGTAATGGGTAAATATCTAAAGACTTGAATGCATTAAAAATCAGGAGTCAGATATCAGGGAATATAAATATTATACCATCTCAAGTATCTATCAAAATTTATTAACCAACCTATTTGAAGATTATAACGAGGAAAAGAAATGTAAGTATTTTGAGTCCTTCTCTAAACACTTTGAGGAGGATGAATATTCATACTAACTTTTTCTCATCTATCATGATATATATCATGAAATCTATGAAATATATGGTTTATACAAAAAATCTTAAAATTAATTTTAAATAGATAGCATTTTTGTGGAAAGGTATTAGGCTATAACTATTCGTTTCATTGTTAAAAAAATATCCATAGACTCAATTAAAAGAAAAAATCCTACAAGTATTTTGGACTTATCATCTTATGAGGAATTTAATAAAACTCTTACCTATTTAGATGTATTTAAGAAAATATATAACCTATAAGAGTCATAAGCAGAAGAACTCCATAGCTCAATAATTGAAGAAATTAAAAATTTGACTTGGTTGAATTTGTTATCTTCCCTAACAAATTTTAAAGAATAAGATCAGATCATATTATTCTTGTAAAAATTTCTGTCTCATTTAAAAACTTGGGCATCAATCCAAAATTAAGAGGAATGCGCAGGAAATTTAAATGATATTAGCAGATTTAGTTTTTTATTAATCCAAAGGACAAGAATGTTAAGGATTGTTTGGCTTATTAACTAATAAGGATTATAAGACCTTTTGAGATAAACAAATAAATAAAATGAGTTCTTTTGTAGAAGAATATTTGAATTGAGTAAAACTCTTTGAATAATGATTTGTTAATAATTTTCATCTCCATAATATTTTTCTTATCACTCAAAAGGATACATACATTAGTTTTATTCAAATTAACATTTGATTGATATAAAAATTTCCAATTGTTTTAAGAGTTATTCTAGTTCCTTCATATGAATTCTGATTTTAAGTTCTTTTTTTTGTTTTTGGATGGAGTCTCTTTGCCATCAACCTATTTAATTACTAATATAAACATTGCATCAGATGTTTAGCTGATAAAGTAAACTATTTAAAAAAAATTATAGAATATAATATTTCAGACATATACCTAAAAAAAGTGTGTTTAATATCTGCACTATACTTTGAAGAATCATAAAACCTATAAAATAATTGTAAAAGAATCAACAAGAAAAAATAAAAAAAACCATTATAAAATCATTTGATATCCAATTTCAATTTAAAATCCTAAAATATTTATTCAGCCTATTGATCTTATTCATTAATATGCGATAATATCTAATAAATTTAATAAATAAACTACTCCTTTTGATGCTTTTTTGAGTTATTCGAGCTTTTTCGTATTGGACATCAAAATTTAAATTTAATTTTATCTCTTTATAATCTCTAGTTAAAATTCTGGATCATTTTATTGAGTTTCCTCAAATTCTTTTTATCTTTTTTATTATAACCTTACAAGTTGTTTAACATTAAAAAGCATGTCAAAACTTCTAATTGGTTACTTGGTTGTGTAGGCTTGAAAATTTGGTTATTTGTTGATTAATTTTCGAGCTTTTGAATTAGTGATTGTAGTTGTATCTATTTTATGTTGATTAATTTTATCTTAGATTATTTGAGATTCACATTTTTCAATGGAATGCATTTATGGAAGTGTGAAATTACTCATTATATGTTTTTACACTTGTCTAATTGACTTCCTATTTTCAGGAAAATTATTAATTTTTATCTTAAAGTCTTTATGAGTTTGGTCTTAACTAAGTTTTCTTTTTTTGAGTTCATCATCTAAATGTTTTTTATTACAAAAATCAATGAATTGAATAATTTTTGGAACTGTTATGATTGTGTGAATTTAGGTTTTAACAATTTCAGAAATGTCACTTTGTTCTGATTTGAATTTGGGATAACAAGCATTCCTAAGATTGATAGGCTCACTTTTATCACAAATTTAATAATCTATGGTTGATATTTGTTTCTTCTAATTAACTATTGAAAATACTGCATCTTAGACTGCCGTGGCACAACTTTTGTTCCTTAAACTAGACAACTTTTGATTTCTGAATGAAGATGCTGTTGTCATAAAACTAGGAACTTATACATTTGAGGGTCTTTAAGCATTATAGAGTAGGAAATCCTTTTCCGGAGAGAACATGTATATATAAACTTATTATTTTTATTTTAAGAAATGAATATTTTGATCATAGAGAATTTTTCACTAACTAAATAATAATTCAAAGAATTTGATACGGACCTATTCCTACTTCTGCTTTACAGTGTGGACATTAATGAATTGCATCTTGGCATTCATCTACACAGCATGGAATCCAAAAGCAAAATATTCTATATTAATCAAAATTGCCTTTACGTCGTTAGCAAAAAGAGCAAATAACCAACCATTATTGTGGCTGCTCCAACCTCACGAATAATAACAGTCGTTCCTTGTTGTTTGCATTAAGGGCAAACTACTGTTATTGGTACTCTTTTCATGTTAGCATGATAATTGACGCTAATTAATGATCTAGAGAATAATAAGGAATAGAAATTACTATGATTATCTATCATCTGAATCTATAGTGATTTGGGCCTCATCAATGACAGGAGCAATTATTGTCGATGAATTATCTTAATCAGTTTACATAATTATTAAAAATTTAATTAATGAAAAAAAAAGTGATTGATGCACTGAAAGATGATAAATACATGTTTAACCCAGCTCCTACATATAAAAATGAAAAGGGTACAGAAGACAAGCTAAAGAAGAAGAAACTAAGAGAAAAAAAACAACTCTAAAGAAGAGCTTAATTAGCTGAGTATATATCTAGTGATGATGATGGACCTTAAAAGAAGTAGCCAATCCTAGATCAAGATGATTATGGTGCATTAGGAGATTTAGATTAAGATATATTGGGTTATTTTTAAATGAAAAGCTAAAAAATACTTAATATGACATAAAAAATACCTGATTAAGTATGATTGATTTTGCTTATATATTAGATTTTTGATGTAGGATCTTTGCATCTAGGGTGTATTTCATCCATTGGTCCCAACGGAGCTTATTTGATAATCAATTTTACAAGAAATAAGAAAGGATTTGTGGATTAGCATAATCTCAGAGATAGAAAGGGTGTGAACGGAGGGGATTACAAGGTAGGAGAATATGTAATCACTAAAGTGATAGAAGAACAGAAGAGCAACAAAGTTTAATTGAGTTTGCATCCAAATGTCATAAACGATCAATTAAGTGTAAATTAATTAGTGGTTGGTATGTAAATACCTGGTATAGCCTAAACTTGGAATGAGTTTGGAACCACAATTAATTTCGGATCTTAATAATTTAGTGGGTTTATTAATGAGAAGAAACTCAAGTGTGGAAGGGTTTATCTCTTTAACATTAAAGAAGTAGATTAAAAAGAGAAAATTGCAATTTGTGATTTTGAATAGAGGGATGTTTAACTATAAAATAAAAAACAGATCTCGAAGCATCTGCTCACTCCTGGAAATATTTGGAAATGCAATACTGCTAAATCCATTACAGGCGGATAAATTGTTAAGCTCAATAAATTTGGTGTCTTAGGATATATATTTTAAGATTATTAGGTTGAATAAGAAAAAAATATATTATGTAGAATAATTGGATTTGATGAGCCATCAAGATAAATCTACTTATCAAGCAAATAAGAGCACATTGATAATACTACCTACATTCCTCCTTATGAAGTAGGTTAATAATATTAAGGTGTTGTGATTAATCAATAATTATATTCTGGGGCTTACCTTGTGAATGCCATCTTAAATGACGATTAAGCACAAACTAAAAAAAGCAAGAAAGCTGTAAAGGCTAAATAACCTAATTTGGGACCGATTTGCATGTTAAACAAAACTTAGATTCCTGCTGATTAGGAAATTGTTGATCACATTTAGAGAACTTGCATTATCAAAGAGATAAATTATTTTGATCATGTTGGCTTTGTATCATTTGAAGTAAATTCAAAACCTAAATTAAGTGATTTGAATGTTGGTGCTATTGTTAAAGGAGTCGTTAAGTAAGTTCTACTTAAAGAAGATTCATACAATGTTTTATTGAACATTAATGACAATTTTCATGCTATATTACCATCGCTCTAGATGTCAGATTATCCATTGGCCAATCCACCTAAATTTAGAGTAGGCAGCAAATTAAGAGTCAGAATTTTATAAATTGATGAATAACATAACAATATCATAGTAACTATGAAACCCACTTTATTAACTGACATTAAAGTATTTAAAACATTAGATGATGTTAATGTGGGTGACACATTATATGGATTTACAATTAAAAAATTAGAAAATGGAATCCTAGTCAAATTCTTTTAGAATATTGTTGGGTTTCTGTCTAATTTGAGTCTTGATGGATAAAACCCTGATGATATTAAAGATGGTCAAATCATTAAAGTATATGTTAAGTATGTAAATTAAAGTGAAAATAAATTGCTACTTTCATTAAAAAAAATAGATCCAAAATAAAAGCAAGTTAATGAGGGATAAACTCAAAATGTTGTATTAACAAAGCATATTAAGACTAAATTAAATTTAGGTGAAAAGGTGCAATGTGTTGTGAGTGCAATAAAGAATAATGTAGTTTATGTGAATCTCAAGGATGGAAAATTTGGTCGAATTCATAAAGCCTTTTTTGAGTGTTACAGAAATGAGGATAGGTTGTTCAAATTACAAAGTGAATTTGAAAATCTCAATGTAGGTTCTCAATTAAATGCTTAAATCATAGGAGAAAACAAAGAAAATAACAAATAAATCTTTGATTTGACATGTTTATCCGATCATGTTGAATTAGAAAAAGATGTATAGAAAGATAACAACAAAATTGTTTATGGTATCATAAAGCATATTAAGAGTGACTCAAAATCACCCTTAGTTGTCCAAATCTATTACAATTATAATGTATTTATTGATGGTTGGGATGTAAATGTTGAACAACCTGAAATTTTGAATAGTTTAGAATAGTATATCCAGTAAGGGCATCCAGTAAAAGTTAAATTATATGAATTTGATAAATAGTTGAAAGGTATTATCATTACAGATGAGGAACAACTACAGTAATAATAATAAAATATTAATGAAATTCTATATACAAAACAAATCTATAGAATTCTAAGTCATCATGATTCATATATAAGAGTGCAATTAAAAAATAGATAGTTTGCGTCCATTGATATAACGGAATTGTAAGAATTATGGGAATTGAATTTGTTTGAATAGTTCCCAGTAGGAAGATGGGGAGTGTGTAGAGTAATAGCAAAAGATAAGGCTTATTGGGCTAGTGCCAGAGAAACATTTCTAAATGATAAATTATGGAATAAATGTTTGCATCCTGTTAAAAGTAACACCATTTCTTATCAAAAAATGATACTCTCTCTGAAATACGATGTCAGAACTTAGTTATACAAAAAGACTCCTTTGTCTGTAGGCTAAGTGGCTATGGGGTATGTTACAGGAAGTACATATAATGGCACTTTTGTTAAGTTAAATTATGAAACAACTTGTTTAATTAGAGGGTTCAAGACTGATATTAAGTATAGACCTATAGTTTTAATGATTACTCAATTAAGCAAATTATAAGGAACCGTAGATTTGAACTTGCTTAAATATAAATTAGATGATAAATAAATTAGAATTGGAGATGTAGTATAGGGTTTGATTGTAAACATTAGAAATGAGAAGGCAGCAGTGAAGATTTTGGGTACTCTTTAATAGGGAGAATTAGATAAGAAAGATGCTGAAGGATTGGAAGGTGAAGATGGTTGGTGGGCAAATAAATTATTTAAGATCGGATAATAAATAGAATGTCTGGTGATTGGACAAAGATAGAATAAAAATAATTAGACAGTTCTTAGATTAAGCAATATTCAAGAGTTGATTAATACTGAAGGAAAGAGAAAAATTGAGTTAGGGGACATTCAATAGGATGTTATAGATTTGCATTAGAGTTTTGAAGAAATGGTCAAGGAACACTAAATTAAAAACAATGTAATAGTAGAATAACAGAATTAAAATAGAGAAATAGAGGAGGAAATCGAATAAGAAGTTAATGAAGGAGAAGCTAATGGAGAGTTAGAAGAGTAGGAGGATGAAGAAGAGTAAGAAGATCATAAGGACTAAGAGATTGAAGAAGAAAATGATTAAGAAGAAATTAGAGAGGAAGTTTAAAATTTAGAATCAAGAGCTGAATATGAGAAGTAATAATAATGTATTTATTTATTTAGGAAAATATTAACAAATCCTAATTCCTCTGTTATTTGGATTGAATTTGTGGCTTATGCAGCTGAAAATGAAGGAATTGAGAGTGCTAGAAATGTCATTGAAAGAGCCTTAAGAGTTATCAATTTCAGCAATGAATTAGAACGATTAAATTTATGGACAGCATACTTAAATTTGGAATTCAATTTTGGATCAGAAGATAATTTAATTAATATCTTTAAGAGAGGCTGTTAAAATTGTGATGGAAAGAAACTACATATAAAGTTGATAAATATCTACAGAAAGGCTGAAAAAGTCGATCTAACAGTTGAATTATCAAGAGTATTTTTGCATATTTACCTTTTAGTCTTTTGTCCAAAAGTACAAATAAAGTTGCAAGAGTTGGATGGAATTTCTGTAGAGTCTGATGGAATGGTAAAAAGTACACGATGATGAAAATCCTTAATATTCCTTTAAGGATACATTAAATAGAGCTATGTAGTGTTTGAAAAAATCAAAATAAGTAAAACTCTTATCCTTTTATGGTCGATTGCAATTTTAGAATAATTAAATTGAAGAAGGAAAAACTACATATGAAACTATTTTGGATAAAAATTCTACAAGGTATTAAATAGAGGAATATTTAGGACTGACATATGGTCATAATACTTGGATTTAGTGATTAAATATTGTTAACCTGATGTGGTTCGATCAATATTTTAAAAAGCTATTCACAATAACAAGAAACCAAGAAAGATCAAATTTTTATTTAAGAAATAATTAGAATATGAAAAACTAATATGGAGATAGTGCAACCATTATAGGAAAGTAAAGGAGTAAGCAGAACACTGGGGTTTCATAATTTATGTAAAAGGATGTATAACAAGAAGAAGAAGAGGATTCAGATTTGATTTAGTAATGTATGTTTATAATTCATATTATATAAAATTTAATAACTTTTTTGAATTGAACACTTATGTGTTTATGTTCTTTTATTATAATTCAAGTTAATGATTTTGTATAAAAGATGCTGGTCCTTTAGAATACTAAATGGCAACTGCTTTTTAAATCAAAATACTATAAAATATTCTTATAAATTTGATGAAAACTCTTTTAAGTAATATCTATAGTTTAATAACATAACCTAATTTAACGTCTATTATTAGGATTTTTTTCTAAAAATTAATTTGTATAAGTAGGACAAAATATTTGTTTCAATTTATATTACATTTATTTTTGACTCTTAAACAAATAAAATTAATTATTTTATACTTATTTGAGCATTGACTAAAATTTGTGTAATTCTTAAATGAAATATATTTAGATTTGATTTAATTACTTTTATCATTTAAACAAAGAATTACTTAAGAAGTTTTAATTATTTCTTTTACAGAAATGTGAACAAGAATTGAAAGATTTATTAATATATATAAATATATTCATTGAATGATTGATGGTATTTCAAAATATTTTGCAAACATCATTTTGGGATTAACCATTTTTCCATTTAATTTTTTCTTCAACTGTTATAAATTCCTGTCCCTTCTTTTTCACAATTTTACCTACTCCATGTTTTTCATCTCTTTCAAATTGACCATCATAACTAAAATATATATATTGAATACTAAAGATCTGAAATCAAAAATTCTCTTCCATTTCCTTATTTCATTCCATTTTCAAAGTTTCCATTATATATTTCAATACCATTTTATAAAATTATTCCTATTCCATCAAGTTGTCCATTTTTCCATATTCCATCTTTGATAATTCCATTTTCTATTAACTTTCCTTTTCCAGAATATTAAAAATTATTATTAATCTAACCTTCATATTAATTTCTTGAGTCAGAATACCTCACTATTATACTAGAGTTTTATTCCAACTTATTATCTCTTATTTCAATATCTTCGAATATAATCTAATCTCTTTAATTAACAACAACTGTAAATTTGTACTTTCCATTATTTTATTTTTTAAGTGACCATTAATTTATATTATCATCGTATGTTTCAACTCCTAATTGTGTTCTTTTAAGTTAATAACTAAACTTATTCTGACTATCTGGGAAAAATTTTAATAAATTAAAATCAAAGAGAGTTTAATTTTAGTAATTCTTAATCGAATCTCCTTCTTGTTTTTCTTAGCTTGAGACTTAAACTGTAATTGTTGCACTAGGTTCTTTAATTAAAACTTATCCATATATCTAAATTTATGATAATTCAATACGTCTCCATTTTGATTCAAATTTGCCTTGACGTTGGTTGCATCACGATATTAATTTAGGATATTACTTTGCATAGGACTTATACCTTAAGTGAATCTAATTGGAATAAGGTTGAGCATAAAATTAGTTTCTATATCTTGCAAGCTTATTTTAATATCATAAAATCCAAGATGACAAATCTTGCTTAAGGTATTTCTGAATTCATCTAAAGAATTATTCAATTTCTTATTTGCTAAATCTACTAGTCCTAAATTAATAAAATCTTATTAAGCCAGCATTTATATTTCTGTTGTGTTGAGTTAAGCCTTTTAAATATTTTGATTAATTTGTTCATTATTCGTAATTACCCAATTTTGGTATTTTTTAAACCGAGCAAGCATTTAGTCCTTTTATTTCTATAATTCATTATCTATTTTTTAATATTGATCATTTAAATTTGTCTAAATTTATCTATTTCTCTTCAAAATTCTTTCTAATTCTTATTTCTATGAATCCATCCTGTTTTCAATATCTAATTCAGTAATATATTGATATTTTATATGATAATTTTATTCAAATGACAGTAATAAATTATTCGTATCAAAATTTTTAAAAATAGTTTAAAGATCTGGAATTTAATATAATTATTAACCCAAAAGATGTTCTGAAAATATTAAATTCTCTATATTAAGAGCTATCTAAATTATCTTATTTTTTAACTCATTTAATTAATTTGACTTATTCTTAATAGATTCTTTTCTTAATTCGTTTATTTTTTATCTCTACTTCTCTATTGTTTTCTAAGCATCTTATTAATTTAAATTTGATAATTAAGGCACAAAATTATCTATCTATTATAATGAATTCCTAAATGATCCTTAGATATTTTCCAAATGGCTTTAAATCACTGCTTTAAATTCTCCGAATAATAATTCAATTTTTTGTTATAAATAATTATTCAGTTATCCTTTTTCCTACGTGCATTTCTGCTAAAATTATTATTATCGCTATTAAAATTCTGAATCCCTTTATTACGTATTAGAATTATTATTCTATCTATAACATTACTTACACATAAATCTACATTATTAACTCAAATAATCATAGCAAACTACTTCTATCATATAATCATTATGTTGTTAGCAAAATACAAAAGGAAGTTCAACTTGTTCCATCTTATAATATTTTATTTATATATATTTAGAAATTAAAGATGTTTTATAAAAATATATCACAAATCTATCTGATTAATAATATCATTGTATTTCCTAAACTTAAAACAAATAGAAAAGTTCGATATTATAACTTAAATTTATTCATCTGCAGTTTAAAGTATGTTTTCATTTAGTTATTTAATAATATTGTTCAAGTAAATTTTAATTACAACCCTCTCAATTCTAGACATCATTATTTTTGATACAACAAGAATGAACTCTGCTACTAATTTTTATATTAAATAAACTATTTCATTTCATAAATTCATCTAATATTTAAATTCAAAATCTTAGACATATTAAATTCACATGTGTAAATAAAAATAACCTATTGGATCATTATTAATATAAATTACAACTATCATAAATAGTCCCTTGTGTATTTTTAATATTTCAGAAGATTCAGCATTAAATAGTATTAATTTTTCAAATACTTTAATATTAATAATTAAGAGATCAATTTTATAGTTATTATCGTTTGTTATAATTGGTTCCTATCAACTTTCTTCCACAATATTGAAAATGTTATACAAAGTTTTTTGATAATTACTTTATGGGTTTAAAAAACTACTTGACTCTTTCTTTCATGCTATGATTGTGTTTTTTTTCTACTATCAAGAATTTTTGGAAAGACAATAAATCAGTACTTTTTTAAGATTCAAAAGATGAAACAATCCCATTAAGATATGATACTAATTAAATGATAATAAACTGTTCTAAATAAACATTGACTGGCAAATGTTTTTCATAAAATATCCAAACAAGAATATAGGTAAATTATTGAATATCATCAAATGAGTATCTAAACAAACAATTAAAAATCGAATTTTGAGTGAATTCCTATAAGTCAACTCTAAACATTCAAATGTATAAATTGAACAACAAAATTCATTTTGAAAAGGTCTGCCCAATAATCCTGACTAGTTAATTTCTTCCTAAATGATCTCTTAATTGATGTATATTGTAGAATAATTCTTTTGTTTAAATTGAATCAAATTTCGTAAAATAACAGTCTCAGACCATGTTTCAAGCAAGATATAGTTGTTCCTGATGCTTTGTTATTAAGAATTGAATATTGCTTAGCGAATTTAGTATCATCCATAAAATAATCATTTTTAAGTTCATTATAAATTTAACAGAATAATAGAACAATATTAGATGAAGTTTGAACATAAGAAGAAATTCTCTGTGCATTTAGATATTTCATAACTTAAATCAAATTCTTATTTAAACTATCCTCTATCTACTAAAAGAAAGATTGATAATCCCTAATCAACTAGAAAATTGGACACTTCACCCAAGAGTGTAAGTCCCAATAATTCTTTTTTGTCTTCTGAAAGAAAATTATAATAAAAATACCCAATAAGCAACAGCAAAACTAATTCGCTCAAAAGCATGCTCCAACCCTATAAAATTAGGTCGCCATCAGACAAAGAAAATCATCACAGTTTTTTAAGCAACAGAAGCCAATTAAATAAGCTTCCTCTCTCAACTGAATAATTCCTTAAGTTATACAATTTAACAAGAAATGAACAAAGCGAATTGAATGGAATAAAATAAGTATAAATTTTATCATTATTTTTCAGGTTTATTACTATAAATAACCCAAATGTCTTGTTGACTAACCAAATGGAGATTATTCCTACAACATCAAAGATCACATAAGATATTAATATGAAATTGTGAGTCTTTTAGGTCAAGGCAGTTTTGGTTAAGTATTTTAAGTTTTGGATCATAAAACTTAACAATTGTATGCTCTAAAAGTAATCAAGAACCAAGAAAAATTGAGAAAGCAAGCAATCATTGAGGCCAACATACTTTAATATATCAAAGATCATGATACAGATTAACTTTCAAATATAGTTAAAAATATAGAGTAGTTCACCTTTCGAGGACATCAATGCATAGTATTCGAGAAGTTAGAGTAGAATTTGTTTGAATTGATTTAAAAGTAAAAATTCAAAGGAATTGATCATGAATTAGCAAGAAAAGTTGGTATTCAACTGTTGAATTCACTTAATTTCTTAAATAAACATAAGATTATCCATTGCGATATCAAACCTGAGAATGTTATGCTGTTAGATAATTCAAAAAGTGGAATCAAGCTTGTTGATTTTGGTTCAGGTTGTTTCGTTGGCTAATAGATATACACATATATTCAAAGTAGATACTATAGAGCACCAGAAGTAATATTTGGATTGAAATATGGTATTGAAATTGATATGTGGAGTTTTGCTTGTTTGATCTCGGAATTGTACATTGGAACTCCGATATTCCCAGGAGAAGACGAGATTGAATAAATCAATTTGATAATTGAAGTTATTGGAGCACCTTCTGTAGATTTTGCACTAAGATGTCCAAGAAGGAAGTATTTCTTTGATGAAGATGGACATCCAAAGAAAAACATTAAATCTTATAGAAAACCAAATTCAGTTAGTCTCTATGATAGATTAAGAACTGAGGATTCTGATTTAGTCGACTTTCTACTGAGATGCTTTGCATGGGAGCCACAAAATCGGTTGTAACCCTTAGATGCACTTAAACATCCCTGGATAATCGCTGGATTGCCTAAAGAGATACAAAAATAGCATAAAAAATATATAGAACTTGAAAAATTACTTCAAACCTAGAAGACTCCATTAGTTTAACAATTGTGTTTCTAGGGATAAAAGTAAAATAAATCAAAGGAGCACTATTAAGAGGATTCCCAATTCAAAACTAAGAAGTAAATAAAATCCATCCTAAATATCAATACAAATCTCAGTAATATATCTGACCAAAAAGCTAGTATTAAATCAATTTTAATATAGTATTGAGTTGTCGCTATCACGACAAGCCTTTACAATCTGAAAGGTAAAGACAGAATATTGCCTCATCTATCTACAAGCTGCTATCTGATAAACCCAAAAGTAGGAAGCCATCTTGTAATTGAAACTACTCTATCCACACTACTACAGTTAAATGATATATATGATATAATATATTCCATAGATTTAGTTTTTTGATTTTGTAAATCTACTTAATTTAATAAATCTTCATTCTATTCTAACTTTTATAATTGAGAGTAATAAGAGTAAGCATGAGATATTTGAATTAATAATCCAAAATAATTTCAACACTGAATTTCTCTTTCTTGATATGATTATTTATCGATCATCTTTTGATTTAGTATAAACTATGTTAATTGTAAATTAAATAATTTTAGGGGTAGCTTCATATTAATAATATTTATTATTAGCTGAATCTAACTCTACTTAATAGAAGATTTTAAATGAAGTTTAATTAAGTTTTACTTGAGAATAACAAAATATTCTTAAATACTGATTCTTTATATCGAAATTAATAAGTAAATTCCTTAAATTTATGATAGAAATAAGTTGATCAGAGATGTTTTTTGATTAGAGTGCTATGAATTATATTTAAATATCATAATATATAATTAAGTTAGGTTATAGTGAGAACACTTATTATCTAAGAATAACTACTAATTTTTGGTAACCCAAAATTTATATTTAGGTAAAATAAGAATTTAGATGATGAATAAACTCAATTTTATAATTAATACGTTTTTATTGATAAATGCACTACGTTCCAGTTTCATAAACAGAGAGGCGTATTTCAAAATTGAAGCACAAAAATAAACAGAAGACTATGTTTATAATAGTGGGAGCATTGTTATTTTGCTTAATAGCAATGTTGGTGCTTATTGTACTAGATGTTAATAGTATTGTTTCATTATATAAGATTATGTTAAGATTAACAGTATTTTTTAAATATGGTAACCACAAACAACAGTGGCCATGGTTTAGACTCAAAGAGATGTAATATCTTCAAAGCATAAGCAAATCGATGAATAATTATTTCATCTGAAATCGATATTTCAAGAGAAAGCATACAAAGAGGCCACAAATCTAAAACTGCCTATAATAGATAAGAATGAGTATTAGTATTTCACTTTGTCCAATGGGTTGAAAGTATTGGTGATTCAAGATCAAGAAGCAAAAATTGCATAGGCAGCATTATGTGTGAATGCGGGTTCATGGTCAGAACCAGATGAATACCCAGGATTGGCACACTTCTTAGAACATATGCTATTTTAAGGATCTAAGAGTTATCCCTAAGAGGGTTATTTCTAAAAATTAGTCGCAGAAGGAGGTGGTTCAACAAATGCTTATACAAGAGGAGAAGAAACTAATTATTATATGAAGATAAATAATGAGAGAGTAGTGGAAGCTCTGCAAGTGTTTGCTCATTTTTTCATTGATCCTTTACTGGATTCAAGTATGGTGGAGAGAGAAGTCAATGCAGTAAATAGTGAGTATGAGATTGCAGTATCAGGTGATTTATGGAAGATCTCTCATCTATTCTAGATTTTATCAAATAAACCAATAGGTAGATTCACAATAGGTTCATTGAAGACTTTGAAAGACCCAATGAAAGAATTAGTAAAATTTCATTCACAATTCTATAGTGCAAATATAATGAGTTTAGTGGTCAAATCAAATTATCCTGATATGGCCAAATGGATTAGAGAATAGAGTGATTTTTCATAAATACCAAATTTGAATTTGAAGAAAAGATCAAAGTTACATTTACCCTTAAAGAAAACTGGTCTTATGGTCAAGTATAAGACAAATGGAGACAAGAACTAATTGATCATAGCTTATCAATTAGACTCTCCTAGAACTACAAAAAAAAGCAAAACTTTACCAATGATAGCATCATTAATTAAATCAAAACATAAGGAAGGATTACTTGATTATTTAGTGAGACAAAAGATGGCTTTGAATGTTGATGCAGGTACATTCCTAGAAGGAAATGGGGATTTCACTTTCTTTCTTATTGAAATTGAATTGATTGAAGGAGTAGATGAACTCAAAGTAGCTGAGACTGTGACTGGATACTTTAACAATATGTTAGACTAGTTCTTTTAAGAGGTGGATAAGAATGAAATCAATTACACACCATACTTAGAAGAAATCTGGTAACAATACAAACAATTGCAATTATCACAATACAACTATCTAGATAACAACCATTATCCAACTGTATAACAGATAGCTCATAATTTAAATTACTTTGATTATACTGATGCAATGAGCATTGAATTTTTGTATGAGGAATTCTAACCTGAGAGTATCTATAATTATTTGACAGAAATGCTCAACCCATCAAACATTGTAATATTCCATGGTTCACCCAAATTCACTAATCTTAAATAATCATCAGAATTATACAGATTAGAATATGAAATCATGACACTCTCAAGAGAACAGATTAAAAAATTGTCTAGTGCTGTTACCACTAAAGTTGTACTATTTGATTGGGTAAAAAGCAAATAATTACCATTGTTGTTACCCAAGATTAACACCTTTATCCCTAAAGATTTTAGTATCAAATCTCTATGCAGAGAGCAAACCTCATTTATACAAGCTCCACTTGTGTTTAAAAGCAAAGAAGACTGTATTTAACACGAAAAGGAGTATGAGACCATTAATCACTATCCTCTTATGATTAAAAGAACTGTGGAAACTAAGGCTTGGTGGAAATTACAAAGATAATTCTAAGTTCCACAAATATTTACAGGAGTCATGTTTAATACACCCAAATCTATCAATTCATTAAAGGATAAACTCTTGATTCAAGTGTTTAATACACTTGTTACTGACAATTTGAATCAAGAAATCCAAGAAGCTATTGATGCTGGATATCAGTTCCAATTTACACCAAGTATCAAAGGAGTTTCCCTTGAATTGTATGGATGGTCTGACAACTATCAATCATTCTTTGAAAAAGTTCTGTAATCCATTAGTAATCTAAAATATGATTCATTCTCTTAAGTGAAATAGAAATTAATGATCTATTACAACAATATATATTAAGACAAACTATTCAGAGTTGCGATGTCCGAATATTTGAATTAGGTTGTCTAAGCTCAATATTACACTGCTGAACTCTTTTTGGAAGAATTAAACATCTTGGATTTGGAAAGTCTACAATAGTTTCATTCCAACTATTTCTCCAACTTTAGAGTATCATCTTTTGTAAGTGGAAACATACTTAGATCTGAAGTAGAGGATCTACTACATTCAATTAGGAAAGTGTTTCATAAATCAAGCAGTCATACATCAGAAGAACCTCATGTATTTAATATAAGAGACTTAACTAACAAAAATGTGGTTGTTCCTTTAATTCACAAGGGTGGTGATAGTAATGATGTTAATGGAGTTACAATTAATTATTATCAAATCGGTCATAGAAACAAAAAGAATTTTGCCATAATGAATCTTATTCAACAATTCTTCCATAACCATGCTTTCTAATATCTCAGAACTGAGAGACAGTTAGGTTATGTTGCTCTTATGAGGTTCATTCCAATTGGTTGCATAGATGGTGCGGCAATTATTGTTTAAGGAACAGCACAAATGCCTTATGTTGTCAATTAACATATCGAGGACTTTCTGAAACAATTCCATAATGTGCTTTTATCATTGGCTGATGATTAATTGGATAATATCAAAAATGGAGCTGTATTTATTGTATCCTATTTAGAAATCTGCGCTTTAAGAGAAGGACAAATCATTGTATGATGAGAGTGCTTACATTTGGGGTTAGATCAGAGGTAACAACCTTCAATTGGAAGAAAAAGAAATTGCGATTGCTATGATAGATGAAATAGTGTAGAAGGTATTGATTGTTGTTTAATAATAATAAGGATATCATAGAGTTTTATGAGAAATACTTTATTAAATAGTAGAATAAGTTGAGTTTGTAAATTTATGGCAAAGGATTGAGCGAACAATTTAATTAAGTGAAAGACAATTTATTGGAGAAGGAATCGATTATTGAATTGAAGACTCTAAATGAATTTAAATGTGCTTATACCCTAAATAATTTATGAAGAAATAATATTAAATAAGATTAATCAATAAAAACTGTTTTATATAATTTAGCTATTTTATTAAATCATGATAGTATAGATCATTATATTTTCTCCAAAAGACTTTTCTAAAATTGTTTAATAGCCATTTCTGTTTAGGGCCGTAATTCGAGATCAAATAGTCTTCTATAAAATCAATATGTGTTTAGATTACTTTTCATAATTCTTCTTATGATACATATTCCAAACTTATTATTCATTCTTGCTTTGTTTAGCTATAATTCCTCTCACCTAATCATTTTCTCTCATAATAAGTGTAATTATAAATACAATTTTTAAAATAATTCTTTTGACCACTGTTGTGTTTTATTTGGTCTTGGACTAGGAACCTCAACTTTGGTGTTTTTCTTCTTTCCCAAATAGCCAGTTTGATGAATGGAATTTTGTCTGATCAATTTAGGCGATCTCGGTAACACACTTTCTTTTTTCACTCTGAAATTGATGGCACTTTTATTTTGATCTACCTTCCCAAACTTTCTCTATTTCCTTAATTGCTTTATATTTTAAACATATAAAGTAAACTCCTTTAATGATTCTACATTTTTTGTTGTATCTGGAAGTACAATATCTGGTTTGTTTTATAAGTTTTATTTAGGTTATTATTTAACAGCTGACAAGTATTCCACCTCATGATCAATAAATGGCTAAGGAATGGGAAACTTTTTGAATCTCTAGAAGTTTAGTTTGGATAAAGCTATATGATTGCTCTAATAAGTGTTATTCTCCAAATAAGCAAAGAGATTATTTAATCTCTATAAAGTTTGACAAGGGCTTTCAATCATTTTCATTTATAAATAAAAATATTCATTATTTTTATTACAAAAACTCAATTATTTCACTGTGATTGTATAATTTCGCCCTATCCAGTACCATCATGTCCAATTCATCTTTCCCATCAAATATGGCTTAATAGTAGTTTCAAATCAACACCATCTACACCTCCCTAGAAATGTAGCCGAAAGAACAGCCTTATTGTCTTTATAAGTTGGTTAATTCTCATTTGTTAGATGCAGAACAAATTTATACTTTAAAATAATAATCACAATAAGAATAATTCATTTTGAGATTATTACTATGCTTTAAGAAAGTAGGGTTTATTATAGTTCTAAATAATCTAAGAATCAACATTTAAGCTCCCACTTTCAAGATCATCCTTTATCTATTTTATTTGATTCTATCTGATATCACTTATATGAGACACTTATTCTGAGTTTTTCTCTCACTATAAATGGTTCACTCTGTCTGATAATCGCCAATTCTAAATTGTACTACTCAAAAGTTATAAGGAATCTATTTATATAATCCTATAACATTAAATTTAATTTTGTGGTTATATGTTTTCATCCTATAGAAAAAAATTGTTTGATTAGAAGCTAGCTGAATAGCAATAAAATCTCCATTAATAGAAGGAACTGAAAATAAGATAGAGTCGTGGTTAAATTGATCAAAGAGCGCTTGCTACCTATTTAGGAGCGTACATTCAAATGAAATGTATAAGATTTTATGGATTTTTAAGAAATCGAGGATTTCTTTTATGAATAATGTACCAATTAATGCATTGACATCTAAAACGAATGGATGAATGATAAAGAAAGATAGTGTTTGACTGATTGCAATAGTAAAATAACAAAATTCACCAAAATTGCAAAAGACAATTATGCAAACATAGACGATGAAACCAAAAAGATTGTTTCTTCTGTTTCTTCATTGCTAAGTAGAAGATGATTTATAAATTTAATAAATTATATACCATGTTAATATAAGAATTTCATAAAATTTGATGTTCACATTCATCTTCAATTTAGATTAGAGCATCTATGAATAAGAGAGTTTACAAGTAATCACATAAATACTATAGTTATAAAAGTGCTATGTTTATTGCAATTAAGAAATATATTTTTAAAATATTTAGCAAAGAAATGATTAATATAAATAATGAGTAATCATTCTAAGAGATCAACTCTCATGAAATGCAATACTATGAAGGCACCCAAATAATTGAGGAAAGCCAAATCTTTTTATTCATAGGCTGAAACCTTTCAACTTAGTAATCAAGTTGATGGAACTGATGAAAAATTGAAGTACTTTTCACAATAATAAATAGGAAATTAGAGTAATCATTCCATAACCAATCCGATTATAAGATTATGCAATCTTAAACAAGATTTAATAAGACTTTGTCAGTTCATAAAAAAAACAATATTGTTGCTGAGACAATTATTCCAGAATGGTTGAAATCTCGAAAGGATTTTCAATAAATTTGTTATACAGAAACTATAAATGATTTACTGTCTGTTCCCAAGATAATTTTGAAATAGCAAAGAAACACAATTGAAGATTAAAAGATAAAAGATTGGATTCAAAATAAAGTTTATGGATTACCTGATGAACTTTATAAGGATATCACCTAAATTATGACTACCAGAGTTTTTGCATTCGAAGAAATCTTTGACGTCGATCACAACATCACTGTCTTGTATGAAGGCAAAGTCTAGAGGGTCAATAAAGATCTAGGCTTCCCAATTAATGGTCCTCCCATTAAAGTGGGCGAATTCTTGAGTGATGAATATCTCTACATGGTTAAGACTGATGTCATTATTGTAGAAATACCCAAGATTGAATTGATGCAACTCATGGATGGATTCAAAATTTCAAAATTAGAATAATTTGTATAACAAATGAAGTAATTTCCTGCTTTCAAATCCATCAAGAAAAATAGCTTACACAAAATCATTACGAGGGGACAATTGCAATTGATCATCAAGAATTATTAAAGGTTTTAAAGGGCTTCCAATTAGGAGTACTTAAACATTCTCTTCTATGGCAAATTACAACTGAATCTCAGAAAACTCATCAGCAAAATGAATAAATGGCCTATTGCTTAGAATTAGTGGGAAACCAAAACCTATTATTAATATTAGGATAGGATTTTAGAACTAGAATCCCTTAATTGTTTTGGACTCACAGATGATTAATACACTATATCGACAAAGGAGAGTTGTGTTCTATTGTAAATTAGAAGAAATATTTTAGAAACAAGTATTAATGCACGAGATTAACATAGTTCTGACAACAGAATAGATAAATGATTTGAAATAATCAATTGATATATTCAAAAAGGAATCTAAAAGTCAATGGAGAGAACGAATGAGAAGAAAGTTTGATTAGGAACTAATACAATAGAAACTACGCATGGAAAAAGTAATGATTGCTTTGCTAAATAATTGATTATATAATTTTAATGTCTTTTTAAATATAACATTATGTTATAGGTAACAAATTATAATTTTGAATAAGATTAGTTAATGGGAAATGGTAAATATGGCAAAATTGTGATGGCTAAACATTAATTAGTAAATGAAAAAGTCTGCATCAAAATATTGGAGAAAAAGAATCTCAAATTTAGTCAAGATTTCGAAAATCTTGAAAACGAAATTCAGATACTCAGACAAGTTAAGCATCCCAATGTAATCCACTTATATGAAGTAATCTTAATCCAGTTAAAATAGATTTTGGAATCTACTTCAAATATTTACATGATTTTTGAATATGGCGAAGGAAATGACTTGAAACATAGATTAAACTAATGTCAAAAGTATCATATATATCATTTATTGATTTTCAGAAGCCGAATCATTAATATATTTGTAGTAAATAGCCAAAGGAGTTTCCTATTTGCATGAAAATAACATAATTCATTATAAACTGAGATTAGGGAATATCGTACTTTAAAATGGAAGACCTAAGATCATTGATTTTAGTGAAGCCATCAAGATTGAAAAACAAAAAGATAAAGATTATTCTATAATTAAATTACCATATTAATCTCCAGAAATGTTAAACTCACTCTATTATGAATTTGATGGTGAACAATATGATATCTGGTGTTTAGGATTAATTCTTTATTAAATGTTATAAGGGCAATTACCATTTGATAACACAACTAATAATAATGATTTAAAGAGTAAAATTAAGAAATCAAAATTTTAAATTAATTATCCTATTTCTTAATAAGTTTGTTCATTATTAGAAGCAATGCTCAATGCTGATCCTAACAAAAGAATTAAACTTAATGAATTAAATAGTTACTTAGGAACATAAAATCTACAATTTGAAGATGATTATTTGAAAGTCCCCGTTGACATACCGATGCATGTGATAATTTAAGAATTGGAAAATTACTAATTAGAAACAGTTAATTTATTTCAATTATTAGAATAGAATAAACATTGTACATTAACTACATGTTATTATTTAATAAAAAATAAATTAATGAAATTGGCTAAACTAAAAAAAGTTAAGTTAAATTTAATGAATTTTGAAAATAGTAAATTTAATTTTATGACAAACTTAAGAAACAGTATATAATTCGCAACTAAAAAGTGTAGAATTTATTAGAATGCCACTAGAGTTCATACTGAAAATAATAAAAATAGATCTGAAAGCTTCTCTTAAAATGTATATCAATATAAGTCTTTGAGTCGAACAAATAATAGGAAAGTTTCAATAGTGAAATAGACTGAGTAAAGTCCAAAATAATTATAAACTTAAAATTCTTTCTTTCCTTCTTAAAATTCTCCTATTATTGATTAATATAATAACAATATTCACAAAGGTAGTTACAATCAAAATTTAAATAAATAGGAAATAATTAACGATAATTATTCTATGTACTAAGATAAACAACAACAAAGAATAAGAAATGTCTTGTTTCCTAATAAAAATTTTATAATATAAGATAAAAATAAAAAAAGAAGATCAACCTCATAAAAAATTTGATATTATTTTTAACAATGTTTAACATTTTAACTAGAAATGAATTAATTAATTCATTCATTTTTATTACTTAATCTATCTTTCCACTCTAATGCGTGATACTTCTTAGTATTTAGGCTAACCAAACTTCTTTCTAACAGCCTATAGATTTGATTTATCTTATGATTGCAATACAAGACACATTTCTTTGGCACAAAACCTAAGTTCTTATTCATTATATCCAGTCATTTTTTGCATCTCTTCATTCCAAGATTGAGGAGTCTTCCTATGAAAATACATTTCTGTTACCTTATTTTATGGACCAGATAAATTGCAGCTGCGGAAAGAAATGATGGCTTATAATTCATGAATTTGATGTCAATCATTGAAAGCTCCAATAGATACTAAGCTAAAAATAAATTCTTGGTATCTAATCCTGCAATTCTACCAAATCTCTAGAGAAAACTATAACTTGATGGTTAGGTAATGGAAAAGTCTAATGTTTACAATATTTATCCTTCCATTTCGAGCACATCCTATTTGGTGTAGGCATTGTCAGTGATGTACACGAAATCTTTCAAATCAGGTGGATAGATTTCCTCATATTTACAAGCTATAAATAATGAAGCCACTCCAACTAATTAAAGTTATTGTCTAGTTGTAGTCTTAAGATTTAGATATCTGTCTATTAAATATGTTGTAACATATAATGTCTCATCTCTTAATTTAAATTTGAGATGAACATCAATCAACCAATCCAATAGAATTGCTCTCATTCTAGTGTTTAAGTCTGGTTGTTATTGTTCATTCATATAATTATTACTAACTAAATATTTCTATTCTTAAGTCAATAAATAGGTAAAGATCTCTTAACTATATAGTGAAGTGTATTAAGGGTCTTTAAGCATTTATTAATCAAAAGAACATAATTAATGAGTGCAATTTTCAACTTCCATTTTGTTTTCTCTTTCTTCCTGCCATAAATTAAGTTTGAGATATCTAGGTAATACAGTAAGATGCTTTGGTTTATTTCTGTCTGTGTTTTCCTTTTGGAATTCACCTGAAGAATTAACCAATTCCTTGCCGAAGAATCTATACTGTTCATGGATCATTTTATTATACGTTAAAAATTATAATATTCGGTTAAAATTTATTATTATTCAATTATAATCGTACAATTATATTAATTATTATACTTGGCAATTCTATCTACATATTAGACATTATTGTTTCAAATTGATTTATTGCATAATGCAGTCTAACAAATCATATGTCCACATTGAGTACATGTCACATTTGTTGTATTATCATCACAAAATAAACATTAGGTAAATTTATCATGACTTTCATTCATTTCTATAATTCTTTCCTTACTTGATCTGATCTTTCATACTTTCATTCCTTATCTTAAAAAAAAGTAATAAAATATTTAATAAATTGCAAAATTAGTAATATAAAATAGGCTTAACCAATTCTTTTGTACTTAATATTGTAAATTTGAAGGTATCCTATTAAAAATGAATTAGATCTAATTTAATCGTTTGCATATTTCAAAGTATGAGCCTTGAAACAAAAATATTGTCTACCCCATCCTTTAAATTTTGGAGACTCTTAAATCCTTTATTAATCTAACTATATTGTTAATGCATAATCTAACTAGATCTTAAATTTGATTAGAAAATTAGAGTAGTTATAAAAATATAAATTACCTTTTTTCTTCTACTCTATAAGGGCATAATGATATAACACTTTCAACATTATACAAAATGGTTATTTTAGTCAGAATAATTTTACACTTTTACATTTGTGTATTCCTTTCCAATCGTTTTGACTTCTCGAAAGTAGATAAATAAATAATTTGTGAGATTTCTCAACATTTTAATCGAGTTGAGTTTATTGTATATTTAACCAGTTGAAAAAAATACTCAAAAATATTGCAAATATTTTGAGAGATCTATTGGATCATTTCTGAATCCTTTTATGATCTTCTAATCAGTTCTGGTTTATAGAAATTAGTATATGACATTTATATACATAAATATAAATTATAGTTTTTTCTAATACTCTGAATTCATAAGAGATTTACACATCATTTTATGGGAATTAGAGTACTGGTTATCTGGTTCAAATTAATTTAGGGTAGATATAAGGAATATGCAATAATTATGGTAATATTTTCATATTGGCTTTAACTTATCGAATTAAATAATTAATATCTTAAATAAAAATATGAACGCCAAAGGTGCAGGGTTGACTTATGTTAGCGAATTCAAATCTGATGAATTCAGAACATTCAGAGGTGGTTTGAGACATTTGCCTGAGAGAGCAGAGGCTATGGTACATAACAGCAAGAACAATTTGTCTAATTATCATGACAAATTCAATTATGAGAGAGTAAATTGTTTATTTAAATTAAAAGGGGTTCATCTAACACTCAAGATCATTATCTAACCAACACCACAATTTCCATTTTATGTATGGAGGACCTAAAGAATACTTATTCAAGAGACTTTTCTATGGTGCATGGTATAGAAAGAATATCAGAAATTTCTGGTTCCCTGCTGTGTTTAGTTATGGACGTAAGCATTTTACTATGAAATAGTTGGTTGTTTCTGCATGAGATTATATGATAATGCAGCCCATGACTTCTTTTATTTCACCGATTGAGATAATTACATAATAATACATAAATAGTATAAAACCAGAATTCATAGCAATCTTTCTAATAGCATTTTTTCAAGCAATAAATTATTTCTCAAAATGCTTTCTTCACTAAACCCTAATTATTTTCTGAACTTTTAATTCTGAGGCAATATTTTCTCAATGAATGAAAATTATTCTGTGATGAATGGAGCTCTTTTCTCATACTCAGGCAATTTAACAATTATTTTATTAGTGTATTTGTTGTTTTACTTGATATAATCGCATAGCATTTTTTTAGCCTTTTCCTTATTGCATTTTTTGAAATTAGGCAGACAAACACGATTGTCATCATTAGCCAATTTATTAATCTTGAATTTGCATTGAGATATATTCATTTTTTATAAGGATGTCTATCTTTAGTGATTAGATACAATCACATCCTTCAATCTTATGACTCTTTCTGTGTTTATATATTCTTAACTCCTTAGTTTAGTTGATTACAGATTTCGAAGGACCATTCTAGGACTCTTTTAAACAACATCAGGCAGTACGGAATTGTCTGTGTGGGTTTGAGTGCCTATATTAAGTTTCAACTTTTATTGCAATGAATTCATTAATTTAATTAAAGTCAATGTATATTTCAATCAAAATCTTCTTAGCCTCCACTAAAATCATATTCTATTCTCTCATGGTTGGCTAGTTTTCCATCTATAAACAGAAATGTATCGCTTTTTGTTTTCCATGGATTTATGAGCATTAGATCCTTTAGGTTTGCACCCAATGCAGGCTAATCATACATGGATTCCCACGTATTGGTGGAATGTGGTATGCAAAAAGGAAAGCAAAATTCGTATTCTTTTATGAGGTTGTTTTTAAAATAGAATCTAAATTGGTATTGTATTGTACCTATCAACGAGTAACAAGTTCTTTAATGGCTTATCAAAGGTCTTGAAGATTTTGGTTGCTCCCAAAGTCTTGATATCAAAATATTGGGGTGTGAATTAATAACTCAAAACCTCCTATTGTTGATTTTCTTCATCATTCTCAAAGTCAAATAAAATAAAGTTATCGTCGGCATCTCTGAGTATAAATTTAATAAATTTGATTTCCTCTGATGGTTTGCATAGAAATTTATCGCAGGGTTTGGTAAATGTTCTCACAATTTCAGGGGTAATCACTTTTTACATATTAAATTAAATAGAGATGTTAATTTAATAATTTAAATTTAATTACAAAATGTTTAGAAAAGCTAGATAAATAGAAACTCAGTCACTACACTATTCCGTTAGTTAAAGCGATATTAAGAGAACTTCCTACTTTACCAACCTATCCCACAGATACAGATCCTAGTCGATTGATCTTAGCAATCAAAAAATCAAATAACCCATTTAGCAGACAAAATCAAAATCGAAACCAAGAATGCAAATCAATCCAGTAAAATTCCAGGTCTTTAAATCAAACAAGCCACTGACAGAGTTCAAAGAATTCAAATTAAGAACGGCCGACAGATGCAAAAGCAGAGAAAAAGTTAGGATAAGAGAGCAGAATAAAGAGAATAAAGAAAATATATTTATTTAATATAATAAAAAACTATGAAAATATGTTCAATCATCATTCAAAACAAGAGAGGGCAAAATATCTTTGTTGTCTCATCCAACGATTATTCTCATGAATTGTCATTGCAACATTCTAAGGATATTTACAATTACATTCTGAGTCAAATTAGTATTCTTCAATTAATCATTTAGAGGCAGGGAAAAAGATTGACAGATCTATTGTTTTAGATTCAAATTATGTTTGTATTTGCAATGTAAATAAAGATGTAATTACAATCAACCTAATGACTTTAGGCAATATTTTTAGTTATTGTACAACGAAATGAATTATTCTTGGGATATGAGGCTATCAAAAAATTGGCCGAATTCTATGCCACCTACTATAAGTAAGAAATCACTACCAGGAAGTACTAAGAGGTAACTTTTTCAAATTTACTCCTAGATGCTGCTCTTATTGGAAGAATTCTTATACACTAAAGAATTTTTACCTCAAAAATTATAATTTAATTTAACTGTTAAAGCCCCTGCCTCCTCAAGATGCATTGCAGACTGCGATCATCTTTAAAAGTTTTCATCACTCTAAGCCACAATTGAAAAAAATCTAATTGCTAACATACCTCTAAAGTATGCAAAGAAATAATAGATTATCGAAAAAGAAATAGATATCATCAACATATTTATTAAGCCTTTAACCAATCTAGATGAATACAAGCCAAACCAAGAAGAACTTCAATGGAAACAAAAATAAAAAAAGAGTCTCTACGATTGTGCCTTCAAAATGAAGAGCAAGCAAGTTCACAAAGAAAATATCTTTCAAAAATATAAGCCATAAAAACCGAATACCCAGTATAAATAACATACTTAAAAATCGGCTTAATTGGTAAATCAATATAAGGGCATAAGCAGTTCAGATATATAAATAATGAAGCTTAATTTTTAAAGTTAGATGCAAAAGGCTGGTGGACAACAGGATCATTCTAATTAATAGAGCAAATAATAATCCTTAAAACCAATCTAGCAGTAGCACAGCAGACAGATAAATTTACTATTAGATTATGGTGAAGGCTTTACAACTGTTGAACCCCCTAAAAGTTAGATTTAATAAGTCTAAAATTCCAATGAGGAATAACCAAGAACTAATCCTATTTAAGTAAAACCAAAGTAACAACAAAATGCAAATGACCTCTTGGATTTAGATGATAGACCGAATCATTAAGTGCAACCCCAGATTCAATCAACAGCTGGTCCTGATTTATCGTTTTTAAGTTTATCTCCAGTCAAATAAAATGAACCTTGCTTGAAAATGCTGGAGAAAATGGTTATTGCTCAGAAGGATGGAAGATTAAAAGAATTAAAAATATTTGGACAGATAGCTTTGGATGGAGATTTCACTTTTGATGATTAATCCAACCTTTAACTTTTGGGCCAATATTGGTAAGATACATATGGATGTTAAAGAAGGATAACACCGAATTCTTTGGATTTGCAATTGTTGAATGAGAATAGTTATAAAATGATAATAAAAAATGCAAGTTACAAAACACCCAAAGGCATCATTGATTACATAATCCCAACCAAAGCATTTACTTAATAAAGGATTCCAGTTATATTTTTGTATAGGTTGGAATGTGTATAATCCTTTGCCAGTTATTGTCTTCAATATAAGGTGAATGATTAATGGCAGGTTCCATTGCAAGATATCGTTATTGAAGTGAATCTAGAGAAAGATGTAGAATTTGATGACTTAAAAACAATCCCAGTAGCTCAAAATATCAACGATAAGTAGATAACTTGGAAAGTACTAATATTTATTTAAGGTAGGCCAAACAATTGTTGCAACAGTAGAAAGGCAAATTGATATTGAATCTCACAGGCATTAAGAAGTCAGGGTCGTAAATACTAAATCACATCAGAATCAGTTTGAAGGCTAATGTAATTGATAACACTTAATTTAGACATCTGTCATTGAGAATATGGATAGCATTATGTTTTACAATAGCTAAGAATACAAATGCCAGAAAAAGCTAAGTGTTGAGTACAAAATATATCCGAATTCTTGATATTATTAAATATATAAATTAAAATTTTGAAGGATGAGTGAAGCTTAAGCAGACCGTATCTTATCAATTGCAAATCAAGAGACAGTTAATAGATTATTCAGAGTATGCTATAAATAAATTACAGGTTGAAAATAATTTGAATAATTAGGACAAAGACCTGTTGGTAAATTTCAAGATAGCGATCATCAAGCAGTATTGAATTGTCACAGGAGATTGGTTGAAGTACTAAAACTTGTTGCACCTGCAATTGTACCCTTAAGAGAAGAATGATTTAATTATTCAAGTCGTTATCATCAAAACCAGAATATTTAATTAGCTACACAATTCATATTTATATATGTTATTTTTAATATGACATTCATCTTCTCATTCCCATGGGTGGTCTACCTGGTTATCCCCTAGGTTTCATTTTTGTATCTTAATCAGATTTTGGATTTTTAACTGTTTCATCAATAGATAAAATTGCACAAGCAGCCTATAAAATAAATGTGAATAAAAACCTCGGTTGCTGAACAAAGAGCATTTCTTTTGACAAGACTGGGTTCCCAAACAAAGGATGAATGTGTATCACATACTCCAGATGCACCATTGATATCAACTCCATACCATCTACCTTCCTCTCCACCTTGAGCATGTCTTTATCTAAGTTTATTCATGATTTCAATTGAGTTTAATCCTGCATTTTCAGCAATGGTTCTTGGGATAACTTCTAATGCCTTAGCAAAGGAATTCACAATGTATTATGTCTTGCCAGTCACAGATCTAGCATAATGTCTAAGATATCTAGACAATTCCAATTCGATAGCACCACCTCCAGCTACGATCTTGTTGGCTTTGAAACATCTTCTGACAATCATAATAGCATCATTCAAAGATCTCTCAGCTTCTTAAATAAATTATTCAGCTCCACCTCTCAACACAATGGTTGCTGTTCTAGACTAAGATTTATAGTTTTTGATTAAAATACTTGTGGACAATTTTTAAATAAGTTATATCTTTCTGCACCAACTTAAACTTCTTCGAACAATCCACAAGTTCCAAAAGTCTCAGGATTTAGACCATTGACAGTTGTTTAAATTTAACCTCCAGTAGCCTGATTTGAATATAGGATTTAAATACTTTTTAAACTCTAAGAAGATCTTCTTAAGGAACTCTTCCAGCACAAAAGATGTTCCTGTCAGCAAAATATTGTGTAGCCAAATCTCCAATGGGAAGTTTAGATAATACTATTTGGGCACCTGCTTTAACAATGATATCTAATTTCTCATAGATCAATGCCCATTCAGCATCTACAATTTATTGATATTCTTCTGGTTTTTCAATTCTGATTTCTGCATTTTCCTTTTCACTTTTGAGTTCTAATTCTAAATTTAATAAACAGATCTTGGGATTCTCAAATCTCTTTGGTTATTGTTCAAATCCAGCATATGAAAAGGTTTTCTTGAATGCAACTCCATCAACCAAAAATGAATCAGTTACACTTCCTCCTGTGACATTCTTGATTCCGATCAAATCTCTATCCAAAATATTTGGGTCCAACTTCTCCACTGCTGACACCACTAATTCACTAAAGAATTATTTAGTATTGGCTAACTAATTAATATTAATTATTATCATACTAATTTTGAATTCAAAGCTGTCTAAGCACATTTCAATAAGGTGTCTCTCTTCTCTTCTGGAGCATCTCGAGAAATATTTATTGAGAATCCCTCTAACTTCTCTAATGCCAATTCCAAAGCCTTTCTATATCCTTAAATCACTATTTGTGGATGGATTCCCTCTTCAATAAATGGCTTGGCTTCCTTCAACAATTCTGCAGCCAACAATGTAGTGGATGTTGTACCATCACCAACTTCATCATCTTGGGATTTGGCAATGTCGACCAACACTCTAGCAGCTGGATGGACAACCTCTAATAGATTTAGAATTGTTGCTCCATCATTAGAAATGGTCACCTTTGGACCTGTCTGAATCATTTTATCCATTCCTCTTGGGCCAAGTGTGCTTTTAACCACGTCAGCCACAGCTTACACAGCATTGATGTTAGACACTATTTAAGCTCTACCTTATGAGGTGTCTGTGCCTTCTCTCAATAACAAGATGGTGGGTTGTAAGAATTGGGACATTTAATACACAATTTTATTTATTTAAATTTGAGGCATTTTCTTTTACAAACATTCATTTTCAAATATACTATTCAAAAACCATTTAATTCAATAATTTCATATCAATCCTAAAATTCCAGTCTTTATAACTCCAAATATACTAATGTTAATTGCCATATTAATAAGAATACATAACATTAAATTATATATAATAATGCAATATCATCTTTCCATAATTTCAGCTGCAGCATATATCCAAAAATTAGGTTTAGTTGCACTGGCTGGAGAAAACATTAAAATTTTTAATCTAAAAAAGGATAAAGAATAATAGGAAATTAAAACAGAAAAATACATCAAGATTTTTCAATTGATATTCAACCAGCAAGATTCCAACTTATACTAATTCAATCTAAATAAAACCATCGTCAAATATAGATTGAAAGGAAGAATGTTTGTATTAGATAAGCAACTTCAATTAGATTATGAATTTTTTCCTACACTTGCTACAGTAACTCATGATAATAAAACCATCATCATTGGAGGTATGCATTCAAATATACTTGTATTTTATAATATGGTTAATGAATGTTGTTTTAAGCTAGAGCTATCAGATTCTGAAATTTAGAATTATTGCTTATTAAAAAATCCAGAAAATAGGTTTATTTTATCTTATAATTGCTTAATTAACGTTGAGAATAAAAAAGTCATCAGAAAAGTCAATACTTATTCTTCAGAAATAAAAAGCTGGTCTTAATCAGGTCATTTTTATTCTAAAGAATAGGAATATAAAATATTGATTACTTCTGCCTTTAAGAATAAAATTTTGAGGACCTTTTCTGTTGATAGAAATAACATTTATATTAACTAAATATTTTCAGAAACAGGAAAATATTACTGTTTACAAAAACAATGTGAAGTAATACAACTCTATGATATATCAACAGGAATTGACTCACAAAATTAATTAAAAGTATATGGTCTATTGTAATAATTTATAATTTAATGAAAACGACAAAGTTATTTCAATCATAACTAATAATAGATCATTTTATGTATGGAATTTAGATTAAATTTTAAATGAAGCAACTTAATCTTGATGAATTATCCACAATTTTATGATAAATATACACTAATCTATGAAATTATTGACAGGATGAAAAATATTATTTTTTAATCTGATTTATGAGAAATAGTTCTTTCATTCCTTTCAAACTTACTTTGTGTAAGCATTCTTGTATGTTCTAATCTGAATAACCTAATACTTCAATATTTCAAATAGTTATTTAGTAAATTTAGATTCTAAGATAGATAATGTATTAAAATAGCTTTGCGTGTTGAGTCTATAAAATATTACTTTATATTTATTTTATTTAATAAGAAATCAATCGAAATCATCATCTTTTTAATTTTTCTTCATATGCAATTTAACCATGGCTTTGCCAATGGCTCCAATCCATGCTTCTTTCTCTTGATTATTATTAGACATTAAAAAGAAAGTTGTTTCAGGTGTATCAATTTTCTAATTTTATTTACAAATATACAAATGTGTTTTCCCTGTTGGTTTCTTCCTAACATGATTTAATTGTACTTATAGTTGATAAAGGAATAATCTCTGTTGGATTACTATATTGTTTTTCTGCCTTGAAAGTATACAAGGTTGTCGTTGTTAAAACAAACCATCGTCTAAAATGGATAAATAATATGGAATACTTTCTCCAAGATTTAAATACTCGAGATTCTTTTTCTAACCATCCTTCTTTCATGATATTTTTGAGATCTTCAAGCATGTTGTTTTACATTAGATAAAAATCAATATTTTTTATATAATATATTATTTATGCTTCCTATATTTTTGAAAATCAATTTAATTGGTTTTTCAGGATTGTTCATAATTTTAGATATCATCTTCATCTGATTAATGTGAATCTTCCTCATTATCTTAAATATTATCGATAGAATTCTTATCATTCTCAACTTCTGATGGTACATACATGCCATCTTGATCATAATAATGTTCATGATTATCATTGCCTGGGTGTAAAACAAACCATCCATCTGGTTGTCCATCCTTATCATAATAACAACCATTCTCATCTCTCCATCTAGGAATTTTAATTGAATAATACCCTCCGTCTTCATTGAAAAAATATGATTATTAACCCACCAAAAATCCTACTACATTTTCTTCAACTTTTAATTCGACATATTCATTAAACTTCTCAGGCTAATGTTTTGGAGGATCTTTCAAAATTGGATTTTCAAGTGGATCTACTCTAAGCCAATTTTTCTAGATTTCTTTATCTAGTTGCATTTGTCAATTATTTTTTTGTGTTAATTAATTTATCAACCCCCCCTCCTCTTCATTTATATATACAAAATATATTCGATGCAATTAATAGAAATATAATTAACACATGAATGAAGGCTATTATAAGTAATAACAAATAAATTAACATTTCTAGTGATTAAGATAAATATAAAGATCTAAAAAATAACCTTGATGGAAGGATCATTTATATCGAGCCTTAATTGTATTTAGAAAATTTGAGAGAATTTAATGAGAGAAATCCTACCTACGGAGTGACAGTGGATTATCGATTTTTGAAGACAATCTAATAGTGTGACTTTTTGGAAAGCTCCTAATTGCAATTTTTCATCAATTTATTCAGAAAAGCATATCCATAAGTCAAAGTAAAATGCTGATTTTTAAAATAGTTAGCTGCTGCCACATGTCATTTTTTTGCTGACTTTATAGTATCATTATAGATACCTGTATCATAATAATAATTAAATCAGACTAATTCAACAGGCTATTAAAGCCAAAAATTATAAGAAAGTTTGGTTCAACCTCAATAAAAAATAAGCGAAGAATATATAGAATCCCATGTCATGAATAAAAGTATCCTAGATAATTAGTAAAACATAAATATATCCACTCAAAGTAATAATTCCATCATTACAAACAAATCCAACACCAACGATTCCAACCTATCTGTATAAAAGCCAACGGCTTCTGCGAATAATTTCAAAGGTTAATATGCTCAATCTCAAATCATACCTAAAACTACAAAAGATAATAATGTTGATTATCTTTCATAATCCTTAATTTAAAATAATAATATTGCAAATAACAAACCTCAATCATAATTATTTTAGGCAAATAGAGATGTATAAGCTCCTCAACAAGTATAAGTTAATTAAACAATAAATCCATTATCATAAATATAAATAGATAATTAACCAAATCAATAGAATTCAAATATTAGTGATTCTTAATCTATTCCCTACTAAGCCCCACTCAGTGGATAATAAAACCCAATTAATGTGAATGATTAAATACAAAGTCCAATTGGATCATAAATCATATCACATTAATTTATAGACTCAAACGTCGGTTCAATTAATGAAACTTAAGAAAAGCCTCAACTAAATTAAGAATAATTTCAAAATGCTTAATCAATAATATATCCTCAGAACAACTAATAAGTACCTTCTGCATAGGCTTAGGTTGAGCAATAATAAGCATAACCTCCTCCTGAAAAAAAATTCTTTTTTCAGATTACTAATATGACTATATAAAAACCAGCTTAATAAGATAATATTAATAAATCATATCTTCCTTCATTAATAAAATAATTGGCTGAAATGAATAACTTAACAGAAGAGCAATTAAAGGATTAAGATTATTGGTATTTTCCCATAAATTAGCTCTAATCTCATTGGATTAGCGTGGTGATCAATTTTAAAAAAAAGGAGATATTTTACTTTGATTCGTATTATAAAAAAACAGATCCTGTTATCCTATAAGGAATAAATTCTATATTAGAGCACTTTAAAATTAATCCTTAAAATTTCTAGGTAAGACCAGTATATAATTAATAAATCAATGGGTATTATTTAATTATAATTTAGTTATGATTGCGGAGTTTTCATATTGCTTTCCCTTCTATACACTTTATAATAGAAAACTTATAATTACACTTAAAGTGTTGCAACCTAATTTAGAAAGGGTGTTCTCTATAATTTGGCTGTTATAGGGGCTTAATAGGATATTGATCAAGTATATCTGGAATTTATAGTCGATCAACATTGAGCTTTGAAAATTTATATAAAATTATTTCATTATTTTTTCATCAATCTAGACAGAGTGAGTAAAAAAGTCCTCAGTTAGAACTGATCACTTGATAAGTGCACAATAAAATATCATAGGGAGAAATATTTGTGTTCACATATATTATGAATTTGATTATAATCAAATAATGAGGATTTGTTTATCAAATTTTCATCATTGAAAATTAAAAAGTTTAAAAAAAGAAATATGGTTTTTAGTTAAAACTTCAAATGATTTTATTCATTAATGCAAATAAAAATTGATAAATATTTGAAATAAATATTTATAAAGCTGCATTCCAAATTTTATAAAATACTATTGAATATATTAAATTAATATTCCCTAAGGCAAATTTATAATATATTTTAAACTATATTATTTGAAATTGATAATGATTGTTTATTCAGATCTTACCTTAGAATTGAAGAAACCCTGCTCATTTAGTATTGACAAAGGAGTGATTTAGAAGAATTAAAGATAAGTAAATGTTTAAAGAGAATTGGAATTCTCTGAATTATTTAAACACATTTATTGATAAAGAAATAAATACAAACTCACTTTTTCCAAGGTTTAGTTTTAAATTATTTTTACACATATGGATTTGCATTATATACTGCATTTGGTGAATGAGCTCTTTGCCTATTACCCATAGGTTTAAATTATGTGTTTGGTTATATAGTTAAATCTTATCTTTAGTTTCCAGTGCTATTTTTTTTATATGGAGTAACTTAGAGTCTAGGTGCTCTTAATTAGTTAGGTGCTGTTTGAGGCCTACGGTCATTTTAGGCCATCCCTTAGTTTTATTCCTAATTGATTTTTTGCTATGATTTCAAAAAGAATTATTCTCCTGAGTCCATGTAATTATTTGCTTGCTTTTTGGGCTTTAATGATTCTATTATTGACTCAATACTTACAAGTAGCTTCAGGTAATTATTAGAATTTAGAACTATCACTCTTTGCAACAACTCTCTTGACGTCCTGAGATGAAGGTCTTTGATGAACAGGCTGTATGGGTTATAAAGGTTGAGTTTATGACATTAAATTAGTTTCTGGTCGAGGAGATTTTTGAATTTGCTATTCATATTAGATTGTCTTTCCAGTCAGACAGGATTTGGTTTCTATAGGTTAGGATTGTTTCTTCTTATTGAAGACTATCTTTTCATAAGGTGGTATATACATAGTGATTTTTTCAGCAAAGCGCAATCTAATTTATAAATTTAATTTACTTTTAGGTTTTCGGTTTTTAATCGTGATCCTTAAATTCAGCCACTCCTTAGGGCTAAGCATTCAAATACGTGTTTCTTAATACCATTTCTTCAGGGTCTCCTTGAGAATACACTTCTTCCCAATTATAAGTTTTTGCACCCCATCCGTTCTTTTAGAATTTGCTTTCTATTGCCAATAATTAATTAAAAAAATTAGCTCGGATCTCCAAATCTGGTCTTCTGCTATGCATAAATTGTAAGGTCTTGTATAGTGTCCATCTATATTTTTTCATAAAATAAACACAAAGAACAGCAATTGATCTATTGTGTCCTCTAATTGAATGTACAATAACACTTTCTCCGTTATTCAATGCATCATCCATAAATTTAATTACTTAATTAATCAGTTCCTCTTGTTAAAATATTACCTCATTATATAAAATATTACTTGAGTATCGTTGTCAATCCATGGCAGCGACATGTAAACTATCCCAATTGATTCCCAATGGTTTGGAATTTGTTTGCAAGCACAATTAACAATTCTGGAAACTTTATTAGTTACAATAAATTCTAAGTCCTAAAGGGCTGAATCAACTATCTACCTATGAAGCAAATTAATCTCCTAAAAATAACCCATCTTTTATTTTGATAGCTCCAATGTAATCGTATTCCATTATATTGTTAGTATTATAATATATATAAGAAATAATAATACAATAAATAAAAAGCTATCAAATTTCAAATCACATTCCTTAGTTCATTAACTACATTCTTTTCATTTTTAATTAACAGTTCTGTTGAAAGTCAATGCTTTTTTCAAAAAGAACCAACTCCAAAGAATGCAAAAATTAGTTGATCTTATACAGATGTTAAAATTTCTATAGATTCTCCCATTTGAGCGAAAATTCAAATACTAAGGAACCCTCTTATGATATGTTAACCCTTATAACAATAAAATCATGTTCATTATTTATGATAATTAATATTCTGCAAATCTAGAGAAAAAAAACAGAAAACTAATTTTTAGATCCTATTAAACTAAACCCTCCAGTTGATGATTCAGCATTCAGTAAAATATTGTTTGCTCCAATAAATCTAATGACATTCTTTAAAATTTCAACAGGATAGTAATGAACTTCCTTATTTCCATATAAATAAAATCCTGAGATAAATTGAATGGAAATATCAAACAATAAGGATTTGTATTTCTAAGGTTTTTTAATACACTTGAAAACTTCTCGAATCAATCGATAAAAATGATTAATTTTATCAATAGCAACCTTTTCTTACAAGGTTTATGATGTGCCTGTAAATTTAACTAAAAAATTAATTTTGTCAGTAATCGTGATTATTACATCAATCTAAGAGTAACATCGAAATGCAAATGAAAATTCTTCAATTGTGTTACCTGATTAAAATGAGCCTTTTATTTTGCCATATTTTTCCAATAAATAATTTTCTAACGTTTAATTTTCGAAAGTAATGTACCTAATCAAACTCCTTAGATTACAACCATCGCAAAGATTTGGGTTCCACTTCTTAATCTTATTTTGTTTACTTAATATAATTGGTTAAAATTATTCTTATTAGTATTCAAATAAAATGAAAGGAACTGAAATAAATTTCGTTAAAAATTGTGCTATCATAAAAAACATTCTTACAATATATGTCCTCTTTAACCGTCAATAAAAACTGCTATCTCTTGGCTTACCCAATCAAATAATAAGAAACAATTGAAATGACTGATATAAGTACACTAAACCAGACTGTAACCATACTCAAATGTTCTTAATAATATTGACTCATTATTATAAGCTTTAAAATAAGTTGTATTACGATCTAAGGGACTATCTAATAGAAGTCTAATGACATCATCAGAAGCATTTAAGATGCCATCACATTGGACCCAAGAAGAAAACTTCTTTGTTAACCATATGTACTGTCAACCCAAAATTAAACTAGTGAAAATGAGTAATTCAATAAAATCATCATAGTTGAGGAGTATTAAGGGTATCTAAATATCACAACCAAAGCGATTATTGAAATAATCAATCCTGGAGTTTGTAATTCAATTCTTATTGGGTTATTTTAAGTTGAATCTTAAATCAGCTTTCCTATATGTAGTACAATGGATGATATAGATATAACTTTTAAAATAAAGGTTTTGTGATAATCTTATTGTTTTGCTTAAAACTAATTCTCCAAAGCTTGATTCTCAAATTTTAGGGTCCATTTATTCATTTAATTATATTAATTGATATCGCATCATTTTATGAGATTGACTTGAATATGAAAAAAATAAACTATATATAATATTTTCATATTCTGACTAAATATAATTCTTAAGTTCAGTTCAATTCAAATTGATTCTTATTCATTATTTTCTTCAAATTAAAAGTCCTCTCCATTTTAATTAAGCTAAGCAGAACCGTCACTTTTAGACAAAGCATCATTGATATTTTACTAAGAATTTGCTTTTTAATTTTCATTTATTTATAAATCCTTAATAGCTTCTTCAACCTCTTCAACTTTTTCAACTTCTTATTCTTTATTTTATTTACTTTTATCGGCCAAAGGATTGTTATAATAAATTGATGATGGATCTCCAAACATTAAGGGTTCATCTTACTCTTCCTCTACTTCTTCCAAAATCATTTATTCTTTTTGATTTTGAGGAGGTTAATTAATTTAAAATAAACTAGATTATTATTAAGGCTGATCATTTTTAGTGGGATAACCAAAAATATTATAATCTTATTTACTTTCCACAATAAAGGGATCATTATTTTTATTGTTATCTTAATTATTATTCTAAATTAATGATGTATTAAGGCTAGGATCATTTGATTAAGATTATTTTTATTCCCTGAAAAATTTGTCATTCACCTTGAATTAGTCTTAAAATTATTGATTTTTAGAACTTATATCACTATCCTCTTTAATGTTGTTTAGTTTAATTGGTTATTAATTAAAAAGGTTAATAGGTTGATGATGTAGAGTTTATTCGTTATAAGGAGGAATAAAACTCGATTGTTGATGTGGAGTTAATTCATTGCGAGCAGGGAAAAGACTCTATGTGTTTTAAACAAAAATATTTTCTATTTTCTATTGTTATATTATGGAACCATCTTAATCCTACTTTTCCTCTTTAATTTCTAATAAATCACTATCTTTTTAAGATTTGCCTTATTGCTCCTCCAATTATAAGGACAGTTTCTCAACTTAAAACCTCAAATCATTATTTTTATTTTCCAATTTTTCAATGATCCTTGCTTATTTTTCAATAATTTCTTTTAATCTCTCTAATTGGTTTGCCTATTACTCTACGTCTTAACTTGTGAATTGATACTTAACCATTATATTTTTAAATAATTTAAATTATTAATTAAAAATAATTTTATTACTACTATCAACTATAAGTCTTGTAATTGAATTAATTGTAAAATTATAATGTTCACTACTCAATCTTTATATTCTCCATTGTCTGTTTTCCTAATCATTTCTTTCAATTTCTTTCTCAATCTAAAATATTTAAGATATATTAACATTTTATCTCTGGGAGGTTCATTTTCACTATCTATACTTTAACTTCTGGATACTCGATACTATGGACTACTTCTGTTTTTAGGACTTCTACTTCTGCTTCTACTTTTGGAGCTAATTATTAATTTATAAATATAAATTACTTTCTCCTTCTTGGTTTTCTTTCCTTCTCCCTCTCTCTCTCAAATCTATCATAATTTCCTCTTGATTATCTATAATTAAGTTGCCATTCTACCCTCTATCATCCCTAGGTCGATCTCTCCTGGGTTCTCTATTCTCATCATATCTGCCTGACTTTTTCGACCATTCAACATTTATTCTCAATCCTTTCAGAATTCATAAATCCTATATCAATACCCTATAAATCTCTTTAATGCAATGCATTTTTTGCAGCTTCTGCTTCTTATTCACTTTTATATTAAATGAATGCATACTAATATAATATTATATGTATTTACTCTGTCATTATTTTTTACTCTGAAATCCACAGTGCAATCACCATGGACCTTAAATTCTCTCTCTATATCCTTCTACTCAACCAATCTTGAAATGTTGCCTACGAACAGACTCATTCTTGCATTCCTAAATTATTGTCTGCTCATTATAAATTATATGATTTTAATATAAATTATATTTAACTGAAAACATTTAATAAAAAGTTAAAAAAATAAAAATCGTTCAAGAAATGAGTTAGTTAACGGAAAGCCCAAATAGATTAAATGAACAACAAAGCATTCCACAAGATGAAATAATTGACAAGTCATAAAAAATGGCGACATCCTCTCCTGATAAAGAGAACTCTTCAGAATTGTTTAGATTGTAGAAATAATAATTCATTCAAAAAATGACTCAGGACAACTCAGCGAGACGTTAAAAAAAAGTAATACTTTCCTTATGAATCATTCATAGATAATAGGAGATATTAAAGATGTGGTAAATGTGAATAAACAAATTGTGAATTTCGGATTGGTAATACCAGGAAATATTTGTGAAGACGATATATAATTTTAGAATCTCTCCAATGAGACTGTTATAATAGGCATATAGGTAATATGCAATAACACAGAATTTGACGATCTAGATGAATATGTTTATTCAGCCAGAAAACTTAATGGATATGATTATAATGATCGATTCATGCTAGCCTGTCCAGCTCAAAAGCAGTTCTCTATGAAGATAGCCTTGAAGGTTCCTAATATCAAAGAATAGAAAGGACTTTTTGGTACCATCATCATTACAGCCTCTTATTCGAATCACTAGAAAATATAGGGTCAAATTAATGCTTAAATTTAAAGTCAAATTGCCCTTCCCTCGATTGAATGCCCAAAAACTCTAATGAATTGTATAATTCTATCAATAAATTAGCTGCTTATAATCTGCCTGTGATTCAATTGGCTTTTAAATTGGGTAAGAAATTGGATTGCAAGATCCCCTTTAGGAATAATAGTTCGATAGGATTACCACTTGAAATGGAATTTCTCAATAAAAATGACAATGAAATACTTATCAATCCTCCTTCACTTTCAGTGTAGGGAAACTCGCAATTCTTAGTTACAATCTATATCAAAAGCAAGCAAGAATAGATTATCAAGAATGTGTTAATAGTTAAAGTTAAAAACTCCAATGTTCATTTTAGTTATCCATTCATAATCAAAATATATTGATTTTACTAGATTATAAATAAAACTAAGATATAAATTCTTTATCATAAACTTTAAATAATTTAATAATTATTTGCTTCTATTATGTCATTTAACAAAAAAGGTAGAGATGATTTAATGCAAATAACAAATGATGAAGATGGAAGAGAAATTAATCCTCACATGCCTCAATATATTATAAATGCCCCATGTATGATTACCACCTGATATTTAGGGTATTTAAAGGAAAGTACACCATCATTGAAGCATTAAAGAATAAGAAAATAATAGAACACAAGTACATTTGATAACTGGTATCAAAGGGGATCAAAAGTATATTCTTAAGTGATTTAATAATAGGGCCCAAATAATTTAAAATTTAAAAAAGGAGCTTGCACTAATTGTGGTTCTACAACTCATTAAAGTAAGGATTGTTGCGAGAGACCTAGACAAATAGGAGCTAAATTTTCAAATACAGATATACAACCAGATGATCTTGTATCAAATGTCTAGGGTCTTAATTATGATGCGAAAAGGGATAGATGGAATGGTTATGATCCAGAGACTTATAAGTCATAAATCCAAGAATATGAGATCCTAGAAGAGAAGCGAAAAGAAACTAGACTACAAGAAGGATAATAAACTGAATCTGGAAATTTAGATGATGAATTTAAAGATAATGGAACTGGTGAACACTAAACTCAGATGACCACCAGAGATCCAAGAACTAAAACTATGACTAGAAATTTACGTATCAGAGAAGATAAAGCCAATTATTTGTTGAATTTGGACGTTAATTCAGCATATTTTGATCCTAAGTCCAGATCTTTAAGAGAAAACCCAAATCCTCATTTGCCTCCAGAAAAATAAGTGTTTAAAGGTCTAAATTAAATAAGATTGACTGGAGAAACTCTATAAATGTATGAATAAGAAAGATTTGCATGGTAGTATGCAGAACAACACAATCTAAATCTGAACACTGTATCTCTACCAACATTAACCGAAAAGACTGTATGATATTTATATTTATTGGACTAGTATAAATAAATCAAGGCAAAGAAGGAGGAATAAAAAATAGGAAGAGCGGAGAGTTTGTTTGATAGATATGGTGGAGAAGAACACTTAAATCCACAAATGGATCTCCTATTGGGATAAACAGAAAGATTTGTTGAGTATGAAGAGGATGGCTTACCTAAAAATCCTTTAAAGAAGAAGGACTTAACTAAAAGCAAATATTTAGAAGATTTCTTTTATGGAGATCATACAAGTGTTTGGGGTAGTTGGTGGAGTGATGTCCTTGGATGGGGATATGATTGTTGTTATTCAAATGAAAAACATTCAGTCTGTCTTGGAGAAAAGGGGAGAAGATTATAATTGAATAAAGAAGCTCGATTAAAAAGAGAAATAGAAGAAGAAATATAAAAGGCACAAACTTAAGATTAAAAATCTAGTCCTCAACATTAACATTAGCAACCTCAACAACAAATAATCCAATAAGTTTAATAACAATGAATTTATTTATAATTATTGTTATTTTAAGTATTTAAAAATAAGAATGCTAAATACTTTAATAGAATAGTTAATAATAATCATCTCTTGTAGATAATTATTATCTGAACTTCTAATTAAAAATGATATATAAAATAATTGTAATTAACCATCTATCATTATAAAATACTCAATTCTTTTTTTAAAGTTATTTCATTATATATTGTATTCTAAAATAAATTAAATATTTTTATACTTTGAATAAGAGTAGAGGCTCCAAATCATGGGATGTTTCAATATAACTAGATAAGAAATTTAAAACTTCTGATCTCAACTCTTAATCCATTCCAATGTTGTAAAACTGGAAAGGAATCTTCTTCTCTGTCAGGATTCTAGCTATTTCACAATTTAAATCTGGTTGTCCGTCTATTAATATTATGTATTTTGATATAAGCTGAATCTACTCCAACTTGGAAGTCTTATTCATGAAGGCATCCTTTGGTATCAATTCAGAAAATTTCTTCTAATCAATTAATTCAACTGTTGCCTAATTCATAAATAATACGAAATACATCTGCTCCTCCGATTAATTTCCCATTCACAAATACCTAAGGGAAGGTCTACCATTTTGAATAGAGCTTTAAATAGCCAACCATTAGTTTATCAATTTCTATATCAAAGAATCCAAATTGGACACCAAAAGGTTGCAGTTTTTAAATTAGCTTTGATGTAAACCTACACATGGGCTTTTCTGGAGTACCTACAATAAAAAGCATTATTGGATTTTCTTTGATCATTGATTCTATCCTTTGAAAATACTGCTATTATTGCTTTTAAAATTCAGCTTCGAATTGCTCATGTATGCTCTATAACTATATTAAAACCTGGGCAGGTTCCAGGCACAATATTTAGTTATTAATTAGTTTAGGATATGATGAAATCAAAACAGAAGGCAATTGTTATATCTAAAATTGATTTTTCATTTACATTATGACTTCTTGCTATTTATTCATCATTACAATAGGATAAAGCATACTTCTCAACTTCAAGAGGCATTATTTATAATAATTTATCTAATCTTGTCTTATAATCGTCATTATGATAAAATACAGTGATTATTACCTAAATCATATTGACATAAAATATACTTTATGAAAATTAGATGATTGGAATACATCCAAAGGATATTCTTATGTGATTGTAGTCATAATTAAATTTTAATTATTATTTTATTATAAAGTGTAGAATGGGATGAAACCTATCAAATATTTACATAAAATTAATTAGATCATATTTTAGTGGAATCTCTTACATTTGTTGAGGTATTTATCGGTAGTAATTTAATTTATTCTTATTTTCTCATTTATGTATTAAATTCATATTCCTAAAATTATTAAGTTCCTTTTATCTTTGTAATTATGTCTATTCTTTCAATTAGTTCTATTATATATTGTTTTTGATAAATATAAGTTCTATTTCAAAAATTTTATAGGCCCAGCACTTTCTCTCTTAATTATTATTAGATTCTGATTTATCTTCTTACTTCCTATTTGTAATTTTATTTTGATATAATTTATGCTTGAAATCTGATTTTATAGAATTACATCTTTGATTTGCTATTTCTTTAGTCTCTACATAATTTGAATTAAGTAGAAATTCTGAATGAATATTTCAATCTCATCTTTGAGATAGACATTTAAACTTATTGAAAGAATACTGAATTTAAATACTTTAAAATTTTTACAAATTAATATCTTCTATATAATTGTAGATTAATCAAGATTACTAATTATTTAAAACTATTATTTTATTTTTAATATAATTATGTCCTAAATGATATTAGAAACTCAAATTTTTATAAAATACCCTTTTTCTAATCTAATTCAAGATTCAAAAGATAATCCAAAAGAAGTATTCCGTAACCTGTAAAAGAAATATAATTTTTGAAAGAGAGCAGCTATTTATAAGTAAAAGCAAATATGGATGAAATATTACCATTTATTTGAAACATAATTTGTCCTTTTATAATAGATTATTTATTAAATAATATGTGATATTTTCAACATATTCTAAATTTATCTCCACAATTATAGCATTCAAAAAACTTAGTTGTTGGTTCATCGGATGCTCTTGTTTGTTTCTCATCAACTAAATACACCTTTTTTTAACCACATCCTTTACACGTTTTCCCTTCTACACCTTCCATTTCTCTTTTGCTTAAGTCTTTGTAAAATCCTATCTGTTCAGCCTCCATCTTTTCTCTAATAATTCTACTCTACTCTTATTTGGTTTCATCATCAACCCAATCAGCAGCTCTAAATTATATTTAAAATACCTTAATTAAGCAGCATTTATCGGGTCAAATTACTTCGTGAAAATACTATAAGTCAATGAACCATTTTTATCCTTCTTTAAAAACCCCGCTAAAATTTTTAGATCCTACTCATAAGCCTTTCTAGGAGTATAGTCTTGTTATCTCTTATAATAAATTGTGTTTTCCATTTTTTCTACACATTCTTTAATTGTTTATCTATCAGAAGCATTTAAATCATTTTGATTTTTAAATTTTTAGATATTAAGAATAAACAAATTACTAATTGCATTTAAGTATTTGACACGATCAACATAAGATGGATGAGGGGTTTTGAAATTTTCAAATAAATCATAGGCAGGCAAAGATTTACTACTTTAAATACTCTATACACTATTATGTTTTTCCACTTTAATTTCCTCACTTTTCTCTCTTCTTTTTTCAATTATTTCATTTTAATTTGGTTTATTTTGAGACAGTTTTTTAAGTTTGTCTTGAACTATCGAAGCTTTTGATTTAATTGTTGCAGCTAAAATATCACTTTTATCGTCAATTATAGTCAGAGTGTGTAGAGTTTTGTATATTTTTGATTTATTTACAGCCTCTTAATTGAGTGGAGATTACTCTAATTATTTTAAGATATTAATAGTTTCTTTAGGATTCTTTTTCCAATCCGCAAGCTTTTTGCGCAATTCATATAATTCTTAATAATCCATAAAATAATTTAATTTATATCAAACATTATTAAATTTCTTAAATGTGTCTATTAAATGTTATCAAATTATCAATTTATAAGATGAAATTTATATTCGTTATGCCACTAAAGAGAAATGCTAATCACTTCCTAGACAACTATTTCACATATCTTCAATTATAAATATTCATTCATTTATTTATTAAATAAATATATTTTAATTAATAAGTAATTATGCTATTCTAACTAATGAAATGCAACAGAAATATGAGAAAATCAATTTATTTAATTATATGATAGATAGAATCATTGATATATCAAGTATAAAGAATTTGAGATAGAAAATCAAAATTACTTTTGCTTACTTTTAAGAGAATAAGCAGGATTGGGTAGAAATATACTTATACTTGTAATTAAGTTGAATAATATTAGATAAAATAAAAAAATCATTATTAATGAAAAGGGGAAGAAGAGACAAGAACTTAATGATTTTTTTACTACTTACCATTGTAGTTACAAATTTATATTTCGATTCACATTTGAAATTGAAGAGATTCAACATAAGATATTTCTGATTGATTTTGATAATCTAAATATAACACTAAATTTCATCATTGTTAGAACATAGTTTCAAATACTAAATTATTTGTGTTATTTATTAATGTAGTATAAAAAATTAGAAGGCTAATCAAATTATTGGAAAGCTGCTATGCTTGGCACGATTTTCCTTTTCATGTTTTCTTCATTTAATTCAGCAGCAAACTTAATAGCCTTTCTCTATAAGGAAGCAAATTATGATGATTTAGGAGTGATTTCATTATTTTCATTATACGCTGCTTTTGGAGTCAGTTCTGTATTTGCCCCTAATATTAGTGCATTGTTTAATCCCAAATACGTACATAAAGTATATTAATCAGTTAGGTAATGTTCTTTTCCTCATTTGGATATACTCTATATTTGTCATGTGGAATAATTGTCTTTTAATGCAAAGATCATGGTGTTCAAGATGGAATTTGCAGCAAAGGGATTTTGTATATAATTGTTATTCTTTGTGCAGTAGTAAATGGTATATGCGCAAGTACCTTGTGGGTTTCATAGCCATGGTACATCACAAGCATTAGTACAAATGAAACGAGAGGTAAGTACTTTGGTATATTCTGGGCATTGATGTAATCATCATAGATTGTGGGTAACGTGTTGGGATTGGTTTTAGTACAACTATCACCGTTACTATATTTTTTAGTGATGACCATTGTTTGTGGAATTAGTGGATTTAGCTTTTTACTTTTGCCTTCTACATTTGAGAAAGCACAAGAAGTGAAGAGTGTGAAGGAGAAGCTTAGAGGAATTTACGTTATCATAAGTTCAAGAAAGATGAGACCAATGTTATTATATTACTATTTTGCAGGAACTATTGTAGCATTTTATACTGGGTTTTTGTATAAACTTATAGCTGCATCTCAACCAGAAGATCAAAGCTAAGAATTGACAGGCAAAAGGTAAGCATATGTATTCATTATACTTGGTGTTTTTGAATTCATCAGTGGAATTTGTTCTGGATACATATCAGATAGAGTTAATCGTTACATGGTGGCTACGGCAAGTACAATAATAGTTGAGTTGGCTTTAATTGTTAGCATAATTAGTTATTATACTGAAAGCTACACATTGTGCTTCATATCTGGGGCTCTTTGGGGAACTTCTGATTGTCTGGTGGCTAATATGACTATGGTTATCACTACAACACTTTTTCCAGATTAAATTGAAGCCTTTGCAATTAGAGCCATCATGACCTCATTTGCCACCAGTGTTATGTTAATATTTAGTATCCTAATTCCTAATCAGATCATTTATTTACTAATTGTTGTATTTATTGAGTTATTGACCAACATCAGTACAAGTAAATTGGGAGTAGTCAATGAAAAGCCAAATGAAATTAGATTGTGAATTTTTATAAGAATATTTAATGGTAAGTTTTATCATAATTAATTACGAGATAATTTATTATAAATATATGGTTATAAAAATGTTATCTTATATTAAATGAAAATAATCTATCTTATAATCATCATTAGATCTACGAATATTGTTGGCTTTCCAACTATGAACCTTCTCATTTTCTAGCTATGAAAAATACTTTTTAATTTAAGATAATTAAATTTGACATATTATTATTACATATTTAACTTATCATGCAGATTTAAAAAATATTTTATCATTGATATGTTATTAAATTGGAACTGAGTTTTGGACCATGAACGATTGATTTTAATCTGTAGACCATTAAGGAGTGAAATTAAATCCATTCTTTTGAATGTTAGCTATAATTTATAGTTAATTTATACTCCAGGAATCTTCTCTATGTGTGAAGTCTCTCAATACATAATCCCAATTGAATTGATGATAGATTCTTGTATCAAATATCCTAATCAGAACATCATCGATTCTTAAATAACTACGGATCAATCCAAAAAAGCAGTCACCCATAACCCGAAATCTGTATTCACAATTGGATAATCCATTGTCTCCCAATTCATCTTCATATAATGATATATGAGATGCCCATTTTATAGGATTTGCCTTTAAGAAATTAATATTATTGGATACTTATGATAAATTATTTAATGGAATCTCCTCTTCTGTATATTCACTATGGAATGTCTTAGATTTGATATTAAACACTTGATTTAGATAGTCTACTTCGTTTTTAATTACATTCTCATTCAATTACTTTTCAAATATTGATTTTCCTTAAATTCCTGCAATTTATTTGAATCTTTAAAATTAATAATTCATCTAATCTCCATCAACTATTGTTCCCTTATAAGGGGATGAATAAAAGGTATCAGATATTTTATTTAAAACTTTTATATCTGCATTTTATTTCTGATTCCAGACATTTGCATACTTAAGTTAAGCTTGTTCTGGAATCACTGAAATATGGTTGAGCTTATTTGATTTTAATTCCTTCTTAATGTCAATGTAGTTTGCCTCTCTAGCCTGATAATTACAAAGATACAAGGCATCTTTTGGATCCACCAAAATCCCAAAGTTAAATTGCTTATTGTAGATCAATCCACAATTATTACCATTGGTGATGTCTGGGATGCCTTGCAAAGTCAATGCATCCTATAACATATCCAAATCTGATGTATTATACATTCCAGCCTTAGTAAATATGAAATTCCATCCATTTTATTCATATTCTTCAATATTTACATCATTATATGTTTTATGTGAGATTATATTCATTTTTAATAATAAATTATTAGAGAAATATCATAAAAATATCAGAGAATATTAAAATTGTGCATCAATGAAAATCAGAGAGATTCCCAATTTTATCATCATTAATTATAATATAATTATATTATTATTAAAAATTAACTAATATTTATTGGCTTAAATACCTAAGTCTTATATTATATTTATATTTGTGTTAATTAACTCATTTAATTAATCTAATATACAAAAAATCAAAAAATCACATATCTAATTTTAATAGTATCGCATCAATTCTTTAATGAATCCTTAAATCAAACTATAAATCTTAAGACTCGGAACATATTTATTATGCTCTTTAGAACAAGTTCAAAAATCATATTATTCTTAATCTAATTATTTACACTTGTATTATATCAAATCCATCATCTCTATGAAACTATTACATAAATTATGATCATCTTTAAGTTTAAGATTGTTATTCCACTTGTTGTCTCATAAGAAATAGACTCTCAATATCCATCAAATAATCGTATGGATATTTATTATAAGAATTTACTCTTTTTATTTCCAATTCCCATATAAATTTATAATTTTACATCTTGAATCATCAAATCCTAATTGTATTATTATTTTTCTCCTTCCTTTCTATTGAATTTTCTTTTTAATAGATTGTTATATTTTAATTCTGTTATGATATTCATAAAATTTACTGTTAAAGCTGGTTTATTTAGTTTTGATTTGGTCATTAGTATTTTGAATGGATAATTCTAAATAAAAAAGGGAGGTTGATAAAATAGAACTTACAAAAGTAATCTTTTGTATGTAATCTGGCAATAAGAGTAGAAAATTACTCTTTGAAATCTTTAAACAATCATGCTTTTTGACCAATTTGATAAAAAAGGCACACTATTTTACTATGATCTTTGTTTAAGAAATGAATCTTAATTATTACTAATCCTATAAACACAGTCAATATATGATTTTAGAAGTTTGCATCTGTGTTATTAAGAATAGCACTAATCATCAAGAGTTATAATAAGGTATTATTATTATTCAAATTGATAAATGGATGATCCTATAATGTAATAGATATAAAAACGTAAATATAATATATTATCATAAATATTGCAATGACTCAAATATAAAACTATTGTAAAATCTCACATATCCAAATTTAGCGATCACATAATTTTTTTCTACAATTTGTTTTAAATCTGAATATTGATAGGTTCTATGATAAATTGGATAATGTTACAAGTCATCTATTTTAATATTTTAATTTTCGCATTTGGTTTTGCAAATTAATTTTCTTATGTTATCCATTAATTATTTTTCTGTTTCTGTCAAACTTATCACAAACTCCTTTTGTTTTTATAAAACAACATCTTGAATAAGAGGATAGCAATACCATCATATTTCTTTCCGTATTAAATAGATTGTTAATTCCAGTCATATCTAAAATGTAATTATTTTCCATTATTAAATTCTCTGATTTCCATGACATTGACACTATAATCATCTAACATATAATTTAAATTGTGTAATTCCTTGGCACTAATGAGAAGTGTTGTAGTGTTAAATTTATGGAGATTACTCAATATTGAACAGATAAAGCATTGTTTTTTGCTGAGTGATAAATGCAAATTGTCAATAGCAATTGTGGTTGGTTTTTACTAAGTAAAATGAATGAGTTCATGTAAGTTGTTGGTGCCGAATTGCTACAAGGCTTGCTCTTAAGTTTATATCTCAGATTAGATATTAATGTAAATAGCTTATTGTCCATCCTTAATTGACTTATTGACGATGAATTAAAGGAATGTGGAAATTCCATCCTATTTCATGCCGTAAAATAGCTGATATGAGTGGACATGCAGTTGATTTTTGGGAAAGGAGTTCGTCCAATTAATATTCAATTGGGTATTATTTTGAAAATGCAGCCCATAACTGCTCTGGAAA